AGCTCGAAGACGATAATTAAACGTCGCCGAGCGTGATAGCCGATTCCTCGGACGCGTTTATGCAACTAAACGATTCCTCCATCTTATCGATTCACCCGAAGAAATTGCTTTCCAATCTTCGCGTTTCACATAGAAATCGATCTAGTAGAAAATTTCAGAAAATATATAACGGCACAATTTTTTTTTTTTCCATTTCAACCTCGGAGGCCGATTTGTCACGTTTGAGCCGCTTTTAAGACTTTTCCAACTTCGTATCTGATATCTCGGGGACACGTTATTTTTCGCAACTGAAAGGAAACTAAGGTTAATCACGATTCGATAAGGTTACTCTCGTGAATTCGAATGATTAATCGTGAAGTAACCGTTGGTATATCAAACTTTTGTCGGGAGGGTCGAAGAAAGTTGCCGCGATCGCGATAACCGTTAGCAAGGTAACACATTCTATAGGGTGGCTCGTTAGAATAACAATAAAAGAGTGAATTTACGAAAATGATGGAATGATCACGCAATGGAAAAGTAATATTACGTACCTGGACGTTAAGTGGTTGAATTACCTCGTGAATTATGATTAGAAAGTAATTGAATGACATTGTATTCAATTATTTTCTAATTCGAAATTCATTAAAATTATTCTCGACGTACATTCTGAAAAATTATCGAAACGAATCGACCGTATATAATTATTTCACGCGTTTACCGCAACTCCTTCTGAAGGATCGTTATTAAGGGCGAACCTAAAAAGAGGACAAATAACTTATCCTAGGCTGAGAAGAAATATGAAGGCTTTCTCGGAACATCGACCGGTCGGATCGAGCCATAAACTTCGAACTTCTTTAGCTAACCGAGATAAACGATATCACGGAACTCGGGCAAGTTTGCCCGCTCGCAAGAATCTTTGCGGATAATCTAGAGCAAGTTTCCGCGGTGTCGACGCACCGGAGGAAGCGTAAACTCGTGAAAAACCGGATACCGAAGTTCCCCGCGGTGGTTCGCAGTCGTAAGAACGAGCCAGATCGTTGTACGAGTCGATTCGAATTCAACTGATACACTTTTCGACGATATAATAAAAAATGTTTTCGCGCTTTTGATAGTCGGTAAAGAAACAGAGTAGCAGAGGGATGGAATACAGCTTTGATGGATTAAAACGAACCAGCTGCTTCGTCGTTGACGGTGTAATTTCGTTGATAATACCGACGAATCACCTTTCAGAAACGGTTACACGCTTCGAGGACCAAAAGAGACCCTTCGTTCATCTCGGAACCCTTTCACGGCTCGTCTATCATCGCATTGACACGGTTATTTATTCGAAAATAAGGAAGAGATACTCGATTCATCCTATCGGACATCTACAGACACCAATTTCCAAGTCTGTTGCTCCAAAATTCCTTTTCAACAAATAAACTTTCGAAGGAACAGAAATTTGTCGAGGCACACGGTTGTACGAAACGAGGTTGGATAACTACGTTCTTGAATCATTCTTAATCGTAGATCCGCGTGCAAATGGCGTGAGATTAAGATTTCGGCTCGTTTACCGCGTTAATTATCGCCACTTTTCAAACGGTCATTCTTTCTATGGAAACTATTCCTGTACGGTTTCGTCTCGTCAGGCACTAAGCCTAACTATTCTTATTTTTACCATTTAATTTTGCCAAATGGAATTTTATTTTCTTTCGTTTTAAAGATACAACTTTGTTCGGTCTCTCTCTCTTTCTCTCTCTATAGATGGGAACAATTGTTTCAATGAACCGAACTGGTCGAGTTCGACAACCGTACGCTAACTCGTTCTACTTCAACGAGGATTTAATTTTATTTTATTCAACGTAGACGATTTTAACGACATTTTCAACGTCGAAAGAAACAAATAGCTACGCTGGGAACCAGCACGACAGATCTCTCGGAGATTCGTCTTGCGATTTAAATAATGCAAATTGCGTTGGGCTCTCTAAATGTCGTTGCTTTCGCAAAGCGAGAAAGAATATACAAATGGAAAACATCGTACCCGTAGACATTAACATTTATCAAGCCTGCTACACGAAATCTACGGAAAGATTTGAATGAAAATCTCTTGTTTCGTCGATTGCACTCAATAACGGTATTAACCTTGGAAAAAAAAGGAGCTTTCGTCTCTTTTCTCCTCAATCTCTTTGGAATAGCGAATGAATACGAAATCTTGACGCTTTGGAAAGAAGGCGTATCGAAGTTATCGCTATCTTGGTCAATTTCTTTCGAAACCGATTTACATGAAAGACTGTGATTCACTATGGATAGTACGTGCGAGAGATAGCAAGCCTCTCGATAAAGAAATCGTCCCCTGCTTCTTGGGAAAATTCTTGGTGAAAAGTAAAACCGCTAAAGGAAAACCCGTGTTCTCCTATCGCGCGTGTCGAACAACGTATACGCAACAGTTTATTGAAAAGTCCATTGAAAATTGATCGTCCGCTAATTGTCGAACGAATTTTCGCAAATGCCTTCGGTTATCCGGTTATTCACGAGGCGGGATTAAACTCGACCGAGTGACTAAATCAATTGGCAAAGAGAAATGAATCGCGGAGATTTCGCAGGGTGACGGAATTTTTCCGTGCGCAGAAAAACCAGCCACATTGTGCTCTTTTTTTTTTGTTTCGATTCGTCCTTTCTTTATCGCTTGTTGTTCCGTTGTTTAAAACAACGGCCACTATAGGTTCGAAATTCTAGTCGAAACGAAATTCTCGTTCCCTTCGATGCCCGTTTGTTGTATCCCGCAAAAAAAACCTCTGTGGCGTTGGAAAAATTCCGGGAAAAAAAAGGACTAACTTTCGATCGTTATTTTGTAGAGGGATATATTGTGAAACGAAATTGTTCAAAGTTGAGTACACTCGGTGTAGAGAACAAACAGGAAGAATTGCTATTAAACAAAGTTGTTATGACTGATGACTTTGTGCACGTGTTTGGTTAACATTTTCAGAATTCGAGTTCTATGGTTTATTTTTCAATTTACAAATTGAACATTACAACATTCTTTCATTACAGCAGGATTGCTACCCAAATATTCGGCTGGCCGAGCCTCGGTTCGAAAGATTTAATCTACTCAACAACGCCGCGCTCTCTTCCAGGTTTACATTCAAGGATTTACGACTTAGTTTACATCTGAGAGGTTTCGCTCTCTGATTGCCGTTTTTGTTTACGGGACGAAGGACCATCTATCAGGTAAGTATAAAACGGAGCGCAGTGAATAACGAGTGAAAGCTTTTGTCCGGTAGGAACAGCTCTCGCCTAAATTGAGCTACATACTTGAAATTAATTGCTGCTTCGATCCTCTCGCTCCACCTACCTCCCTACCTTTCCACCGGAATGAAAAAAAGGTAACAAATTTCCTTTTCACTTACGATTAGAACGATCGATCGAAACGATCCTCCAATTAATCTTCCATCTTTGCTCTCGGAAATAACTTTGGTAATTATTTAGACTACGATTATTAACATCGGGTATCTATCCTTTAGAGCCTTAATTTATCGGAACACGCTTTCGCTCTGATTATTTATTATAACGAAACAACCTTAACGAATCGTTATTTATCGACTCGTAAAACACGAAATTGGCGAGGTAAAAGCGTTTATAAATTTTCATGTTTGCAAAATGATTCTGCGACAGGAGAAAGAGGTAAACCGTGGGGAAAAACGAAATATTTCAGGAAAGTCATTCCTGCCGGATTCGACGAACGTTTTGCTAGCTAACATTCCCAGGGGGATGCTGGGGATGTTCGGGTACAGTCGATTGTTTCGCGTCGCGAGATTTTCCTGATTTCGACCGGCTCGTTAACGAGAAAAAAATATAACTCGTTCGCCTCGCTATTACAACGCGAATAAACTGTTTTCCCTCTCGTTTCTTCGTCTCTGGTGAATCTAAACCGGTTAGAATTTCAATTCTCGCGTGATTAATGATAGGAATCGAGGAAGAATAATAAGAGGTGCTAATGACCGTTTTATCGGAAACGCTATTGGGTAAGTTAGAAAAGGGATGCAGAAACACGCGTCGGAGAAGTTAAAACGGACAGAAGTATTTTTACTCGACGAGATAGGCGGTATCAGCGGACCTTTCGAAAATATTCTCCCTCAGCCAACTGGCTGATACGGTTTTTCCTCGTTGAACGTGCCCCGTCGCGGTGCTGGCTCGAAAATTGGCTCGCTTATCTATCGTATCGATTCAAATGTCGAGCTTGGAAAAACGGCGTAAACGAGTTATCGTTCTGGTCCACCGAACGTCGTTTAGATTTCTACCAAAAATCCACTGCTTTACATTGCAAAGTCACCAAATAAAAGAAATCCCTATGTGAAACATTATTCTTCCCCTCTCGATTCCTAACCCTTATGAATTCATCGAAAACAATTCATTTAAATATTCTAAATCGCTTCGTTCTCCTTTTCTTTTTTTTTTTTTTTTTTAATTTGGACGCTTTGCAAATTACGCTGTAGGGTAGAATTTGAATTTCAAAAATGCAAACGGACCGAGCCAGGAAACCGGGGCGAGGGAATATTAAAAGTACCACCGTGAAAATGGTAAACGAACAGGCGTGTTTTTCTCGCGGTCAAAGGAAGCAGGGATGAATAAATGAAAATCGAGGGGCCGAAGAATTCATCGAAAACGTGGGAACAAAGAAACGCGACGCGTAACTTTTCTCTTGGCACCACCGTGGCCCGTGGCAGGTTCACCACCTCGAATTTCTCATTTTTTCGAATTACTTTGAGAAATAGAAAGGTATTATTACCGAGTCACGATGACTTTCGAGTTTCATGGAAAATTTATTAAAAACATGACGCGTCCATACTGCATATGAATAATAAAATGAAAATCTATAAAACCTTATAACGGTGCAACGCCATGTGTGATAAAACGAGATTAAATTTATGGTTCTCTCGACAAGTAACATTTTAATAAATGATTCTAAAATGAGTCTTGAAATTTTGTAAACAAAGAAAGTTAAGAGCATAGTTGTTGAAGAAACTATAAAATAATGGACTCACCGGTCGTTGAACTGCGCCATACTGCGATCGAGGTTAGGTGCCCTTCCGTCCAGCGTCACCAGAGAAATGTCACTCCACGTTAGTTCAAGTTCCATTCTGGGAATTCAAATCACACGATTTCACGGCTTTTCGACTAGTCTTCGCACAATTAGACTTGTTTTAATTTATAAATAACGTTAATATACAATTTAGCGCGTTGCGTACGTTCGAATCGCGATTAAAACTGCGCATGCACGCCACTAGTAGACGCGCAGTAATACATTCGCACGCGCATGCGCAGTCGCATGCGCAGTCGCATTAGAATGCGCAGCGTGCTAATACTTCTAAATAAATGAGAAATTATTACATTATTAAACGTCATAACAGACCCGAGTGTTGCCTCTTGTATGATTATTTTTTTCCATAACCATAAAAATGGTAGAAACTATCACTTCGATAGAACCGTAAATTCCTTCGTATGTAAATGCGTTCTAACTTCTCGGGAAGTTGCATTCCTGTTCTACCGTGTCTACACACAATATAAACTAGTTCCACTTGCCTGATCAAACATAGTTTTCTTTTACTTGAACGATTGCAACGAGTGCTGTTCCACCAGATGTTCTTTGTTTTTACTTGTTTGAACAGACAATAGTCGGTAGACGAATCTATTTGTATTCTTTTCATCGACCTCGATTCTCTTACAATTTCTGATCAATTTTACGAAATGCTTTTGACCGATCATGAAACACCTGCGACGAACACATTCTCTTTAAAGCAAGCACAACCCACCGTTTAATCACGTATCGCTGTGATTTGCGGCTAACACCGTCTATTTGTCATAGAACCGAACATTCGTGACGAACCGGTCGCTTGGCCACGCGATTTCACGCCCTGTCGCCAAATCAAACCCTCTAAATCCAATATTTCCGTTCAACTCGTTTCGCGAGGATAATAACGCACGGATAATCAAACCGGTTTCGTTCCTAACAAGTCTCGACGCATTGAACCTGTTCGTTCGACCATACATTCGCACGACAAATTTTAGAGGTATACACTTTTCTCAAAAGTAACTTCTGTAGTTATAAATTAGTGTCGTCTTTACATTTTAAACGATTACCCTGCAACTGCAAGATATCAGCGAAGTTTGGCTATGAAATTCTACCGTTACTTCCTGAAAATGGTGTTATAAAACGTTGACGCAGGTAAACCACGGTTAAAACTAATCCGGAAAGCTTGAAATATCGTCGGGACATAGAAGTACCGGGTCGCTTCTGGCTAATTTAATCCGAACTCTGCTAAACGTTTTCTTGTACTTTTATCAATTGAGATCTTATTGAGTTTGATTTTTTATATTACCTCGATATATCAGCGGCTCTAGAGCAGCTTGTCTCAGCCTTTTTCCACTGCGGATGGAGTCTGCTATAAATTAGCCGCTTCGCACTATAACGCGCGTCAGTCTGGTTTTAGAGGTTACGCTTTCATTTGCCCTGGTATCGTCATCTATAAACAAATGGCTCAAACTACTCAACAGGTTACTGATCGATTTTCCAAAACAGGGGCCGCTAGCATCGTCTATCGGAAGCTTCATGGTAATTACTGATAAGTCAGTAAATAGTTTCCACTGGTTGTCGATAGTTTCAGCCATTTTTGTATAGATGGAGCTAGGATCGAATTTGAAAATACTTGATTTGTTGTCAAACAATTATTTTAGTAATTTTTCTGCCTTGTGCTGATTGTAAATGATGTAGTTTCACCGACTAAAATCATATTAAATTAAATAAACATTCGACAGTAATATAATGAACATCCTGAGTTAAGAGGAATGGACAGGTAATACAAGCTGTATAATTATAAAAGAAATTGGTAATTTGACACTTTCTTTAACATTTGGTGTTTTCCACTTCTTTCTCTCATTTTATTATTTTTCCCTTCATAAACAGACATTTTTATATACTTTTAAGTTATACTAACAATAATACATAATAATCGATATACCTTTACCGTTTTTTCATTTTATTTATAAAAATAAATGTAACAGATCGAACGAAATCAAATCTAACTGCTGTCGTAATTTGTCTTCTTGTTGCATGTTATCAAACCACCTTGACACATGAACATATTGAGCTTTTTCTTGGTGGGTTAATTCTCGCTAGAACAAAAAAATAGGGCAAAGAGATTAGATTGATCCATACAATTTACTAAGGATTCTTGTGTTCCACTTATTATGTTATGTTTGCTCTTATTACCATTATTGAATATAATGCATAATATAGGGTAACATCAGCAATGGTTTTCCTTGTACCGGTTAAATATGTATTGTTCCTTAGTGCAACATTTAATTCCTATAAAAATAATGTATGGTTTATATAATTCTGAGGTAGCTTATTGTAACACAATTATAAAATTAAGTGGATTAATGTTACCTGCAAAACTATTTTCACATTGGCAGGAGTATCAGCATAATTGACGCAGACAACTGCATACTCTAACCACTGACGCGACAAAGCTTTCATTTCATTATCAGTGCCCAGTATATCAGAACATTCAGAATTCTCAATTAAAGATTGAACTATACTATTAAATCCTTCGATTTTTTGATTCGACTTTCTGTCCGTGGTAACAATCGCCTAAAAATTAATGCAAAGAGGAAACATATCAATTCCACTTTGAGCATAATTTATTTTTAATGAAAATTTGTTATTTACATTTTCATGCACCTCCAGTTGCAACGGTGAAACATCTAAATAGTTAGAAATCCTTTCTAAACATTCAACGTTACACAGAACCATTGTTTCAAACTTTGTACTTGTACGGCTTTCGTGTTTTTATGCTATTTATATTGAATAACTTTCAGGTTATGGCTGAAAAGAGCGCGATACTTGACCGCCATATAAAACATCATTTGAATTAATTGCGTACCTGCTACCTTGGTATACACTTGGTAAACATTCGTTATCTTTTATTACCTCATGAGGGATATAAATATACTTATAATAAATCCGCACAAACATGTTCAACATGAATTAATGATTTATTTCAAATATACATTTTATTGTAACAACACTTGTATAAAATCTGTAATCTAATGATTACAGAATGACATGTTTATATTAGTCGGTATATTTAAAATTATAAAGTTAATTGACTTAATTTAAATAATTCAGCCTAAGTTTTTCATTTTAAACGATAGCTCATATTAAATCAGGATCATAAAAACATCTTGTCAAATTAGATTAAAATACATGATAAGGTAGTAGGGAATCTGATAAGTTTTTTGTTTTTATCACTTTGTAATAGGAATGAATAATCAGTCAATAAAAAGTGAAGCTGATTAACTTTCTGGTTGTTCCCACAGTTTGGCATCCAGTTTATAAACTTGTTTGATATTAATATTATTTTTTTCTTGTTGCATTGTGATTTTTCAAAATTCTTCTTCAGCTTTTGCAGAAATTTTAATATAATTTTAGGAAATTTTAAGAATATACATTTCAGTAGTATAAATCAGGTACACTAAATGCAACAAGAAAGAAATATTACAATACGAGTTATAACTTATTTCATGAATCAGTCATATTTATCAATTAAATTGATTAATTTACTCAAAGAATAATGTAGTAAAAAATTGAATTATTACAGGAATATATAATAGAAGTTTCTGTACAAGTTAATACACTTAAAAGGATTCGTTAAAATAGCTTCCAATAGAATTTATATTCTTCTGTAAACAATAAAATATTTTACACCTGCATATGTATAAAATACATTTCTATATTCTAGATGAATGCTTGTAAGTACTTATGAAGTAATGTGGATGTAATAAAAGGTATGTCTAAAAATTTCGAAACAAGTTCCATTACATATAAAATAATCATGAAATAAATTTCATTTGTCTAGCATTAAGAAATAATTTTGTTCTTTCTTATTAAACAATATGTGATATCACATAATTCGAGATAATTTGCTAAAATTCATCGTTTATATGCAAGTAAATGCAGGTACTTTTCATATGATGTTCACTCAATATTTACCTAATTAAAAGAGTCTCTTTTCATATGAGAAAAGGCTGTGAACATTTCCTTCTTGTTGGGCTGAATGTGTTCGTCTTTCAAATTTTAATTCCCCACTATACATCATAGATTTCAAAGCAGAAATAGATTTTGCCCCAATATCTTGGCATCCATGTTTGATGCCACATTGTAAATAGGGTAAAAATTTTAAAACAGTTCCTTTGTCAACTATTGAACCACTAACACCTTGGGCTACTTTCAGTTTGTCCATTTCATTATGAAAGTATCTGTCCATTGCTGATCCTTGGGCATCTTTTCTATTCATAGCTTCTAAAGAACCCATGCCTCTGTACTTCTTAAGACGTACACCATCACTAAAGAAATATTCACCTGGTGCTTCTGAAGTACCAGCTAATAATGAGCCCATCATAACTGTACTAGCACCCAAACTTAGGCCTTTAATTATATGTCCAATAGATTGAATTCCACCATCAGCTATAACAGGTACACCAAATCTTCTTGAATATTCTGCAACTTTATATACAGCAGTTGCTTGAGGTCTTCCTACAGCCATAACTTCTTGAGTGATACAAATAGATCCACAACCCATTCCAACACGCAGAGCATCAGCACCAGCCTCTATTAGACTCTTAGCCTGCATAGTTGTTACAACATTTCCTGCAATTACTTGTAGCCCTGGATACTCGGATTTAATAAATTTAATCATGTCAATTTGATATTTAGAATTGCCTTGAGAAGAATCCAAAACAATAACATCAACACCAGATGCAGCAAGAAGTTGTAACCTATGTTTATCTGCAGTACGTGTACCAATAGCAGCACCAACTAATAATTGTTTATTCTCATCTTTGCTAGCATTTGGATAACTACGATTTTTTTTCAAATCAGTTCTTGCCATTAGAGATACTAACTCTCCCTTTTCATTAACAATTGGAAGTTTTCCTTTCTTAGACTTTTCAAGAATCACATTTGCCTCTTGCAATGTTACACCAGCAGTAGCAGTGATTAAATTTTCTAATTTTGTCATTATTGTTTCTAACTTGGTATACTGTTGATTTGGAGAACTCTCCAAAAAGTCAATATCTCTGGATGTAACAATACCCAGCAGTTTACCTCCTACTTTTCCTGTGTCTGTGATGGGAACACCGGAATAACCATGTTCAGCTTTTACATTCATAACATCGCTAACTGTGTGATTAGGTGACAAAACAACAGGATCTCTAATAAATCCGTGTTTATATTTTTTTACCTAAAAAAAAATTTAATATTAAAAAAAATATATGTTCCTCTCTTATAATTAAACACATTCTACGTATTATTATTACACCGCTGCGATTTATTATTCGAGTAAAAAAGAAATAAAAAATAGCGGGGGTGCGAGGTGAGATGAAATTATATCTGTACTTCGCACAGAGCAAATAGGTATATCAGTGTTTTATGAAGGCAACGTGATCGGAGCGAGATTGTTGTCATTGAACAAATAAAAATATTTAAATGATGAATGTACTTATGTACTTCAATGTACCTTATGTACTTCATTCGCTTGATATTCAGGCGTACAATTATGATGTATTATTCCAATCCCTCCGCATAGGGCCATGGCAATAGCCATGTCAGATTCTGTAACTGTGTCCATCGGCGATGATACAAGCGGTGCTTTAAGCGAGATCTTCTTTGTTAACGGTGATAACAAATCAACTTCATCGGCGGTAAAATCAATATAACCCGGTAAAATAATAAAATCATTGTAAGTGAGGCCATCACCGTTGGCAAATAACTGTGCCGCTGAGAGTCCATCATCCGGCAGGGGTACATCAGCCGGTTTTGTGTTACCAAACACATAGTCTGCCATCGTTTTTCCTCTTTTTAATTTTTTCTTATCAACGAGATTCTGTTTGTGAAAAACTGTTAAATGCTTAAATAATATAGCAGGTAATTTGCGGCGAATTATTGTCCACGCTTTATTTGCACTGACGGTTGAGATCTTGGGTCTCCTCCACGTGCTGGATCAGAAATCACCAGACGAAATGACCGAAATCAACGTGTGCACAATGTATTTGTAGCCAAGAGGTAAATTGTATTTCTCTTTTTACTCTACCGATGGCACTACTGCTGTTGACGATGTTATACGAAAGTTACCGAAAATTGTATATTTAAATTTGAAAATATCCTCTTTTTATTCAGATGAACAGATTCAATGTAATACATTTATAATATAAGTATATTAACACCAACCGAATGAATAATCTTCAAGTTAAATTTTAATCACAAATACACGTGTATATTTTAAGTATAAACAGAAATGTAAACAACCATATGCGCAATCAATTACAAAAATACTTGCTCAATATAAAAATAAATGTTAACTAATAAACAAAGACCAAACCGTATTAAAATATTGTTAAGCTTCTACATAATACACACATCATTACTAATTTTATGGTGTATTGGTGCATTTCTTACATGAATGCTAAAAATTATATAAAGTTATGTAAAATTTAAAGCCACTATAATTCATTTAAAACATGTAATTTCATTTATAATCTTACTAGATAGAAAAAGATTTGCTTTACACCATTGAAAATATCACCAAATGCTTCTTTGAATGAGGATAAAACATATTCCACTATCAATTCTAAGTAACTCAAATTTTCATAATCATTATAGTCTTGATGATAAAAATAATCATATAACATTGGAAGAAATATTATCAGGATATACATCATGCCACCAAAAAAGACTAAATATTAGAGGAAGATTAAGTATTGGAAGATATTAGAAAATCAATATTGTAAAATAAATGCTTACTGATAGATTTAAGCTCCAAGAATTGTTTATCATGTATGTTACTTGTTCTGCATTTTATTTTATTAAGCATAGGATCATCATTATTCAAACTTGAAACCATTTTTTTTATATTAACATTTTGCATACACCCTGTAGGATTTGATGAAGATTTCATATTGTCGTTTACATATAACTGTTTTGTTTGCATAATATCGGACTGAAGATTCGTGTCTCTATATAATTATAAAAGAAATACCATTACAATTTTTCTAGATGAAAATAATTAATATTTTATCATGTAACTTACAATGCTTTGTTAATCATACTGGAAAGAGCTGAACACTGTTGTAATGTCTGCAGTTCAGGATTTAATTTTAATTGATTCCTTAATTCCTTGTTATATGCCTCATTTGATTTCCTTTTTGTTATTTTTTCTGATGCATCCATTGTAAGCTGATATGGATATTGTTGTTCTATATTACTTGTATCTTTTATTTTGTGTCTTAATTTATTGTAGAATTCCCAGTAACTTTTATTCAGTAGTTCTTGAGTTTTTGGAGGAATACCTTTTGGTTTTTCAATTGTATCGTCTGTGTTTGATCTTGGAGACATTTCACATTTACAGCATTCTTTTTGTAAACATGTTTTCGACAAACTTTTAGCTACTTCTTGACTTGAATCCATATTTCCATTATTTTCTACATAGTTGTGTTCATTAGAATTTGTAGTATCTATAATTTGTTGATCAATTCTTTTTGTTTTATGATGATTAGATCTATGAGAATTTGTTTGAATACGTTTATGTTTACTATGTTGACAATGAGGCCACATCAATGTATAATCAGAATCTACCAGCGCTGAATGAGAGTTTTTTTGAAAATAAGACCTTGCCTTTCTCGAAAATTTTGCTGACACTTTTTTTTGTTTGAACGTAATATGTGGCTCAGAATTGTGACAAAGCTTCCTACTACAATCATTTCTTATACAAAGTAAATTTTGTTCAGATTTATTTCTCGTTTTTGCTTCAGGGATGACTTTTTTATATACATTATGTAATGGTTGGTTTTTGTTAGGTTCTTTTAATACAACATTCATTTGATCTTGATTTTCTACCGAAACTTTGACATCACCTTGTATAGTGTCTGTATTCATTCTGGCACCTTTTGTTATAAGTTTATTATTTAAAAAATCTTTTTTGTGTACACCTTTCCGTAAAATAAACTCAGAATCTGTTGTTTCTTCACCACTTGTATTACATGTAATACTCTTTCTCAAAGCATTAGTATATTTACTTTTTGTATGCACATTAGGTACATAATATTCAGAGTCACTGGATTCTTGTTGCTTTTGTTGTATCCTTATATTTTCTAATTTTTCAGGTATATTTGGATTTTCTAGACAATTTGCATCTTGTATATTTAATGTATTTTTTCGTTTGCTATCTTGCATATCTTCTTTCTCCTCATCTAAAAAAATAAAAAAATAAAATGTTAAGGACAAACAAAAAGTAATAAGGTCTGATTAACATTTTTATAGTAATTATTACTGGTGATACAAGATTTTTCCATCTGTTGTATTTGGCCCAAAGATGTTTGTATAAATTGATTTGATAATTCTACGTTAGTAGAACGACTAGATGGTTCTGATTTTTTATTTTGGCTTTCCTGTTCTGACTTGTTTAAACATTGCGGTATTACATTTGTTCCTGCAGCAGATACTTGCAATGGTATGTTTTGATAAGTAAGAACTGGAACTTGTACATTATAGCACTGTTTTACATATTCTTGAGGTATAGTAATTGTGTCAATATGTATTGCATTTAAAGGATTTGCTTGAAGTTTCTTGTCTAGCACGAAAAATAACTGTCCATTATTTTCCTAAATACATTAAAAATTTAAGGGAACTTACACTGTTAATATTCATATTTTTAATAAATGTTTCATTATAAATACAAGAATATATACTTGCACTGGTAAAGTTATGTCCACCTGAGTGTCTGCATCATTTACTGTTGACCTTAATCTATATTCAGAAGAACTTTTCATACATTTACACTTGTCTATGATTTTACTTTTGTTAACATTTTCTGAAGTGTTATCCTGATTTTCTGATTCTATAGTATTTGGACATTGCTGTTGTTCTAAAGTTGGTTGTCGATTGCTATCAAACTTATCATTTTCATGAGGCTTCTCTGCTTCTTGCTTTTCCATTTGCCTCCTATTAAAATAACAATTGTAGCAATCAACAATATAGTGTCAATGTGTAATACACTTTCAATTAAAAATAACATACGTATCAATGTCTCTCTCAGGTACAGATTTCTTAGCTTCTTTATTATGTAGATGTTCTGTAGAAGTAGATGTATCCTTATTCTTCGTAACATTTGTTACTCTATTAACAAAAAATATGTAAATATCTTCTTAAGCTGATCATATTTCTATTTATGTACCAGAGATAAATAAATTACTTCTTAAAACGGGGATCGACGTAGCCAGGAAGTCTTTTTAAAGTATGCATACTTGAAGTAGTTCTTTGATGACAAAAAGAAGAGTATGCACTATCCTTGGTTCTAACAGACTTTGGAGATCTGTAATTTTAAACATGTACATTTGATTTCAAGCAGCAAAAAATGTTTAATACTTACTGATTTACTGGTGTTTGGACGATTGTGCGACTCTTTCTAGGTGTCCCAGTTAAAGTGATTATACATGGGGATTCAATAGCATCATCAATCTCACTTGCTAATTTACGTTGTGGTATTTTAGGCCAAGAAGGATCAGCAGGAATACTGAAATTGTTTAAAATATTTTACAATACTGTTTACATAAAAAGAACATTGAACTTGGACGCTTACCGTAATGATCCTGCATTGTACTTTTGTGGAACTGATAACAGGTTTTCACTGTTTACTGAAATAATAAACATCAATTAAATATTACATTATTATTAAATAAAAATGTTTCAATGTTTACCTTGTATGTGCAACTGAACAGCATTATCTTGATATGCCATATTGAAGCAATCATACATTTCATAACTTTTACGTTTTTCAAAACATTTGTAAAAGTAGTTCCTGAACTAAATGTATAAATTATTAATATTAGAAGAAATACAAATAAAAACTGTAAAGTTTTAACGTTAATTTCATGTTTCACTGACCAATAGTTTCACACTTCAAGTAGAATTATTCTTGTTTTTCTGAAGTCAAATGTTATGATAACAGTAATTATGTAAATGCTATCTAAAGTATATACATGTATGTATATATACTCAAAAGAAACATTTGTAATTGCAATAAATTCTTTTATTTTCAATAAGACCAATAGCTTTTTGTACAAAAAAGTTTAAGGTGTATGATAATCAGTCATTTTCTTTTATTAATAACATATGTATTTATATGTATAATATGTATATGTATATCATTCTAATCTTAATATTAAAATATTGTATATACAATAAATATACAACTTAGTAGATGCAGGAACAGTGAACTATGATCTACATCATTATTTTATAGCTTGATTTATATTACACTAAATTAAAGTATAGTTGCGCACCATAATAATTATATCACAATATCAAGCTAATATTATATTCATATAGTTTTTGTTTTTAATCTTTTGCTTACAAAATATTATAATAATTTATGACATGAGAACTTGCAACTTTTTATTATGTATATATATATATATATATATGTGCATGCTGTGTATGTACAGTAACACACATTTAAATTTCTTCTTTAAATACTTCTTTGCTATTGAAACATAATTAAAAAAAAATATTGTGCGTATCGTCTAATCAAACGTAAAAATTAATATTGTTTTGCCTACAAATCATACAATTAATAAAACAAGGTATCTATGTATATAAATGTTTTCATGAATAAATATATTGATTAGAGATGTTATATTGTATGTACTTTAACAAAGGAATGTATTAGTACAATTATCTTGACTAGATTTGAAGAAAATAATACATTTAGATTTGAAAAAAGATCATACAATTAACATTCTTACCAAGTATAAAAGTTGTATGCCATAAAATGGATCAATTAATGTTCAATTTATTTCTGGCCACCACATTCGTTACCGTTACTGAATTTGAAATTGGTCCGAAATCTAAATATAATTCCATTATTACTGTCTTATGTTGTTAAAATCACATAGATATCTCACTGGTATTATCTTAGAATTTAGGGCATACTCCACTTTGAATACCACGAATAAGTACATATTATTTTTATATAACAATATACACTAACTTGTGTTGAAAATATCAAACAAAATATAAATTAAACTCTTCCACAATTCCTATGTTTTTTCTACCTACTCTATAAATACAATAATAAGAACATATATTACAAGGCTACCAAAATACTTTATATAAAGCAAGAATGACAATTATTTCAATATAATCACGTATAAACTTCCTATCATTCTTTACAAAATTTTACCGATAAAGTACTCGTTTGTTTCTCAGACTTTGTTTTAGATAGGAGCAAATGTAAGTGACGTGTTTAGAACAATTAAGAAACTGAAGAATATACACACCACTGATAGTTTCATAGATATTCGTTAATTGCACATATAAATAATTCGTTCCTACTCAAAATAAATGTATAAAATACTTAAAAACATAATGTTGATAACAAAAACCTAATGTCTTTAACAAATTTATCACAATCTACATACCTAGTTACATATAACATTACTATTGATAATTTCTTCAAAAAATGATAACAAATATAAAAGCTAGATATATATCTTAATACCTTTAACTTTATATGCATTATAAGAAATGCAATTTCTTCCGAAGAAGAAATCAAGTATATTTGTAACTTTTATAACTTCATTTATATATATTTACTCTTTAACAAAACCTTTAGCATTACAAGCATTTTCAAGGAAAAAAAAATGCAAACCACTGGTTCTATTTTTGGCTTTTTAAGAAAAATGGGAGACTATTGTAGACATTTTAAATTAAAGAATTCTGTTTTCAAAATCGACCAGCAAGATCGACCTCGTAATGTGTAATTATTGTCTGGCAGTACTATTCTGCACACAAATAAAACATAATCTTTATGGCAAATTAATAAAATGTGATCACTATAATGCTTCGTAAAAATGCTTTGCAATTAAATATACATACATTGCTCATTATGAAATATATACAGCATCCTCTAATTAAAAGAAACAACGATATCAAGATGACATATACACAGTACACCGATCTTTTATGCATATTGACGAAGCATTTGTTGTTAAGTGTAGAAATATACGTACATAAAACACATTTATTACATAATTTTTTCATTATTGTCGGGTTAAGCTTCATGTTCACCGCTATTTATTCCTATGAGCGATTCTGTTTGCTCTGCTTCAAGATCTGGTATTCTAAAAAAAAAAAAATATTATAATAATATTATTATAATTGAAATCTGGATATAATACTTTATTTTGCATGTGTAATACCTAATTGACCTATTTTTTTTACAAATCCAAATGTAAATCTTTTTTAGTAAGTCCATGACTGGATCCCAGTTATCATAATAGGACAAAAGAGACACTGTAAGAAATGCTAAAAGCATTGGAACAGTTCCTAAGTAGAAAATACAAGGATACTCGACATTTTTCAATAAGACATCAGCTATCATTGACATTGGCATGATTAAACTAACCGCCAAGGTTGCTATGAGGGATGATGTTAAGAAACAACCCCTATAAGTTAGCAATAGTAGAATGAATGCAATAGTCAGATAATCCATAAATTAAGATATGTATTTTTTTATAAACATATTACTTTTAAACATACCACAGCCAAAGCACTTCACTTAAAACTGTACCAATTAGACCATTGATAATTATAAATGTCCACTGATGAGTGTCTGGCCACTCAAATTCTTCCCAATGACCATAGTGAAGGATAAAAAACAAAGGCCATAAAAGTGTTAAATTGAAAAGTCCAACAAATCCAAAAAACATTGGAATATCCATTTTATCTTCATGATCGACTTTTCTTTTGAGAAATACAATATAAGCTGCATAAAAAAATGCGCTAACTAATGCCAATATTATACCTGTAGGTATCCTAGTAGTTTCTATAGTTAAATCTGAAAGACCTACTAGTACCTAAAAATAAAATAAAATATTGATTTTGTATTAACACTACATTTTATACGAGATCAATTATTGTTTCTGATATAATTTTGGTATAAAATAATGCATACCAGTCCAAGAATACTAATGGAGACAGCAACTAATTTGGATAATGTAAATTTATCCCCTCCATTACTGGGGAAAAAGGCAGCAAGGAATAGAGTAAATAAACTAGAAGTTGATGACAATACTGTCACAACTCCTGCTTCAGTTTTTGCTAAGGATATTTGATAAGTATAGTTTGCCATAAACCACTGAAATATAAAATAAGTATACTTAGTTTGAACTACATGCTACTTTAGATGATTAAACTGTTACTTACAAGTAAACAAAACATAAGTGCAATTTTTGCAACTTTTTGAACAGAAAACTTATTGGCTTGCCGTCTTGCATGCTCTCCAGCTCTTAAACTTGCTTGATAACTAAGCCTTGCCAATAATGCTTCTGTGGCATCAGTTTCTGACATATGGCGAACTTCGGCTAATTTACTAAATCTCACAGAACGTATCGACGAATCATCACTTTCTGTGCCTGAGGAACGATCACAGTGATCTGGTGTTTTTATGGGAACAAATGTTGGATCACTCTATAATGGTGCAAATGTTTATTATCATCAATGTTCAGCACATTGAGATAATTTATAAAATCAAGTAAATTTTATAATAATAATCTAATAATTTCTATTTACCAAACTTGTATTGCCTTCTGAATAGAAATTATCATCTTCCACATTAGGGTCTATAAACTGAAATTTGACAATCAAGAAATGAATAAAGAAACTGACTTTGTGAAAAATATTTGTTTAAACCTACCATATATGTTGCTGGTTTATTACATTGGTCCCTCCATGGAGGCCAGAAACATAAACCAAGCAAATAAAGTGTAAACATTGATGTTTTTATATATGTACTAAAGAAAGGTTTTTCAAAGGCTGCTTCTCTATAAATGTACTGAAATGTAGAAAAATATGTCATTAAATACTGCATAGTCTGCTTGAAATCAGTGTTTAATAATTCTTACTTTAGTAAGTTCAGAACTGGAGACCCAAATTATATCAACCAACAATAAAACTAGAAGCCCCAACACAAGTCTTTGAGATTTATTCATCATTGCTGCAAGTTTATGAGGATCCTCCGCCATCCCTTGCTGTCTACGTTGCCGTAATTCTACAGAGCAGCTCATAATATATCCAATGTTTTCTCTCTTTCAATTATGGTATCATGATGAAAGTTATCACTGCAAAATTATAACATCAACAATAAAAATCCAAGAAGTTGAAATTACTTCTACATAAAATATTGAAATTAAATGATACTTGTATTACTTAGATATATTAGGTGTATTAATCACAAAAATGTGGAAGTTACTAAATGATAGATATAAAGAACACATAATCTAAATGTGTGTTGACTTAGTTAATGAGATTTTTATTCAAATAGCCTGTGTAATAAAACAGACATAGATAATATAATTTGCATAATAATAATCATGTAAATCAACTATATGAATGCTTCAAAATAGTACAGAAAAACGGTGATAGGAAGCAAAGGATTAAAATCAGGGACAAAAAAACAATATTCAAGGTTTCACTAATTTAATTATCTCTTTATGACTACAAATTCATGTGCAAAGTGTTCGTTATAATGTATTATCAAAATTCTGAAGAATGTACATCTAAAAAAGTATTTGTTGGATCTGTGATTAATAACAGGTGGATAAGCGGCAAATGTATAAAACTGTAGTCGTATGTAAGATAACCTATATTGAAACGATCATAACATTTTATTGTATTTATGTAGAAGTTCAAAGAAACATTGACTCACACTCTGAGAGTAACTTTAATGATAATTAGTTTACGTACTGGTAATTCCCCTACATTTTTGGAATTATGGTATCATGAGCATCGTGTCCTCCCTAACTAAGCACTCAAGGTACACTTTTCTCACGTTAAAGTATAATTTATATGCTTAGTAGTATTTTATAACTTTTCTTTGACCTATTTCTTATAATTTAAATAATAAATCGCTTCAAAATTTTCGCCTTGTTATCGCGTCAGAAAAACTACTCGTAACCATGTTGATGCGCTGATGACGTTCTGTAGTTATTGTTATCACCCTGATGGCGCTACAATGCTTACCTTTTACAGGGTACTTTTCAATTTTTTACACATTTACGTTAAATTATAGCACTATTTCTTTGTAATTTATAAATTTTTATTCATTTTTTTCCATAAAGTACTCATTTCCAACAGGGACTACTAAGGACATAATGAAGAAGCATGTCATCAAAGTTTTCTTCCGTTATATTTCATTGAAGTAATCATTGTATTTGAAAGTATGTATTTTTATTTTTTAATACATTATAAATAATATGTTTATAGTTATAATACATGTGAAATATCTCAAGAATTGATTTGACGTGAGGAGGACTTAAAACATAGGTTGTCATGACAAATAATAGCAACAACATACAGGCGGACTATGGGAGACTGTTGCTGAAAACTACTTGTGCGACGTAATTTCTCTGTTTTGACAATGGCTAACAATATTTTAAGTAATGGTCGTATTCAGCAACAAGGAATCGCTTCGCAGCGTTTGAGAAATGACAAAGGAAAAAAAGGTGTTCTTTTTCTTTTCACAATTTTTATAATTTCATTTAGTATATAGATATCCGTGATCAGATATTTCGTTTCGAAAATTGAATCGCAATGTCGAGTGAGCGGCAATAATGTGTTATCTATCTATTTGCGTGTATTTTTATTTATGACAGAAAGTATTATATATTTTGAAAATGTTTTTTTTTATTATGATAAATCTCATATTTATCGACTGAAGGTCATTAATACTGCTTACCGACAGGAAATTGACCGTTTAAATTCAAACTTTATGAATAGCCTTGAAACTGTAACGGACTTCCGCGGAGTTCAGTTTCTTTCTAACAATTGAAATTCATTAATTTGCAACGAATATTGGGTGATTATTGTTGAATTAGCACCGGAAATACCAGCAGTGGAAAGTAATAATTGGTTACTACATCGGCATTACACACGACACGAATACAAAACCTGCAAAATTCTAATCGACCAAGAATTGACGAAATCAGATGGACACAACGAATATGCTAATTACTTGAAAGTAAATAATATTCTATACTTTATTAATCATTTTAAATACAATATTGTAGCTTGTCTCTTGCAGGGTTTAATATTAAGACGAGAAGGGAAAATTCAAGACTCGCTAAATCATTTTCAGGCCGCCTACAGCGTAAACTCAACGAACATTAATAATGTTAAACAGATAGCTAAGTCTCTGTAAGTAATATGAAAATTTAATTTCGCCTTCTTCATTGAAGAATTGGTTCTAATATAGACTTTTCTGTAAACTATATATATATATATATATATATATAAGTTTATAACTAATTAGATTATGAATTAATTACAAACGATAATTCGTCACAAATTTCTTAATAAACTGATGTAACTCGGCTGTAATTAGATTCATGAAGGTTCACTTCCTGTTTCCTCACTGTAATAAAAACTCGACATTGCGTTGTTCTCGCTAATTCAATGTTATTCAACAGTTTGATAATGGGCAGTCACAAGCGTGCAATCGACGCGTACCTGGAAGCTGAGAAGATATCAAATGAACCAGACTGGGAAATTTATCTGAATCTAGGTAAGTCATAAAATTTGATTAATGTAGGGGTGGATACAGACGTTTTACTTTAAATTTATTTCATCAATTATTCTCTTTTTATAGGCGAGTGCCACATGAAATTAAATCAACTTCAGGATGCAAAGAGGTATTTGAAAAAATCGATCGAACTGACGAAGAACGAATTACCATATATCGCTCTCGCAAAAGTTTGCCTTCTCGAGGATCGCGGTACAGAAGCACAGAATGCTTACATAGCAGCGCTTAGGTATACAAAACATTCTCGTCTGTTGTTTCACGTATTAATATAGTTTTCAATTACCGCTCGTTTGACCTCGCAAACGTCTTGCACGTGTAGATTGAATTCCACCGTCGTCGTGAGATGATCGGCTCGAATGATCTTGTTTACGATACGCCTCGGTGTATTATGTTCTACCTTTTGTTGCAAACTAAACTGTAGATCTCGGATTAAAAAAGATGCCGAGTAAACAGAAGCTACGCGAGAAGACAATTTGAGACGGCACTGATTACCACAATGCCCCTCTACCCTTTTTTACCTGTATTTTTTACACTTTTCAGTATAATGTAATTTAAATGTAAGTTACATTTAAAGCTTAGAAGGTTTAATTTGGTATTTAAGCGACCCAATTCTAATAATTAAATTATCTAGTGATTAAGGGAGAGAAGTGCCTTGCTCGAGGGAAACACTGCTCATAGATAATTGCGAAAGCTCTGGAAACGTTGTTCCCGGTGGTTTCGTTCACCAATTCGTCTCATTTCTACTGTGCTTTCAGCGAGAATCCTGAAAGCATCGAAGCCGCAACCGAACTGGGTCTTTTCTACCTTAAAATCGGTGACATTCAACAAGCGTTCCAGCAATTCGGAACAGTCCTTGCTCACTCACCAAATTGCACCAAAGCGATCCTACCGATAGCTTATGTAATTCAGGTGAGTATATGTTTGCGTGTATGTTCACTCGTGTATTCAACAGAAAGAAAAATTATTTCCGTATAACGGATTTATCCTGAGCTTTCTTTTCCTTTGTATGATACAGCTTGAGGAAATGCATAAGTTACAAACAATATTTGTATTTTATTGGCTTGGCACACAGAAAAGCGATTCTATTTGTTCACAAAGATTGATGCTCTTTGTAACAGTAAATTTCACTAGAAATTATTCCTCTAATTTCTTGCAAATAAAAGCAAACAAAATGGTATTTGAGATAGAGTAAGAGACTGGCAGGAAATGTTGTCGTTTCAGTATAAAATATGGAAAGCATTTCTGTAACATTGTTCGAGAATTTAATTAGAAACATGGCATACCATGAAACCTTTGGAATTTTCTTAGTTTGTCCCTGCTAAAACGTTTCCTTTAACTCTTCAGAATCATCAGGAGTACGACGTGGCACTGTCCAAGTACAAGCTGGCAGCCCAATCGATCTCAGAATCGTACGGTTTATGGAACAACGTTGGAATGTGTTTCTATGGGAAGCAAAAATTCGTTGCCGTGAGTATGTATCTTTGGTAAAACATAATTGCATGCGTGGCTCGGTGGTTTACGTTTGCTGCCAATTCCATGGCATGCACGTTGTGGAATCTCTCTGCTTTTCGATGAAGCTGGAACATCTGGTCAAACAAACACGGTATTACATCCTCGAGTTGAACTAACGTTTTCCGATCATGCCAACGCACCATTTGGCCATCCCATCTAAAAATCTTTGCAATTTTCTAGACAACAGTCCATAGAATCTAGAAGGTGTACCAGTGCAATGTAATTCTTTTCCCGGAAGGCGGAGCAAATCGTGAATCAGCATGAACACAACAAAGTGAATTCGTGCACGCTGCCGGCTGTAACGACGATAATTAATTTAAAGCTCATTAAAGGGGATGGTACGCGCGCGTACAAGAGTCTCACAGCGACGGCTGGAATATACTTGAGTCCCCCATGGGAACTCAATTAAGGGACAAGCCAGAAGCGTGTAATGCGGCAGAGCAGTCGAAGCGGGAGAAAATCGGTGAATGCGAATTATGTGCCAGAGTATTTCCTAACGGGGAACGCAGACCATCACGTGAATGCAAGACATTTTATCTGTTCGTTAAAGTCAATCCTTTAGTATTTCAATTTTTCTAACAAGGCCAAGTACCCGAATGCTTTTTAAAGTTTTAAGATGACACATGTACTATATGAATTTTATACTGATCATAAATTAGGGCGTTAGGAGACTACTTTTTTTTTGCGTGAATCAAGATATACCTCTGCGAAAGGGTGGCGTATTTGGAGTGCCAAAGGCTAAGCCGGGGATCAATAACAGTCGATCGCGTACGACAGAGTTTGCTTAGGACGTCGAAGAAAGAGGATTTCCGTAAAATACTTTGCGGAAAGTATACAAGTAACCGCTTTCTCTCTGTTGAAGCAGAAACGATATTTATCACGGACAATATCTTTTTTCTTCCAATTATTTCGACGCTTTAGCAAAAAAATAAGAGCGCGCTCTTTCTTTTCTTTTTTTATTGGACCAAAGTGGACCGATAAATGAGATTAAGTCGGGAACGTTATTAAATATTATTACTTACCGCCAGAAGAGGTCTCAGGAACGATAGGAAATCGTTTCTTCTCTGTAAAATTCATGAATTCGGTTGACGCGAAACGAAAGTTTCTTAATCCACTTCGCTATTATGCTGTTTAGACATTGTTCTTAGTAAGTCTAAGCTTCGAAGTTAAACAGATTAAGTTTAAAGCCGAGCTTTAGTTTATCTAGTCGCTGATAAAAAGCGGAAGGATGGACAACGGAATAAGAAATAAGAAGCATGCCTGGTCACGTCTTTTGTATAAAGAGTTTAACTTATCCCTTTTTAGAATTGAACCGTCCAAAGATTTAATACACAGTTTATTCTCTTTTCATCAATGTGGACGGTTGTCATATGTATTTTGGTGCATGTAATAATTGTTTCAGCTAATTTGCACGAACCGTTCATTGATCGTAGGGTGGTACATAATTGCCAAACAAATCGGTTTAACGCTCTAATTATTTCCAGGCAATTAGCTGCTTGAAGAGAGCCCACTACCTCAATCCGATGGCTTTCCCGCCTGCCTACAATTTGGGTATGGTTTTTCTCACCACCGGACAGCCTGCCTCAGCTGCAATATATTTGTGTGCTGCGGTCAATGCGGAGCCAAAAAATCCTATGCCGTACCTTCTGCTCGGCCGTAAGCTCTGTTACATTTTTCTTTTTTTTTTTTTTTGGAGAGAATTCACAGTTTGTAAAAGAAATATGAATTTTAACAAGCAGGCCGGTTAAAGTATACACACTTTAATCGAATAAATTCGCGAGGGTCTCTCCCTTTTAGCCGAGGGTGGAGCATTTTATTATGGCAAAATGAATAAGAATTCACGTAATAAACATATATCAAAGGCAAGGAACTTATTTGCACATAAATATCAGTTCTGTTCTTTATGAGATTAAAGTCTCTTCTCACATACCTTCCTTTAAATTTCCATATACCCTCTTAGAGATTCCAAAAGCAAAATCCGATTCTCATTGATCTTATAAGATAGCGAACAGATAATACGACTCAATGTGTCATTGTCGGATAAGAAATTCTAATTTTATGGGAGCCGTTTGTTAGAATGAACTAACAAAATCTTCCACACATTTGTTGCAGTTGCCCTGAAACGTTTGGATGACCTGGAGGGTGCTGAAAAGATATTGCAGAGAGCTCACGCGATCTCGCCGCAGGATCCTCTGATATTAATTAATTACGCGATAGTGTTGGAAGAACAGGGTAAAAACAACGCCGCGGCTGAATTTTTAACCGCGTTAAACGATATCACGGTTGTAATTGACGTAGAGGAGCAGGTAAGCTTCGGAAGGATTCTATTGTTTGGCTGTATCTTTCCATTTCCTTTTATTATTATAGATAACGCAGACCGCGAAGAAATTGTCAGCAAAGATTCAGCAAGAAAGCGCGTCTAGCATTGAGAATACAAGAGTGCTGAATGCAGATGAAGTTTGAACTGGGACAATTACTTAGTGGAATAAAAAAATCCTGCTGAGAACTGTTTCGCACAAGTGTAACGTTTTAAAATTAAAGTATTTAGGGAAGAAATTGTGTGGATGCTCGTGTAGGTTTCATTAATTTTTTATTTAAATTTATTATGGCTCCTTACACCGTCAAGTGTTGATACTTCATCCTTCATCCTTGCTAGACCAAGGCTTCACGTGTCAAGGAGACCTAGTTTTCTCACTGAAGTTTTTCCAGATGACCGCCGCACATTAACCGCTCTATTCCCGTTGGAAGATGTTTCAAAAGTGTCAAGGATTAACCAAGGATCGCTACAGAGATGTTACGAAACCAGCACGTAGCTGCGAAGCGATGTTGCTTATGTCGATTCGTCGTTTAAGGGATTATTGGCTCGCGTCATCTTAAGCTCATCATTCTAACTCCCTGTTCATAACACTTCTAGGAGTAATTGCGAAATGAGCGTATGACAGAAGTAATTAAAGCGTGTCGTGGTAAATTGCTTGTGCGTGCCGCGCATGAGATGTATCACGTTTAACCAAGGAAGCAAGAGTCGTAATTAGAAGTTTGGATAACTTCTTTCAGTAATTCGTGATTACAAGCTACTTAATTATCCTTATATGGAGTGTTTAATTACGGCTTTGTTTTCAACGAATATGAATTACATTTTTTTACATTTAATCGAAGTCACCTCGTAGATCCATCATTTTGACACTACGGAATACTTCGCTCGTCGTTCCAGGGTGTTTTACAATAAATTTCCCTGGTGTCTACACGTCTATCTAACCGCGTGGAAATCGACCGCGTGTCGTTTGATGCTAGAAAATCTCATCAGTTGTAGTCACCGTAAAAGCGGTATCGGTATTCGGAAATTGACATCGAAATCTATGTCGAGGGCGAAAGTAGCGTAACGCGTGTTAGCTAGGTCGTGGTAAAATTCGATATCATCGAAATTTCTATCGCGTTAAAAACAGCTACAAAATTAATAAACAAAACTCTTTTATTTCCAATGTAACAGTAATTGGATACTTTGTGTGAAAAAACAATTAACATTTGTCAATTTTATAGCTTCGCTGCCTGGCACTCGTCTCCGCCATTATGTCATTGGCCTTTTCGTCTTCATCCTCCATCCCACGCGATCAATTACACGAGTTGGAAGCAGCTTCGTTATACACGTTCATTAAGCCACCAAGCACCGGGGGTTGATCAAGAAAATCGACGCGACGAACAGGTCAGGGAAGTTTTGCTCGATCCACGTGGAAAGGAAGGCGTGGTACATCCAATTCGTCTCACTGGAAGATAATTAATTTAAAGGCTCTCGAAGGGAGCGTACCATCACGATGGAACGCGAACGAAGGACGAGTAAAATGCTCTCGCGAGCTGTCAGTCTTGCTGTCGACAAGAGAACTCAATTAGAAGAATCTACGAGAAACGACGTATCGTTGCTAGAAACACTGTTCACTAGAACACCGATAGATTTTCTCTTTGTAAATAACAGAGATTTCCAGCTTTCTGATAAAATAGCGGTTCATTAGACACGGTAATTAAACCGGTGTAAGAATACCAACTGCTGATTTCTATAGAAATCGTAACGATGTTAATTATATAAATCTGAAACTTCTTGGCTTTAAGAAAATTCAATGATGCAGAAAATTCGAGCTTGACAATGAATGGTAATTAATTCCTCTCCGTTGTAAGAAATCCTTTTCACTGTTCCAGGAAAGGTGCGAATAGAGCAGTCACGCAAACTGACGATCATATCCGACTCGTCGACGAATTCAGCGGAATAATGTGAAGTACCTTTCACCTGGTACGTACGCGGTCGGGTCGAATACCATTCCGGTATAATCAGCCGGCGCGATGCGAACGTACAGCCAGATGGAAATCCTTCGGGAATCGTGAATAAAAGAGGAGACGAAGCGTATATGCGCATTGGAGCTGGTAAAACTGCTCATATATCCTGAAATGATTATAAATACAACCGAGTTTAACGGAAAATTTTTATTATCAAAAAGACTTTTGATAACTGATAGCTTTGACTATCTAGAGGATACTATATTGAAACTAAGTATTATCATTGAGATTCCATTACGTTCCTCCTAATTGTAATCGAATCCATTATACGATGAGCGCGTTTTTTTCTATTTTTTTTTTTGAGATAGTGAAAACGAATATTATCAGGAGAAGACCTGTAACCGGTTGACACGAAGATTGAACGAAGTTAATCAACGACAGGGAGAATGAAGCTCTCCTCCTAATGGGACGCAATTTCTTCTTGATTTCCTTGAAGCTTCAGAAGTTTGAAATTAAAGATGGATATTGCTATCCGCCGAGAAGGGTGTAAACAAGATGACCCGAAGGCTGAAAGAAATTAGTTGTTGCCAGGTGTTACATGAAGCACATTAAAAATGGAATACACTGCGTTATTGATAAAACTTGGATGGAAAGAGGAAAGGAAATTCTGGATGTAAATCGTGGTACGTGTGAGATTTAATCTTGAACTCTTCCCGAGAATTTCATTTTATGTATCTTTGAACTCACTTCAAAGAGGAGAAACGTTCTTTTGAAATATTGGAAAAAGTATTGAGTCAAGTTTACATATTGACTTATAGTTAGATATTCATTGAGTCAACATTCGTATCGTAGAAATAAAAATGTACTACGTGTGTCGATAATGACAATTATATATTGATTAGATAATTACTCGTTTAATTAACATTCGGGTAAGGATATCGAAAAACAAAGCGACACTGTGTGCTTTGAAATCTATAATTAGGTATTCATTAAATCAGTTTGGGTTTAATTATCCGTTGAATAGAAGAATATCGAAACTAGAGCGATGCTACGTGCTTCAGCAATGGTAATTAGATATTCATTAGGTAAACATTTGTTTAATCATCATTCGTATAGAAAACTAAAGCGATGTTATTTACTTCCAAACTCTCGCTTAGTCAATTTAAGTTTAAAAAATATTAAATAATCAAAATTAAAATAGTAGGTACTGAAATTTAGAGAAGGCTATTCGATCAAAATTCCAAGAGGTAGCAAGAGGACAGCTGTTGGTGAATTGATCCATGAAAGAGAAGCAATTTCGTCGGAAGAAATTGATTTCCAATATACGCTCGAACGAGAGCAAAATTACCATGATACGTAGAGGGTGATCTTTGAACGTCTCAGTTTTTATAAAACATCGCATTCTGAATATTCATAGAGAGATTGAAAGATCGAGCAGATTGATGATTTACATAATTGTAGAACCACGTGTACGAATGTAACGTGGTCTCCTCCACATACGTATATGATGATTTTGATTACGTCCGTCATTTCGTGTGGCTTGATAACCAATATCACGGCCACAAAATCGATTCAATGTACCAATTATTTTCAGCTAATTACCTGAAGGATAATTCCATACGTTTCGATGATCTTGAACTCTATAAGCCCTTTAGAAACATAACTTATGATCGTTTAGATCAATAATTAGCCCTTCCAGGTATGTTATATAGAAACCAATAACACTAGTTTTTCTGTGAACTTTATAAATAAATTTTTCACATTTTGCAGACTTTCTCCCAGTATCAGGATCAAAATAACTTCTCTATCCTCGAGAGCTGATTCTTGGAATTCCATGGTATCTTTTTACTTATTTATACTTGGAAACGTATACTTGGAAACGATGGGACAAGGTATTTAATACTTTTCTTATTAATTGATACCTCTAGGACGTGTTTACGTTCTTTTTATTGTTTCATACTTTGATATATTGGCCTGTAGGGGTAACGCGTTCAAAGAACGCATAATTCTTTGTGAAGAAGGAACGAGACGATGAAAAACGGAAGCAAAAGTGTGGACGGAGAGTGTTTGAAGAGGAGGCAAGGTGGTTGAATGAATCCGAAGAATATAAAATCAATTGGGTAATAACTATTATTTTTGTTGCTTTATTCTCGACTTAGATGTTCGATAAAAATTTAAAGGGAATGGAAGTAAATATACAATGTTTGGTACATAATCGTTTATTCGTAGTCTCTATAAATAATTTATTGTTACCACGTACATAATTCAGTGGATATTCGGCTGGGCTCATTAGCCAAAAATCCATCTATTTTGCGTATAAAATAAATATAAGAACAAATTATTATCGTTGATATATCATTATTCTATCACTTATGTATTTACAAATTTCGTTTGCGATACGATAGTAGCTACATTACAATTTCAAGTGATCGTACTATTACTACGTTTCGTGTTTTCAGACACAAAGTTCGATGAGGACGTTGAAAGTTTGTGTTGCGAGTAAATTTGTGCGCCACGAATGGTTTTTACGTATTAAAAATTGGCAATAATTGGTCAAATAATTGGATGAAAAGTGAATTACAGTTAGAGATAGAGCAAATAATGGTTGATGGATGAAATTTATTTTCCAACGGGCTAATTTTGATTTAATCAATTCCAGTGTCGATTAAATTGAACGTGAAATTATAGCCCTTGCTCGTCCGAACGGAACTGCCATTCGCAGTAACAGCTCGAAAATTGTTGGACAAACTTTACTCGATTCTATCTAAGCCTGTCGAGCCCAAAGCTCCAGCTTCCGGTATTTGCTCCCAATGAACCAGCAAATACTCTTGCTCTGCCATTGGCAACAGTTCCTTATTCTCCTCTTTTTTCACTTATTTTATGTTAATTCCTTGATTTAATTTTTATACAGAATTGTAATTGGTAACGTAAAGTGATTAATAAGAATACTTTGTTATTAAAATTTTGTCAAACCTACTTCGTCCATGTTATCTTAAAAGAAAAAAACAAAAAAAAAACCAATGAATTAAAAAGTCTTTCCTTCACAAATATCAAATAGTATAAACAATGTTAATTATTTTATTCTTCAGCATTTAAAGGCGAGTGGTCTGTAGACCTTTCAGCCTGCATCATACGTAGGTGCTTTGAACATCGGTCTGCTGGGTCATAGGTTGCCATTTCTTCATGATTCTAGGTTTGAACAGCTGTCCAAAGGTGGTACGGAATTGTCTGGACATGGAACAGTAAAGGATGAAGTTGATTGCCCCATTCAATAAAGCCAGGATGTCCATCACCTCCCCAAAATTGTGGTAACAATTGCGGAAGAAACAGTCGCCCAGTACACCAGATAAAAGGCCAAGAACACCCTGAGGAATCTCCGTGACCAGGAATAGTAGCAGCACAGCCACCAACATTTTCGTCGTTCTGTCTGCTCTTTTATCAGACTTGCTTGGTCGTTTTGGGATTAGCCCATTGCCCATAGGGACAGTACTTTTGTACTGATTGTAACTCTTCAAGGCTTGTTTCCTACCTTTTGCTCTGAAACAAGATCATTCAATTCTATATAAATTGTTTTTATTTATTCTTTTCAGGAGTGTAAGAAAGGTTTAAATCGTTGACAAAGACGATAATGGATTTTGAGTGGAATCAGTGGAACATAGGAGTACTTTTGTATTGATTGAAACTTTTCAAGGTTTGCTTACTAGAGGTATTTTTGTATTGATTTGAAACTCTTCAAGATTTTCTTTCAATATTTTGCTTTGAGATAAGATCATTTATACAAATGATCTTTGATCTGTTATCGTTTACTTTATAGGAGTGAAGAATATTGCAGAGTGCAATATATTACTTGTAAAGAGCTTTAATCAGCCAGCAACTGATAACGGTGAGAATGACGCAGGGTAGGAGCTTCACGACAACCCCTAATACCCAGAAATTTAGCTGGTAAAAGAAGTCCTTGTGATCTGAGTAATCAGCGTCCACGGTGTAAGCAATCTCCAGGGTGCCGTTCTCCTTCATCGTCTGTTTTTTAATCTAACAATAAAAAATTTTATCTATTTTAGGTTCTTATAAATCTAACAGTTAAATAATAGTGCGAGGTCTAATAAGTAGAACAGTTCAAACTGTACATAGATTTCTACGATGACACAAATGTATCCAGAGCAGATATTGATCACTGGATGATCCTAATTATCAGTGAACGTACTGAACGATGAATTTACTTACTCCAAATACGAGATAGCTCGGTGCACAAGCGACGAACGGTGCTAGGAAACTGCTCCAAAGAGCTATTCTGCAACGAGCAGCGGTGCACCACGAATTGTATTGTGGAAACCTGTGACAACAAAAGAACAATGCGTTTGATACAAGGTAATTGGCGCTGTAATGTTTCTTTCTACCTCTGATTTATTATATTGTTTCTCTGGTACAGTAATAATTATTATTTATAGCTGGCTAATGAAAATTTTCGATCCTGATAATGATTTTAAATCCTGATTGCATACTGACGATGAAATTAAATATTTTCTTTTTTTCAGATTTGTTCGAAATTTTTCAAAAAAATTTCACAATAAACGAATCCTTTCAAAGGTGGCAAACTCTCTGTGCATGTTTTTTCATTTCGCGATTTTTCATTTCCTATTCGTTGTATTCATTTCGTTTGTATGCACGACTATACAGAAATACTCATCGAATGGAGGGGACATACGTACCCTGCTGTTCTACATAGGTAAATTGGTTGAGCGACGGATGATAGGATTAAATTTCAATTTTCGTATTTTTCTAGCGACATTTACGTATAATGAAAGACCAAAGCAACTGTATTTCTCTCAAAGTCGTTAATAGACTGCTTTATAAGCAGTTTCTTATTAAACTCATTAATCCTTAATAGGAAAACGGGTATTCATCTTCCCAGGAACATTAATTTGGTTCAATTAACTCGCAATTGAAAAGTATTGATGCGATTAAAGGGAAAAACGCGTCTTTCCCCCAACGACCTGTTAATTAATTTTTCTTATTTACAATTATGAATTAACAGCTTTAATTCCCATTAGACATGCTCGTTGATTTAAACGCAATCTTTTTGATACTTTCCCAATAAAACCCTCCGGCAATTTATCTTTATTTAAAACAATTGCGTTTATAACGACACGGAAAAGTTTATTCATCGTGGTATATTATTCTCATCAGACAAAAAAAAAATACGCTATCTTTCTTTTTCAGCTTTTTATTCACTAATTTAGAAGTGTCACGAGGGAACGGTTATGGAAATTTTTGTGGATATCTTTGTTACTTGGCTCCCCTGTAATTCTTTGTAAGCCATGGGAGACTAGCGGTATTAACTCACTGCCAAAGGAAAGGGAGAACTTTTAAACGAGATGAGTATACATTTTGTGAAATCATCATCCACAGGGAATATTCCCCTAAAAATTCCACCTTTATTCTATCTTCCACCTGATTCACTTTTATGTATTAACCATTATTACGTTTTTGCATATCAAATGAGCAATTTTGAGACCTGTAAAGTTTAACACGATTTCCTGACATAAAAGTAGCATAATAAAACATTTCTATTATATTAATTTAAAGTATGAAATTTATACTGTATGAAAATTGAAATTTATGAATAGCTATATAAATGCTTCATTAATATTATTAATACAAATTGGCCGACTAACGAATGAATAATGTATTTCAGATTGGACATTCCGTTACAATGAAATGATGTCAAAAAGATACAATAATATAATATTTGAAGAATTTATGAACGTTTAATCGGTCATTTAATAGTTCTCCAACTGTATGCATCGAACAAGCGGACGTTTCAAACAACTACAGAATATGAGATCGTAAAAAACACCCCACAGAGTGGAATGTTGACACGCGAGAAAAGAGTATCGTAAATTGAAACTACGCGTTAAATGAAATTTTTTGCTTTCAAAAATCGAACGTCATACCTCTTCAACGGCTATGTATAATGTTACATGCTTCATCGTGTTCCTAGACTAGTATTGGACTGCAATTGTTTTATAAAAATAGGAGAGTTGAGAGATATTTTTCGCTGATTTAATTTGCAATTCGTAAACGCCCGCCTTTTGAACAATTCCGCGTTTGTTCCAAGAGAAAAGAGGGAAATGGAGCGTCAAAGCCGTGCCATCAGACGTTATGCAGATGCCTTATTATTTGTTCGAGCAAATAGTCTGGTCGCTAGTGAAGTCACGGATGTAACTCGTTAAAGAAAAGTATTCTTATATCAGAGATAATGATCCTTCTTATTTTTATGAATTTATTCTCGACAATTCACGTACTTATCGTACGAATCGTTGTCGCGGTATAACATAGAATTTTCAAATAATAATCTGTTAGTTTGCAAATTAATAGATCATAAACTTAGGAACTTAAAGTTGATAGCTAATGAGATTTTAATTACGTTTCTATCACTTTTACTAAGTTCCCACGCTTCGTCAGACACCACGCTATCTAAAACATAGAAATGATAATCCACTTGAAATTTATGATTCAACTTATCAGGTGTTAGCCCAGTTTTGAAAGTAGGCTACAGATGTATTAGATGTTAGGATATACTATAGACAGAAGGATTGGAGTTTGTGCACATCTTTTAAACTGGATTTAACACTAAATCCTCTTTTCCCTTGAAACGGTTTGCTCTACTAACTTTGTCAAAGTACAGGGACAAAAATTTAAGCGATATTAAACGAGACGTTTCTTCAAGTACCATTGTTCGTTCTTAGATCGATGGAATGGGTATTAATAGATTCTTTATTATCGTTATCGATTCAATATATACAATTGCTCGTTAAGCATTATTAAAGCGTTATTAAAAAATTTTGTACATGGAAGTCTTCTGTATCATTTCTGAATGGCAATTGCTAACATTTTCAATTTGATTTTACAATAGCAAAATTATACACCTATGGTTTACTAAAATCACGTGCAAGAGATTGTTGGATTTATGTTATAGTCCATTTCTAGGCTAAGCATCGGTTTGTCTCACATTAAAAGCACCGTGTAATCTCGTATCTCGTAATCGACTCAGTATTTGATATGGTTTCACCCTTGCAACATGTACTATTCCGTTTTCCACGTTAATCTCTCGTTGTTAAACGCAATTACACTTTTATCCCAGGAGATTAATTAATCGTCCTTTCGCTATAATTTCCTTTCATCCTTGATTATTTGTGAATACTCGGATAAGTCTGTTGAAACAGCATGTAAATTTGTACCATCTATGTAATTCTCAATTTTCCCTCCAAGTAGGAAAATATCATTTCGTTATCGAGTTACGGTAGTCCTCTGAAGCGTATTCTGATGTCACTCTAGCAAATAATGTTCTCGTAGGAGGTTCCAACAGTGACGTTAATTAGCTACCTTATTTAGCTTCGCGTAATATTTAATGTTAGGTAATATTACAGGGTACATTAGTGACTAAAAGTATGTAATTACATTCGATACAATTTCATAACATAAAAGTATCAGAAAATTGCAGTTATTCTACATCAATTTAAAGTTCAAAGTTCGATGAGAACAGCTGCATATGCATTGTATTAATATTCATTATACAAAAGGGCAGATTGTTAGAACAAGCAATGCTTCAACTAATTTGCAATTTAGCATTGTACATCAGCGAATATTCAATTTTTAATTCCAAACCGATAATGGGTTTTTGATCTAGTATAAAAAATTTGTACTTTATACGAAAGTTGTTTTAAAAATATTTCTTTACTTTCAATATAGAATAAGATTGCTTTCCCCAAGTTATATATAAAACACATAAATAAGGAGGTATGCCAATTTGTTTGTTATTTTTCAGAGATAAGATCGACAGGAGATTCCGTTTGGTGAAGCGTTTATTTTGCTCAAAGTTTTCGCGAGCAAATGCCTCTTAAATTCAAGAAGCTATTGTCGAAGATGTAACGGCGATGACTAGTCTGCAGATGTTTTTCTCCAGGTGATTTAAAGTATTATCTTGTTTCGCATACTTTGCATGCCTTACATATTCCGAGCAATTTGTTTATAATTCAGAAGTTTCTTCATACTTCTATGAATTCTTTTTATAACGACGTGACGCGATTCTTCTTGAAAATGATATCAAAAGATGCAATATAGAAATTACTATTTATTAAATTTGATGCGATGAAATATTGAAAGTTTCAGGAAGCAAATCAGAGACGATTGGACAAAATTCTTCGAAAACTTTTCAATTTTCTGCATGGATGCACTTAAAACAGATCGCGAGTTTGCATTTCGTTCCATCGAGGGACCAGAAACGGGCAACTTTACGAGGTGAACAAACAGAACTGGATCAGAGAGGGACATTAATGGACCAGAGGTTTTCGTGGGAATGAAATTCCTCAGGAAAGAAAATCGCAGTAGGACAAATATTGGGCTGTTGAATTTTTACATTTTGTTTCTGCGTATTGATTAAATCAGCGCGTTATCCAGATTATTCATTGCAAAATTTGTTAATTATCGCTGCCGTACAAATATGACCACAATTCCATCAATTTGGGATAATACCCGCTGTAATGATGCATATCCATTTAATTACGAACACTCTTCAGTAGCACTGGATTCGACGTGTAAATTTCAATGCGAAATCTCTAATGCAGTTTTCAATGTGCTTTGTCTTATCAAAGAATGCTTCCTGGAATATTAAAATCCGATTAGTATCACTTCGATTTCGCATTACTTGGAAATTTATTATTATAGGGCGCATAGTTCTTAAGGAATAATTTCAAAAACTGAATAATTCAGCGAATTTAGAATTTCAATTTATGATAAGTCGATAAGTCGCGAACAATACAATATTCGACTAATAATCGTGAAGAAATTCAAGCGCCAGATGCAGACAATTGAAAGCTTTCATGGAGAATGCAATCCGAAGAACTCCTGCTTGTGAAACGAAAAATAGATCATTTAAATGGCAGCGTTTTACCCAGGTAAATTTAACGAATTGCTATTTTCTATACCATTAAATTTCCCAGTTAATTTCTCTGGTATGAAAAAGATACATACGAAATACCCAAAATACAGCAAACATTTGTGAATGAAATTAACGAGTAACGTGCGTGTAAATATTAGCTCAAATATATCCACCAGAGATGAATATTATAGAATGACCAAATCTGGGAGATATAAACAGTTTCAATTTATTTAAAATGAATGAATGGTAGAATGGCCAACCGTGAAAAAGTGAAATAAAAAAATATTGATTTTGAATTAATTTCTAATAGGACCCAATATGATTCTCACGCATGATTGATTATTATCGTTTGAAAGTTAGGTGACGGAACAAAGTTTAGCGAGGTGCAAGATGCCTGGAATGCATCGATCATTTGGGGCCACTAATAGGATCCGATTAATTAAGGAAACTTCGGTGATCCAGGCTATAAATTTCAAGGTATCGTCGTACAGTAGCCGATGATTCGCCAGATATCTGATTTCTATTGAAAGTTCAATTTCAAAGTTGTAACTCTTGCTCGCAACAACACATCGAAAAGTTAAATTGATCAAATTCGGCAATGAATCCGTTGATTGAAGGATCGAAAAATACGTGAAGCAAAACAAGTATCGCAAACAAATAATGTAATTGAAAATCAACTTTCAATGGTATTCCAGGAAAAAAAGCACGTGCATTTATTTCAAATTCCTTTTGAAATGAATATATGTACAATGGGGGCCAAAAGTATAAGTACACAGGATATTTTAATTTTGAAGTGTAGCTTTGGAAATATATTGTGAGCCGATTGTTTTGTTAACACAACTGAGGATAAATTGCAGGAGTGCGTGAATATTCGAAATTACAGGTCGGTTAGCATCGAGATTCTGCGAGTTTGTTTACTCGTACCCAAAGTTAGATTGAGGATGTTTATTAAAATTTTCTGAATTATATTTGCGTTCATTGCAGGATCTCCATCTCCTCAATTTTAAAATAAATTAATATTATTTTACGTATTAATTTTACGTAATATTAAACTTGAAAAATTAATTACATCATGGATTCGATACAGGGCTTTGTTTCAAACCCGTTTGAAAAAGAATGAAAATCCTTCACACCGTGATTTCATGCTTTTGATCGCTGGTGTACCTTTTTCCGTTTTACAGATATTCGATTGTTAGAGGATACGATTACAAAGGAAGCAGTAACTGCAGCGTTTCGATACGAAGCAAACGAGTCTACCCATTCCGATCTAACAATAACTGTTAGCAATAAGAGTGATCTTTGCTTAGATAAAAAGTGTAGAACACGTTTCAGTTTATTGTAACTGCACCGTTTCACCATGGAAACGGAATATATTCTCTATTTCCAGGAAGAACGATAAAGGAAACGAGTCGATTCGTTTATTGCCAGCGGTAACAAACAAGATTTCGCTGTTAAAAACTTTTGTTAGATGGCTGGAATCAGCGGACAAACGATTGGAAACGATTCGATATATCTTTCAACAACGCATATTGTTGAAAATTTATGAATGAAAATTTTCATTCAATCACGGTAAGATTTTCTGCCACGGCATCGATTATTCGGCCTCAATTTCGACCTCGACTAATTAAAACTGACTGTCTGCATGCAAGAAGTCAGAGGTGCAATTTTTTCTTTGACACAAAGAACCGAGACACGTGACCAAATTAGCTCTTGGTTCTTAATTACAACCTCGTTAGCTAACATCCGTGCAGATAGAAGGAAAAGGAAAAAGATGGTATTAAATGCGAGATTCGCAAAAGCTAGAATGTCATGAAAATTAGTCCGTGGAGGATGTAATAAAACCATTGAAAAGTATCGATTAACACCTTGACTACCACCGCGGGAATGGGGTGGTTCTTGTGAAGCTGCCGGCGTTTCATCTTGCACTTGCTAATAGACTCATTAGCAATAGACTAATTAGTGGTAAGCAAACCTGTGACTTCAAATCAACTCGACTCAAGGGATGTACAAAGGATACTTAGAATTTTCACTCCATACCACGAGGTAGTCTCAAAAATCTTATTAAAATAATAAAATAGAAATAAAAAAACAACGTGCATGATCTAAAGTTATATTATTTTATTATATTTTACAGAAAAAAGGTTACCCTATCGTGGATACATTTCCAACTGGGGGTTGATAAGGGAAAGATTAATTGAAAAACGACAAGGATGAAGATTATGAACTTGAAACGTTTAGTACACACGACCGGAAGCCTTAGAAGCTGGCATCGACAGCTTGAAAATTTCTTGAACTCGAGAAAGACGGCTTTGAAACCGTAAGGCTTCTGTAAGGGCGACATCGAATATAGCTGGACTAGTGAAACTGGATAAGAAGGATCTTGAGCTTTTGATTGTTTACGGAGACGATCTTGAACCAGGTAAAATCGACTTTTGGCACTTGAAGTTTAATAAAATCGATTTAGGAATTCGTAGAAAACACCAGTTGTAAATTTCTTTAAAATTGTGAGTTTATAACCATTTATTCGATGCAGTAACTTTTATGCGGATCGCTTGATTGACCATAAACCTCACGATCTGTGTTTTTATTCGTATGGAGATAATAAAAGCGAAAAAATTATGGGAGAAAGTTTAGCGTATGGAAAACTGATATTTTCAGTTGTACAGTTTGAGTACTCATGTTTGAGTAACTATGAAAGGTTCAAGAATTTTCGCGGTAGGTGACTCGTAAACTTTTATCATTTTTATCGTTCCTCTCAACGATACTATAAGCTCGCTCCCGATATCTGTGGGTTTAGCAGATATTAGATTCTCCGTCATTTTAAAAGCAATTTTCTTCGAGCAACTTTTTATCAATGCCACTCTGAAACGATAAAAAGTTCTTTGAAAATTTCTCGCATCTGTACTGCCTATGGAATAGAACCTAGTTCTGCTAAGAAAAATGATTGTTTAGAAAATCTATTCCTTTTTTTACCAAGGGTACAGAAAGCTCTGTTTATGTGTTCTACAGAAAGTTCATTCACGCTTAACTAAATTTCATCGCTGTTGCAGTCAGTGAAGCAATCCATAAAGAGACAATATCCTAAACAGAGAATTGGACTCACCTAATGGCGATGTATCTCCATACGGCCAATGTGAGCGTGATGGCGATGCTGATGGTATGCAGTAGCTGCGTGAAATGCATGTGAAATAGAACGAACACCGCCCATCCGTAAGGAAACGTCTGTCTCTTTGGCAGCACGATGTACACGTAAATAGCGAACGGTATGTATTCCAACATGACCAGCATGTCAGCTGTTGCCAGACCGGTGAGAATACGATTTATCGGTGTGGCCACCATATCTTTTCTGGTTAACACGATAATGTTCATCATGTTGGCAAGAGTTCCAAATAGACACACCACCAATGCCACGTAACCGTGATAGTTTCTATATTCAATCGCCAAATCACGAACTTTATTATTGCAGTAACAATCAATTTGCTCGTTGTTCCTCGGCATCGTTAGATTGTCTAGAGCGAACTTGTTCACGTAGTCGATGTCCTCGTCGGTGATGTTCAGACTACGGAAGATGTCTGTGAAATTGTCGAATTGATTCATGGCTGAAACACGATGCAACAATTGTTTCAATTGCAACAGAGTTGCGTTCAAGTTCATGCGGTGCCAAGTGTCCTCGTCGAGTACGTGGCGGGGCATTGCATTCTGAGAGATGACTGCATTGTTTCTTCAAGGGTTTGTTCCAAGCTTCTTTTATATCTGTTTATAGTTCCTTCGGCACTCTTGTTACTTCACCTGGAACACGGAACATTCTACTATCCCCAGGAGTATCTGCCCGCAATGATCGTCACAGAGATCTTTAAATTTTAATGGAAAAATTACACCTCGTCAGGACAACATAGTAAGTCTCCGTTCAATATTGTTGAATTCAAAATTTCCTTTAGGTGTTCTCGCTCGAAACAAGCCTTTATTTGTTCCCGTAGGCGGTGTCCCGGCGAGGTGTGGAAATTCTGGTATTTTTTTTTCTCTTCCTCTGTCGCTGCAAATTACTCTGGCCAACGATGGATCGTATTTTCCAGCAAAGCCGTGGAAAGTTTACGTTCCAAGAAAACGAGTCCAACTTACGACGCGCAGGGGATACATTAGGCTGCGCAAGCCGTTGAAGACCTGTCTGAAGTATTGCTGGACGACGTCCTTGAAGATCACTGCGTCTCTCTCGACTTACTACTTTATTATACCCTTTCGTTATCTACCACGATTCACAAACTTTCTTCTACTTAAAAAACTTCTGAGAAACATATTTTTCCTTTCTTTTTTTTTTTTTTTTAAATATCTTCAGAGATACTCCAAGTAGAACGTTTCCAGATCGTTTGTCCCGTATCCTCTTTCCTGGGGGTTAATCCGGCAATCTACATTCATCGCGGCCACTTATATTACCCTGACTTTCATTAGACCCCTTCAAAATCATTCCACCCGGTTTCGTGACTCGCCTAACGATCCTTTTTCTCCCCCTAAGACGCTTCTCCTCGACGTTGATACTTCTAGACTTGCTGTTCCGCAGCATCGATCCCTTTCTGTGTCTAGGAACACTTAGGAAGTATTTCTAGATCCAGGAATTAGTTTTCTGAGATTCATTTTAGTGCCATTACATTGTTACTGTAAATTAATATTATTATTTTTCTTTTATCACTTTTCAGATTGTAAAATCTCGCCAGAAATCCTCTTTCAAGACTGTAGTACGGTGGGATACCGATTTCTTTTACCCATGATACCGGCGGAAATTTTCGATGGCTGATCCTCCGCGAAGGATAATCCCATGGGACACGATCGAAGCATTAGTTGCGTCTCCTGATGGATTGAACCTTCCACATGGAACGATGTTTCGTGTTTCTTGAGAATCGATTTTGTATCGAACAGGATGCGGCCCTTGCTCGATTCAACCCTTGGACAATGTTAGGATATCCGATTCGATACAGAGATTATTTGTCGGGATTCCTTGGGGATATCCTCTCGAGTGATCCTGGATTTGTGAACCTGGAAAAGATTGTTTCATTCTATCAGCTGGTTGTTAAATATGATAATTTATTTATTTTTTTTAATTGTCTATGGTTGCTATCCTTCTTTCCAATCATGTAATTGATATTAATTACACAGTTTCAAAGTAACTATTCAATTTTCAATATTTCGTAAATGTCGTAAAGTTCAACAGAAATCTGTACCAAGAAAAGTAATGTTCATATAGGAAGCTGGCAATTTCAACGACACATTTATGAACTAAATAATTTCGCGGAGGAGCAAAACGGAAGGTCGCAACAAGGAACGAGAGCAACAGAGTGTAAACGGTAATATGTATTGGTTAACAATGTTCTTCACGCTCCTGTTATTTTATCATAGTCGCAATAAACAAGGTTCTAACTTTCCTAAATATTATTACAAATATGCGTTCGTTGCAGATGAAACATTCGAGAAGATGCAATAAATTTCCACGTTGAGAACGAAAGCAATATAAGCTCGAGTTTCACCCGCGAATATAACATGTATCTTTGAAATATTAATTTTAATATCGTGACATCATACGTGATCATTACCGTGAACGAAAATCTTAGAATATTATCAAGTTGCAAATGGTAATATATGTTAAATCTTGCTTGAAACAGTTTAAATTATTTGATTGAAATTTTAATTTTGTCCTTTGAAGTAAATTTCACTGTTTGGTTAATTGAATTTATGAAGTGAAATAGGAAAGTGAACAGAGGCAGCAAGAGGCGTAAAGTTGAAGGATATAAAAAGCTAGTTCTAAAGTTTAAAAAGTAATCTGTTTAATTAACATCGCTGTTTAAAAGGATTTTTTCAAATGTTTAATATTGTTACAAAGGAAGGTTCCAAAATGACAGTTTCAATCTTCTTTCCTTTATATCTCAAAAAACGGAACGAATATAAAAAAATAACGTTGAAAATAGAACTGAAAAACTATGTTCTTTGCACGTGCAGAGTCAGTGCCTGTATTGTTCTTTCATTTTATTTTATGTTTGCAGGAGTAAAAGTGAAGAATTTTTAACGAGTGGAGTGCTTCAGTTTTGATGGAAAATGACATAGACATCTTCATCGAGTTGTCAAGCTGAATTGTGGATGCTTGGATGGTATTCTACGACCGGTGAGTCACATTTTATTATTCCTCCAATTTTCCGATCGTGTTGTATGATAAAAGGTCTGAGATGAGGCCGAAGCTGGTCGTATTTATATTTGTCTTGAACTCCTATATAATTTCTTTTTCTTTCTTGCACTGTGATTTTGAAGACATCGTTATTCTACTGCAACCAGGAAAAGAATAGAAGAAGAATAAACGAATGAGTTATTTTAGCATCGTCCTCGTAAACGTTCTGGTATTTATATGCTAATGAAACTTGGAATACTTCTGTTAGGAAAAAATCTTCTCAAGATTATGGTTAAAGTGTTCAGAGTTGTAGAAATTCTTTGATAACGATAGCACTTGGCAATTTCTTAACTGTACGGGAAATAGCTCAAAGGGGAAACATCCATAGCTCACGAACACGTATTCAAACAAAATGAAAACAGAAGCAGGCTTCCTTTGAAAGTTTTTTAATTTTTTACCACGCTGTTTCATATCGGCGATGGTAGAAAATCTTATAACTAAAATTGGTAAAATTTTTCAGGAAAAATAGGAATTCAAATGCTTCGTGTTTCAACAAATGAAGTTACTAAATTTAAATTTTCTCCAGTCTATATTTTACGGTCGAAATTTATCCATTTCTGAAGCTGCTTTTAAATCATCACATTATATTTCTCATAACAGCGAGATGTCTTTTAATATTTAAAGGAAAAACGGGAGTTGGAGGATTTGGGTCAACGTATGAACTTAACAACTTTCGCATTAATTAGCAGATGAAAATAATTATAGCATAACCAGATGAAGGAAGATTTCAACTGCATTAAAAGTTTTAATTTAGTTTCTTCGCTTATATTTGTTAGAAACTTTTCACTAAAACAGCAAGGTTCCCAGATTGAAATCTTATTTATCAAGTCAATCGATGTTAAACCACCTAATTTGCTATCAGTTTCTAACTCAGGCACACAAAATGCCATGCTTCAGGTATTTTCTTGTTACACCATGGTTAGCCATAGGTTTATTTAAAGTTCACGTCCAACTTGTCAATGTTTAGAATACACATACTTGGAGTACATGCTAGTTGATTGGTTGTCAAAGCTCTCGCACGTTTGGCTTATATCGAACACTGTAATATCACACTGTCGACATGGTTCAACTTCGTCCATAATTTCATCGTGCCCTGTGACAATGGGTTTAGTGCAACAATCCCACTTGGACTCGCTTTATAAACTATTCATATACTGTCGATCGTAAAACAATAAGTTCTATAAAATTTCGATTCACCACAATCTTGTTAGATGGAATGATAGATTGGATCTGAAGATGTACTTATCATAATTGTGTTCTATCAAATATAAGAAAGAAAAGAACATGCGTAGCTTTTAAAGGATAAAGATCTCCGAGAAAGCTAATTAACTACCTCGGTAGAGAAATTACATCGTAACAAACGCGTTTTTAACTGAACGTACATTTAATTATAAATGAACTTATGAATTTCTGAATAAATAGTGTAAAATTAATTCTGGTCAGTAACGAGGATAATAAATAAATTATATTGGAAATTTAATGGAATTATTTGAACGTGGAAAAAAGTAAATATGCATTATCGTTAATTACCCCTCATGATAACGAACTATACAGACTTGCTTCATTTTATTTTAAAATCGATCATTGTTTGTAGAAATTGAAATCACTTTTCTACTATTATTTTGGGCAAATTTTCTTTTTATTATTTATGAAAAAATTATACAGAATTGAATGTTACTTTTATTTTGCGAGAAACTAGACAAGCAGAAAGCGTTGAAAAAAATCTGACCTGACATTTCATTATAAACAGGAGGATGAAATAAGGATGTACCAAGTGTTCACAGATTAATTTTTTATACACGATACGAATATCAAACCAACACCTTTGCACATCTCAAATATTAACTCTGAAGATTTCAGCAGATAGCAAAGATTCCAGAATAAATGTTGTAAGATGATTTTCATGAAAATATTTGCATTTCCTGCCATGAAGCCGTTAAATTGGTTGCGAGATAACGGAAATCATAAACATACACAGGAGAATTCTATGGACCGTGTGGAAACGACGTTCCCACCCCAATGCAAAGGGACATATTCGAGAATGACGATAATGGATATCGATGGAACAGTTTATTTTGCTTCTCGTTTAACTGAAGCCTGGGGCCATAAAGAGTTTATTTTTGGACCAATAACTTCATTCTTCCCCTCTGTTCCAAATGAGACAAAAAGAATTTCAAAACTTGCACTTTAATCATCAAAGTTACAAATCAAAAACCAAATTTCAGTGCAAACAAGAAGTGTTAATTGAACTTCGCTTACTGTATCGGTTCTTCTAGATCTTCATTAACGAGGAACAAAGGTGATTAAGCTCGTTGAAAGTCCCTTTCTTCCTCCAAGAAGGAGTTTCTTCTTCTCTCACCGCCACGATAAATCAAAGGAGATCTCTGCAAAATCGTCGCAGAAGTCACAGTAATTTCACGCGCGTTCCTCTGATGTCTAGCACAGATTACATATTCGGTAACAGATTGCTAAGCAACAGGTCTTTCAGACGTGACCGTAAAAACCCCGAAAAGAATCAAGGAATGAAAGAGCAGTCTTCCTCTTCTTTTGGATTTCTTCCAAAATTTTAACACGCCAATTTTCTCGAAAAAAGAACAGATTGGAAGGAATTTAAAATGATCGTTTCCAGATTTGATCACCGTTACACATCAATCAATTTATTTTCACAGATCGATCCATCATCGTGATTGCCGGAATCGATGATTGATGGGAGACCATCGGGCGGACTGATAACACTTGGCCGAATATTGTGTTTCGGGGCAACAGGTTACTCGAGGTGAACCACGAAACAGCGGAAGGGACAAATTGGCACCGGTTGAGGATAGCTTGGTGGTCACGGGGTTACTGGTGAAAATTCACGAGGATCCTTTACCGTTCTCCCTCTCGAACTGGCGTGTCTGTGCTGTCGAAGGAGCCTGCGCGATGCTTGCTACTCGAGCAAGAACAGCATCAACGTTTGCAATTAGAGACACATCGGGTCGAAGCGAGATGACGGGAATTTCTTTGTTCAAAAAAAGTAAAAAGCTTCGGGTGTTGATCGATCTCTTTGGTATTGGAATTATTCTGCTCCATACGAGTGCACCGACAGAATAACTAAGTAGGAATCGAGTCCAGTGACCGCATGGTCATTCAAAAACAGTTCTGTTACACATTGACTGAAATGTTATCCCTGTGTGATTGCTGCTTGAATTTCCATGGATCCATTTACTAAATTAGAAGTACACTGGTACCTCGGTATACGTATGCTTTGGAATACGTCCTGTTCGGTATACGACATACATTTTTTGTGTGAATTTTTTAATTTTGCAACTCCATTAATATAAGTATAATATCAATAGGAGTTTTAACGGATTAAGGTCATATACCGAGGTACCACTGTATCTCTACGAGGTATTTAAGATCAGCAGAGAGTCCTTTGATAGACTGGAAAATAGAGAGTTTATAGGCTGATTTTAATATTCAGAAGAGCAAATATTGAAAAAAGGAACAGCTTGAAACGAAATAAGCTTTATGACAGAAAGATACAGATTAATGTAGTCTGTTTCTTTCAACTTTTAATAAAAAGACATAGATACTCCATAGCTCGGCACAGTCAAGTTAAAACTTTTTAACACCAACTTGGACTTTTAAATGAAAAATGACATTTGATTTATGTTTCTTCGTTTCTTCTTTTTCTCATTCCGTCGTTAGGTTTCCACGTCAGCGTTGAGTTTTACGCTTTGAAATCGCGATGGAGATCAGTATCGAGGCGTACAATGGTTTATTCATTGGAATTTCCCTGCAAATTACTTTTACCATTTCTTCGGTGCTAAGTAAATCACTCGGTCTGTATCCAACTCGAACGCGGAATATTGATGATGTTAAAGATCGATAAACCTTAACGTCTGCAACGAGCAGTTAATTTAATCAGGATTGAATCGCTTAAAAGAGGATTTATCGGAGCCAATAATAAACAGACGCGAGCGAAAATGTGACTTTAATATTGAATTATTATCGCCGGTATCCTTTGCCCAACACGCTGATTGCTCAATGAAAATTGTCGACATTCTTCATGAAACATTTCTCCCCTCAATTTGTTGATTTTAGTAGAATAGCAGGGTTACTTCCTGAGAGTACCGAATCGCATATTTACGCGCCCATTAAGACATGCTTTTGAGAGGATGTATTTTTCAACGATCCCTTCCGTTCGTTGGAAAACTTTGCCAGAGTTTATTACTTCGTTTCGGAAGAAGAACTTCCAGCTGAAGTTTCTACAACCTCCTCGAGCCTTGTTTCAAATTAGACGTTCGTAAGTTATCGTTCAAACATTGTACAGGCTAATAATTTTGTTAAACACTGATAGAAATTTAAGAGTTCAGATTTGTACCGTAAGTGCCTTCTGTTGGCAATTTTATTGCGTTCCAAGCGAAATTCTCTTCCCGATATTTCACATTCTCTTCGGTTAAAACTAGAAAATGTACCTCCATAAAAGATCATTTTCTTTCATTAGAAAATACTGTTCGAAAAGTAGCAATATTTCAGCTTGTAACGTATCGAGAGAGGGAATTCTGTTTCAAAGGGAAACCGTATTCAAGTCTCGGCCGTGAACTTTCGCACTAGCATGAGAATTCCATCGTTTCTTCATACGTTTTGTGAGAATAAAAAGTTTGCCCGAATGGTGAGAGAAACTTTGAAGGTACAATTTCCAAACAGACCCGATACGATCGTTTACCATTTTCGATGACAAAACAACGCGGTGCAGCTGGGTACCACCGATCGATCGAACTTTCAACCTTCTCCAAAAGACAAACAGTAAGGTTGTCAGAGATATCGTGTTACCGCAAGTTTGTTTTCTCTAACCAGCTTTGAAAAGTTTCATACACAGAATCAGAGAAGTTAGTATACACCGGTGGAGCGTGTTCCTTTTTGCCGGCCTAGGTATTCATGCTTCGCCTGCAGTAGTATAAGAAGAGTATGGTCAGACATGCGTTAAGTGGAGGACAACGTCGAGATAGCTGTACTAAAACTGAATTTCACGTTATAGTTTGTAGGTAACCTGGGATAGGTACATATTTTAGCTATATTTTATTAAGGCAGAGCTGTTGGACTTTTACTACTGTACCAAAAACTCCTGTAATATGGATCATTTGAAATTTTGATAACTTTGGTAGCTTTGGAATTTCTACTTTTAGTTAATTAAATTTTAGGAGTATGAATAGTCATATTTTAAATTCAATCTTTTTTCAAATTTTCTACTAAGTTATGACATATTTCCCCAGGAATCACCAGTTTAACATTTAATACAGCCATAACTATTCTCCTCCTATTCTCAGGTATAAAACAGGAGGGTCTTCGCCCTAAATTACCCAGTATCTACCCAGTATCGGCTTGATTCCAATAAATTATAAAGAGGACATGATACCAATCGTTATCCATAGATCATGATGAACGTAAATCTTATCGAGAACACCCTACTCATAAAATCGTTGTTCAACCCCTAATGATACCGATATCCCTCTTTAACTATTCATTTATCAGAATATCTTTGATTCCAACTCATGCTACTGGGACTTTTGGTTAAAACAAACGTTTCAGTACTGTCAGTAATCTCGTGCAGAAATGTTTTGAATTGGAAAGACGAGTGATTTGTTCTTTTCTTTTCCTTTCAGAGATTCCATGGTGGAGACGGAAGCAGTAAGAAACTCAAAGGGAGTGAAGTGATTGCAGCTGACAGAATACAGCATTTATGCAATATTTTTGCTATTGAAGGTGCACCAGACAGTTATTGCGGTACAATGATATTACTAAAGGAATGGTTGACAATGTTCTTTAGAGGAAATGGATAATGAATTACCCAACAATTAATTAGGGAACGTGAATAATTAATTCCTTTCTTGTATCAAGGTTTGGTAATTCCCTTGAGGGTATTAATTTAAACAGACCTGATGATATTATTGTACAATGTTGATGGGGTATCATAATTAATAAGATCAAAGGGGAATTTTGTAGGTATCCTTTCTATCAAAGCTAGAGTTAAGTCATACGTATTGACTTTAATTAATCTTCATAGTGACCCTTCAGTTTCATTGAAATAACTGACCAATAGAGGGAAATGAAAATCTTGCTCACAGGGTGGGTTAAAAAAGAAATAGAAACATTTTGCTACGCGTGTATGTACACGTAAATTAGATGGCTAGAAACAACAATTTATTTCGAACAGGAGAAGAAAAGGCGAGCTTCAGCCAACTCTATTCATCTTATCGTTGAAAACAATTAATTATTTCCTTTTATTCTTAACCCTTTTGAAATTTCATTACTTCTCGTAACAGAAATTTATTTATATTCTTATAGAATCCTTTTAATAAGATTCTTATGACACGGCAGTATATTCTGTTTTCTAAGAAATTTATTATTAATTAAAATATTATTCCTGGAAGAAGTTTAATTACATTTCAAAAAAATAATGAAATATTTAAGATAATTTTCAAAGTAGGAATTTTTATCTTCTTATCTTGAAACGCTTGTTCGTGGAAATATTTTCCTTTCTTGATTTAATTATATTTTTAAAGGTATTATTTTATTCTCTACTGTAAATTTTCAATATGGAGCCATGGTAGCTGAAAGTGATAGAGAATTTTCGAAGCAATTAACTTCTCAATCAATGGAAAATTTAATTTCAAAAGCCGTACATTAAATTTGCCACAACATATTGCAACATATTATTTAGAATGATGAGCGAACCTGTTTATTTCCAACCATTAATTTCTGATTTTAAGCACAGCTGGTGTTGTCAAAACAAGAGTAAACGTTGCTAATTATTTCACTCAGTTAATCAATTCACGACAATCGGTTAATAAAAACTGTCGTCTAAAGAGAACATTTGAAGAAGAGTATTTTCTAGAAAAATGCATCGATTAATCTATGTGCTCTAAAAATTTCATGGTGTTGATGATGTAATCATCATCAGCTGTAATGATGTAATTTTGCTTTGAAAAATGTACCTCCTTTCATTTTTTGCTGGGCACTTAATATATCGTCTTCAACGACCTGTATAGCAATCAACATGTTATAGAAGGGTTCAGTGAGCAAGTTTAATTGATTTTCTGCAGCCTAGAAGCTGCTGCTTGAGAAACCGAAGCCACCTGTGTAATCGAATTAGCGGGACACCTCTCCTATCCTCGCCAAAGGGCTTTGCATCAATCTCTGTTCTCCTAAGTTTTCAACTTGTTACGAAGTTGCCTCTGTACATCCTTTTCCCTTCGTCTAAATGTTTTCGTGTTCGAGGCAGGGATTCTAGGAGTAAGGGACTAAAGAAACTAATTCTTAAGAACGCTTTAGACAACTTTCCCCTACCGTGGAATGAAATTTTCTTAAACGTTGAAATTTATTTCCAGGTACGAGAAGAAAAAGGAAATCGAGGTGAAGGCGTTAAAATACAAAAAGGTGCCTGGATACGTACGTTGCACCATCGATAAATTCTACTCTGCTCCAAGAGTGTGACAAGACAAACGCTCACAGAATGTCCAGGATATTCCTAGCTATTTTGATCTCCTCGTCCATTCCATTCCACGTCGCTAGCCTGTTTCTAACGTCACCAAAGTCTGACAACTTGTCTACTGTCTACTCGCTCGTGGAAAAATGGTCCAGAAGCAGCAACGTCAAATTGCTGACCATAGTCTTCGATAATTATCAACAGGAAAGCTATATCTTCAACGTTCCTGACATCTTGAACACCATGAATGTTTCTACCAAGCTGGTTACCTTGAAACATCTAATATACTTGAAGTACAAAAACATGGATGGAGACTATGAATTATTCGACCCAGGAAGTTGCATCCTAATACTATTTTACAACATTGATCATCTAAGAGAGATTTTTAATTCACCCCATCTGATCTCATTCTGGCAAGCAGACAATTTTTATATTTTATATGACAATAGTCATCGATTCGTTGACTGGTTTGAATTGGAGAGATTCTTTGAATGGGGATTCGAGAAGCTCTGGAGATTCAGGAGGATCTATAAAGTGATTTTATTTATCAATGAAAAAACTATCAGGTATAATTTAATCGACTTCGCTGGGTATCAAACTAAACGCTTCTTAAATAGCAGCTGCGATTGGTACTGCGTGAAGAATAATCACGACAGTTTTTTGATTATCAATGAACCTAATGATACTGATGTGTCAGATTTCTTTGAATGGAGAGAGGATTTCAAATCGTATCCCATGAAGATCTCTATCTTCAGAACGAGCACGATGTCCCTGAGTCAGGGTAGATATTCGGGCGTTAACTTCAAGTATCTTGAGGAAATTACTAAGAAGTTGAACGTCACCACTATTCTGATGAAGTCTGTTGAGAAATATGGATGGAAGGAGAATGGAGTTTTTGTTGGGACGATCGGTCATCTGGTGTATCAATTAGCGGATGTTACTTTTAATGAGTTTTTTATAAAAGATTATTTGACTAGACAGGTGGAATTCACTACTGTGATTACTAGTGACATGCTTTGTGCTTTGGTGCCTAAGGCAGCACCCATACCTGATCATCTGGTACGTACCACATCATCTTTATAAGTCTTTGCTGTAATTAACAAGGGATTAATGAGAATAATTAATTTGCATAGGTAATCGTTAAGATCTTCAGTGAAGAGGCTTGGTTTCTCATATTTGCTGGATATTTTGTAATCTTTGTAATTACTATGGCACTAAAGGACGAGGAGAATCGTGAAACTTTGGATAATATTTATAAATATGAACAGCAATGTTTCTGTGAATTATTTGCAAAAGTAACAGGAATTTTTGGCTACTTCGTGAAACAAAATAATACCCGAAAAAATGAAGAGATGAAAGGGGAAGAACAACGGTAGGTGAGCTAGAAGTAAAGTCAGCGCTTTCAGTTTGCTTTCAAACGATCTGCTGTACGAGAATTTCAATGGAAAACAATCCTTTATTTTCCTCGTATTTGTGAGCTCAGTTTTTTCAGAGTATTCGGATTTATGGATTTTCAAAAAGCAAAATCATCATTAAAACAATATAAATATTTCAAATACTTCCAATTGAATTCTAATAAACTTTGTAGATAAAAAATCAATAGGAATTCGAGATGAAATACGAAAGAGATGATTATAAAAAATTTAAAACACGTTCTAAAAAGTATTTACCTTCGAAGTAATTTCACTATTTAAACATAATCTTCCCTTTACGCTCTCCGAATTTTTACATTGTGTATTTTGCAATAAATTCAAATACTGTGAATTATAAAAAAGAAAAGCAAACACGTAGAATCAGGAAACATATTTCATCGTTTTCACCTCGTGTTGATGTGTGTGTGTGTGTGTGTCTGTGTTTTGAAATCTTGACGTCACTACGCATACATCTGTTACAACGATAAAATTTCATTTACAGAATTTACCAACTCGAAGAGCAACGGAACGATCAATGGAAAACGAAGAGGAATGATTCGAAACGAACCTCTCGAAACTTTTGGTCTCATCTGTTATCAGTGATCAAATATTTCGTTCAAATGTATCTGCAATCGATACAACCATTCAAATCTAAACGACCCTGGTTCCCAGAGAGATTGGTGTTGATGTGTTCTATGCTAATGAGTATCATTTTAAACGGAGTGTTCACCTCTCAGCTTGCATTTACTATGAGTAAACAAATGTATTATAAGGAAATTGATACTTTAGAGGAATTAGAAAAAAGTGGTAATACAATTTTTATATTTTAAAGTAAAACTACGAGATAATCTTGCCTATAATTTTTTTTATTATTAATCAATGCTCCTTTTCAAAGGACTTCCAATTCTTAGTAATGCAAGAGACGTTCTGGACGACGTGTTAAAGGATGATTCTTCGCCATTATTGAAACGACTACACCAACGATTACAATATGCAAATGACTCGGAAGCGCATAGAAAATTGTACCTGACAAAGGATGCTGCTGTTCTTCATCGGCTCAGTACCGTGTCTTTGAAGTACGCCAAAAACGAAGAAAGCAAAAACGTGCACGTAGTCAACGAATGTCCGAAACATTATATACTCGGATTTATGATGACCAAAGGTTCGTTTCATCTTCTAATATTAAGAATTAATATTAATAAATAGGTTGATGTTTAAAGAGGTCCTTTGGCAAAGGGAGAAATCTACTTTTCCTTCTGCATGTTATATTTCTTCATGCAAAATTTATCGAAATTACAGACAGAGTGAGTAGGTAGAAAAAGTTTTTGATTTGAAATAAACTGCATCTTTGAAACTGTTGCTGCAGATTTTTACCTTTCTGTGAATGTATAAAAAATTACAAATTTTTAGATGCAAGGTTTAAACACTCTTATTTATTTATTTTACTTATAATCAAAGAAAAATACAAGCCTGGAAATAATAAGATATTCGTCGTTTATCGAAATCACAAGATGATCGCTTATAAAACCCAAACACTGTTTCAGGATCACCGTTTCGTCATCGTATAAACAGCATCCTGGGCAGATTGAACAACGCCGGTTTCTATGGGAAATGGTATCGAGACATGTTTCAATCGGAGAGAAAATTGTTTCAAGAGAAAGAGACGACGGAACATCGGAAGATCACGATCAGACATCTGCTTATACCTTTTGTGATTCTCCATTTCGGTCTGGCCACAAGCACGATCGTATTTATTTGTGAATTGTGGCAGAACAATCTCCAATAACTTGTTCGTCCTCTTCTAAGAGAAAAGAGCAGAAAATTGAAAATGCTGAAGGGAAAGACAAAATCGGAAAGAGGGATATGGAAATTAGTCTGTTTTTCTATGAATATTTCATTCAACGAATAAGAAATGAAACAGTTAGATGTTCTCCATGCAAAGTACATATAGTTCCCTTTTCCTTTTTTAATTAAACTTTTTAAGTTGCCTCGTATTCAAACAATGTGTTTCTGCTTCATAATTGAAGTTTATTGGTGCAATTAGTGAGAAAAAATATTTGGTAAATACATTGTCAAGTTGATTTTTTGATAAATCAATGATGAAGAACATGGTCAATATCCCAATACTAAGAAGACAATTCCAACGACACGGTAAACCTACTCCTCGACGGTGGAATCGATCCGACCGGTAAACAGCTGTCTACTTCTCGAATAAATGAAACCACATAGCAATAAAAACGCTATGACTTTTTTATCTAAAATACTATTCCCATTGTTCGATTGACCCAAATTGAGGACGAAATTCGTGGAATTTTCACGGTTCACATAGCATCAAAAAATAAATCTAAAAACACGTGAAACAAGCTTCCATATCTAAACTCGTTTTTCTATTCACGTTTCCCAGCATAAATCTCGTAGAAGAGCATCAGTATGGAACAAAACAATCCCCCAAAAAGCATCAAGAACGTCAAAGAATAATGATCCAGGGTCAGTTTGATCTTCTTTTTCTCCATTTTCACTTTCCTTTTCAATTTAGCAATCTCCAAGGGGTACCGAATTCTATCAAACCAAAATATTAGCAGTCCAGCCTCTTTGAGTCTCGACAGAATAAAATCCACCCTTTCTGTATATGGTGAATTTAATCTTAATATATAAGCAACTCTGTAATTCATGTGACACTCATCAACAATATGCAACAAATCATTACCATCTTTGTCGAAATAGGAATAGTTTTCCAGCTGCATCGCATAATATCTGGTAATAGAAATTTTATCTTCAAATGCTACAAATTCTTTGGTTGATCTATTAGAATTAATTACTTGAATCTGCTCGTTCAATTTTCTATCCAGTGGAAAATCATCTAGGAACTCGCTTTTCAGATTACCATATTTAGTAATTATAGGTTTTCCAGAGTCCACCACGTCTTCGAGGGTTTCTAGCTGAGGATAATGGAAGGGTTTGTTCAAACTGGACACCAAACAGCTTTCATACAATCCACTGACTATTAGAGAAAAGAAGAGGGTAGCTGAGAGAAGACAGTTCTGCGTTAGGCTGCTTCCATTTTTAAGAGGATAAAAGAGCATCTCTAGGAAGATGAAGATGAATAACAACCACCGAGGTATTTCTGATGGTCCTTGATATTCTGACTTCGTTAAAGAATGAGAGTTTAGACTTTGACGTTTTTTAGATATTTTAGAGCTTTCAGGCTTGAATCCAGTGACCGATGATGGATCGATCAGCTTATGGGTGTTATTACGAGATTGATTGCCACGAATATGATGTTCAGTTGCTCTCTGTCGCAGCTGTTGGTTGATATATTTCAGAAAACACCAGAGTAACGTGATTACAACGTTGTATACGAAGAGAATCAACCATACTTCCTTTTGAAAAGGTAACAAAGGCATATATGCCTTGGGCACCAAGCCAGAATCAGGCGCCATGAAGCACATTTTGTCTTCATAAGCGGCGCAAGTGAATTGAAATTCATGAAACTTGCTGTACTCTTTGACGAAGAAACTTGCAATCACCATTTCAACGTTTCCATTCTCGATATTCCTTAAGGATACTGTGAAAGGATCTTCCGGCCTAAAGTCACGTTTTCTCATTGCTTTTATACGGAAGCTTGCCTTCATTGCTTTCTCCAAGGTATACAGCACGCTCGCATCCAGTTTCCTTAGCTTCGTTCGATTCTGATTGTCGTAGGTGATGCTCATCAGCGGCGATTCGAAAGTAATCACGTTTACAGGATAATTTTGTAGATTTTGAAAATTTTCAAAGAATCTTCTGGGTTTCTTCGGGGGATGAATCTTGTCGATGCTCTTCAACCCCATAGAGTATCCTAAATCATGAAACGAATGATCATAAATTAATTAATCAGGCATTCCAATACATTTCTATCCACTGTACCTTGAAAATCCTTGGAGCACAGTTTGTAAACAGCACCGAAATCATTTTGGAAATCATCAAACGGCATGTATTTCATTAGACACTGAAAATCATCCTCTACAGAAATGACCACAGCTTTATATACACTGTACTGCTTCCACAGGGTCTTGAAGATGTCTCTCCAAGGCAAAGTCACCTGCTTCCCAAGGAAAATGATCAGATACTGATTGCTGGACCTCCACAACTTCGGCTGCCAGTAGATGTAGTTGTGTAGACTGTTTAAATCACGAACAGAGATGACCCAGGTGGCTTTAACACGTTTCATCCAAGTAGCCTTAATCGACAGATCCCTGTCCCTCGCTGTGTATGCCTCGATGGATTTATCTCCGATGTATCTCAATAGGAAGTCGACGAGGTTCGATTGAAATTCGGGTTGAACGACGGCGAAGGTGAGAGGATGGAATTCAGGGGCATTGCGGATAAAATTTAGTATCAATCTTAAATTATTTGTATCTTGATTCGATAGATGATTAAAATAATTAGTCTCAATGAAAGAATATAGTTTAGGATAAAGTAGGATATTCCTTGTTAGAGGAATCATTATGCAAATGAAGAGGAGATTGAAAGATGAATGTATCATTCTAATTGCAGGTTTCAATTTGGACCATTTAGTTTCAAGTATAACTCCCGTGGAATAAGAGTAACGACAAAAACTACGGAAGTAGGAAAGCTGTTGAACTTCTGTTGTTTCCAGTTAGCGTCTTCGAGCTTCGAGAAATGCATAAATATTCATGGAGCGCTTCTCCGGAAGTCTATAAAGACAAAAAGAGCATAAAATTAGAGACGTTTAAAAGTTTTATGCATGGATGAGTAAAGAGTAATCAGCCAGGTGGACAGTGGCTGTAGAAGGATTTCTTTAACTCTCATAAATCATCCCTGCACGAAAGCGGAAGCTCGCAATAAACGTCAAACAACTTCCTCGTTTGTTGGCAAAGTCGACGGTAAGAAAAGAGGATATAAAAACGTACCCGGAATTTTTTTTTTTATTGAATCTCTTTCTGTCACGTGATTCCAGGAAATAGACAATAGAACGTATGGTGTATAGTTTCGCCGGAAGTGGAATTGTTCTCAGGAGTATTGCGTAAATTGAGAGATAGAAAAGATTTCACTCGACGTTTTCAAGAATTCCTGGGAAACTGGTGTTCGAGGATGAAATATCTTCTTAATAATAATATACTTCGTCTGAGGTAATTGAAGAGTTCGAGTAAACGTCTGATGCGTTCGAAGATTTCCGGGAAACTTGTATGTTAACGTAAATATTTTCTTAAACGTAACTCTGTATGTATTCTGTTTAGAATTTACTTTGCCAGAAGATGGTATCGAATGCGGTTAATGATTAATATTATTCTTGCAAATGAAATAGTGGAAGGAAAAAGCTGTTTTCGATCAACTTTCTATAAGTCGATGTTTAATAAAATGGCAAGAAACCATAACCCGGTTTGGCGGTCGTTTATCAAGCGTCAAAATAGGTCAGGAAACCCTCCATTTTCCTCGACGACGATTCATTTTCTTCGGGAGGAAGGGATGAAAAACGATGAAACGTACAAATATACTTTATGCCTCCGTTATAAAAGAACAGCAACGGGAAAGAAATTAGAAGGAAATAGAAGACTTTTAGAAACGATCAGGCTGAAGAATTTCGTACAAGATCAAATAAACTTGGACCACCTGGTAATAAAAGTTTCGATGTTCCCCGATGAAAAATAACCTTTCGGCCTAGAAGGAAACTTAACTTTTAGTCGGAAAAATGGAGAAGGGAGATTTTTATGACGTTCCACGCCTTCTTTATCTTGTTTACCCCGAGTAAATCGAGCGTACGTTTGCATCGCAATTGTGGCTCCTCCATGTCTGACAGATCATTAAGCCTGCCATCTGCTTCAAATATTTCCGGACAATTGCGTACGGGGACAATTCTGTCCTCCTACAAGGGTCGCATTAACCCTAGGAATTCGTTTAACATGTTTCTGTTTCTTTGCTCCTTGTTTCAGGGCCGATGACTTCACCCTCCTTTCATTTTGTTTACTCTGTGTCGAAATGGCACTTCTCTCTAATTTAAGAGGCGAAAAGGGAAGAAATCGTGTCCGACAGGGTTTCGTTCTGTACACCCAGAGGTGATAGACGGTCACGTTGTCTTCGGCGATAGCGTTGACCAAATTGTTAAATGGCCTCATTAAATTTTCACCGTTTCTCTCGATCGATCTCCTTCGAGATAAGGATGTGAATTCCACCGGCTGTGTTGTTTTCCAACGGACTCACCCTCTCCAAACGATCCGTTGATCCCCATCGCTTAAACGTCCACCTACCAACCTCTATTATCTAGCGATTCGATCCTAAAAGAGGACGTGCCGAGGCAGAATGATCGAGAGCACAACAGAGTCAACGAGCTTTTCAGGATAATCGAGCAGTCAACTTTTCAGACGACACCAGGTGTGGTAAATTGTTTTTCGGATACAGCCAGGCAAAATATAAACGAGATTTTGATGGAATAATACAAAATTGCTTTATTTTCTGACAGGTTTCGATGTTGGAAAGGTGTTTGATAGAAACTGGGTCGCTTTAAGCAGAGTTCCTGGAAAATAGAGATCATCGGAACAACAGGATTCTACGCAAGATCAGCAGCTTACAGATCCTACTAATTGCAGCAATTGGAGAAAAACGCCGAGTTTGATAGCTAATAGCGATCTGAGGATCAAATATCATACTGACTGAGGTAATTCGAGAGAAGCTCTGGATCCTCTTGATTCCGATGAGAAGAGAAGCCATATTTAACAGCAATCCATCAGTGACCTAGACAGTCCTATGTGTAATTGCAGTAATTCGAGCAAAACGGTGAACTTGTAAGCTAACAGTGATCTAGAGGATAATTTGAAACAGAGTATGTTTTGCTGAATCTTCAAGAGCCTTCGCCCTATTACGGAGATCCGAAGAAAGGCTACGGTCGTTAGAAGTGTGATACTTAAGTTTGCATCCTGAAGATCCTCCTAATTGCAGTAATTCCAGAGAAGTGGTAAATCGGATAGCTGACACTGATCCAGAGGATAACCTGAACCAGAGAAATCTCAATATCAAAGATACCTCCTTTATGCAGTAATTCTAGAACTGAATTCGAGAAGATAATTTCGTCTCCAAGATCCTCCTAATTACAACCAGCTGACACAGAAATTGGAGAACGTTAACAACCTGGAGGATTTAATAAAAACCAAACTCGAGCTATACCTTTTCTTAATTTAAATAAAATTCAATAAAGATCTAAATTTTTCCTTTCAGATGATTTTGAAAACGATACTCCTAGGAAGTTTGCTATTCCAGTCATCAGTAACAGAGAATAATGATTCAAATCACCAACAGAGATTCCATAAAGCTATTGAATACTGGACAGAGATACTGTGCACCTTGCAAAAGACAAAAACCATTGTGTTCCATGGAATTTTCACAAATGGTACAAAAACATTGCAAGACTTTTTTCAGGTTCTTCTTCGAACCACCAACGAATACTGTAATTCTGTTATTTTATTAAAAATATATTCTTCGTCAAGCGTGTATCAAGAGCAAACTACAAGTATAATAAAATATAATAGTCTACATAATCTTCTGCATAACAAATGGAATGTAAAAAGAAATTGGAGGAAGAACGATGAACATTTCATTGATATATGGAGTATGAATGTTATATTTTTCGGTGACAATGATGCTTTCGAGGAACTACTATTGAATACGTCTATCGTATTGAACAGCAGAGAACATTTTATCGTGCTGGCTGTTTGGAATGATGCTTTGGAAATGTTACTAGACAGGAGACAAATGATCGATAGAATACTGAGGAAAATCTGGTCGGAGCATCGTGTTCTGAACGTGATTTTCAACGAACCACTGTCGAATCGAGGCTTTAATTCATACGCGTACAATCCGTTCTTGATGAACAAAGAAAAAAGTAGGTGGATACAATTAACGCGTTCGTTAACGTGTTCATTAAAGTTGTCTAGGAATTTTATTCGTTACGCTACACACTTTTAATTGGGCATTGTTTCGTACACTTGCACGGAAATGTAGCGCAAGTATTGCAATTAACAATCTCTGATAAATATCCTTAATTGAGGACGTTAAATTCTCTGAAATTTCCTTCGTTATATTTTGAGCAAATATTTTTCCATTGAAAAGCACATATATTTTAAATATAATTGCAATACTGAAGTAACAATATGCACCATAGCTTAGAATATCCACAAAATTTCTGACGAAAAGAAAAATCTGTAAAATAAATTTCTCATCTATAATTCTGCATAAATTTGCATTGGAAAATTCTTCCGCGTACTCGATGCATTGATTTAGACAAAAAAAAGAGAAAAAGAAAATGATGAATTTAACTCGCTGAAATGCATAAACATGTCTATGGACCGACAACTAAATATTCTCCATGCATGGAATATATTTGCACCTCGTTACATTCAATTTATAACACACGACCGTACACTGTCAAATGTACCGTTATGACGTTACAAAATCGTTTTAACATTTTAATAAAACGTCTGTTTCAGGTTGGGGACAATTAGAGAGGGTGGAGGTGACCTCTCAAAGGCATTTGCTGCATTTATTGTCGACGCTGCATCAACGACGTACCATCAACTTTCAAGGACACAAATTTAACGTGAGCATGTTTCACCAGGACCAGGAAGGGACGAAAATCCGAGGGAAAATCGACCCTAACTCTGTATACGTTTATTCTGGAGGATACAATTGGACCAGTGGAATCTTACTGGGAGTATTAGCTCGAAAAATTAATTTTACAGTAAATGTTATCGAACCTGCTGACAACGAATCGTATGGGTATCAAATGGAAAATGGCAAGTTCAATGGAGCCATAGGTAATTGTTCTTAAGATTCTTAAAATTTTACTCGCAATGAATTCACTAAAAACTGGCACCTCAGATTTAAAATATCTTTTCTTTGATATCGAATGCATATAACGAAGGAGTAAAGAGATATCGAACAGGAAATAGAATATTGTCCAGCAAGGAATTTTCTCTGCCATCTATATAGGTGACTTAATGGAACGCAAAGTGGTCGCCTCTTTTGCTTTTTTCTTCGTCAAGAGGTACGGGAACGATATAAGCGGTATGGAATTTACCGCGACCGTCGGTTTTGATGAAGTTTGCGTGATAACACCGAAAGCAGCGAAAATACCAAAGGGTTTAAGGATGTATCAGATTTTTCAACCGTCCGTGTGGTTCTGCATCATCCTATCCTCCATTTTGGCGTATCTGGCATGGTATTATATTCAAGTATTTGCATCAAGAAGGTATTTATAAGTTTATCCATACATCCATCAATTCTTTATACTAAATTTTCTCTTCGTCTTGTCAGATTGAAGAAAATCGACGGTCAGGGAATAGCACTCCATACGCTGTTCGTTATTTCTGGATATCCGATACCACTGCCTAATGCAACAAGCGAACGATGTCTTTTAGTTGGCGTTCTAATCAGTAGCACCACCATAGTGGGAGTATTCAATGGCATGCTTTATACAATGTTCACTAACGACGTGTATTACAAAGAAATTAATAATCTGAAACAATTGGATAAGTCTGGATTGCCTATTGGATATTCTGCAAGTACAAAAGATTTATTTGGTACCAAGAACGATTTGAATTTAAATCCAATCTTCAAAAGACTTCAGAAGAAGATGATTTATATTCCTAATAATATTGAAATGACAGCGACTTATCGTAACGTCAGTGGATTACTTAGAAAGCAGCACTATCTTTTGATAGGTCACACTTTGAGAAATAAATACGGGGAAAAGTTGGTGCATCGTATGAAAAAATGTCCAGGTATGTTTCAGTGTGTAGTTAGTTATTTGGGTCTTTGCTGGATTATCTGTAGATCGCTCTGTAAGGGTGATTTGAATTGCGAAACGATCTGGACAGAACGGTAAACCGATGAGACCGGACAACAAACCGACTAAACAGAGCATTAAATCGAGTTGACTGACGAAGAAACCAATGGGATTAAATACAGAAACGGTTTACAGGTTGAAAAATCTAAAAAAAAAAGAGGGCATTCACTTTTTGTCATCATCGTAATTGAATAGGAATCTTTATAAAAATTTTGTTTCAGCTAAATTTTATCTGGCTTGTCTTCTACCAAGCAACTCGTTTCTTCGAGAAAGGATCAATATCTTGATCAACAGATTGAATCAAGCTGGATTGCCACCGTTATGGAGAGAAGTATCAGTGTTGGAGCACGCTTTAAAAATGAAACTGAATTTAGGGAAACATCACAACCATAAGAATAATAATTTTGAAGCATTACGATTAAAGGATCTAAATGTCTGCTTTGTTATATTTGCAATTGGACAATTATCGTCCATTATTGTTTTCTTCTATGAGAAAAAATGGCTGAAATTAAGCTTGAAAAAAATATCTTGATAACGAGAACCTTTGATCTATCGAACTCGTTTGGAAATGATTGATTGAAATTAAGTTCTTATTTAAGGTATGAAAATGTTTTCACTGAAATAAAATTGATTGACCACGAAACGGACTGGTAACTCGATAACACGAAATATCGGGTAATTTTGCGAGGAAGACCCAATTTGTTATCCACGTTCATGTTCAGTTTAAATAATTCTCCATATCGTGGTCGCGGCATTTTGCCTGAAACGCTCGAGCAATAAATTTGATTTACGTTCTGCGTTAAAAAGAGGAGGAAAAATTAAATCAACGGTCTTTTGTTTCAAGATGAAGCAAACTAATAAGACAAAAACATTTCTTCGAAGAGAAAAGTTATCTTTTATGAAAGAAAGAACAGAGTTTAATGTATTTTCTGTGATTAATTGTTCTATAAGTCCACAAAACTTGGGAAATTTATAGATGCTGATACTGACATTATATTTAATATTCTAAAGTATTATAATTTTTTGTAGCGTTCTCATCTTGCCCAGCTCTCCCTTGCTAGAGGGTCAAGCGTACCATAAATCTATCTTGAATTCAGACTTAATATCTCTCGTTATCGATGGTATTTTCGCGACATGCTTTCCAGTACCGTTCTACGTGCAAGAATTAGTCAGCGAGGCCCAAAGGAAACGATGGTTTATTTTAGGGAAGTCTGAAAATACACTTGCACGTCCCTCGTCGAGATTCAGTCGCTTGTCGTTGCTTCGCGATAGGATCATGGCTCTCAAACATTATCTACTATCGTCTATAGTGATAACGATTTCGATAGGTACGTATCGCTATCCCTCTCTCTCATTTCCGCTCCTTGCTGTTCTTATTTTTCGCGAGGACGAAAGAAAAACGTGATGAGAAACGTGAGGTTCCTCGATGCATGGTGATTAGATTGATTCTTTTTATTTTATTATTATTTTTTTTTTTTTTCTAATAATCCATTTGTGCTGAAGAGAATTTCTGTTAATCGCGTAAAATTTTAATTCGAAATGTTTCGTTTAATGCTTATAAAGAACATTAAACAAAAGCGCTCGAGTATTTCAATTTAATTTTCAACGCCGAACGATGATAAAATATGTAAAGCAATAACAATTAAACGTATTTTCCATCTTTGCCAACAGTATCATCGATCGTCGCGTGGAATCCCGATATTCACCGGTATGTAACATTGATAATGAATATAAATGCAAATACAAAAATTTAATTATCGAATTACAACTTATGAAATTTTCTCTGTTTTAATTAATTTAATATGCTCCCTCAGGTACGAGAGTTTCGACCTGGAAAGAGGGCCAGTCATCTACGAGGCCTACTACCCTGATAGCAACGAAGATCCTCGCAACAATGTCCAAGAGAAACGTTACTTCGACCGAGAAGCTGTTCTGGAGAAGACCTACCAGCTACCCTCCCAACGTTTGGTCTACCCAGAAAATCCGGCTGGGTTGAATAATTATCAAAACCAAAGGGAGATGCTCCTTCGAGACACAGGAGACAATCGTTTTAGTCCTCAAAGAAATGCAGAACCTCTGAACATAAGAGAACTCTCCAGCTTAGCCAGAAGAGCTATTTCTCGTGATCTGGATAGTTGGAACACCTTGGAACAGTATCTGGATCGCATGAAGTACCAAGATCCTCCGTATCGTCGTCAAATTGTTGATCCAAGTTACAGGATCAAGCAATCCATACGTGGAATCGAACCTAACCTACCAGACACCTTGAAACAGGAGTTAAGAAGAGAACTGTACGAGGAGGTTCGAGAGGATCCTTCCAGTTTACAAGTTCCAGTAAGATCAGAGGATCAAAGAGATGCATTAAGGACCTTGAGAACCCGGGACCTCGTTGGTAGAGAGCCATTGCCGAATTATAGATCAATGCCATATCAGAATCAACCACCGGAACCGATTGCAGGATCAAAGGAAATGGGTCTTCAAGGTTCAAAAACGATGGATCCTTATCCAGCAGAAAATATCTTCGCTCCACGACCTCAAGTGATCAACTACATCTTCTCTAAAAAACCGAATGTACCTGAGGAGAGCAAGACACAGCAGAGTAAAACTGAAACAAAAGAAACTGTAGAATCGATGCCTAGGAACTATGGGGATAATCTTATTAGAGATGAAATTAAGAAGACAGAAGAAGGTAAGGATGTGAAAGTAACTTCTATTGAAATCAGTGAAGTACCCAGACATAAAACTCGTCATCATCATGGGGAATGGCCGAAGAGAGATTATTCTCATCATCATCAATCGTAATTAATTAAGAGAGTTAGAATGGTCTATTAAAATATGAAGATGAAGCATCATGATTGAAATATTTATTTGATATAGTACACTACAACAATGATACAATCTTCTATAACAACATGTACATATCTCACTACGCTTTTCATACGTTTATCGTATTTTTTTTTTTAACTATACGTGTATTAACAATTGGTGTAACTATGTATAGGAAAATCTGTATCCTTTTCGCGAATCGTACAGGCAAAAACATGCTTAAGTTTGATAAATAAAATGACCAAGATAATGCTACACTACTGAAATGATAATAAATACGTGATATATAGAAATGCGAAACGATAAGTGACGTTGAAGAAGTTTGATAATATGATTGATTTATTTGATATATGAGATACAAAAGAATATCTGAACAAAATATTTTTTATCCTCTTTTCTCATTGAATGAAATACGAATACGATATACCGGAAGAATTGAGTTATGAACGAATAACTCTGAACTGCATTACTTCTGATATAAAGACCAGTACAAGGACAAAACCACAAGTACTTTTATAAGTAACTTACGCTATTGGAACACAACTTCGTTTGGTGAATAGTCTCAGTTAGCTAGTAAATATATTTACTTCTTGCATATTAGAATTAACTTACTGTCATATAAAATTATTTGCCTACATTTATTTTGCACTCTAGCAATTCAACCTTTGTTGTACTTCATCGTATAATTAATTATCTATTACAAAATTATTATAAAAATAATTACAATTCAATATCAAAGAAGCTTCCTAAGTATGCATTTAGAAAGCATTAATTAAGTGTCCTGAAAGTTGAAAGCATAAATGTAAACAATGTCAGAGACAGTATATATTGCATTCATATCATTTACTGTACCTGCTTTATGTTTTTTTTCAAGTTTGAGAACACAAATTCTTTCAACTTTTCATATGCTTTAGATACATCATCATTTACGACTACTAGGTCAAAGTTACCAGGCTTCTCACCTGAAACAATTATTAAATACCCATATTAAAATGTTGCTTGTACATACATAAATAGATATATAGAAATTTCAAACAGTATATACCAAATTCCATTTCTGATCTAGCAACAGATAATCTATGACGTAAAGATTCTTCTGTTTCTGTATTCCTATCTCTTAATCTTTTCTCTAATACTTCCAGAGATGGTGGTTTGATAAATACATACAAAGGATTAAGAGAACTTCTTTTTACTTGCTTCACACCTTCCATTTCAATATCTAATATACAAACTTTTCCTTCCTCCTGTACATCTTCCACTGCACGTTTACTGAAAAGATATTAAGTAAAAATTTGTAAATAACAAAGCTTGTAATGGTTGTGTATACTCTAATAATGTACAATTATTACCTAGTCCCATATAGGTTTCCACTGTATATAGCATTTTCAAGAAATTCACCTTGTTCTATCTGTTTTTGCATGTTTTCCTTAGTTGTAAAGTAATAATGCTTCCCATCTTTTTCACCAGGTCTGGGTGCTCTGGTTGTGTGAGAAACTGAAAATCCAAATGTATCTGGGAATTCCCCGAAAAGCTTTTTTATCAAGGTACTTTTCCCGCTACCAGAAGGACCACATAAAACTAATGGACGTGGACCCTTGTGAAGCATATTACAAGCACCTAAAGTAAACATAATATTAGATTAAATGAGATGTGAATTTCATCAGCATGAATCAAATTGTTTCATACCTATTACTAATGTTCTAAAACTCAAGAATGATGTCATACTTTCACACACTACTAATTCAATTAAATTTCATTCAATAAGAGCAAATATGCAATTGGAATCACATATTAATGTGTTCACAATGAATTCGAGCAACTTTCGCTTGAGAAAAATCAGAACAATCATAAGGAGTAAAAACTAGCAGATCAAAAATGCCGGAAACATAATTATGAAAAAATCAGTATAAACGAAAGCGCGTAATATAAAACGAATGTTCTATAAAGCTCTGCTACAACGTGTTCTTTACAAAATGGTAAGATCCTTACAGGGGCATGCGGCCAAAAATCAAGTGAAGCGTCTTTAAAATATTGATCTCTTGCAGAAAAAACACCATAAATCGTGTCATTTATTATACAGAAAAGTTCATTACGAAGTAAAAAGAAACTGCTGTGATATTTAACAAGATTACTTCAGAAACATTGGATAATGTATGATTCATTGTAACCAAATCATTCAGTATTTAATTTGTACAAAATACGCGGAATACGAATTCAAGAGAGATCACAGTCTACTGAACTGATTTAACTTTACTAACGATAAGAAAGATATATAGTTACTCTTTTGCGTTTTGCCATCTTTTATTAATTGAATACGATGTATGTATATATATTATTCTGAATAGTGATCTCACCTTGGTATACAATTGAATGTGAAAGATTAATAAAAATAAAATGTAGGGGAAAATTTCTGTATGAAGAAAAGCACAGGGATCCGCGGTCGGAACAAACAGCTACCTGCAGCTACCACATTTCCGTTTAGTAACGAGCGCATGCCCGATGGCGGCCGCATTAGAAGTTCAGATAAATAATTCGTAAATATCTCAAGAAGGTTTAATTCTTATTTTCTTTTTATTTAACAAGATTTACAATTGTGTTTTTCCGATGCAGTAGAAAACAATAAATTCAGGTATGTTTCGGTTTTGTTTATTTAACATACGTTTTGCAGATTGTTGTATTTAAAGTGCAGATAACATTGGAATAAAAATGTTATTCCGATAACAGCAAATGGACATTAGTTGTATACGTAAAGTGTACATCGTAAACTTCTTGACAATATCAATAATTACATAATGCTTACGTACGTATATACATGCCTTCTTTTCACGTAATAAGCATGCTCCAAAAAAGCGGCATTGTTTCGTTTCAAATGCAATTTATTCAGTAAAATTGTTGTATTATATACAATGAAAAACTAAAATGGATATATTTTATCCTTGAATATATATACATATATGTATATTCTCTCACGTATATTTAAATGATAATCATGTACAATACAGATTTGAAACTTCTCTGATAATTCCACTTGTACATTTATATCATAATCGAAAATATGAATTTAAATATATGTTTTTCTATTCTATACACACACATAAATTTTAATCAGAATAGAGACGATTTTGGTGATTCAGTTAGACGAGTAATAGTACTCTTATAAAATTAATATGTACTATCTACGTTTGAACATTGCACAAGTAATACTAGATTTATATCGACAAAATATAGTCTTTTCGTATGCATGTATCATATACAAATATCATATGTATACATCATACGTATATGTTTATATACGTATATCCTTACAAACGCTTAATAAAAAGAAAGTATATAACTAAAAAGTAATACAAAAATTTAAAATATATATTTCATTTTAAATTACTATATTTTGGTTGCTATGATTAAAGTATTCTCAATGTCGGTATGGCAATGCATACATGTAAAAATGCATGCATGTACGAGCAACGTGAAAAAAAAAAAAAAAAAAATAATAATAATGTATAAATAAATATCACATTGTGTTCATCGATACAGATACTCACTCACACTCGACAAACGTTATAATAACAACGGTAGTAGAAGTAGCAATGTAGTAGTTAGAGTAATAATCGTAATAGTGACATTCAATGTCTTTCCCTTGTACTTTTACGTAATGTAACGTGTGCGTGGCAGATTTGTTTGAATTGAAATCCTTTTATTCAGTTCTATCTTCACTTTTTTACAAATATCGAGTGGAAGATTTATTTTAAACTTCGGTAGGACCAGATGGTTTCGCTTGTGTTCTCCGTCGTGCCAGTTCAGACATAACGACTGGTCCAATATGAGGAGATCTCGGACTACTAGACATAGCTCTGTACGTTGCTGCTACCGCCCTCTAAAAGTATTTTTTGTTCATATTAATAACATTCGTTTAATCGATATATATGGTTTGAACGAATGTAAAGTACTTTTAGGCTGTGCGGATCCTTAGTGCTATCAGGTAATACTTTCTGAGGAAGACGGTGCCGATTGGCAATCCACGAGTACTTTAAAATGGCAGCTGCGGTAGGCCTTCTGTTAGGATCAACGTGTAACATTCTTTTAACGAGTTCTTTAGCTTCGTTAGAAATTTGACACCATATACCACTCTCAACATCGATATAACCAGGTCCAATACGGTCTAGTATATCTGTTGCGCTATCACCGGGGCTATTACGAAATGGTGTATATCTAAATTATAAAAACATGATCATTAATATATTAGGTAACTTTGAAATTTTACGTAATCAATGGCTGGTTTAATTACCCTGCTAACATGATGTACAATAAAACACCGAGTGACCAAATATCACATGCTGCATCGTAGCCTTGGCGTTTCAATACTTCCGGTGCTACAAAGTTCGCCGTGTAACAGGGTGTCATTAATAAACCATTTTCAGCTCGCAATTGTTTCGCGAATCCAAGATCACACAGGCAAAGTGTTGTTGGATCACCTCCAGGTTTTGAATACAATATATTAGATGGCTTTAAATCTCTATGAACAACCTACCGATAACATGCAATCGTTAATCATGGAAATCAGTGATATGTAATTAAATAGATCAAGAATATTTACTCCATTTTCATGAAGATAATGAACTACGCTAGCAATTGTATACATCACTTCGGCAGCTTCCCTTTCCGTTAGATTGCGCCTTTGTAACAAACGATCTAGTAACTCTCCGCCTCGCAACAGTTCTAATACAAGATAAGCTCGTTTCTCGTCTTCGTGAACAGCTCTCAAAGTTACAATATGAGGGTGTCTTCCATATCGAAGTAAAATTTCTATCTCTTCCGTTGGATCTCTTTTTGATTTTTCAATTACCTGTTTAAAATAATCATTCTTTTGTTACATAATCTTCAATTGGAAGTATCATATGATACTCGTAATATTACCTTCACAGCATACTCTATCTTAGAAACCTTATGTACAACTACGTAAACTGTACTATAGCTTCCTTTACCGATTTCTTGCTTAAACTCATACTCGTCAGTTACGGGAACGAGGTTCACATATGTAGGAAATGTTGCACTGAGACTATCACAGTTTTTATATTCAGGAGTTTTAAGATGATCCTCAAGAAGGCACGGCGCGACAAAACTAAAGCCACGAAATAATTCGTGGGCATTAGCACTTGGTGGTACCCCAGGAGAATCTAAATATTTCATATTTTAAAATCCTCGAGTTGATAAATGGTAATAGATGCTTACCTTTAGGCGTTTTACACGTAAATTCGCTATCAAAATAAAATGCATCATCTTTTTGACTGACAGCCGGCTTAAAAGGAGGTTTTATTTCTTTTTTATAAAGAGCATCCCAATCAATTGTCGCAAAGAACACGTGATTTTTTATTTCTTCTACTCCACCTAAGACACGAAAATTCATAACATAATGATATTTCTCAAACTTAAAAGAAAGCATTATTAGTTACCAGATCCAAGCCTGTTCGCTGGGTTTCTCTTAAAAAGCACTCTCAAAAGTGCTTGAGCTTCTGGTGAAATATTAATTGGCATACCAAGTTTTGCCTTTAATATTTGGGTCATCGTTTCTTTGCGATTTGCACCTTGAAATGGAAGAGCTCCGGTCAGCATCTCAAACTGTAAATTATTAAGTTTATAAATCAGAGTAAAAACTGCCACCTCAGATTACACAAGATTCTTACCATAAGAACACCAAAACTCCACCAGTCAGCAGCAAACGAATGACCTTTCCGATTCACTATTTCGGGTGCCATATATTCTACGGTACCGCAAAATGAATATGCCTTACAATCATCTAAGGGCTGTTTACTTAGACCAAAGTCAGTTAAAGATATATGGCCTTCGGTATCAAGCAAAATACTACCGTAAATAAAACAAACATCGTAAAATTCATATGATTTAATAGGGTATAAATTAGTACAAAATAATATAATACAAACTTTTCTGGTTTGAGATCTCTATAAATGATTCCAAGCTTATGAATATGATCCAATGCAAGAGCAAGCTCGGCTAAGTAAAATTTTACGTCATCCTCGGTAAACATTACCTAGAACAATAATTTTAAAAAATTAATATAATTCATGAGACTGCAATATGAATAAACTTAAATGATTATAAACTACCTCCTTAGCTAATCTTGAAAACAGATCACCACCTCTTAAGAAGTCTAAAATTAAATAGAGTTTCCCTTCTGTTTGGAATGCATAATGTAGCCGAACTATGAATGGATGTTCAACATCCACTAATATATTTCTCTCCATTTTCGTCCTAACTCTGTCCCGAACTGAGATAATATTGTAACATTAAACCACTTTAAAAGAAAAGGAAAAAAATGATAATCCTTAAATTGAGAATTGCTCTGAAAATTCTCTAGTAACTTTTAACATAAAAATCAAACATGAAAATTAAGAATCTTCTCTGTATTATGTACGAAATAAAACTTAAAAACCCTCAGAGCTATCCTCATACATTTAACTTTATAAACACCTTTTAATGTAGCTTTTTTCAGAACTTTCATGGCATAAAGCGTTCCACTATCTTTACCAACAACTTTCCTCACTAAGAATACCTGAATAAGGTAAGAATTTCATTTGTAGAAAATTACAATTTAATATGCTTTACTCATTCTTTTACTTGTAACAACTTTAAATACCTTTCCAAAGGATCCTTGACCAAGAACTTTGAGCAGTTCAAACTGAGATGGACCTGCCTTTTCATGACCATCCCGAACCACTTCGCGTAGTTCAATTTCATGTGACTCAGAACATTCATTTGAACGCGATTCAATCACATTTCCTTGAGTCATCGCTTCCTCTTGAGCTTCTGCTGGAAGAATATCTACAGATTGCTGAGAAAACAAACTGATTATAATGCGTAAGCTTACAGTGATTATTTAATGTGAGTATACTGTACTCTTAAATATTTTATTTTGATAGCTATGGAAACATTACCTTCTCGTTTACATGTTGCTCTGACCATGGAACTGTTAGAGTCGCCAACGGCATTATATTCGATGTGGTATTAGTAAAATTGTAAATGTTTTCATAAAGTATTCCTACGTGCGCGGTCGTCATAAATTAACATTTAGCTCAATTACAGAAGCGTAGCGCAGATCACCCTCGAATTGTGAAGTATTAGAGAAGTTTACGGTAAATTGATAGATGCATGTATGGCATACACTCTACAAATATCGACCACAGATAAAGCGTTAAGCCAAAGGCATTCAAACCAGATTTCTGACATTAACCGGAAGCACCTGCTTTGTGATTTTAAATAAAGCCAAGCAAAATGGCTGCTTTTCAATAAACTGTGCAAAAAACTTGTAAAATGACGAGGAAGCACGTATATTTTCAACAAAATATATACACTAAATATACCTCTATCGTATAAAAATGCTCGAAATAAACTACAAGCGAGTATTAGATTACATTAAATGTAGCTTACTTAGGTGTTAAGTATAGATAATCACCTTCACAGGTACGGTATCGATTTGTCAATAAACAAACAAAAAAATTTAAGTGCTAATACGTTATCGATATGATATACTTACTTATGTTGTATTTATTTGAAATTTTGTTCAAGCAAAACAATTGTCGTTTCCTTTTATCAACAAATTATCTGTTTTTTTAATAAATCAAACAAAACCCGCCTTTCCATTCTCCTGTTGCTTAAATTCACATCATACATTCATCCACATACAATTGGTATTGTAAATAAAATATAGAGCACAGGAGAAAAGAAATGTTATATACAATTTTTATTAATAATATAAAGAATCTTGTATAAAAAGTATTATTTTTATTCTAATCTCCATTAGACTACTGTTGCCAGAAGTAAGGCAAAAATGGCCACATAAAGCCTGAAAAATTATTAAAATAATTATTCGACAAACTTGTATTCATTTCATATAATTTGGTAAATAAATCATTTTAAAAAAGCAATTGAGTTATTATTTATTTTACTGTATTTATTGTAATCACAAACTTGAGTTTTAAAAAGACCGCCATAAATTAAGCACTAGCGCCACCTATCCACAAACTGAGGAAACTACTCGTCAAGTAGTTTCCGCCTTTTCCTGATAGATGGCGCAACAATGGTGCCAGGGGTCCTTGAAGCCCCAGCACGAGGTTAAGCCGGTATACAGGGAGCGCTACATATGCAATTGGGGTCCCGGACAACCCAAGATGGTATTCAGAAAGCGCCGCAGATGCATAGGGGTCCCTAATACCCCAAGATCATTTTCAGAAAGCACCTACATGAAGCTAGCCGGAAGCAATAATAAAATATGATTATTTTTAATTGTTCTCAGTGTATTTCGTTTGGAAATCGTTTGTGATTTACAAATATATTATTTTCATTGTTTGTGTGTGAATAATTTCTTAATTATTTACAAGTTTGTTTTGTAATAAATAACTGTACTGTGCATGCGCTACAGATCCGGTCGTATCCATCACTACCTCGAACAAATAAGTTCCATGATTTGTTCGTTTTTCGTTCTTATATTTCGCTAGATCCGGTCAAACCCATCACTATTCCGAACAAGTGAGTTTCACGATTTGTTCGTTTTTCGTTCTTATATTTCGCTACTTGCTTCGGGGTTCCTGAGAACCCCAAAATCATGTTCTGGGTGCCCGAGGACCCCAAAACTGTATTCTGGGTTCCCGAAGACCCCAAAATCACATTCTGGGATCCTGAGGACCCCAAAACTGTATTCTGGGTTCCCGAAGACCCCAAAATCACATCCTGGGATCCTAAGGACCCCAAAACTGTATTCTGGGTTCCCGAAGACCCCAAAATCACATTCTGGGATCCTAAGGACCCCAAAACTGTATTCTGGGATCCTGAGGACCCCAAAATCGTATTCTGGGTTCCTGAAGACCCCAAAACTGTATCCTGGGATCCCAAGGACCCCAAAACTGTATCTTGGGTTCCCGAAGACCCCAAAACTGTATCTTGGGTTCCCGAAGACCCCAAAACTGTATCTTGGGATCCTGAAGACCCCAAAATGGTATCCTGGGATCCTAAGGACCCCAAAACTGTATCTTGGGTTCCTGAAGACCCCGAAATGGTATCCCGGGATCCTAAGGACCCCTAAATGGTATCCTGAGTTCCTGAGAACCCCGGGATGGTAACGGGGGTCCTTGGCACCCCAGATACCATATTGTCGATGTGTAAAAACAGTCGACGGTGCTTTGGGGTCCCGGAAACCCCAGGTACCGTAATGTCGGTATGCAAAGAGAGTCATTGATGCTTGGGGTCTCCGAAACCCCGCATAATGTCAGGACCGTATGAAGAGGGTACAACCAGTATAGGTTTTTTCCAGAGTTTATTTAATTTACCTCATTTATTTTTTTTTGCTTATTAAATCAGCTCATCAAAGCGGATAACATTTATGATTATATTCCACTCCTGGGTCCCCGCCGAGGACCCCATTTATTTTACTTTTTCCAGTTATTTATATAATTTTATCCCTCATTATAGGCCAAGGCCATCTCAGGAACCCATACATCCCTGCATTCCTTCCATCGCAGCATTCCTTACATCCCTGCAATCCTTGCATTCCTGCAACCCTTAAATACCTATTTTTTTTTTTTTTTTTTTTTTTAACGTGGTGGAAATCTTCAGAAAGACACCTTCAGCTCCCCTGGGGAGGGGCTGGAGGTAGTGTGGGATTTTTACCCACTAAAACCACCACGGTGGCCGGCTGTAGGGAGGGTCCTTTGACCCGCTGCCATGTGCCAAACTCCGCCGACATCGGGGGCCACATCCGATGCCGGCACTCCTCGAGCCGCCTGCAGTGGAGACCGTGGCCCCAGCCCCGGAATTCCTTTACATCCCTCGTTTCGTTACATCTCTGCATCCCGTAAATCCCTGCATTCTTTTCATCTCTACATTCCTTTCATCCCGGCATTCTTTTCATCTCTACATTCCTTTCACCCCTTCATTCTTTTCATCCCTATATTCTTTTCATCCCTACATTCCTTATATCTCTTCATCTCTTAAAATCCTACATTCTTATGATCCCTACATTCTTCTCATCCCTACATTCCTCCATTCTTCTCATCCCTACATTCCTTACATCTCTCCATCCCTTATAATAAATATATTATAAAGAGTGCTTCGAGTAAAGACTGCCTCGCGAAAATTTCAAAAAACAGCGCCCCCTAGCGGCAAAAATTGGAACTAAAATTTCGATGTCGAATCAGCGCCCTCTGGTTTCGAAAAAAGGAACTAAACCTTGCCGAAATTTTGGCCCTCTGGCGGCAAAAATGTGAACTAAAATTTCGATGTCGAATCAGCGCTCTCTGGTGGCGAAAAAAAGAACTAAATTTCAACTCAATTTCAGGAAGGTACTGGGATGTATGGAATGCAGGAATATAAATGATACAAGGATGTAAAGGATACAGGCATGTAAGGGATGCAGGGATGTATGGGGTGTTGGGATATAAAGAAGGCAGGAATGTGAGGAATGCAGAGATGTAAGGGTTGTAGAGATGTGAGGAATGCAGAGATGTAAGGGATAAAGGGATTTAAGGAATGTAGGGATATAAGGGATGAAGCGATGTAAGGAATATAGGGATGAAAGGAATGTAGGGATGAAGCGAATGTAGGGCTGAAGAGAATGTAGGGATGGAAAGAATGTAGGGACGAAAAGAATGCTGGGATATAAGGGATGAAGAGATGTAAGGAATGTCAGGGTGTAAGGGATAAAGATACGTAAGGAATGCAGTGATATAAGGGTACAGACGGAAGGGTGCAGACGCCCTAGCACGAAATTAGGTCGATATACAGAAAGCGCCACCTATGCACTTTGGGTCCCTGACACCCTGGATGATATGTCGGTATGCCGAGTTATCGGTGCTTCGGGGTCCCTGACACCCCAAGATGATATCACGTCGGTATGCAGAGAACGCCACCGGTGCATCCCTAACGCTAACTGACAATGAGTAATGGGGTATAGTTTTTGATATCAAAGCAATCTGTTATTACCATAAAAGTGCGTTAGACTGTTGCAGAACGAAGTATTTCTGATTTTTATACTGCTGATCCGGGGTATTTCTCCCCAAAATGTATACTAGGATAAAGCAGATGGCGTTCGTTCTCAGGGCACAAATTCACGACCCTTTGAGAACAAAGGCATGTCCAGTCTTCTACTATCTGTAGTCACTGGTTACAGCTCGAAAGATCGGAGTTGGAGGGCCTGGTGACAATCATCCATCATAAAGAGCACAATACATGGGCCTAGTAAATGGCGTTTATAATTGGAGCTCTGTGAAAGCATTATACTTTATCGTCCTCTCTATGAACCTAGCTGGAATAGTCGCTCTTGTACTCGCCATTCTGTGGGCCATTAGGTTTGAAAGAGGCTTTGGTGACTACTTGAACCTCCTCAGTCCCGGTTAGTCTAGGTTAAACCATGACTTAAGAAGCTTTCAGACTAAATAAATAACTGGGAAGAGGGTTTAGGTCCGTATAAATAATCTTTCAGGAAGGCTATTTCCCTTCTTCCTGCTGCTATATACTTGTCCAATCCTTCATTATTTATCTAGCCTGAACGATCCTTTATGCGATCCAAGTTATATTTCATGCGGCTTACACTGACAATGATCACAAAGAATATTAACAAGGGGAAGGCACGGGTATTATGTTATAAATGTATTTTCAATTTCATCTCCATCTCCACACGATGGAGTTCTAAAAACGACTTCCATACCCGTGCCTTCCCCTTGTAAGATTCAGTTAGAGATACATGTAGATTGTATGTATGGGTTAACAAGCAGATCACGACGAGCAGGTGACGGTCACGTCTGGACAACGGTGATCATCTCAGCCGCGATATTCTGCTCTCCCGCTTACTACCTGGGCGTGAAATCATGGCTCTACTTGAAGTTAGAACCCACCAGAAGCGATCTCGAAGGTCAGTCCACCGTGGACAATACCATGGAGCCGCAGGAGGTGAATCGGCTTCTGTTCTTCCACGTTGTAGCCTGTCTGTTGTCCGGATTCCTGGTGGCTATCTTGAACGCAACCTACTTGCTCCTACTGAGCGGTTTTCATCAGAAGAGCCGCGACGGATTGATTGAGGCGATAGAGAAATATGGCACCGATGTTGCAGTTAAAGCACGAGTGGACGCTGTTCAGAATGAACTCGAATGCTGTGGAGATAACAGCTACGAGGATTGGTTCCGCGTGCCCTGGCTTAAAATGGCGATGGAAGGACCCGAGGAGGAGGAGAAAGGTCCTCGACTGGAAGAGCAGTGGGTATAATCGAACCAATTGTCGTTTAATCTCATTTCAACGCGTAGGATTCATGGAAAATAGCGAAATCCTGAATGGGACTCAAGTCCTTGGCATACTGTACCAGGACTTCGAGTCACAAGAATTTCAAATATTGTTAACGTTATAGGCCAGAGCCAGAGAACAGAGAAGAAGAATCACCGATACCTGCGGACGTACCTTTTTCATGCTGCTCAAACGACATTCCAAAACCCTGTGTTCATCATGACATCTTAAACCCGAGCGCAGTATATGATTATAACCCAAAGCAATTGACCATTACTACTCTTGGTTGTCGATCAAAGATCATCAACCGAGGTGAAATCATCAGAACATTCTTGGCCAGATATCTGGCTCTTTTATCCGTGTATCAGGTATGCGTAAAAGGAATGGATTAAAAATTAAAATGTGTTTGACTGTTACTTTGTTTTCAGATGGTATTATCTATCATGTCCCGTTTGCTACAAACTGCCCATAGTAATGAATTCTATATAGGACCTCAGAAGAGCCGTTATTATGTATGGATATTCCATAAACCTGAAGATTTATCTCAAACAAAGGACAGTTTAATATCAAGAAAAAAAAGCGAGCCTTTACGAAAACGACGTTCGAATCAGAGACTACCCTCTTCATCTTCGTCTTCGGAAAGCTTGGAAGCAGAAGAATCAGAGATTCCTATAAAACGTTACAGAAACAGGGCGAATAGTATGAAACTATTGAGGAAGATTCGTTCGAAAATCTCCTCTGTTAAATCCAAGAGTGTTCCTCTGATAAAGCGTTCAGTTTTATTCTCCAAGAAAAGAAGAAAAGAGAGGTATCAATCAGAAGAGGAGGAAGATGAAGAGACGAACCAGGAAGAGAACAGACTCCTTGCTAAGAATTTAACAAAATCTGAAGTTATCGTTAAGCAAAATAGCCGTCACACTGGCTCTCCATCAGCCAACTCCGTTTCCATAGATCTACCACCTCCGCCTCCGCCTCCGCCATTTGTGACCCTTAATTTGGAGGTAGAAAAAGATAGAATTACCTCATCTAAACCTTCTCGAACAGGCATGAATATTAACAGTCCATTGAGCAGAAGTATTATTAAGAACCAGAACTCTGGTAGGCGCGTTAAAGTGCTAGAGAAATTTGGTAAAATCTGGGAACATAGTCATCGAGGTACACAGCGCAGGGAGAGTGGAGGAGCCGATGATTCGAACGATAGTAGAAGTTCAAGATCAAATTGTTCGAGGACTCATCCAAAATTGAGTTCAACAGACGTTTACAATAGATTCCGTGGAACTCTTCAGCACACTTTGGCCAGACGAGAAGCCATCCACAATCGAAGGCACTACCCCCAAAATTTGGACATCAGAAAAAGTAACCTTCTGGCGAAGTTGAGATGCAACAACGTTCCACCTTGTTATCGTCTTCTGGCGAATGTCGAGGTTCAAAAGAGGGTCTTACAGACGTATCCAACGCCTCCACCTCCTCCTCCAATACTATCCGATACTTGTACTAAGCCAGACTTACCGATGACACGTAGAACAAAGACACTGAAACGACGACAATGCAGTATTTGCAATCGTCCTGTTCAGCAAACCTCAGACTCTTCCAGCGAGTCTCTGATGGATCATGGCACTCGAGCATTTTCCACTGGATGTTCAAAAGGAACGATTTGCGAGCCAGAGGAGGAAGAGAAGCATTTAAGAGAGTATTATATGAAATCGTCGATACCTCCTCAACATCGATGACTAAGTTCTAATCATTTGTAAAAAGGCTTATAGACATATCCTGCTCCTGCAAAATATATATATACGTCTGTATCAGTAAAGATTTTTATTAAATATAAAGAGAAAGGAAGTTGGCTGTGATGCAAATGGATTAACAAAGATCGGATGTAAAAATGTACATATATAGAGAAAATAATACCTGTTGAAGTGGACATCAACGACGCAATCGTACAATACTTGATGGTTTTATTTGCCGAGAAGTAAAATACACAGGCATTTGTTATAATAATGGTACTGCCGAAGAATACTTCTTACGTCTTTGTAATACATCTAGCGACAATACATCGGTACTAAAAAGAGAGAAGCTTATTTTTTTTTCATCAAATTTTTTTTCTGTTTACCAAATACTTTACAATGTTCACATACTATCTGTCTCTCCCTCTCTATGTGTGTCTCTCCCCTTGTACATCTTTGATTTTTTTTTTTTTTTTTTCATCATCAAGCTTTAAATATTACCCTAAAATCCTCCTGACTCGTCGCAATTCTTTTTTACTTCATTTGTCAAACTATATATTAGATAGCAATCGAGACGAGCTTCGAGAAGAAAGCCATCATCGTTTTGCCATCGTTTATCACGACACCTTGCACTTTTGCACGGTGGTCCCAATTGTGTTCAATCATCATACTTATTGCGTTAGTTCGATACACAGTACGCTACGCAATACTCATCAGGGGATAATCAAAAGTTGAATTACAACTTGAACTCGAGAGAAATCGCACGTTACAACCCCCCCCAACTCTACCGTCAAGAAAATTATCAACGCGTTGAATAATGAATTTTAATAAAAGAATACAGGTCTCTTACGTACGATCTATCTCGAGCGATTTTTTTTTCTTCTTAAGTTCCCCTTAAAAAAACCATCTATCAACCATACGGCCTAATTTCATCTGTTATATCACACGCTCATTTTCATTCACACCGTGGACTCCTTAACACCATCTCCACTCTGCTAATTTCATCTAATCGGTCTCTATCTAACGCGTGTCTATCTACAATATATCTGGCGTGTGTTTCTATACAATTCATCGTCTGTTGTTCGTTTCTGCGAATAGGTATTTAAAAGTACGCGTGTACAACACAGATCAAATAGATTTTTGATATGAGTTAATTGTATAATAACTCGTCTCAGATACGAGGTATTCGATCTTGTAAAATAAGTACACGATGTAGAATCTTCGATATAGGCTGGTGATTAATAGTAAACGACGAATAGTAACAATACGATATTGCTCGATCCCGTGTCGTGTATTAATATTTATACATAGAATATAATAATAATTATTATTCATAATTATAACGTTATCCGCTCTGCGAATATAAAGTAACGTTTCTTTCCTTGCACCCGACTCGTTCTCTCTCTATCTCTCTCTCTCTCTCTCTCTTTCATTGTTTCATCTAAAGATCTATATTTATTTTATTAAGAAAAAGGCTCACCGCGCTCGTTCTTTTATATATGCATGTACATGTCTATGTTATATTTATATATTTATAATCGTCTGTATATCTTTTCCCTCTCAGCGTAAACAATTACGATAGGCCTAACACATCTTTTTTTTTTAATAACAATCATCATGTCAGTATAACACGTCTCTCCCTCCCTCATTGCTCTTTTTCTCTCTCATTCATTCGTTTTCTCGAGACATTCTCTCATTTTCTCTGTAAGATCCTCTTAGTACGTTCGACCGGCGAAGCATCCAAGGGTTTTCTGCAAGCTACGGTACGCCCTTTCGCGGTCCCTTTGCCATCGTTTATGGCAATTCGACCTCCAATTCTGAGCTTTCCGTTTACGCCTCGATCATAATTAACACAATCAAAGGCAAGTTAACTCGTCGTTCGATCAATTCTCAATACGTGCTAACATATTTATCGAGAAATCTTTAGTATTACTAGATTTACATTAAGAAGAAACCATATCGAGACAAGTCCGCTCGTGTTTATTTTATTACACGTACAGAAGGAAAATTGAATTTTAACTACAATTACTTACACTTGTAAGAACTATAAAGGTATAACGAACGAGGTGTCCGTACACCATAAAGACCCCTGATGTTTTTTTTTTTACTAGCAATTGTATTCTAAACTTTTCTATCCAAGTAAGCGAAGATCGAATATAAAAGTATTGCTATGATAATACATGTATAATCGACTGACAGTTGAAGGGTTAAAGAATAACGATTATTCGACGTATGAGCGATAACGTACCAGCGTGAACGGAAAGTCAGGTACTGAGCGCTACGTGCGCAACTCAAATTTTTATATACCTGCGCCAAGCAGGAGTGGGGGGTACCGCCGCGCAAGCGAAGTAATGCCGAGCTGGGCCTTCCCCCACCACTACTCCTTCTCCAAGGTATACATAAGAGTGCAGTGCTGCACTTTTGGGACCTGTTGCATTCCTGGTGCAACGAGCATCTCAATAGGTCTTTCGTAGACCCGCAGAGATGCTTCTGACTTGTATGAAGTGGGCCTTAACGATGATCATTATGTGTTTTTAAGTAATAGTGATAATTTTGCCACAGCATTCGCTATCGCTTGGCCAAATTATATCTGTTGCAAGTATCACGATTAAAATTCAGAAAAAAATTGTGTACCGGAAAAATATATTAAATACATACGTGTTTGCTCGTCTATGTGATCTAGATAAGAAAATCTGTAATTTTGTAATTTTCTTTCTCATTTTCTCTCGTTCTCTTCCACCCCTCTCTCAATCTATCTGGGGGCTAATTTTGATGCTAACGGGGAGTCAACGTCAGCACTCTTTCTTTCTCTCTCTCTCTCTCTCTCGGCGTTCTCTTAAGGCTAAAGAGGTAAGTGTAAAGACGCGAATACTGTTAAGGCTGACAGCTGCTTCGAGAAACATCCCTTATGTCTGCGGTGTTGAATCCAGTCTACTGTAATCACGTTATAGTCCTCCTTTTTTCATCCGTAAATCGGTTTATAAAGAAATGCTCGCTACCGGTCAATAGCCATATTGTAATCAGTTGATCTTCCTTTAAAATAATGTAAAAAGTTACATAAAATATTAGATTTTCCAAGTAGCTAAATCTTGGAAGTAGGTATACAACGTGAATACTGATAGACATCGAAACAGGAAACCGAAACGGGAATCCCTCAAACGGATTATTCGTTCGTACAATACAAAGTAGAGGTACTTCGCTTTGTGTAAATACAATATAATGTACAATCTTCGTTTACTCCCTCAAATCATTTTCTTACTCAGCTCACTCGCTCTTTCTCTCTCTATCTTTCATTCGTTTTTCGTTTAATTTGGAGTTAAACCTTACTGTGACCCCCGTCACCAGAGCGCGGGGGGCGCGAAAAACGTAATCGACCTACGTTCTACGGTGAGTCGAGAGACAAAACGATGAAAAAAATTCTATCTAGACATTAAACACCCTCATTCTCTCCCTTTCTCTCTCAATCTCTTATATAATTATCTCACGACGACGTCCTCTTCGTTGCTTCGATTTCTTAAAATCAATCTTCTTCCTCGTCTCCGTCTCCTTCCCTCTTCCACCTTTCCCTTCATTGCTCTTTATTATTCTCTTCCATACATACTACGATCCCTTCCGGTTTTCTTCGACGTGTAGAACGTGCGGTGTACGCGTGAAAATAAACGGTAACTCGATTTTTTTATCCGAGTAGATCTTCAACTGCACAGCCCTCGATCCGGTCTAATAATCTCAAGACTTTTCCTCCTCTTACGATCTACTCTCCATCTTATGAAATTCACGCACGAGCTTTGTCTCTACCCTACCTAGATTTTTTATTCTACTACTGTACACTGATATATCTTGGTCGTAACGCTAATCGTGATAACAAATTACGTGGATACTTAGTTCACCTACTGGGGACTCGCTGTGCGTATGTATCGTTCACGTGTGCACTCCCACACGCTGTGCGATCTACGCTACCCTTTCTCTGTGTTCCTTGTGTTGAACTGTTACTGTGTTACTGTGAGTGTGTGTATGTACAATACAGGACTGGACCAATAATGGCAACGATAAGAAATTTGATAATTAAAGAAAGAAATAGACTGGTATGAATAAACATTTTTCACAATGAAATTCAACGTTCCATTATTCTGTCCAACCACTGTACAAGTTTATTTCCATCGTGGGCGAGAGAATGTGTAGATGTAACGATCGGAAAGATTACAGCGTGTGTGTGTGCTACCCGTAGACAACTGACGTTGTCTCCTTTCATTTTCTGTAATATGCTTCTTTCGTCGATAATCTGCGGTTAATCTTTAACCCTTAAACAGGCGCACACTTTTAACCCTTTGTCCGAACGATACAGATTTAATTAACGTAAGAGGAAACGAGGTAAATGAATTTTTGAAAAATCAAATTCCTCCCAAAAAGGTTAAAAGTGTAAGCGCTATCGCGATAGAGGAAGAACTTGGATAAACGTGCAATCGAAACGAGATATTCTTTACATTTTTAATCACATCTCTTTAAATCTTTTTAATACGTTCCGTGCGACGTGGATGGTTATACGCATTTATTAATGGCACAATTTTAATTAACATTAATACGTTGTTTTTCTTTTAGAAAATTCTACCAAGGTAATTGAATATCGTTCTGACGATAATAAATTAATATCTGTGCTCTTTTTCATTCATTTTCTTCATTTATGTGATCTAAATCTACCAAGAGAAATTGCCCCTTTAAGGATTAAAGACGGTGTTCGATAATATACGTTCGTGGAAATTCGTCGAAGAACCACCCAAGAAAGTGGATGGGAAAAATGAAACGAACGCGAACGAAAGAAGCTGTATGGTATCGTGGTGTATCGAGATAACTTGGCTTCTCTTTTGGATGGTGTTAAACGGAAAAACGCACAAGCAATGTATTATTCAAATAGAATTTACTTCTGACGTTCCTCGAAAACAAAAGGCACAAGCATAAAGTGGTACATTTGATCGATCATTTAGAATCTAGCGTGCTTTCTCAATATCGAGCAACAATCTAATTCGACTAACCGCGAATAAACTATTCAACAATTCGATCGTCAAGATCTCAACGTATAATTTTATCGGACAAGATTCGTCGATCTCCCTAACACTCGTTAAAAATCAAAATAACAAATCAAAAGGGAAACCGAAGATCGAAACGGGGACGGAACTGAATGTACGGTAAAAAAATCTTTCTATCCGTATCAATGAATCGTCTAATTTATGATAAACTCGTCTCTGCTAGAAGTATACTACGTAATTCGATGTATATAAATTAAATCGTATTTCGAACTTAAAACAATAACAAAGTAAAATATTCCGTAAAGTATAATGAGCACGAGTAAGTAAATTGAGAGTAATCGAGTGTGTCTGTTGTAAGTGTCGGTACTGATTTTATTCTAGACACTTGGCTGTTGTTATTGTTATTGTTACTGTTGTTACTGTTACTGTAGGTAGTGATAGTGATGGTGAATAATAGTGATGGTTGTATTGGTGCTGTTGGTGGCCGACGGGGTGCAGGTGGTCGAGAGTGGCCTTACTTGAGTAGCTGATGGGCTCGCTCGTTGGCCACCTTTATCCTCGTCTCGTTCGATTCGCCCTGCGTGCCAAAAAAACAAACAAACGAAAGATCGTAACCCAAAACTCAGGCGTGTGTAATCAAAAATCATGTTATTGTCGGCCTGTCGCGTTAACTTTCGTTATTCTGCGCTTTTTCATCGTCTAATCGTTCGTCCTCGTCGTTAACCAGTTAATTAGACAATCTGGTTTCTTTCAATCGAAGGAAGATATAGGGGAAGGCAGACCCCCTACCACTCGCCTGACACGATCGGGAGGCGTGGCCGAACTGCCGACGCGAGCCGAACCGTGCCGAGGGCGAAGTAGGCGTGGTCCAACTACCGAATCTTATAAAAGGTAGCAACAACGAAGACGACGAAACTGACGACCCTGTAGGGTTTCATCCGACAAATAAGATTCTAAATGGTTATAGATGTTACTGGTGTGTATGTGTGTGTGTGTGTGTGTGTTACGTATAGACGAGTACAGTTAGAATGAAAAGCTAGTGTACACCAGCTAATCGATACTAGGTCATTATCTTCCCTTCTAACGATGAATCACAAAGATATTAGGGTTCAAAGAGTGTTTGATTGCCTTTAAATTCCAACTGTACATCGTATAAAATAATCGTGAAACGTGGCGCAGAGATCATCAAACTGAACCGATGATAACCAAAAATGACGCGATTACACATAAGGGTTATACAACAGCACAGATTAATTTTCAACGACGTTATAATTAAGAAGACACTAAGAAAGAACGTTGCTAAAATCGTAACACGAGTCGATGTGATTAACCGGAAGGTTCGGCGATAATCGTTGTAGCGCAAACAGGTGGATCGAGTTGGAGACACGAGAGTTGGGTTGACGGTTTGACGGTGTCCGACCGACGACGAGAAGGCAGAAGAAGGGGTCGTGGGCATGTGAGCGTACAATATTTGGAGCTGATATATATATATACGTGTACATATATATATATTTTTGTTTTGTTTGACTATTTAGGGCTCGGAGGAGACGGGTACGTGGGCAGAGAGACGCATTTTACTTGAGCAGGGCGTGCGCACGCTGATTCGCCACGGCTATCCTCGTTTCGTTCGACTCGCCCTGCGGATTTATCATAGTTTGGATTTTGGTCACAGGTGGCATAAGAATGTGAATATCTTAACGAAAGGCAAGAGTAGAAACAGAGAAAAAGAAAATACAACAAAGAGTGTAAAAGACAGAAAAACAGGGAGGGCTAATAAAGCGTGTTAGGTGGCGGCGGAGGGATAGTTCCATCTTTCTCGTTGGTCAGCTAGGCAGCTCTCTTTCCTCTTGTCCATTCGTCATAGAGGAACATAGAAGACAGTGATAGTGAGCAAAAGAGGAATGACGTGGGGTTGTGCCAGGAAGAAGGGAGTACAGTTAAACCTGCCTTTCTCGAAATCATCCCTTCCTAATTTTTCACTTCTCCATACACTCATGAGTACGTAGAGAGGTCATGCTCTATTTTTATGGTGGAACCCTTTATGGCGCGGGGTCCGTACCGAAGAGGCATTTATTAAAAATCAAATCAAATGAAATTCTTGATTCAGACAAGTCTTACTGTACATAGGGGATGGCTAGTCGTGCGGTGCACGTGCGTACTCATGCCAAAGTGAAAACGAAACGATCGTCCATTCTCTACCCATACGCAAATTCATAGTTCTTGATCGCTATCATTATCATCGATCTAACATCCGACGATCGTTTCGTTCTCGCAAATAGAATTTCCGTGCCAATACAAAAATAATGTGTGTATACAGAGAAGTACAGAGAAGATAGAAATGTGCTCTCTCTCCTTCGGAGAGATAATCCCATCTTAAAAGTGTTTCAAGTCTATGGAACTAAGGGAGGGAGAATGCTACGATAAGGAACGGTAGTCGTACAACACGTTGCCCATCGTCGACGGCCAGAAATATTGTAATCAATCATCTCAGGAACCACGACTCGTGTGCTTTAGGAGATAAACTGGATAATTACTTTTCAAGGAACATCGACACGGAATTTGCGAAGATTTCAGGTAGGAATCGCCCGAGGGAACGACGGAATGTACATGTAAGAAAGCGAAAGCGACGACGAACGTGTTGTGCATCGCTTTGGGCGCGTGCATCGTGAGTCAACAAATCCACGCATGCTCCGTGGAGAGAAAAAATATAGCGGAGCTAATTTTACGGATCGAAATGATCATTTTCAACGGCTCTTTCGAGAAACCCATAGCTTGCCCTTTCCGTAGCTACTCGAAATTCACAGATCTTATATACATATATATCGACAAGGCTCGCGATGGACCGCTTGCGAGAAAGGATGGGGTTACACGCGCGACACCTTACGGCGATCACAGGAAAGGTCCAATCTAAATGATTTCCAAATTTATCTTACCTTCCCTTAGTAAGGGATGATATCAGTATCCCTCTCGAACCGAGAAAAATTCATGAAATCTTTGAAAACCGCCGCGTTAAGTGTCACAGGAGATGGAAATGTTACAGGAGATGGATAGAGCAAGCTTTGGATATATCCGCAACTGAACGACATCTCCGAGGTTATTTGCGACCGGTCGTCTCTGTATACGTTTCCTCACCTTGCGATTGATCCTGTCGATCTGCCGATTTTGATTCTCCAGCTCGCTGCCCATGTCGATCGCCATGTTTCTCAGATTACCGATCATCGTGTTCACCTGTCCCATGTTCTCCTCCATCTCATTTTCACGGGCATCGTTTGTGATCTTGGCGATGTAGCCGCCCTGAGGGCCGAGTCCGTTGCGATCGTCCATCACCCGTTGAGGCTGGTTGTTCACCACCTTACCGTCATCGTTGCCCTTCCAGGTTCCCTCGTCCTCCTTGAAGCTGGCACTCCTGTGGAAACGCAGACGTTCGTTAGCCAGATCGTACCGTACACGAATGATTTGATTAAAAACACCAAAGCGGAGGTCATAGACTTGTGAAGTATATTTTGTAACGGTGTGCTGATAACCTATTTAATTATGTTAGCATATGGCGGATAGATTAAAGAGAAATATTAATGTCGGCGATAGAGTGTGTCTGTAAAACAAAGGGTTCAGTTTTAGATAATAGGTAAAAAGGTTAAAGCGATCAGGGACAGTCCTACTTGTTGCATGGAAGAACGCAGAGACCGCAGCACTTTTCCATTCCAGTCAGATTTTTCTCGGCTTCGCGCATGTCGGCGTTGATCTGGTCCATACCCTCCTCGATTCTGTCCAGTTGTTCTGTTTCATCGTACGAGAAGATAACGTTAATACAATTCCACATAATTCCCTGGTTGTTACGTCCCGAAAGAGAACAGACAGTCGGATCGAAAATAAAATCCACGAATTACTTGTACTTTTCTACGTCGTTCAGTGTACTCAAAATAAGAACAGAAAAAAGAACTTTACCTTTGCACTTACTGGGGAGGGTGAAAAGAAAATAAATACTGTCCGATTCTCTTTCGAGATAATTGTATACTTTGCTTTGAAAAAATTGTAAGGGTTCACAGGGCCGCGTCTAGAGCTTTTTCAGTCCCTGGGCATACCAATGAAAATCGAGGTTCTTCTTATATGTATATATTTTTTAATTGAATTTAGAAATTGACAAACACCTCTATACGGACCCTAAGGGTACTTTTCTATTTTGCCCAGGGGTAAACGCGACCCTGCTTCGTCATTTTCAAGATCATCCAAGAAGAGAGACAAAACTAATTCTATATTAATTTTATATTGCTCTCTTAAATAATAATATATTTCAGAAAATCATCTCCGTTCTGTGATCTTATATGACGAACATCGGGGCTTTATACTCTACAAGGATCTGTCGAGAGAAACACAATTTTACTTCAATCAATCTCTCGATTAGTTCCCTTAAGAAATAATTCTTATATTATATTGTTATACGATAGAAACGATTTCTCTCGACGATCGATCCTCCGAGGTGTAAAAAAAAAAAAAAGAAACGAGTGCAACGAAAGTGCAACAGCTAAGCAAATAAAGTCTCCCTACTAAGGGCTCCTAAGATCGGGTGAGTAGCTCTGTATGTACTGGGGTGTACGGTGGAGAGTCTAAGGGTACTGGGTACGAATTGAATCAAGTATAATATATATATATATATTTACGTTGAGTAACGCGCTGATGCAAAAATGTGCCGGGTCAACATAATACACAGTAGATTGGTACTTTGACTTACACCGTGTGCCGGAAGTAACGGAGGGAGGCGTTTAAACGTGGTGCGCGCGTGTCGTGCGACCCGATACATCTGTATTCTCTTGTTTTCTCTGTTTTTGTATACTTGTATTTGTTTCTTGTTTAGTATATTTCACTCTCTGTTTGGTTTTCTTTTTCTTTTTTACTCGACTATCTTTCTTTTCTATTTCTTTTTGTTCGTTCGCCTTCGTGAGATTAACGTTCACGGTAGGAAGCGGAGTAAGAGTTGGAGGAAGAAGCTGACGGAGAACGATAGGACGCATCAGAGAAGAAATATAGAATCGATAGAAAGAAAGCTGTTTAGAGAGAAAAAGAAAGAAGCAGAGGAGAATAGAAACGAAGGGGTGGGTGAAAGGGAAGAATATTGCAGAGCGAATAATCTGATCGCTTGAAACACAAGAGCGAAGAAAATTTTCAAGCTCCAAGGTCTGGAACGGTGAATGCAACAGGGAGAGAGAATGGTACAAAATGGTCAGTAACGAAGTAACAAAGGGTGGAATAAAATAAAGATGATTATCGAACGTAAACGATCTGAATGCTGAAGGGGAGGAGTGAAGATATGTCGGTATAGAACGAAGTCTTTCTCGGTGCTTTGGGTTAGTATTACACCTGTCTGACTCGAAACTAAAAAACGATGTACACAAGGTATTGCAAACAGTGTCTGGACGATATTACACGCAATTAGTGTCGTGTGCGGTCGTATATATCTATGTTGAACGTACAAATATTATACGGGGTGTGGCTGGAGGGCTGGTACAATCGGACGAGGGAGTAATTCCTCGTGGAAAAATGAATGAAAAATATAAAACAAAGTTTTCCATTTCGTATAAAACGATTTGTTTTCAAATCGAACTTCTTTTTTTAAAATAATTAAAATTTTCAATTTTTTAATTTCTCTCTATAAATAACTTAATTTCATCATTTTTATTCATTTCGCACAACGAATTAATACAAAGTCCCAGTGTACCACTGTTTACAGACACATCCTGTATAGATACAGGGTGAAGAACATATGGAGAATATAATATATAATATAAAAATACATAATAGTCGTCGGTCGTTGCTTTTGTGTCGGTCAAGACCAGATATATATATATAAGAATCTTTGTAATAGACGTTTTACGTAAAGTTTAATGTTTGTATGTCTAGATTTTGAAATGGCTTACCGCCTTGCTCGTCCAGCATTACGAGGGTTTTCATCCCGACCTCGTGGCTCTAAACAGGCAACCGACCAATCAGCGGCGTGTTAAACGTGAAGGAACAGGAAGCACCGTCGATACGCTCCCTCGCTTCGATCCAGAAACATTTATCATTTTCACTTTTATTTCAAACGAGCGGCTATTTTTTCTTCGTTTTTATTTGGAAACGCGTTAATCCACCGGATAATCGGAGAGTTAGCTTGTCTAACGATAATAGAGGTAAATCTACGGGTTAAGAAACTTGATCAAAGCTACAGGGTAGTCGAATTTTCCAAAGTATTGGAAGATGAGCGAGGGGCGCGTACGACGATATTTTTATCCTGATTAGTTTTTTTTTTTTTTTAATCTACGGCGGGTCAGGCTCTGCTGGAGGACCAGGATAATCTTTGTTGACGTGAGCGAGAAAGAAGAAGAGTTGGATTTACCAACTGAGAAGCGACAGATTTTGGGAACGATAGATTTTAGAAGAAGACACAGAGATGAAAATTTCCGGATACAGTGAGATCTATCTATGGTACTGCCTTTTTTCATTAAGTCCTTGGATCATTTTGATTATTTAGATCTGCTAGGTAAAGATTCTTCTACGAGCTGAAGCTTACAGACAGATTTCACTGTGATTCGTTCGATTTCTTTAAAAACTCAATCGTGTAACTTGTAACAGAGAGGAAAAGAATCTGATGAAAATTCTGGTAACAATCGGAAATGGTTAAACGAATCAGGAATCTAATGAGATTAAGATGGTCGCTGATCGGAGGTTGGTAAATCCAACGCTTCTTGGATCGAAGAACGCATGAGGATCGGGGGATAATTAATTAGCATGTCGATCTGTGAAATTACCAAGAACAAAAGATTAGGCAGTTAAAAATACAGCATTACTAACGGCGACACGTGGTTAATACGTTCCACGTGTATCGTTATTTATTATGGGATTATTTATGGCTCAAAGAGTCTCGTCTGCTGAACGAATGAGGGAATGAACGGATGATGGGAGATCGATGGATCAATCGATGAGTCGAATCGAATCGAGCCCGAGTCGGGTCAGATGATAATATTATGCGAGAAGTCGAATGGTTAAATAGGAATAGACAAAAGGCAGAAGCAGATTAAAGGAAGAAATAAAGACACGCTTCGTTTCCAGTGTAGGCACTCAGAGTACCGTGGCGCTGTAAGATTACAGAATTAGAAGGTTGTTTTTAGCTAAAGGACAGAAAAAAGAGATCAGAACCAGAGTTACACGCGTGTTCGTTTCTTAATCTTTCGAATTTATAGAAATATATATATACATATAGCGTCGTATATGTAGACGTGGTGTTAATTAGTTATTACTATCAGTTGTTAATTGACCGATCTCGCGAAGCGAAACGAAGCAAATACAACGCGAGAAAAAACACAAACACTATTTCATTTTTTTTACTTTTCGTTCACTGAAATTATTTATCACGGTTTGGAACACGTTCCGTGCTAGCTGAAATATCATTTTTAATGATTTTCATCATTATAATCACCGTGGACTATTAGCGACTTGTTAGACACGAAACGTGCTCCCACGTTAACCCCTGACTAACGGACTTCCGGGTCCATTTATACCCAGTCAGTACACTAGTTAATTTACACTGAGATTATCATTATTTCGATAAACTACTTTTAAATATTACCAATTCCAGATAAGAAAAGAATTATATTTAATGGATCAAAAATATGCGTTAGATATTTTTACGAACCTAGGTCAAAATGGACCCGAAGCCCACTATTAATGGGTTAAAAAAAAAAACGCGTATTCCCGAAAAATGATCACATTGAACGTGATGGTAATATGTCTGTTTGCTTGATATTTTTCGTCACTTTGCTCTTGCCTTTCTTTTTTTTCTCATTCACATTTTTAATTCATTTCTTTAGAAAAGAATCTTCGAAATTCGTTTCTTTGATTTGTTGATTGTTGGTTTTGCATATTGCTGAGGGAACTGCTTACCGCCTTGATGGTCTAACATCGTCAGAGTGTTCGCTGCGACCTCCTCGCTCTACGACAGGGTCGAAGGGCCCACACGTTAACGGAAATGAAAGATCGTTCAGTGATGCGCGTGAACAACTGCGAAATTAAGTCAGAGACAAACAAGCAGACCACCCGTGCACGCCTTGCCACAAAAATCTCATCGTTGACCTTTTTAGAAGACGAGTGAAATTAGAATTGAAATTCCATTAATAATTCGTCCATTTTTTAAAAGCTCGAACATTCAGAATAGAAATTTGAATTTTGTTCGTGTGACAAAACGTGCTGGGTTGTAATCAAAATAAAAACTCCATATTAATCTACGAAAGAAACGAATTCTGTTCAAGGTGTCCGTTCGTCGAAACTAATAACGTTCGTTTAATCAAAACAGAAGTTAGAAACTTTCGCAAAAGATACAGCGAACGAACACCTTGAGCAGTATGAATAAATCAGAAGAAAAGACACGTTAAAAAAAAAAAATCGACGAAAAGATAAAGGAGAAAAGATGACGCGGACGAAAAGAATAATGAGAAAGATGACGATGAAAATCGTAGCTCTAGAGCGAAACAAAAACTGGAGCGAGTCGCTAGGCTAAAATATTACAATGTTTCAACACGTCCACACGGCGACATCGACGTAACGTCTGCTTGCACCATGCGCATCGCCATTGGCTAAAGTGATATGACTTCGCAAATAACGATACCGAATATTTCCACAGCATCAGGGGAGGCGAGAACGTAGCCAGGTTCTCGCATTTCAGGGTGAAAACTCGTTATAACGTGTGTACAGTCGCGTGCAACGATGGCTTTCGTTGGTACAGAGGAGTGGGATTAGAGGCGGAGTCTTCCCCCACTCTTCTGCCTCAATGACGCTTCGCCCTGCCCATTAGTACGCAAGGCGAGTGGTGGGAGACCACCTCCCTCCACACCTAGAGGCGTGGCTAGTAGGCAGGGCCTTTCTCCGCTATCCGGGCTTGGAAAAGAAAGGGAGCCATCATTGCGCGCAATTGTAAACCGGGACGAACAAAGAAAAAGAACTAACTAAGATTAGCGACCTGTAATTATTCTACTCTGGGCCGCTTAACTTTCTCTCTCGTCGTTGTTTTCTCTGTCAAAAACAAAAAGCACTACTTTCTGACTCGAATGGTATTCAACTAATCGCACTATCGCATGTACGTAGACGACGGTGTTAATTAATTTGCAAGATAACAAGCGGAGGGCGATAATACCTACTTGGTAAGACGACGGTCGACAAATAAGTACGTTCGATGCAGAAGGATTGTAAATCAAGGTAGAGACAGAGAAATATATATGTATGTACATACATACAGAAATGTGTCGAGTATCTATAGAAGGTGTCTCAAAAAAGACGTACACCATGAAAATTGAGGATTCTTTGTGAGAGAAAGGAAATCGAAAGGTTCTCTGTTGAATTACAGACTATTTAAGCAATACTAATATAATATAGGAAATTGAATAAATCAGATCAAAGTTTAGCATAGTGGGCGGCGCCAACCGCCCCTTGGGGGGCGTTGACCAGAATTAAAGGAGGCGTTGGCCTAATCTAAAAGGGGCATCGACCTAATATAAGAAGCAGGGTTAAACTACTAGTATTATTAATACAATGAAGTTTTCATCAAAATTTCTAACACTCTATAAAACAGTAACAGACTTTTCGACTTCCTTTTAACACCCAAAACGTACAGTTCCCACGATGTACACTTTTCTAGATACATTCTGTATATGTATATACATATATGCATATGTACATAGGGATACGAAAGTTACGATAGAGAGAAAGAATAAAAAGAAACAAACATCTACCGCTAAAGACGTTTACGAGTTATCAGGTATCTGATTAAAGTAGTCACACTAATTTATACAGGTTTATATGCGTACACACACGTGACTGTTCCCACATATGAATACGTATATAAACGCTATCTATCTATATAATAATAATAATAATAATAACAATAATAAAATGTATATATTCGTATACGGATAGATATATACATGTATAATAAATATGTACGTAATACACGTTGACTGAAAGCGACACAGCTAAAAGCTTCGTGTGTTTGGCTACCAAATAACAAACAAAATTTCAAAAAAAAAAAAAAAATGGAGTACACAATCCAAGGAAGAACGCGTGTAATTGTGAGAAGTAAGAAAGATAGAGACTGACAAAATATACAGACGTATGCGTCTAATCGAGATGCATACATATACACACGAGATACATGTCTACGCATCGAGTACTTTATTAATTGCTGTGTTGTATGTAGAGATAGGTTTATTCGAAAGAGGAAAGTAAAGAGACATAGAAAGACAGAAAGAAATAGAAAGAGAGAGAGAGAGAGAGAGAGAGAGAGAAGAAGCACGGAGTAAAGATCTGAAACAGGACGAAGGAAGAAAGACGTGGGGGAGACACAAAAGGGACGAAGAAATCAAACAGGACGTTTAACGAGTTGATCTGATATACGCGTATGATGCTCTGTACAGATTCGATTCGAGTATAAACAGCATTTCCGGCCTTTTTTATTTTAAACGTATTTCATGTACTGGCAAATAGCATCAGCAAATAGCAGCACCAGCGAGTGACGTTTGTGGCATGTAGTCAGTGTGTTTGGTCGTATATTTTTTAGTAAGTAGCAGTGATAGTGTCGTTTCTGGTGAACCTTTTGCAATAGTTCTGGGAGAATTTTTCCAAAGAAAGAAATCTTAATTCGTGCACCGGGTCGAATTGAATCACCTTCAAACCCAACACTTTTGCAGAAGGCGCACGGTGGCAAAGTTAAAATGTCAAAACGTAATTAGTAGTGTTAGCGGTGTATAGTAGGTTAGTAATCGTAAGAACGACAGTAGTACAGTATCAAAAGTAGTAATAGTAGTGGTAGTATTTGTGTAGTGGTAGTTGGCTGTCGCTTTTCTTCGTCAACCGCAATCTCGCAGCGTCTCTCGTTTGATACTACCGCTATAATGTTGCACGTATTCTAACCGGTCTTCGAAAAAGCATGATCTACCGCTACACTTTTCTCAAAAACTTCATCGAGCAGGGAGTTGCGTGTACGATTCTACAAGTATCTTTCGTGGCAGTGTAGTCAATAAAAAAGAGAAAAAAAAAAAAAAAAGTGAACTCGTATAGCAGATGCAGGAACATTTCTATGGGTCAAGACGACCCCTGCACCCGTCGGCGTCAGTCCCAAAGCATCCCGTCTTTCGAATCGAAACTCGAGAACAGAGGGAAATTTCGTTTCGTGGAAACCGCGCGACCTATGGTAACCATTGATCGAAACACGATCGGGGGCGTTCGTTTACGGTACATAGAATGTTCTATTAAAAGAACGCCTTCCTACGACCCGTAATGAATAAACGCGACGGATGGAAAACAGAAAGGGCAAAAAACTGGAAAGGAGAGAAAGGTAAATATACAGGTCGGCTCAAAAGAGATATCTTTCAATTCCATCCGTGGCAAAAGAAACTGAGAAGTCTTCTAATCAGGCTTATTTGATTTTTGGAACAGCCTGTATAGATCTTAAAGCGATCAGCTGATTCTCTAACATTCAGATTATTCTTACCCCTTCGTTTCTATTACCCAGGTAGAATTTTTCGTTTCGACAGGTGTACATTTCTTCTGAGACGACCTGTACATCGCAACATCGTACCGATTTGCGCCTCCTGACTCGCAAAAGCGACGTGCCCGATGAAAATCCGAAAAACGAGCCTCTAAGTCGGAAAAGGAAAGGATATCGTGCGACACGAGTCTCTCTCTGTTTCGTGAAAAAGGTCAGGAGGTCGCGGCAGAATTGTTCTCGAGGATAAGCGACCGTGGCGAACCGTCTATCGATTTTCTTTCGACACGAAAGAACACGGTGAATAAAAAAAAAGAGAGATTCTCGGCCACGTTACTTAATCAAAAAAAGAAAACAGTCGTCTGAGGGATTGATTTAAAACAGAAATTAATATTCGCTCGAATCGCGAGGTCCATTTGTGACTTTGTTCAATCGTAACGTCAATGGACACAGAAAGAAAGCATACTGGGTACAGAGATGTTACGATTAAATGTAAGGCTAAAATGATGTCCACTGCGACAGAGGCGGTGATTTTTAATTGAATAAATAGAGACAGCGGAGGGGGGATGCCTCCCACCACTTGCCTTCGGTAGTGGGGGAACCGAGGGAGGGCCTAACTTGGGACCTCCTACTTGAATCAACGAGACAGGTGGGGGATTCCTCCCCTACATTTCTCCTTAACCGAAGAAAGCCTAAGTTACACCTTGACCATCCATCCCAATGGACGTCATTTTGCACCATCTGACCCTAGCCTCGTTCAAGTTATAGTAGTTCCTTCTAAATGAAAGAAAATATCTCTTCCGTTCGATCGCAACGAGACGATTTAATTCCTGCGAGAATATAACCTTCCCTCCTAAAAAGATAAGATTCTCGAAGGTCCGTATCAAAGGGATAAGGGAGAAAGCTCGTTGGTGCTCAGGGTGTGGCACGACACAAGGTGTGTATCAGTGTTTGTGTACAAGTGTAAGAGGAAGAGAATAAAAACAAAAAGGTAAGGGGGTACCTTCTTTTTCTTCTTGTTTACTTATATTTCTAAAAAGCGATTCACTCACCTCCCTGGTCGTCGAGTGCAACCAGAGTACGGATGCCAGCCTCCTTGCTCTACGACAGACAGAGGCAGCACAACACAGACAACCACCACCAGTGTTAGAGAGTTGTATCTTTTTTTTTCTTTTCTTTTTCTTTTTTTCTTTTTTTTAAATTTTTTTTTTAGTAGTAAGTATATAGTAATATTAGTAGTATATTAGTAGTAGTATATAAGTATTACGTTAGGTAAGAGAACGGAGGGTGTGACGGAAGTCGATGGAGAGAAGTGGGCGAAAGCAAGCTTATAGAGTTAGGGTATAAATTTTCTATACGCAAAAAACAGGATAATAATAATAATTATCTTGACCGGGTCTCTGGGCTTTGTTTCTGTACGCGTGTTAATTAAATCGATCTTTTGATCGTTGGATTTTTTTTTTTTTATGTTTCTGATGGATGCGACGCTGTCTTTAATTTCTTTCCATTGGACGCGTTCACGACGCACGATGAGTTGTATTATTATTTATAAATATATATATATATATATATGATCCTGCCAGTGATACAGAGACAGGTGGGCAGACAGGTGAACAAGCAACGAAACGTATACGGGTTATTGTTTTTTTTTTTTTTTTCAAATATAATATTCTCGGTTCGAATGAGTATATATCTCGATCTCTATTTTATATAAGGCTTGTCGCTTGTTGTTGCTGTTGTTGTTCTTGATGTTGTTATCGATCATGACGATGTTGTTGTTGTTGTTGTAGTTGTAGTTGTTGTTGTTCCTGTCGCTCTGTAACTGTCGTCGCCGTAGTTGTAGGTTTTTATTTATTTATTTACTTGTTTTTTTTTTTTTTTTTATCATTCTGTTAGATCTTCCTTCTGGCTAATCGAGATTTCGTTTACAAGCGTGAAGGCTCGCACACAGAGATATTCTCTATCGATTCTTTTCTCTCTATGTATATATTTATATTTGTTGTTTTTTTTTTCTATTCTGTTTGTACGTAGTCTTTTTATCTGTTTCGTTAACGCGCGACGAGTTTAAAACAACACAAAACCGCTGTTTTTATTTATTTTTTTTTTTTTTTCAATTGGGAGGAAAAGTTTGCTCGAGGATCCCTTTCGTTCTTTAACGGATACCACTTCCGGCCCTGTCGAACTGGAAGAGGATCTCTCTGGTACGAAAAGAGATCGAACAATAGAAAAAAGAGTGTAGAAAGAAATAGAAAGAGTGACAGAAAGAATACTACTCGAAGAATGTTCAGAGTCTGAAAAGTTGAAAGGAAAAAAAAAAAAGAAAAGAAAAGAAACAAGAATATTTTAGAATACAGATTCAAAAATACACATAATAATTATTAAAGGTGTGCGGGTACCCGAGCCTCGGGTCAAGGTACACACATCCCTAATAATTATCGTTCGTAACGAAAAGTAAATTGCACAAGACAAAGAAACAAACGAAAGGTCTCGGTCGTTTTGAGTCGCGAGACACGAATTCGTCGGAAATGATTATTCTTTTTTTACCGAAAGCGAGCGCTCGCAAGCGAAATCTCGGGACTCAAACGGGCGAGAGAATTACCTGGACAAATGCAAAGTAGAACACACGCACACAGAAGTGGATGAACGGGAAGAGAGGAGAAGGAGAGCATGAAGAGAGCGGCGAATGAGAGAGAGAGAGAGATATATATATATATATAAAGAAGAGCAAAGAAAAGGAGCTTCTGGAACGAGTAAACCATGAGGAAGAATAGCGAGCTTTGTAAATCGTTGTTTCAACAAAACGATACTTATCTTTCTTTAGGTTTTCTTTCTATCTTTCCCTTGCAATTCGAAGCGACCCACGAGTGCCAGAGATCTCGTCGACCTCTGCACTCCAGTTGTTCTTCGTGATGCAGGTGAACGAACGGTACGATCCGAATAGACGGAGATAAGAAAAGAGAAAATTTCTAAAGGAATAATTGATGAGAGGTCGAAGGTATTCGAGACTGCAAGGGAATTCTTTGAGCGATATTACGAGGAGTTGGTAAATATAAACGAGACTTTATAATTAAATCTAACAGAAGTTCGATTATTGCATACCAGATACTCAATTTTGAATTATAGAAAGACTGGTGTAAGTTTGGTAACATAACAGTGCCATTTAACCATACTTCTATGGTCATCGAGTGGTGTCAGAATCTCCACAGAAATCAGAAGCCTAAGGATCTTCACAAAGTTAACTTTACCTAACACCAGAACGTTCTTAAACCCCTGTTAAAGCTAACTATTACTGGAACAGCAAAACACTCTTAGACTCTGCTAAAGTTAGCTGCAACTGGAGCACCCTTAAACTTGATGAAACTGGACGCTATTGGAACATCAGAGCATCCTTAGACTGCAATGATGATAAAACCTTGATTCAGAAGAATCTTAACCCTTGTAATTGTCCGGAATAAAAGAAATTCATTGAAAATTTTTGAAACAGTCTCGTTTATACTTAATCGATACCCCTAACCAGGGGTTTGAATTTCCTCTCTCATGCTCATTGACCAGGATATATTAAAAAAAAAGAAAAAAGAAAAAAGAAAAAGAAATAAACCAATATGCTCCTTTTCTCGTTCAGCTAGAAAGAGAAGCGTGCGCATTCGTCCGCATAGGAAAATGTGCATGAATTTATCCGTAGATAAAGAAATCGTGACGACAGGGGGTGAGCGGTTTGTCTAGGTGGTGGGGTATGTAGTTTCTCGGAGTATTTACCGGAATATTTTATCCCGACAATGTTTAAACGTGACACTGCTCTCAAAGTCAGTGTGTCGAGTATTCTCAGGTAAATACTCTTTGTCAAACACCGTGCACACAAAGAGTTAAACGAGAGTGGTTTTATCGGACGCATGGTGGTGGTGGTGGTGGTGGTGGTGGTGAGTGATGCGTGTACAGGCGAATGCCACCCTCTATACGCGAAACAAACGAACACGATAGACAGACAGACAGACAAACAGAGACTAGAATGATTGGCAAGAGATTAAGACGAATCCGTGGAAAGCAAATAAAACGAATCGAGGAGAAAGGATGATACATGGAGATACATGAGGCTGCTGACTCTGACAAAGAGTCCTTCAAACTGACAAAGAGACGCCCCCAAGGGTAGAGATGATATTTCTATGAGCTCTTGTATCGCGACAAGGTTCCTTTATTTAAATCTTGACAAATTTTACAGCAGTCCGGAAAATTTCCGTTTATTTTCTGAATATCTGCAATCTTATCCAGCCTTACGCTGATTTTATTGAAACAGCACTTTACACTGTTCAGATTAGATAAGAATCTTCTACTATCGGACATTTTCTTGAAGCTTGTTTAAATATCAACAGAACCACTGAAGGAAGTCTCTTTGCAATTAAAGAGCGATACAGCTCGTCCGTGGAAGTTGGATCGACTTCCTAATTGGACCAGCTTCCTCTCTTTTACTTAACTTGTGTTTGCTGTGAGTAGGTGAGTGAATGTCTGTGCATGGATCGTTACGGAGCTTCGATAATGATTTCGAGCAAGAAAAGTGACAGCACGATGCATCGAAAGAGGAGGAATGACACAGTGTGTTTTGCTTTTCTTTTCTCTCGTGGAGGACAGGCAAACACACAGATACACAGCCAGGCAGCCAAGACAATCAGGCGGCAAAGTTCGCGAAGACTTGACAATATTTTTTGAAAAATTATTTTCGAGCTACAAAACAGGCTAGATTTAATTTTGCTTCGCGAACTCTGCAAGCAATTCGACGGCAAACTTTTCTTCTAAAACCTAGACCAAACCTCGGCAAACCTCGAGGTGTAGTAAGTTTCGTTAGAAAAAGTTTGCTAGCAAGCGGGCGGGCGATTATAGCAAGCCAAAATAGTGTAATTGTCGAATGTGTAAGCAAGCGGACACACACGTGGGCACACACCGCACACGTGAGAAAAAAGAAAAATAAGAATTACACGTACATACACAGCCAGCAACACGGACAATATCAAGTTTGATGCCCGGTTCAGCCAGCAACAAACGGATACACAACTGGTAGAAGCGACAGAATTTTTTCGACGGCCACCGATGCTGAAATATCGCGTCTTCATTTTCCTCGATTCACCATCGAGAAAACTATCTTTCTCTCATCGGTTATTGCTGATTTACCGTCATTTACCTGTCTCGGTTGGCCTCTAACGGTCGTCGCTTGAAAATCATAGGTACTTTAGAAAAATCATACTTTCCTAAGGTATCGCTATTGGGACGGAATTCTTTTCTCGACGATTGGTCTTCCTTTCTTAAATTTTTAATTTTCCAAAGATTTACCCGATTGCAAATAATTTTTTACTCTCGATTAGATTCGTTGGAAATACCTACAAATGGATTTGGACATTTTCGAATATCGATCGTCGAGTCAATAATTTCTAGAAAATGAAAAGAAAGAGAAACTGAGAAGTCGAGGGTGGGAAGATATTGAAAGAATTTCTGACGTAACGAACGGAGAAGATGAAGAAAAACACAAAAGAGAAAATAAATTCAAGAAAAAAAAACCCCTATTTCACCCTCTATACTTAATCGCTACGACCGTGATTGAAAAAGCTGAAGCACAACAGTCTCCCGCATACGTATATAAAAACGATGATCGTTAAATGGTACCGCGTAGATCATCGATCTTTCGTCCTTCCTTCGAAATCATATCGCGTCAAGAGCGATTCTATTTTTTCCAAGTAGCGTCCTTTCCAAAGACCCTGTCGGGATTCACCGTTGCTGAAAAAAAAATATCCTCCACCACGGGTAGCATTAAGAGTAATTTTCTTTTCTTTCATTTTTCCGATCCGGGTTTCGTTCGTTTAGTCTCCGTACACATCGACAGAATCATCGACTGACATATCGACAGCAGTTTCGTGTACAATTATGATAAATACGCTACTGACCAAAATATTGGAACCGTTACCATTAATCTAAGTAATTACAATTAACCCTTCTACAAATAAAACTGAAAGAGTAGATAAAATAAAAAATTCTAAATAACATCCGTGTTATATTAATTTTGGGAAAAGAATTAAGATTGAAAAATGCAACTACCCTATTCTGAAAAATGATAAATTTTCTAAATTGGAGCTATCTCAAAATCTTCTCGAGTTTTAATTTAAATATTAATAACACCCGTGGTTTTTTACATTTGGTACATGAATTCCAAAAGTTTTGGAGAGTAGAGCATTATATGGGACAGCTTTCCAATGGTGTCCCGTGTGTATGAAATATTGTACGTACACTAACGATAAGATAGTCGGTCGTCGTCTCCAGTGCTCGAAAATGCGACACGTGCTAATTAGTGCAGCCACAGATAAGTAGCGAAAGAAACTGGAATGAAGCGACGCAACAACCTTTCAACCCTCGCATCTTTTCATTTAGCTTATTGATTAAGTATCATATTTAAAAAAAAAAAAAAAAGAAGGTGTGTGATTGAAAGAAAAAAAAAAAGATTGCATAATATTTGGGTTATTGCGTTCGCTCCTTCGACAATTAATCAACGAGTTAAATAAAAATAAAGAATAAAAACATCGGATGTACACAGTTAAAGATTCCGCACACACTTATAGAGACGTACATACATATATCGAAGAATAGATACGTCGAAGATACGAGCATAGACAACGAATAAATTATGCATGGGAAGAAAAAAATTGCGGACAGCTGAAGAACGTAGACAAGAGAAACGAGCACGAATGCAAGCGTTTATTCTATTTCTTTTTATTTGAAATTAAATTAAAAAATCTTTTATTATATTAGGTTTGTGCAAAAGGGTTTGTTATGAGAACTCAGGAAGCCTACAGGGAAGGGAGGACTCCAGAACATCGCCATTTCCTTAGGAAAGGCTACTTTCCTCGACACTGTACTATCTTAAATTTTTTCAAAAATAAAATTCCTTAAACCTTTTTGCACCAATTTACTGAATTATTATTTTACTCCCTTCTAATTTAATTTATTGAAATTTCTTTCGTTTCGCACGACGTGCATTCGTGCTACGGATTACCGTTCTCGGACCGCGTCGATGCGTCGTCTTACAATTTCTTCCGTTGTACACATTCGCGACGATCCCATCGGGAACGAAGGTAACGTACAAGATAATTGCATTTTGCACCGATTGCGATAGTTCTTTATCATTATTATTCTCTTTCCTCCGTTTTTCTCTTCAAGAGGAAAAACATTATCCGTATGGTCTCATTGTGGAGAAAAACACACACAATGCCACGATATCCCCGGACGGCCATTATTATTTCGTTTACTTCCGTCGTTGAACGACGTTACCGTATCGAGAGACACAGGAAGGAAGTGAAGGATACTTCTGGCGCCGGAGCTGGGTCAAATACTATTTCAAGATTCTTTAACACGCCGCATAAATTTGACCATTTTTTTTTTCTTTTTTTTTTTCATACGCACATCGAAACTTCTTCGTCGTTTTCACTCGTTGGAAAATTCGCACGAAAGAAATTGCCCTTCCTTACAGATTCGTCTACACACCGTTCTCTCTCCTGTACTTTTTACTTTTCGACTATTTACCGAAATAGTATTTCGCCCACCTCTCTCCAGCGCGGTTCCATCTTTTTTTTTTTTTTTAAAAAAAAGCTATTACTTTTTTTTTTCAAAGGGAATCGTTCCGTTTAGGTTGCACAGTTTACCAAGGACAATGACCAGGACGCCCATATCTTTCTTTAGCCGCGATAAGAAACACGCAACGAGAAATTCACCAGCGACAATTATTTCCTATTCTATGAGACAGACATCGTGGGAGAAAGAATCACCGGGGATTAGATCGCTATTAGTAACGAGGATCGAGAGGATTAGTACCGAGGATGATCGAGGATGAAGGTTAAATGCGTATTAAATATAGAAGAGAATAAATCATTTGTTTTCAATAGGGACGAAAGCACTCACCTCCTCGCATAGTGCCAGCATACGCCTCGTGCTCTCCAGGGACTGAAACAAAATAAAGAAAACAATATTATTTCTTTAAATAATAATACAGGATCGTAGCAGAAGTTAAATATACAAGATTTAACAGTATCGTTGGACAAGTTATTTGAAATAAATCAAGATAGTTACGTACCTCATCTGTAGTTTGATCGGCCTTCAGTTGTAATTCCTGCAACTCGGTGCGAGGGGGACCCTCCACCGGACCCGCAGCTGATGTCGGAGCAGGCATCTTGTCTTTCTTCCTCGACCTCTTCTTCTCAGCTCTCTTTCAGCTGACACTGGCTCCTCTATTCGCCTCTCGAACCTCGGTTCTGAAACAATTCAAGGGCAAAACGTTGAATTAGCGAAACGTCTCGTCAAGTTCACCTAAAACACGGAGGTACGAACGAATGGATGGATGGATGGAATGAAAAGTATCGCATGGGGCGAACCTCGTATACCTGCTGGACCGAGAAATACCAATATCCAGCAACTAGACGGTAGAAGGACGATAAAAGACGTACTTTGCGAGTATGCGGAAGGTGACCCTAACGGAGTAACAAGATCCGAGAATCGTGGACGAAGAATCTGAGATTGCAAAATTTAACGCAGAGATTTGGCAAAAGCTGCCAGCCAGTCGGTCGTCGTCGATGCATGTATACGCGTTTACGTGCTGGAGATACGTGTAGCCAAGCTCCTGTGAAAATCAATACACCACGACCGACCGACCGACCGACCGACCCACCGACCGAATCACGCGCAGACGCGTGTCCTCCTCCTCGTGCTTCCATCCCTCTGTGCTCTTTCCACCGCCCCCGAGAAACTTTCCTCGCGTACATCGATAAGAATGGATGCTCTCGTTTGATAAAGGGTAGCTTAGAAGAAAGTGCTTCCACTTTTAAGTTTACATCGATGGTGGTAGGAGTAACTATCGCTGGTTCGAGTGATGGGATAATGATACGGTTATATCCTGGTTACTATAGAGTATGTTAATGCTAAAACCCGCATTAGAGCGATGATGAAAAACTAATGGGAATTGCTATCCAAGACTATACATTGCGTCTAAGGGCAAAGGAGGCGTAATCGAATTACCCTCGGGTGAGCAACTTCCGATTAATCTGTTCTATCCTCAACCCCTTCGACGACACACCGCTACTCTATACGCTAAACTGAAGTGTTAAGACGTTATTGAGACGAAAGTTTCGAACGTAGGAGGGTGAGTCAGGCGCGGGGTGAGGTCAGGGTGCTCCATCCGCGTCGTTGTACATATGTATCCGCACCGTACGTGGCGCTTGGACAACAACCGCCCACTTCTATCTACTCATCCACGTACGATAACCGATCAGCTGGGGACCTTCAAGCGACGTGTACACGCTTTAGGGAGAAAAATATTCCGCCTATCGGATTACCGAAATGGAATTCGAGCTCGGATCTTTCGTTTATCGAGCAATTGCTCGAACCATTAACCTGTCCATACCATCTAACTCTGACACCTCAAACGGTTGTGTAATTTATCAATTTCTGAATTTCAAACTAATTCCCAAATAAAAGGCAGGGTATTCCTGGAACGCTGAAAGGCTGGCCATGAGATCTCGTTAATGGATCGAGACGGCACGAGAACGTGGTAATTGGCACTTGTAAATTTAACCAACTACGAATTAGGTGGCTCTGCATTGAAGGCAGGACAATGGGAACCATCGCAGAGAATGTCCTTACGGCTAGGACTATAATATAAGGCTGCTCTTCGATCACGTTCGTTTCGAACGGCAGAAATTATGGCACGATGTCTGTCCTTGCCCTCGAGACAAAGTTGGCTCGTTTCCAGGGTGAAAGGTACCGTGTCGCTTCTCCCTGGTCAGGGGTACACCTCGCCAAGATCACGGGCGACTAGTCTCAGACCTGGAGGACGCGGCACGTATACCCTCTCTCGATCGCAAACAAACAAGATATTGGTGTTCGATAGAGGCGAAACGAAGAGAGAGAGAGAGAGAGAGAGAGAAAGGAATCTATGTTATAAAATCAATAACGACCCCCGACCAGATGCTTTCTTCGTGCCCGAAGGTTGTACCAAAGACACGAAATAAATCTCTAATTTATCGCGAAATAAATCTTTTCTGACGTTTTCAGAATATATTCAAAGAGTTATATGGCAATTTGTTCGACTACCTCGAGGAACTTTAAATTACCTATGAAATAATTAAAATCGTGCAAACTTAGTTTCCCGGCGGCTTATATTCGCAGTTGCAATTAGTTGCAACTGATGTCGTAACCTGAACCGTGTGGACAGAACACGGCAAGGTATGACACGGAAAATAAAGGAAATAAAAAGAGAAAACGACGATTTCGTGGCCACGTGGGACACGAAGTCGGTGCAAATCTGTCCTCTCTATACACTTGACATTCGTTTCTCCCTTCCTTTTTTGCAACGAAACAGGCGCAACAGTTACTGGCTCGTATTTCGCAGTGTTTAATGATTCGAAGTTAAGTTAGATCTAAATAAACAATTGCTTTTGACAATCGGTTCTGGTTAAGTATTTGCATTGAAACGAGCGCAACAGTTACCGAGTATCAACAGCGTCGTCTTACGCGGTGTTTAGACTTTTGATTATACGCTTCCAAGTTAGGTTAGGTCTAAATAAACAATGGCCGCAATGAATATAGAACAGGTGAGAAGATCAATATTTTAGTGCATTTCCGCATCCCGATGACTCATAAATGCGTCACCGTAATTACGCAGTGTATCTTTGCTGAGGTAGAAGTATTTATAAAAATACAAATACTCTGACGTCATACATATTTTCTCGCATACCGAGACGCGCATAGAGCACGCGCACTCAGTCGATGGTTTTCAATGACTCTCAGCTGTTAATGCCGGTAGAAAAAAAGATAAAAAATATCTAACATAGCAATGAGTTACAGGAAGAAATTTTACGCTTATGATTTGTCACATACAGTATAAGAAGACCGCGCATACGTGTGACATTAAAAAATCAATAAATAAAATTGTCGATTTGAAATACAACGCAACGTCATCTTCCCGCTGAAACGATCGTAGAAATCGAGATAATATCGATTCGTGTTCATCCTTTGACGATTGTCCTCCTACGTCATCGAGATCTCGCAATAGATGCAACACATAGAAATAGTCCTTGTACGACACGAAACGAATGTCAAATTTATTAATTAATTTCTAATGCCAAACGAATCTTTAATCACACCTATTTTAGACATTTTATTTCCCGTTTACGAATGATAATTTGCAACAAGGAAAGTTCATTACTTTGCATGGTGATTCTTTGGAATGAGATTGAGAAACCAGTACGAAGAACAAATACTTTGACACAAGTTACAAGGACGATATCAAAATGATACGTGTATTTATAGAAAGTATAGAACATAAGGAATTATATTCCTCTGAAATAATGGAAGATTCTATTATATTATTGTCGTGGTTGAGAGAAAGAAGAAAGGCTATGCAATGACACCGGCCCAGCTATTATTACTAACCGTAACTCGTCGATAAAGTTGTCTGCGATGGGTGTTTCCGCTGCTAAAAGATCTTACGATCAACTTGTTGTCGAAGAAGAACGGTGAATAAACAACTTTAGAACTATTGTTAGCACTTTTTTAAAAATGAAACCGGTAAAACTAAGGAGAAAAGTATTCTCGTTGCTCTGATCTTGCTGACTCAAAGATTAGTAGTCAGTTACTGACCAACGAGCAGTCGCAGAGTATCAGTACAGCAATCGCTCCCATTGGTGGGGGTAAAACAGTGTCGACAAGGGAAAGAACCAATCAGAAGACAGAATTATAACGTTGCAAATTCCAGACGCGGGAATCCATGTTCGATACTGAATTGTATTTTACAAAAAAAACCTTATACAATATAATACTTAATATTCTCGTATATTTAATCAACTAATCATTAATATTCGTTATTCGATTACTATGAAAATGAATCGTTGTACCGACTTTCAAACTTTACAAAATCAACTTCCGGTTTACGACATATTTATTGGAAATAGTTTATGTCAGATGAAAAGTATTAACAATGATAAGACTCCTTTTTATCTACCTGCGATTATAACGGATTGTATAGGTAACAACAATAACTTTAGCAATGTAATACAAATATTAAGAATCACTAAATATATGCATTAATTTAAATAGAAGATGCTACTGATAACTTAAAATTTACATAATATTATAATACTTTTAATAAATCTTTCTCATTGTGCTTACCTTGTCGTTATCTATGCTAATTTCATTGTATAAATTATTATAATATTTCTGAACATGTATTAAAGAAAATATGAAATAAATTTGAATATAAGTAACAAATATAATATCATATAAAGATTGCCAATTAGTCTGCATATGTAATATACATCAAATATATTGAAAACATGTATTTGTTTTCTTTTCAATTCCAATGACAAAAAAGATAGAATTTGTTAAGTATAAGGATTTCAATAAATGTTTGTAATACAACATTTGTACTTTAACGAAGGACAAACAACAGCTAAAGCAGAAAATCGATACAACTTCATTGCAATGTGGTACCTTGTTCGTTTTCAACTGTGTAAATTTACTTTAAAAGTAAATTAAAATAAACAAAGTATCATGCTTACCAACGATGCTTTAATAACCTGCTGTACACCAAATAAACTATTGCAAAATTCCACTGAATTCGTGTTTTCGACGACACTACAGTTATCACAAGTAATCACTTCGATACGACGAAACAGCTGCTACTGGTTATCTGACAACCGGAACTGAAGAATGGGTTAACTTTCATTTTAAAAATGGCGGAAAAATTTGAATGTGAAAGTGAACGATTCACATTAGAATGATGCGGAGAATCTTTTAGTTGTCACACAAAATTTATAAATATATTTTTATCAGATTCTACTTACTAAATTTATTATAAATTCCATATTATTACTGTAACTTAAAAAAACATGCTTCATATGCTTCAGAAAATAAATTTTCAAAAAATTAGAAATGTAATTGACTTCCATTTGCTTATTTTTCCACTTATTCATACATTTATTATTAAATGTTATTAAATGCCCGTCTATTATTCAAATATCAAATTTAACTTATCTTATCTACATTGTAATAAAAATGCAACTAAAACGCAGCAAAAATAAAGATGCAAACACGTACATATTTGTATAACGCAAACGATTACTCATTTCCTTTATCCTTTTGCTATTATTGTTAAATTTAATTTATTATTCTTGAAATTTGTATGTAATATTGTTTACTTCGTTAAAAAAAATTTTTAATAAAGTGGATCGATCATAATCAAACGAGAGCTTTAAAATTAATTATTATCTTTGACTTATTGAAAAATTGGTCAAAGAATTAGCTGCGTCAGTTGGAGGTCAAAATAATTGTGATGTGCGTACAGTAAAATGGCAGGCTTAATGTTGTGCATAACGCGGGTTTTACTTGTATTTTTAATTAATTTCATTCTTGTATCTTCTGGTTCCATTAATAAGCCTGTACAAAATGTACCGGAGCCTTTAATTCTAAGTGCCTTAAATTCTTTGAACAAGGATTCTCCGACACATCATACATACAAGGGCGGTAACCTGATTAACGCGCAAAAATTGGTATGTTTATATAAATTTGTTAACAAATAAAGTATTACTTTGAATAGCACTGAAACTGAAAAATTTTATCAAGTTAGTTAGTTAATTAAAATATCAATTCAGTTAATTTTTTCTTCCTCGTTTAGGAAGAGTCGCCATACGTGATATACAGACTTACGTTTGATTTGAACCCTGATTGCAAAGAAGCATTAGAACCATGTCCCAGAGAAGCATGTACTGTTATAGTCAAACAACACGAACAAGGAGATATAAATGTTTTGCGGGAATCTATACAATGCATGTACTTGTATCCTCAGTCTGTACAAGATGATCCGCTACAAATGCAAGATAACAATCAAGATCAGGAAGTTATTGATAATATAGAAAAACAGATTGTTACTAATCAGAGTATCGAGCTAGATCATGAGATTCAAAACAATGGAGATCACAGTGAAAGACCATTCATAGCTATGAGAGCTTCTAACAGTTATTGTCCAGGATGTCCATTTGAATTAAATCCAAACTTACCTGGATTAGCTGCTTTTGGAAAACAGGTGGTAAAATCAATGGATGAGTTAATACAAAATGATTTCAAGCACAAAGTAATTAATGTTGTTAGAGTCACTAGTGTCATACCACCTTCATCTAATGTTGTACAGTATCAAATTTTGTTTCGCATAGGAGAGTCTGATTGTTTGAAAAATGCAATTGATGAGTCAGAGTGTTCTGTACAATCGAGTCTTCCTGTTAAGGTATGCTTGGTAACATTTGAAGAACAATCTTGGAAACACGACAGCCGTAAAATAACAAAGAACAATTGTACCTCAGATAATTCAGAAATTATAGAAAGTATCAGTTCCGCGACATTAAATGCTGAAGCACTTGTATCAGTTAGACCTGAAAAAGTAGACACTGTTGAAAAAGTAGAAGCTTTGGAAAATTTAAAAGATATTCTTGATAATTTCACCTATGCTACAACTACTACATTAGAACCAGAGCAATCAGAAGTAACTGAACATCCTGTTGTAAAAATGTCCATAGACAGGGACAATGATGATACAAAGGTTGAAGAATTTGGAGACAAAACTAAAGAATTTGGTGAATTCTTAAAAGATTTTGATTTGCCTACAACACAGGTCCAGTCGAATCCTGAAACAAACAAAGAAGAAGTTAAGGAAGACATCATTTTGCCGAAGAAAGTAGATTCTACTATCAAAAAAACGTATAAATCGTATAGAAATAAAAGGAAATCTGACCTTGTCGGTGCACCTGGTAGTATAGATGTCAATGACCCTGAAGTACAAAAACTTGCTCACAAAGGATTACAGAAATTTTCTGAAAATTCCGAAGGTACAAACGAGCCTATGATCGTAGATATTGTTGAAGCCACGCGACAAGTAGTATCGGGAGTCATGTATAAGATAAAAGTTAAGTTGGGTACAAGCACTTGTGCAAAGGGCACTCAGGAAAATTGTCAGCTCAAAGCAGACAGTGAAATGAAAGAATGCTTGTTTACAATATGGTCTCAGCCATGGATAGACAAAGGATCTCCACACGTTACCATCGACTGTGATTTACAGAACCGGCGTAAGCGATCCCTGCGTGGTATGAACTATAGCCAGAAAATGCTGAAAATAGCAGAGGATTACAAAGATGAACTTTTGTTTGAAGATTTTATGAAAAGTCATGGTAAAACGTACAAGTCAGCGAAAGAGAAACAGAATCGTTTCAAGATCTTTAAACAGAATCTAAAAATTATTGATGAATTACAAACGTTTGAACGAGGAACAGCCATATACGGTGTCACGATGTTTGCAGATTTAACATCTAAAGAGTTCAAAGCACGGTATTTAGGTTTTCGACCAGATTTAAAGCAAGAAAATGATATACCTCTTCAACAAGCTGAAATACCAGACATAGATTTACCATCCAAATTCGATTGGCGCGAAAACGACGCAGTCACACCTGTTAAAGATCAAGGTCAATGTGGATCATGTTGGGCTTTTTCGGTAACTGGAAACGTAGAAGGACAATACGCGATTAAACATAAGAAATTACTATCGCTGTCGGAACAAGAATTGGTAGACTGCGATAGTTTAGATGAAGGATGCGATGGTGGATACATGGTGAATGCCTATAAAAGCATAGAAACATTGGGTGGTCTTGAATTAGAAACAGATTACCCTTACGATGCTAGAGATGAAAGATGTCACCTCTATAAAAACAAAGCTAAAGTGCAAGTTGTCTCAGCTGTAAATATTACAAGCGATGAAAATAAGATGGCACAGTGGCTGGTGCAAAACGGTCCAATCTCTGTCGCCATTAATGCCAATGCAATGCAGTTTTATATTGGCGGTGTTTCACATCCATTTAACTTTTTGTGTAATCCTAAAAATTTAGATCATGGAGTTTTAATTGTAGGATATGGCATGAGCAGTATGTATCATATATTATGAGCATAATTACCTTAATCCTTGTACATTTTTATAATGTATCTTTTTTTTTTTTCAGAATATCCTCTTTTCAAGAAAGAATTACCCTATTGGATAATAAAAAATAGTTGGGGTCGAAGATGGGGTGAGCAAGGTTATTATAGAGTTTACAGGGGTGATGGTACCTGCGGAGTTAATACAATGGCATCGAGTGCTATAGTTGCATAATAAAGATATTTACGAAACCAAGGTCTTTCATTATGATATTTATCTAAAATAAAATAATATATATATTGTTTTTTTTTACTAACGTAATAATGCATGTTAATCGCTTGAATTATGAACAAATTTGTATAAGATCTTTAACAATTAAAAATCATACATACTCTATTCAGAGTTCAACGATAAGCTTACAATACAAATATTATAGAGATACAAACTTTTCAAGATTGTAATTATTTAGAAACTTAATAATAAATAAGCATATTTGTTACACTTTAATGTTTTCACATTATACTTTTCATCCTAATATCCAAATCCAACATTATATTCACTCACAATTTAAATTAAATAACACTAAACATTATGGAATATTGAAAATTTATTGAACATAATGTTTAAAGATTAATTTAACAGTAAGTTACACGAACTGAAACATTAATGCACAACATAATTAAAAATTATATTTTTTGATTTTGACAATCATAAATATATTTTTCTTAAAATTCTAAATTAATAGAAGCAGTATGCTGTCACTATCCAATTTTGTTTATTGCGAATTATAAAATTTCACATACATAAAAAAAAATAGGAAAAGAAACGTCTAAATGTATGTGATTTCTACGCAGATTTACGATAAAAGTTCGGAACCTAATTACAAATGCTAAATTACAATATACAAAATATGCATTTGTAACATAAAAGTAGGACTGCAACGATAATAAATTTTTTTATACCGGGCATATTATAGAAAGGTAGTTATATGTTTCTTAATTCATTCTTTTTATCAAAAATTGTATCGACGAATGTTAACACTATTTATTTCCGTGAACATTTAATAAAGTGCTCTTACGTAAAATCTCTAGGACATTCAAATATTTATTTTCTTTCCATTTACATATACATCCTAAACTTTCTTCAAGCGGTACGTTTAACGTACGTTAGCAAAAGAATCGTAACGGAGTACGCGAAAAAAGAATACTTATTACAAGTGATAGGTAACAATTATGAACTTTGTTACTTTTCTATTGAACAAATAACACAACGTCCCAGAAATAAAATATTGGACAGTATGCTGCAACATATCAATTGAATGCAAATACATATATTTTTTTTTTGTTTTTTTTTTCTTCCTTTTTTAATATATTATGGAGAAATATATTTTCACTTAGCGTACTTTATCCCATACTGTATATCAAGTTTTTTTTTCTTTTTTTTTTTTGTTAACTACCTTCTATTGTGTAATGACTGAAACATATTTACCATTGGCAGGAAATTCATTTAGTATTTCCTATATTGTTGTATTATTTAAAATACACTAAAACAGAAGTTCATGCAAAATCAGTTGTATTGAATGTAATCATCAGTACATGTATCACTGCTATTCGTGTCAGGTCACTGATGTGTCATTGGAACTTTAAAGAATTTTCATGTCCTTTTTCGTATCAATCATCCGAATGACGAAAGAATAATAATTATAAAATGTACAGTAGATACAGTAACGCAATGAAAGCTGGTACAGAAACAAACTTTGTATAATCCACTAGTAGTAATTGTAAGATCCCCATTGATTATATGGTCCATACGCTTGAGGTCCCCCTTGTCCGTATTGCCAATTCTGATAATTAGCGTAATTGGGATCGGAAGGTGGTGGATACTGTTGGTAACCTTGCTGATATCCACCTTGGCCACCGTATTGGCCACTTTGAAATTGTTGTTGTGACTGATACGGCCCACTTGGGCCACTGCTGTATTGGTAAGATGACTGCGAGCTGACTGAAGGCGGAGGTGGTACATTAGATTGATCACTTGTTTTAACTTTCTTTGGAGGAGAAGTATCTCTGTAACATAGAAAATTTGTACGTTAATGAAATTATTTTACACATTTCTTCCGTGATAAAAATTATAAAAAATAATACTTACGTCTTTGTATCATCGCTTTTCGTTTTCTTCCGTTCCTTTGCTTGCTTGATACATTTTTGGAATTGTTCGTGGGCTTTCAACACTTGTCGGATATCTGGACTGAAATCTTCCAGAAATTCTACTTTACGTTGTGCAAAAAGTACTCTCTGCTCGAGGTCAGCGTGTTCTCTTTCTATGAACATGTCCATGTATCCTACAATTTCTTGAGTGTCAACAGGAGATCGTTGCATACCCAAATCAATTAACTGTAAATAGAGTCGCGGGTTGTCTTTGTCTTTTTCAGTGGCCTGAAAAACACACACACACATACAGAAATAAATTTGTAATGAAAAAATTAAAGAAAATACAGGAAGATACAGACAGAGGATCAATCACGCATACCTTTAATAGTACTTTAATTGCCTTATCCACGTCATTTTTTACTTTACACAAAAAACGCGCGTATTTTACTACAATATTATTAGCAATTGTTCTATTTTTGCTATTGCTAATGTAATTTTCATATAATGTACAGGCTTTGTCCAAATCTCCTCTTCTACGTTCCAAATTTATTCTTCTATACGCCACTTGTAACATATTCGGTATAACATTATCAATGTTCTCCAGTATGCTGGCTGCTTTCTCAAAATTACCCTGACCTTCTTCAAATGTTGCCCACTGTAGGTGTAAATTTGGTTTCTTTGGATGATGTACCATACAGGCTCTAGAGTAAACATCTCTTATTTTTTCCACGTTATCACCTTTCAAGGATTCCAGATAACGAACAAACTACACAAAATATAAAAATACGTTTAATATACTATTCAATGTTACTTTAAAAAATTGAAAAATAAAAACTTACCCTCATCCAGAATTCATCGTACAAAGCGCACGCGATTAAACATCTTTCAAATAAAATAATTATTCGATTCTGATCTTTTTGCTCAATTTCAAAATCTAAATACTCCTTCCAGTTTTTCAACTGACATCGTTCCAAAGGTTTCACGTGGAAATACGGTCTTTTGATCTAAAAAAAAAAAAAAAAAAAAATCAGTGAATAACAGCGTAAAACATTTGTAATATGTGAATTTTATTAATTTATGTACTTACACCCTCCTCGTACGACCACCTCGCGGCAACTGCATTAATATTAGCTTTATGCATTTTACGTCTGCTGCTAATAATTTTTTCCCTGATGGCACGGGTCTCTTCGTCGGTCGGTGGAAGTTCGTGTGGCGGTGGTTCTTCTCCAGGCGGTGCATCGTCTGCTGCCGAATTAGAAGTAGTGTCATCAGACTTCAATAGTGCCTTCACTTCAGCTCGCAGGGCAAGAAAATCATCAACGCTCAAAATTCGATTTGGCAAGTTTGAAGATACGAATTCTTGAAATGCATCGAAATGGGAAATATAACCGAGTGTAGGTGTACACAACAAACGATCATACAATGCTGTTACTCTGCTTAGCCGTTTTCCTTCCAACTCCCATTTTATGTAACTTTCCCAAAGACGATCAGATCTATATATATATAAAAAAAAAGAAAAAAGAAATTTACTTTGTTATTATTCTCTTAAAATAGGATCTATTAAACGTATACGTGGAAATGATGCAAACCTAAATTCCAGACCACAGGCTTGAATAGCTCTTTCGTATTGTTCTCGAAGTTTTTCTTCATCCTTTTCATAGACGGTTTTGCAGTGGTTGATGTAATGGAGCCAAAGGTCGACACTGAGCGAAATAGCTTTCAAACCTTGGTCGAATACCTGTAGTAATGGTTTGCAATCACATTTAGAAAAGTTTATAACCGATTGGGGTGGTGGCAGGTAGACTTATACCTATTTCTTTTTTTTTTTTTTTTAGCTTTCGTAAAGCATTACGGTTTTTTTTTAGCAACGTATACTCACATATCTTACGCGTACTGTAAATAAAGAGATTTAATTAACACAGAGATTGCAGAGCATTGTGCATTCACCTTAAAGTCAAGGAGTGTTCCAATCTGGGTGCCTCTGTGTCTTCCGCCACTTTTTCTTGCTCCCTCTCTGGCATGTTCACGTCCTAAGTCTTTGTTTCTGACTTTGATTTAACACCCAACCCAATCTTACTTACATTAAGTAAGGTACCGCATCTTATGCTTAAGTTACAATACTTTCTGTAGTAAGCTATGTGTACAAATGCTTACAGTAAATAATACACACACAATTTCTTGCACGATAATATCGCAAATTGAAACAACTAGCCTTCGCTTGACTTACGTATTTTACGTAGAATATCAATATAACGGTATAAGTAAAACATTAATATTCGCAATAATATTGTATATATCGCAGAATAATTAATTAACTAGCTATTTGGTAAACGGAGAGAGTCGTATAGGTGCCGCAAGACGTGCTAGGCTGTTGGAAGGGAAAACCATATTTACGTGCGTGCACACTGCCCACGCGTCTTCCTAACTCGAGCTATTTCATTAGATTGCGTTAATTAAATGATATCATAATGAGAAGTAGACCTAATAAGTACGGTAAACGAATTGACTCACCCTTTGGACATTTTCGGGGTTGCCCTTCTTCTTCTCGTAATCAGCAAATTTTCTCCAGTAACCGTAGCAATATGGATAACGCTCCAAAAATTTCGTATAAGCTTCGCGTGCAGCCTCTGCATCATTCTTTAAGATAGATAATATTTATGATGTTAATATGACTTATTATAAATTGTATTTATAATTAACACTTTTCAACTTACTTCTTGATCAACGTATTGCAGAAGGTACGTCCATCCTGTAAAATCTGACGGATCCTCGTTAACGGCTTTCCAATATTTTTCTAACTCTGGCAGGGTTTTTTTCTTCGGCGACGCTGGTTTAGCTTCTTGCTTACTGTCTCCAGGTTCTGCCTCGGTTGAAAGTGCTACCTTTTTCGCCGGTGTTTCGTCGTTATTTTCAGACGTTGGTGAACTAGGATCATACTCTCCTTCTGCGTTTAATTTGCGTTTATCTGAAAACGAAAGATAGACAATACTTTTCTACACAATATATAATTATATAAATTTCTTTTTTCTTCTAAGCTTACTTGTGCCTTCCGTTTTGATTTTCTTTTCCGGAGTCTTACTCAGTGCCTTTGTTCCGCTTTTCTTCTTTTTCTCACTGTCTAATGGCAGTTCATCCTCAGAAACGGATTCAGTTTCTCCCAAATCTGCGGGCGGTGCTGCAGGTAATTCTTCATCCGATACTGCCTCTGTTTCAGGTTCCTATACATTAAAATTAAATACTATGCATTACACATATCACATTATTTGTAACACATTTTAATAACAGCATACCTTCGCTGCGGCTTCGGTAGGCAATTCATCCTCGGACACAGCTTCTGTATCAGGCTCAGTTTTTTTCATAGCATTCTCAGGGATGCACTCCATGTCGTCTGTTATTTCTGTTATTTCCGTTATTACCGTCGCCTCTGTGTCTGACACAACTTTTTCTGTAACACTTTCTATATCTTCTGATGTTTCTTGTTGACAATCCACTTCCATAACTTCGATCTCTGTCCCATCGTTTATAACATTTTCATTATCAACTTCTTCAGTTTCTAAAATTTCTGTCACTTGTGTCACCGTTTCCCCATCGTCATTTATAACTTCTTGAAAATCTATTAACACACGCTGATTCGTATCGTCGTTACTGATATCTTGTCCTTCCATATCCATTTGTTCGCGTTCACTCAACATATCAGCTTTATCCATACTGCTTTCCTCTATAATCACAGGATCTGATACTGTAGTAGAATGATCCTAACATAAAATAATAATATCTGTAAGATTCAATTTCAATATAAAGGAATTTAAAATGAAAGAAATCATACGGATCGCTTACAATCTGAGATACAGAAGTTTCTAAATCAGGTACACTTTCTTGAACTCCTATTTCTACATTTTGATTCATATTTATTTCATGAACTGTCGTATCTCCAGAATCTTCTAATTCTAAATGCAACATAGACGAATCATCCTCGTTATGCTGCTCAATAATAATGTCACCAAACCTTTGCACCCCATTCTCTGGAATGCTTTCCATAACAACCTCCTCTTGCAGCACAGGTTCCTCCACCTAAAAAGAAAAAGAAAAACAAAAAAGGGCGAATGTAATCAGTTATTTTCATTGAATCCATCAACGATTATATGTTTCAATGATCACCAGAACTATCTACATATAGCGTTACGGCTTTTACGCACCTCGACTTCGATTTCTTGCACCTTCTTCGGAGAACGTGTCGCTCTTGCTAGAAGTTTCTTTACAGGAGATTTCTTCGCTACCACGGTAGACTTACGTGTACGGCTTGATCTAGTGCGTCGTACTGTATGAAATAAAAATAACAAACAATTGCAAAATTTTGAATGAAATATTTACACGTTACATGCGTGTGCGAGACGCCATTCATTTAATGGCGGTTCGCAAGTCGTCGGTCAGCTGCCGGGTGTATCGCTGGTTACGTTTATCTTACGTAAATATGGATAAATACAAATGAAAAGGGAAATTACAAAATACTAAATAGTAGTTTCTTTCAGAAATATCATCATCTTCTTACCAGGTTCATTTAAAGTAATCTCGGTCTCATCACCACTTGCGGACGACATCTTGCCTCGATGCAATCTCTGGAATGTAAAACGCAGAACTGACGAAGAAAATGGCGACAAAACGTTAAGAGTGACTCTCCGCAGGATATTTATGTACTAATGTGGTACAGTTAATAAATTAGAAAACTGATTTATCATCGATTGATACCAATTATGCCGGGAAATGTATTAAATTGTATAAACATCGGTAATGTTATACAAGGCATTATTTATAAGAGAAATCCATAGGTAGGTTTTCTTTAATTTTATATAGATACTTTAACATATACACCTGAAATAAGATTACATTGCTTTTGTTACAAACAAGATACGCTTATAGTTATCTTACAGGTGCTAGCTATTTGTAAGAATAATCATTATATAGGAGAATATAGTCAGAATTTGAAAGTATTGAAATAGGAGGACAATAAGGATACTTGAATACACGCATGTGCAGGAAAATACAACAAAGAGCGCAAGTGCATAAAGTAATCTATCTTGTGCAGAATACGTACCGAGTGAAGTAAATACTAAGGTGGACGTAATATAAGTTTCTTTATGTATGTATTTTTGTATACACGTTTTTATAAAACAACGTTTGTTGATGTTTGTAGATCGATGTTATACATCGATGTTCCAACTTAAATGCGTAACAAAACAAGCGATGCTGAAGAAGATCACGAACCACCCGATTTCGTTCATAATTCGCCAATTCCGAACATCTCGGAATTCCGAATCTTCTTGTTCTTTTCATTTGTTTTGTTCGTTAGTGGAAACGGTTGTTTCGATCTTCAGGAAGACCTCCTCGTTAAGCATCCGAAATACGATTTTTTAGAAAAAGAAAAATGGTGTGAGACAAGTTGAAAAACAATATTGCTTTTTTCAACGTCTATGCAACATTGGGAATGTTAGAATGTTTAGCTCAAATTATCTTTGGCGATAATCAGTGTAATTCGTACTATACGAATTCAAAAATTTGTGATAGGAAATGTCTTACAGTGATGGCGGGCGTCCAATACGTAAGTTGGGCCCAAAGTCGCCGAAAAAACTTTGCGTGACAAAGAATGAAAATAGCGATAAAACTATAACTACTATTAACTGTAACAACCACCATCACAATCATTATCATCATAATCATCGCTTTCTTGACGCTTCTCAGCCTTCAGTACACAAACGTAATCTCTATATTGTTTCTTTTCCTTTGATACTCCTCTTCAACGTTCTGAGAACGCTACTCTATCAGTTGTTTGTGGTATTTAAGTATTTATATACATCTACATCTCAGCTAATTCAACGAAGACAAGCTTCCAAGCAAACCTGCCAGCTGGAAATTGTAGTTGGCCAAAAGTCTACTGAGAGTTTGAATAATAATTTGAATAATAGCGGGCAACTTGAGAACGAAGGAATGTCACAAGTGCCCAGAAGAGCCATCGGTCCTGGACCTGGGGATCCGTTGCTTGCAAAACAAAAACATCATCATCGTAGAGCTTTTGAATTTATTAGTAAAGCACTCAAGATCGACGAAGACAATGAAGGTGTGTTATCAACAAGTTATACTTGTTTCCAGATAATTTTCAATTTTACAATGCTTATCTTTCAATATTGTTTTGATTAGGTCAAAAAGAAATGGCAATTGAACTTTATAAAAAAGGTATCGGGGAACTAGAAAAAGGGATAGCCATTGAGTGTACCGGTGGTCGAGGAGAAGTATGGGAACATGCTCAAAGACTTCATGATAAAATGCGGACTAATTTAGCAATGGCAAAGGATAGACTTGACTTTCTTGGTTTGTATACTTCTATTTTAGATGTTAGTTATATATCTCTTAAGCTGTTCCAACTTTACATGAAATACAAAACTGAACTAGTGTATCAATATAGTTCTGTACAATATTATATTTCATCCAAATGAGATTATGGTACAGCTTAAGGATCAATATGAAATTAATGTATTTAGCATGCTCATGTGTTAATTGTTCTATAATGTTTACGCGTATGTGTGCGAGCGTGTGTGTGTATTTATGTAAGAATGTATATATGAGTGTATGCATGCGCGCGTTATATTTATTTCTTTTTTTTTTTAATAATTTTATTTTTTGCACAATATGTTTCTTCATAAGCGGTGCAAATATATATATATATATATGAACTAGTAGCTGAACTTCATACAGCAGCATTTCTAATGGCCATCAAAGAGTTCATTTCATATTGTAATATTAGTTAAGTAGCCAATGATTCAGAAGAAAATTGAAAAAAAAATGATGAGTTCAATTTGTATTTAGCTATTTAGCGTACTGCAGCATGGCAGAGAATGTTTTTCCTTTTTGTAGTGAGTGTGTGTGAGCTGAAAAAGCTGGATATCTCCAATGAATATCGTGCTCCTGGAAGTAAAGCGGACAACGAACATCCAGGAAAGAATCTGAGGGTCCGACGCAATATACACACATTACAAACAACTCGATCTCCTTTAAATACAAATCATACAAAAAATACAAACAGTACACAAACAGTGAATGTAGGGCAGAATTCATGTACCCAAATTCCCAAGTTAAGGCCACGTTCACCAAAAAACTATTCTGGCCATTCTGAAGGTACTGTTTGTCTGAAGTTTTGGGCTTACATGCAAATTTTCAATTTAAATTTATTAATACAATACTTACAGTAATTTGCTTTCATGAAGTTGTTACTCCTATTTCATTATTAACACTTACATTAGTTTTTGATATAGTGCAACAAGTAGTATATGTTAATACATTATCATATTAATTGCTATATTTACAGTAGTTGTTTATATCTTAGTAATCTAGTTGCAATGTTTATTTAAGTAAATCATTTGAAAGATATAAGAAATGTGTGTATCAAACAATGAATTAATTAAACAAAGCTATATGCATGAATATATACAAAGTTTTGTTTGAAGAATATGTTAGATAATTAATAGCTGTGGCGATTATTTTAACACATTCTTCAAAATCCACATAAAATGTTTGATGAGGAACATATCAATACACCTATGAAACAGTTATGATGTAACATGTGTATATTGTTCTTAAAGTTTCAGCTAAATGTTACATGCACATTATTATGACACATTTTAATTTTTTTTATGTTAGTAATTACATGCTTCGTTTCAAAATACTTGTTTTATATTTTGTTTGTAAATTAGATTTATTGAAAATTGATATTCAAAAGCATGGGTTGTTTTATAACGGACTTATATCTTGATGTTCCTATAGCATCTGGAAGAAAGTTATCAGTGCCTGGGAAAAGAGTAGGTACAGCTATAAGCAAGAGTCAAACATTACCGCGTAGTATGGGACGTTCAACACCTGTCCAGCCTTGTCACAGAGTCACACCCGTTAAACCATCGTCTACACCTCCTTCAGTAAAGAGGCAATTGTCTGTACCTGGAAATGGATCACCTATTAGAAGACCTGGAACACCTACTACATCGAACAGTAATAAAGGAACACCTACTAGAAAAGTTCCACTCTTGAAGGGTGTAGATCCAAAACTTGCACAAGTTATTCTTGATGAAATTCTGGAAGGAGGAACAGCTGTACATTGGGAGGACATCGCTGGTCAAGAAGTTTGTGGATATTACAATCATGTACCATAAAATGAAAAAATGTTACAAGTTACTTACAATGTTAATTTTTTAAATGTAGACGGCAAAACAAGCACTGCAAGAAATGGTGATCTTACCTTCCTTAAGACCTGAATTATTCACCGGTCTAAGAACACCTGCAAGAGGATTACTATTGTTTGGTCCACCAGGAAATGGGAAGACATTACTTGCACGTGCTGTAGCCACTCAATGCAACGCTACATTTTTTTCAATATCAGCTGCTAGTCTTACTTCGAAATATGTCGGGGAAGGGGAAAAATTAGTGAGAGCTCTTTTCGCTATAGCGCGGGAACTGCAGCCATCTGTGATTTTTATCGATGAAGTCGATTCACTGTTAAGTGAACGTAGAGATAATGAACACGAAGCCTCGAGGTACATTACGTTAACATGAAAATTTATCAAAGATAATTGAACTCTATTTAATTAATATTTATTATCCAGGCGGTTGAAGACGGAGTTTTTAGTAGAATTTGATGGTCTACCCTGTAATCCAGAAGAAAGGGTACTTGTTATGGCTGCTACAAATAGACCCCAAGAATTAGACGAAGCTGCGCTAAGAAGATTCACAAAACGAGTTTACGTCACATTACCAGATTTACGAACAAGAATTATGCTACTTAAACGGCTTTTAGCTAAACACAATGATCCATTAACTCCGGAAGAATTAAATGAAATGGCACTTTTAACCGAAGGCTATTCTGGAAGTGATTTAACAGGCTTAGCAAAAGATGCAGCACTCGGTCCTATCAGAGGTAAACTAAATTTATACTTTTTACATTGTTGATTGTATGTTTTCTTTGTGTCTAGTTAAAATAGACTGAATGGATATTAGAATTTTGACCATACAGTCTAACAAATAATTATATGTAAAAGAATGCGTTAAAAAAAAATACAATATATTAATATTGTACAGAACTTAATCCAGATCAAGTAAAGGAGTTGGATCTTAATTCCGTGCGCAACATTACAATACAAGATTTTCGTGATTCGCTTAAAAGGATTCGTAGATCCGTATCACCTGCAAGCTTGGCCGCTTATGAAAAATGGAGCTTTGAGTATGGTGACGTAAGTCTATGATTTTTAAGAATTATTTAAAGGCAATGGTTTGCATGTAAGTTACATTCGAAGCATCAGTTAGTCGAACAAGAAAGAAAGAACTATGACAGGAAATACTTCAAAAGTGACTTTCTGCGATATTAATTATTACAAAGTGTAAATAACAGCAGCTTTTACATTTTCTAAACTAATTTGTAAACGATAATATCTATATACAAAGAAGAAAATGTTATAATACGTGAAAGGCACTCTTGCTAAGTAATGTTTTTTAAATCATGTTACAAACGTAACACTGTAATGTTAACAGCTTTATACTGCATAATACATTCCATACTCCATCCACTAATCAGGTATCGTAGATTTAAGTTTCACCGTAATGATATTGATATTAGAATTCGACCTGTAGTTTTACGACCTGCGAAAGTTTTTCATTGTTTCTTTCATTTACATTTTGAACGATGAAGATTTTTCTAATTCGTCGAATTAGAATTTTCTTTTTGGGCTACGCACGTAGATAATCTTCTAATGTAAATTATTATAACAGTACGCACCTTATGACAAAAAAAAAAGACAATGTAAATAATGAAGCGTTGAATTGAACAGTATTGGGTAGAAAGACTGCATTTGCACAGGAGGAAACAGCACACGTCCAATCAGATAATAAAACAATTGATATAATTGGATCTAACTACTGCTGTGGTTAGCAGATAAGCATAGAAATTTGTAGATGTCTTGTACAAGCACGTGCTGAAACTGAAAACACACAAATTGCTTTAGGTATGTAAGTTTTGTAAAAAAAAAAAAAAAAAGTAAAACTGCACACTGTAATAACGTATCCGAGAAAAATATTGAAAATATTACTCTTGTTATATTTGGTAGGGATTCATATATTTGGTTGATAATTGTTGAAATGGAATTAATGTATCAGTGCGGATATCGCGTTTGTCAGCTTGTAAATTAGCTCTTGATTTGATGAAATTTCTATCGAGACAACGAACTGGAAGTATATTTGAAACGAGTGGAATTCAGAGTACTTATAATTTATAATCGAATATTATCAATGAAACAATAATGTTATGATACGCATATTCTATAAAGGAAAATCCTATATATATATATAAAAGTTTTTGATATTTATCTATTGCTTAAAATGCTCAAACAAAAAGTGATTGTGCTTGTACGATATAATCATACGATTGAAAACGCGTTTATTGCAAAACAATATTAATAAGCATCTTAGTAAAATGTTATTTTCACCTTGAAATTAGTTATGACAGTTTTCTTCATTTTACTTGACTTATGTATTTGTTTCTAAGAGAAGCATGTAATAGCTATTCCGTAAAATTATACCTCATTATAATTTCATTTTTAATAATATTAATGCAACGAGTTTAAAGCTTCTCTGGTGTGATCAGTAGTTAATATTAATCAATAATAATAATAATAGTAATAATAGATGTGTACATGAATAATATATACGTGGCACGTGTTACTTTCTTTTTCTGCCACGTAGGTTTGATGAAAAGTAAATTTCTCCATTTACTTGTTAGAATTTTCATGTGAATTATAAGTGATATAAAAATATTAGAGAAATGTAGAAAACCACCACATATATTTACAGTTGTGCAAAGTGTGAGCACCATATAAAACATGCAAATGAAGTTGATGATGCAAATAATGCCAAATATGTTTGATTTCAAAGGTATATTAGTATAAGTCTGTTGAGTTTGATATGTATTGTAATGACTAATTAATTTAATTGAAAGCATCACAAACTTAATATTAGACTAATGTTAGCGCTCTTTGTTCCAAGGATTTAGTGCCAACACAGGTTGCATTGTGCCGTTTATAATTAAGTTCCACTTACTTTAAAATAATTGTCTCTTCGATTCTGCGCCGATCTATCTCGTATGCTATGTTTTATTCGCGTTAAATAATTTATTGTACGCATAAGTAGAGTAATATTAATTGAATCTTTTCTTTTTTCGACGATCTTGCACAACAGACTGTTTATCAATATGGGTATATGTATCTATTTACAACCCTGGCCTTCCAAGTTAAAAACACGCTCAGCCTCGATTAAGTTATTTTGCTACTTTTATAAAAACTCGTAATAGGAAAATTTCTTAAGATATAAAAAAAAATAATAACGCTAATATTAATTAATGCTACTTAAATTAAAGATAATGAAATGTGAGTTGATCGTTAAGAAATGTTTGCACGCCTTTACTAGAGTTACCATTTTTTTATGTACTGTAAGGTCCGACTCTTATTCTCTTAATAATATTGAAAAATAATAATAATTATGTAATAATCTTATGAGAAAGAGATTATTACTAAAACAAGTTTACCTTATGAAATTTAACACAAAACTTGCAAGATTTATCTTTATTTCTGTTGCGTTTCCAACATTGTAGAATGTAAATGAAATCTTCTTCATTGAGCAACTCGTTTTTAATGTATCGTACCGTAGTTATCTTTTGCTTGATAAAAAAGAAACAATTAACAAATACATATTTAATTAACGTTAATATACTCGGCAATTAAATAGTAATTTTTAAATATAACTGAATAATGTAGTGATACCTACTACTGTACAGAAATACAGATATCCTATTTCATATTTTGTCGCTGTGTGATCGAGACTGAGGAACGCATGTATTGTGTGTAATAAAGTGTACAGTACAAATTATTCTAACACATTTCATTAAGGGGAAACAAAAAGAAAAAAAAAAAGAAAGAACAGGGAATGATCGCAACTTCCATCTGAAAGTTAATTATTCACAATCTTGTCAAATTATTAAATATTTTATAATTAATGTATTGTTAAAATATCCCTGGCCGACATTATTTATATTCCAGAAAGAAATATTTTTGTTTATGTAAGAGCAGTGATATAATCAGCATAATACTTTTGTACTGAATTGATATAATAACGCACTTTTTAAATTCATACAAAAAATATACTAAATAATTGTGTTTCTTTTGAGATATATATGTACATATATATCGCAAACGTTTTACTTAATGTTAAACTTTTATTGTGTTCAAAATATTGTCTTCTACACAAGTCATCCAGTCATTAATGTTTTTTAAGTGTTCAACAAAGATGATTTGTAGAAAAAAATATTCTTCAGTTTACTTAAATTGATTATTGTAAAAGTATATTGGCTGTAAAATAAAATTACCTTGTATGTACTTAAAAAACGTGTTATATTATTTTAACATTTAATCATCAGTTATTATAAACGAAGATACTACGTTCCTTATAAATTTAAAAAACCACTTTTGATATTATTTCATAACTTTTTATACTTTTTATAATAACGTGGGCTATGAAATAATACAAAATATTGTGTATTTTAAATATTTATTCCTTTTTTTTTTTTCATTCAAAGGACAATTTGTTTTTATTATAAGATAACATTATCCTAAGCATTTTCGAGGGTTCCACACCCTGCTGTACCTAAATTACTCTTTATATAACATTTTTTTTTATGTCTTCCATCGGTTCACTGATTATTATTCATTCATAGACAAGTTTTTTTTCTTTTAATTGGCTCTGCAGTTCGATATCACTTATCGCAGTCAATTAATCATTGCTGTGTTCGACTTTATGTTTCTCCTGTTATTACATTTAGTACTGACTTTATACAAATTGGTTTCAAAAGGTTTATGGCTTTTTTATCGTCGGTGGTGAAGCGAAATATCGATAAATTTTCATTTATTCTAATCACTCTAATTTGTTTTTTTTTCTTTCTTTCATTAATTTAATTAGGCATATGTTGAAAAATTAAGTTTCAACAAATATTTAGAACAGAATAGAATGAAATTTTTAAAGATAAATAAATATTAAAGCTAGTTACACTGAAAAATCGAGGAATAAAATTCTACTAAATTCGTGCAATAAACTTCTATCGCATAGTAACTGGAAGACACGAAGATACAAATATCGTGCCACATAGTAATTGTAACAATATCAAAACATGAGATAATATCAAGTGTGATTGTCGTCAATTGATATACTGATTATTATGAGACAAAAATTTCTGTTATCTTGTATTACATTAAAAAGAAACGTAATTTTATTATTTTTTTTAATACATGAGGTTTTAATTAAAGGCAGAATAGTAGTGACTCCAACTCTTAGTGGAAGTGTTTATTATCATTATCATTATACTTAAATTACATTGTAATAATTACACCAAGGTTCACTATTTCTTTGTACAAACGGAGAGGAGTCACTAGAAGCTACACAACACAATATAATGAATTAAGTCAAATTCTGAATAAAAAATATGTCATTTTAGACATATTTCCTGGAATATTTTTTCATTAAAATTCTTGGTAAGAATTTCTTTTTGTACATTTACCACCGACGATAAATATCACAAAACGAGGAAAGTTTACAACTCGTTTATCGACTCGCATAGTTTATTTTAATTAAGGGCCCTGCATACGTCAAAGCATGCATCCAAATCTAGCTACATCACAGGCGCCATGTCTACCTATACTCTCTATCTTATACTATGTTCAATGTCATACTCTGTGTTTACCATAAATGAACATTTTTATCCTTGTTCATTAATGATTTGAAATAAACTAAAAATTGGTAATTGTGGCAAAAATATTAAAAATATAACAACGCAACGGTCGCATACATACGTACACCTTACGCAGCACAACGGATGCAGGGCTCGTTTAAGGGGCTGCAACCTCAAGTTCAGAAATATACCTCATTCAACACTTTGAATACGAACTTTTGGAAAAATTATATATTATACACTGATGGATTGACTGCTATGATATATTTTTCTTTTTTCAATGAGCACTGCAAGATAAACTTGCATTTGTTAAAATGATATACGTTTCTATTGTTTGGCAAGGGAAACGTACAAAGGAAATATACATTTACTTATGTATGTGTATATATGTTTATATATATATCACATTGAACTTTTGATGGAACAGTTCTTCATGAGATTATTTATATCAGTCAATATTGGGACAACCAAAATTTAGAAGTTTCATTTTTTTTTTTTTCTTTACAATGTAATACTTCGATTGAAGTAAAAATTAGGATATTTGTACATATGATAATGCAGTCAAAATACCGATAAATTTGTTGGAACGGGTATATGACAGAACAATTTTTTGCAAACGCCCCAAGGGCAAATGTATCATATGTAACAATTAGTTGATGTCAATCAATGATCAATTTCATTGCGTGGGGTATTGTGGCATGGTGTATGCTACCATAGCAGGTTGCTGACCTGGTGGTAATGGTGCAGTTGCGGTCGGTGGTGCGGCGGTCGCTTGTGCAGGCTGCCATGTACCTGCACCAGGGGCGGGCATTCGCATACTATTCATATATTGAGCCTGTTGTCCATAATATTGACCATAGTACTGAGCAGGCTGTAAAAATTGACCCTGCATTTGTGGATATCCTTGTGGATACCAATAACCCATTTGCTGACCATATCCATATGCGTATTGACCAGCTCCAGCTGTAACCTGTTAAATAAAACATTAGATGTATTAATTTTTTTTTCGTGATATATTATTATTTACATAATTTTTTATAGAATTTTAAACGACAATGATTTATAAACATATATGTACAAGTCTTTCTAATAATAAAAATATGTGTATATTAGAATAACCTGTTGAGCTTGGTGATTTGCATTAGGTCCCACACTATTAGGATCTCCATTTTCTTTTCCCCAAAAACATTTAACAATGCTACCATTAATTTCTGTATTATGTGTTGATTCTATGGCATGTGTTGCTGCTTCCTTAGTAGTAAATTTAATGAACGCATATCCTTTGTCTTTAAATACTCTTATATCTTGTATGGTACCAAATGGAGAAAATGTTTTGTTTATCAGTTCGTCTGTAATGCCATTTGTAAAACCTCCACAATATACTGTGCAATTGGTTGGACTACTTTGGTTATATACCTATTAACAGCAACATGCACAATTTAAAGAATCAATTCATATGACTTTATCAGATAAACTACATACAAATGTTTCCAAATCTTGCATTTATAAGACAAATATAAATTTGTATATTTCAATTATATATATATATATATGTATATATATGAAAACAACTGACAACAACTGTTCACTGAAACTCAAATCATACCTCTTCGTAGTTAGGTTTACTATTATTTGAATGCCGTGGCCTTTCAGATCTTGGTGGTGGCGGTTTCCTAGTCGACCAATTTGTCCTGATGCTTCTGGATCCAAGCCACTGACCATTCATTGCTGCTATCGCTGCTTCAGCTTCAGACTTTTTGACAAATGATACAAAGGCATATCCTTTACTTTTCATGGTTTGTGGGTCGCGAACAATTCTACAATTGCTAATTTCGCCAAAAGGCGCGAATGCTTCTTTCAATGTTTGTGTTTCAATTTCCGGTGAAAGATCACCGACGAATATGTGATGATGATTACTCGTATCCAACTTCGGCTGATTTCCAGGGCTCGTTGCCCAGTTAACCTTCATTTCCTTATTCAGGAAAGATCGCTTGTTCATGGCGGCTAACGCCGTAGCCGCGCATTGATGATTTGTAAATTCGACAAAAGCATATGGATCGTTTCCTGGTTCTCGTATAATCTTGCATCCTTTAACGGCACCTATTTGTGAAAAAAGTGCGCACAACAGTTCCTCCGACACCGAAGAGTCTAGATTTCCCACATAGAGCGTTCGTGGATTGCTTTCTTCGCTCATGCTCGCTCTTTCAGGACCTTTGTACTTCTTTATTTAACTAATTTCCTTACTTTCGTTGGGCTTAATTTACGGTTCACACGTTCAGTGCGTGGTACGTGCATTTACCTCGACCCCAGCATCAGAATTCAGATTTTCTCGCCTTTTCCAAAGAACACGGACGGTTGAACGCGAAGCTACACCCAGCCTCTACGTCATACTAACATAAAATGGCCGCTCTCCTGCTTCACTACTTTCCCTTCAATCATCAACATAAACGTTCAAATTTTACCAATTAATTTACTTAGGAGTATGCTTCTTTCACACACGTTCAATCCTTTTTACCTACCTATCTAACGCTTGTTAAATTGATTGAAATAACTTGAACTTTATCGGCTAAAGTATAAAGAACACGTGTTTTTGTATCATCCGTCGAAGATTTCATAACAGGTAGCGCGAAAACGCTTGTGAATCATTGGCCTACGAAATTCACTAGACAACCATTTCGGTAAGGCTGATTTTCATCAAATTTTATACTCTTTCTTTTTTAGTGTTGATATTTCTTATTTACGTTTTCAATGTCAATAATTGACAAATATCAATTATAAAAAAAGTATCGTAACTTTTTTTCGTTGGAATTAAGTAATGCTTCAAAACATTATTGAAACATATCAATTATTAATTATTATATATTATTTCAAAAATTATTATAATTTAAATCTAATCTTATTATTAAATCAATAATTTTTCATTATACTTATAAAATTTTTAAAAGCATATGTATATAGATCACGTAGTCCACACTCTGTGTTTTGGTTAATAAAACAAAATTATTTGTTGTATAAATAAATGTCAATGTAGAAAGATGATTCAAATAGAAATGACTTTATTATTTAATTTTTAAAATAAATCGCGCCTACAAATGAATATTTCAATGTCAAAAAATATAAGAAAACAATGTTATACAATAAAAACAATACTGGTGTTGCATGCATTTTAAATGACTACTATGCAGCTGCTATTGTTTTATATATGTACAATTATGAAATAATAATCTTTGGATATATAAAAGTCTTTGGAAATAGTTTAATTTTAATAATTATATTTGCCAGTAGATCTACTGATGTAATCTATATGAACAATGATAATGATGTTTAAATTTTATTGAACTGCTTAACATATATTCCTAACTTTGATATTACAAAGAAAATTCTTAACTTCTGTACCACAGTTAAAATGATTATACATTATTACATATGGCCACATTAGTTAACAGAATAAAATACTTTTCTTTTTACTGGCAGCAAATATCTCATTTGTTATGCTTTAATATAAGCTGGTTCACTAATAAACATAATAAAACTCAAATTAATAAAATGAGTTATTTACAAACAGTTTGTCATTGTATACAAATTACTAATAATTCTATTTTTTTTTTATTAATTAACTATTTAATCATACATTTGTAACGTAAATAATTATTTAACGATTACTCAACATAAATTTTATTATTTGCATTAAAATGCACAATACTTTTATGTGCTGTTAACAAACATTTTATAAGAATTGCTCTTTCCATATTGCACTCAAACGTTTTCTTTATCACACAAATAAAGTTTTTCCCATATTAATGTTTCTTGCATGCCAGCTTATACGAGCAACAATTACAAGTGTATAAACTTAAATTGCATATTAATAAAATTCATTGGTTTGTGGCTACTCAGTCTTTACGACATATTAAAAATTATAATCTATACATATATACGTAGATTATATATATATATAGAATCTTCAAAAATGTCATGTTTCTTATCTATACGAGCGTTCATGCGTTAAAATTTGCATTATTTACATTAAAAATAAACATAAGAATATTAGATAACAAATTATTTTTATGTAATATAAAATGAATACTTATTAAATGTTTGTGATGATTTTGAGTATTACGATTTTAGGTGTCTGTACAACTTATATACATCAAGTGTAGAAAATTATTTAAATTGTAATACTTTGCCTTTGATTTGTTATGTTTGAAATTGGGTAACAAGAAGCTTCGTTGCTTTGGCAATGTCATAAGCACATGAACGTACTTGTTGAAGACACCGGTCCATGTGTTCAATATCGCTAGTATATCTTTGAAGACCAGAGCATTCTGCTTGAAGCCTTCCTGTATTACCGTTCAATTGGCGTAAAGCAGATCTAATATTTTCTTCAATGGGATTCTATAATAAGAAAATATTATTATAAATTCACATTTAACAATCAAGAATATCTAGAAAAATGTTTTACGTCTTACTTGAGGAAATATAGCTGTAAGCTCGGCAACAGCAACTCTGATTCTTTCTGCACAAGGTACGAAAGCTTCTCGTTGTTTTCGATCCTGCATAGCCATCCATAATTCCTGTATTCTTCTTGTAACTTGTTCAGTTCTTCGAGTAACTTCTTCACTAGGAGGAAGATTAGGAGCACCGCATTCCCACATACTTTGCGTGTTGCTTCGAGATATCGTCTCTTGATCTCGTTTTGACTATATTTTACATTTACGTATAAAAGTAATATTTCTACATAATCAAACTTTATAAAAGTTTCTGTGTTAATACCTGACAAATAGATGTGGACCATGAAGAAGGTTTTCTCAAACCTTCTCTTGTTTCGTACATAGATGCAGGTCGCTGATTGCTTCTTGTAAGAGATGTTTTTATATCAAGCACCGGTTCTAACTCTGGCTCTTGTTCACCACCGACATGACCATTAACGATACCATCAGTGGATTCTTTCATCTACATGTTTTCTATATTAGATTCTCAATCTCAAAATATGAAATAAATATAAAGAATAATCGTCTTACATGAATCATTTGTTTCAGTTCATTATTTTCACGCGTAAGTTGTTCTATAGTATTTTGTAAAGTATGTATCTGCTCACGGAGATCTCTGACAGTAGATTCAGAGAGAGTTAATTGTTTTTTCAAAACCTCTACGACAGACGGAAGCCCTCTGGCTAATGGCGCGAATGCTTCCTGAAATAGTATTTTAATATATTCAATAAGACTTTGCTTTTATATGAAAAAGAAGGATATTATAAGTCACTCTATGTGATTGTTATATAACAAAACACATAATCAATATATCTGTGTTATAAATTTTAGTGAATTATAAAGAGGTGAGATAATGCAAGTCATTATAATTTAAATTTATATAACTCTGGCAAAGGCTGCACATGCACTAACAGACCTGTGCACTTGCCTAATAGCACTGTCTACAGAAGAGCCATGTACTAAGCCGATTCCTTATTCTTCTTTTCGTAACTAGAGCCGGTACCTTTAATACGTTACCACACAATTTTATCTATTTTATAACAAATAACTTACGCCCATCTTTTTTATATCTTATATTTTTCATATTTATAATATTTCCTTATATTTTACGATAACGTAACTTATTACGTACCTCGTTATTCATTTTGAACTGTGTTGAATATTCAGGTATCGCATTATCTGTTGATGTTAACGCATAATCGTCGTCAGACGCGACGCTATCATACAAAGGTTCATCATCAGACATTTGTGACCGATATTTTCCAAGCTGTTCCTTGCGAAGCGCAGAACTGGCTGGATCTAATAGCGATACGTACATGTATAAATACAATAGACACTTTATGATATGTATAGTCTTTCACAAACCTTGTAACGATGCATTATTCGCAAGCATATGTCTTCTGCGAGCTTCAATAAGTAGATCTACAATAAGGGTCATAAATTCATTTAGCGTGAATCTCGCTAACTTTTGTCTACCTTGATTTCTTGTAGATGATAGTTGTGGATTCACTGGCAGAAATGGTACTGGACATCTTTCTGGTGAAGATGCAGTTGTAAACCAAACTATTCAAAAGACATAAACTTCAAATTGTTGTTGCAGTTAATAATTAATTAATTTATTATTTATATATTTCTATTCCTAGGTATTGTTACTTAGAAACTAAAATCTTAAACTATAACTTACCCCTCCTTCAAAATGATGCAATAAAAAAGTATTATATATTAATAGCATAATATATAGAAATAACAATAGTTTATTGCTAAAATAAGTTGTTCATTTGTAAGATGTAACAATTTACTTACTTTCTTCATTTTCTCGGCGATCCACTTCGTCATAAACATCCATGGCTAATTCTTCCAGTAAATGGTTTGATAACTAATCAACAGAATTTAAATATTATACTCTTACACTTCTAAAAAATATAGTCTATACTTACCAGTTGTAATCTATTTCGTCCTTCTAAACATAAATTACTTTGATCTCTCAATAATGTACATTCAGGAACAATTATATGCTCGTCCAATCGATGATCGGGTTTGCGTGAACATACATAATACGTCAGTCTGTCTGATACTTCATACATACATTCAACAATACGTTCTGATAATTCTATATACCCTGCCATTCTAAAAAGTAACAATTTTTTTAAATATATCTAACCAATATCTGTATAACAGAAAACATGTTGTTACATACTTTGCAATTTCAGCAGGTGTCTGTCCATTTAAATCAATCATACTAGGATTACCACCATTGGCTATTAAAAGTTCTACCTGTAAAGCTTGTCCTGCTCTAGCAGCTACGTGTAAAGGTGTTGTACCTTTTTCCTATAAGGACAAAGATATTATATTTTATGTTCTTATTGTTAAACTACATACTAATATTTTATTCAGAAGTACCTTGTAAAAATAACTTGGATTAGCACCTTGTGCAAGTAATCTTAAAGAAGTTTCTAAATTACTTGTACGAACACTACTATGTAGCTGTCTACTTAATTCTTCTTCGCTACAACATTCCTCTTTACTTGGACGTAATATGAATGCTAAATGTTGATGTTTTGCTTTAATAAAATCAGCCTTTATTGGACTATGAAAAACAATGATATGATTATTATTGAAATACTGTATTTTATATTATTTTAGGATGAAATTTATACTAACTGTAGCGGGTCTTTAGCCTGTGGCTTCCTTCTATTGATTTTTGAATTATTAGGATCTAATAGGGAATGTTCCCAAATACTGTTTGCTCCATTATCATTTAATGTATGTACCATCTAGAAAACATAAAGCATTATTTTTCAAATTACATATCAGAGAATGTTCTTTATTACTGCTTACTGACATTCAGTAAATTTGTATGCCAAATACTTTTGTGGAGTGATTTTATATGGGATATATGACGACCAAGACTACGATGCATACCACAACAATCATCACATAATAAAATAGCTCTGTTCAGTGAAGCCCATCCTGGTTCTAAAATCAATCATTATATTTGTTTCTTGTTATCAATAAATACATGTTAAACAACAATAAAAATCATACAATTAAAAGCAAAATAATCATAATGTTAATCTTGTTAAAAATGTATATGATACAATCAACATAATTTATCAATAATCAAATAATTAGACATAAATATCTAAAAAGGTATGTAAATATGTGATTTATAGTAACCTTTTCCAAATAGATTATACAATTTTTACTAACTAACAAAATATCTTTTATCAGCATCTGGTTATGCAATATAGTAAAGGATTAAAACAATCTAAAAAAAAGAAATCATAGATTTAACGCATGATTAAAAGAAAAGTACATTTACCGAGGGCTCCACAGTCAGCACATATATCCGTATTAACTCTATGTTTCGGTCGAGCCATTCTCTTTCCGTTTCTTTCGTCAAGGCACAATAGTAAGATTCGTTACAACAAATGTAAAAAGTACAACATAATGTACAGGTGGTTTTAAGACTAATATCAGAAATAAAATTTCAAAATGCGAAACATTAATTTAAATGTCATTATATATCATTATATATTTAACAATTTCACCATGACAGAAGTCATCCCGAACGAATCTGCAATAGTTGCACCATTGATCGAGCATCCTAAAAGACAGGCAATCATGCGATACACTTTCGCCTTACACTGCTTTACTCTAACCTATTCTGTTATTATGATATTAATAAAGTCAAAAAGTTATAAGAATAATGATAACTTCAATTTTCACGTATACAGTAATTAGAACAAAACCTTGAATAAATAGGATGTATGAAAATGTAAAATGTTTAGTTTTATTAGATGAAACCTTACATTCATGTACAATTATAAAATTCATTATGCTACATTAAATTAATATTTATACATACAATATATAAAGTAAATAAGTATATTAACAATTCTTTTTAGTTTGTCATATAATAAAGAAAAATGTTCATAGTTAAGATTCTGGTGATTCAGAGTATAGATTACTAAGATCTGTCAGTAATTTATTAGATATATATGTACTAGCATTGAGAATAGAATTATCTATATTGTCTATTTGACACAAAGGTTTAAGCTTTTTACCATCTGGAGTTTCTAAAAACTTCATAGTTGATTTTAAAGCCATATATTCTCTGAATGACCGTTTTTGTTTATACCGTTTAACTATAGGAGTCTTTTGCAGAGAAATAGAATCCTTAGTGGGTTTTGTATATATAATGTTAAGTTGCTTTTCCAATTCTAAAAAACTTCCATCTCCATTAGACATTCTTTTTACATTAATAAGTTCATAATTTTTTTTATCACTTTCAACATTTTGATTTGTATTTAAAGACAGTACATTTGTTACATTAATCCGTGAAGTATGTGCAATAGGTGTCCTTACATTTTCTTCCAATTGTTGTTCAATTAAATTATAAGTATCGACTTGAACTTCTTTAGGTGATTTCTCTAGTTCAATATGATTTTTTTTTACATCAGCATTAGACAGTGTAATTTTCTCATCATTTCCAGATAATAATTTTGTAATACACATTAACATTGATTTCAATTTCAATACATTTTCTTCTGTTACACTTAATAAATTTTTTAAACCGCATTCTAGGCTCATAATCTTATCTCTATTTATACAAATCATATTATTTTCAGAATCTACCAATTTTGTATCTTGTAAGATACTATGTAAACCTTGTATACATTCACCTTCTTCTGATTTTGTAAACTGTTCTGTTGTTAAATCAATCTCATTTGAAGTACATCTTTCTTGTGGTGGGTTATTTTGTACAAGTAACTGATTCTCATTATTCATTGTTATTTCTTGATTGGTTGGGCGTGGAGAAATTTTTACTTTTGGTACAATATGTGAAGTTTCAAGACACTGTAGATGACTTGTATCAGTAGACATCGAATTTAAGTGGCCAGAAGATTTTATAATTTTGTTTTCACTGAGTGGTTTAATACTGCCAAATCTCATAGTGGAATTGTTAATTTTATGAGATTCCTTGTTTAGCTGCAAAATATTGACTGTTTCCGTTTTTCTCTGTTCTTTTCTAATAATATTTTCTTTATTGATAAGTGGAATTTTGTTTGGTATTACAGGTATTTTTGAATATCTATTTACTTTATCAGTACATTTTTGTAAATGTTTTCCCTTTATTGTATTTGAAGGCAACAACAAACTTCTTTTTTTTATTATCGAATCAGAACACTTTTTACTGATTGACTCATCAAGTGTTAATTTATTTGGTTGAGTTTTATTTTCATGATTGTTCTGTGAAGACTTAACAGGAAATTCATTAAAATTAAGATTTCTACGTACACATTTCATAACATTTACAGTTCCATCACATGTACCTATTCCTAATAAGAAAATATTAATTCATTAGTATTGGTCATTTATTTTCTTAAACATATAATTTTGTACCAACCATTTTGTTTACTATCTTTTTTTGTACTCTTTACAGTTGAGGATGGACCTAATCTTTCTGGTTGTATTTTCTTACGGGCTGAAACATATACCTTTATAGATTTAATTATAATATGTATATGCAAAATAAAGATAATTGTAAATTTATACTCACCACTATCTTTTTGAACATTCCTTATATTTTCAGCCTGTCTAAGCAATTTTCCAATTTTAATTGGTTGTGGTCTTTCATAATCTATAGAATAAAAATGTTTATTATTATTTAATACTGTTAGTTCATTCGAATGACAAAATCTGATTAAAATTACCTTTTTTAGGTGTATTCTTATGCATCACTTTCGGGCAGGTTGAACATTCTGTCATTCTTAATCGTGAATGCTTAACTTTAGCTTTCCCCTTTTAAAAATATGTAATAATCTAATAGAAATGTTTATTTTTTTTTTTACATATTTTACGTATACTCACCGTGGAACTGGATTTAACGAACATTTCTTTGTTTTGTTAATTAATACAGTCTATGTCTTAACAACTTAGAGTAATTTTTATGAATGCACATTGATGCACATATTACATTATCAATATAACATAAACTTGAGGTGTAAAAACACAAACGGAAAAATTCAAATTTCCTACAGTTTAACGGATTGCGATCATAAAATATAATATTAGATAGATTCGTAAACGACAATGTTTTATATTGAATGGCGCGTTTACATTGCGCAGACTCATTATATGCCAATGAGAAATAGTAATTTTGAATTTTGTTCATTGTGTATTTACTTTATCACTTAAAACGCATAAATAATAAACATAGGTAAAATATTAACTAACGATTTTGATAGATCAGTATGCATATACAAAGTATATTGTGCGAGTGGTTATCTACTATGGGCAAACGCTATACAAAACATGAAACCTTTTGCGCAGATTTCTTATCTATAGTGGCTATTCTCCGAAGTCACATAGGTCGGCCATTTTGTTAAATTTATTTCTAAACGTATCCCCTCCAAATTGAAAACAACCGAAGGTTGACGCTGTTCTCAATTCTGATAAAGTATTTTTGGTTAGGTTAATAGCTGTATAGAAGATATTTAACAGTAAGTAAACCATTTTGATTACGTTTGCTTCTATTAATATTGAATCGAGGTAGAAAATGTCTACGCGTGCATGGAGAAATGATGCTTTAGCGTAGTTCGTAATGTGTAATTGGATGGAAGGAGGCTTGGCGTAAAGAGAGGCTATGGCTACTGCTTTGATCATATGTAAAATACTATTAGCTGATCGGTCACCCTTTGTTTTTTCATTACCGATCTGTGTGGCATTTTTTTCAGTTGATCTGTGCGTGAAAAACAATTTTGTCTTTCGAAATGTTTGTTATAACCTCCAAAGTCATAACCTATATAATATAACCTTAGATGTCAACATTTTAAATATTTCTTATTCAAGAAATATAGCAGAAAGATCTCCCAAAAATTCCAAAAATGTAATAGACACATAAATTTATATCATTAAAATGTGTATTTTCTATCTTAGACTTGTATCAAATTTTTTTTTATTTTACATGTTATAGTAGCAGTATTAAGATATATTTTAATAAATAGATTCAATTTATAATTATAATTAAAGACATAATTTTTAAGACAAAGTTATTGCTTAATGCTTGGAACTAGTGAATAAATACAACTGTTTTTTGTTATAAAAATGTGATATACAAATATTTTAATTCACATTATTTTCTTGTTATATGTATAAATTAAATAAGTATACATTTTTAAAAGAATATTGTTATTAAATAAGAAACATGTGTTTGAACTTAATTTGATCAATATTGTTTAATTAGTTCTGTTGACATTTAGTTAATGTTGTATGGTAAGTTTATTACATTTATTTACTTATATATTAATAGCATATTTATAATCATATATGTATAAATGTACATACACATGTAAGAATACATTTACATTACATCATTGTAATGTTTATGTATATAGTTATGAATGTAATTGTTCAGATCAATTGAAATAAAGAATACTTTTTATATTTTAGTGATTTCAGTGATCATATAATTTTATATTTAATAAAATGGATGTTGCTGGAGATCTAACATTACAATGGGTGGAGGAGGTGGGAAATGTGATTCACGAAGAAGTGATATGTGGGCTGGAGGCACAGTTAGTTGGAGCAGAAGAAGAAGTAATCGGAGCATGCGAGGAAGTTGCAGTTGAGGAAACAGTAGAATCTGTTCCTAATGTTACTCCTACAACCGAGTCAGAGATATTAATGGTACCCCAGCCCAGCGACATGGAATCTATTTACATAGTGCCACAAGATCAAGGCCATGACTACCTAAATATACAGGTTACAGAGGAAGTTATTGCAGATAACTGGGACAGATCTGGTCCAGAAGATGGGTAGGTTGAAGTAACATATACTTTTCATTAAATTTAATAATTTTTTAATTAATTAATTGCATATTTTAAAGGGTTGAGATATCAGAATCAAAAGTATCTCATGAAAACTTGTTGGAATATGATGACATGGAAATACCATTACCAATTGATCAAGATTCTTACACAAATAGCAGACCTTATCCGTGTGACTTCTGTAGTAGGAGGTTCAGAAAAAAGGCAAATTTAATGAATCATATGGTAGCACATCAGACAGACCGCCCTCATGGTTGTAACTTATGTGGGGCACGTTATGCAAGGAAATGTGATCTTATGAACCATTTGAAGATTCATGCTTATGCACCATCTAGAGATGGTTTGGAGGATGATTTAAATGATGATGATTCATTGGTACCAGAAGAAGAGGAGTCTACTAAAGGTAGACGTAAAAAGGTACAGTCAAGTGTACCAAGAAAACGCAAAAATCATTCTGCTCTTTCAAAACGCAGCATTGAAGATAGTAAAATGGAAATGGGCAAGTATGTCAATAAATCTTACGATTACGTTGACGAGGATATGCGTCTTTTGGAAGAAATGACTAGTAGAAATTCTGCACGTAGTAGTAATTATGCATCAAGCTCAAGATGGAATGATCAGATGTCACCAGAGATGTCCACTGAACCTCAAGCACCACGATGGCCTATAACTGATCCAACAAAACCATATGTATGTCAGTATTGTGGTGTTGGTTTTGCAAGAGAAAAAGCACTTGCATCCCATGCGCGTATCCACGGTGGTGACAGCCCATTTGAATGTACCACATGTGGTGATATGTTTTGGGATGTTAACAGTTTAAGAGAACACGTCCGTGTCAAACATGGTGGTGCACCACAGTCTGACATAGAAGAATACGATAATGATGCTACATACACAGGCGACGAAAGATTTGGCGAATTTTATTGCAATAGTTGTGGTGTTCCGTTCCACCGTTTGGATTTACTTAAACGTCATCAAAAGTAAGATTATCTTATGACAGTGAATAAGATATTTTTATGTACGAAAATGATTAAAATTCCGTTTTGTTTCAATTTTCTGCCGATTTGCAGGAAAATTAATAAAAGTCTGATATTAATTTTAATGTTGGTTACATTAGGATTCATGTGAAACAAGAAGCCGATATGATGGAAGGTCCAAGTCAACATCATGTTTGCAATGTTTGTGGTGAATGGTTTGAAGAGGCTTTGGCATTGTTAGCACATGCCGAACTCCATGCTAGGTATTATTCACTAAAAATCTTCAACATAATATTAAAAAATATTTGGAGAGTAAAAGATATTAATATAGGTAACAATTTGATGGAAAACATCATTTTTGTCTGTGTATAGCCGTATAGAACTTAAAACATACATCGACAATTAAGATAAATATTAAAAGATTGTTAAAAAAGTAATTTTTCCTTTCGTTTAGATCACCCAGTCGTCGATGTTTATTATGCGGTGAAAGATGTCGTGACGACGCTGAAGTTGCTGAACACGTACGGCAAAATCATGCCGAAGATGCTCCACCAAATACATGTACACTTTGCGGGAAAACTTGTAAAGATAAGCGCAGTTTATTGAAGCACTCGTGGGTGCATAATGTCGATAAAACTTTCGGATGTACAAAGTGTGGTAAACGTTTTCATAGCAAAGCCAGATTACGGAGGTATATATTAAAATTTCATGTCATGTATCATTAATATCAATTTTCTACTTTTTTATGCGCGTTATCACATTTTAGACACATGGTATCGCATCGCAATAAGATGGTAGCCTGTGACGAGTGCGGAGAAGAATTTCCCGATGGTAGAGCTCTCGTTAGCCATCGTCATTCACACAATAAGGAGTTAGGCGGTCGTTCTTTTCCATGTCGAGAATGCGGGAAAACATTCGGAAGTCGTAGTTCGCAGCAGATTCATATCCGAATTCACACCGGAGAAAGACCGTACGGTTGTAGATTTTGTTGGAAGGCATTTGCCGATGGTGGAACATTAAGAAAGCACGAGCGCATTCATACAGGCGAAAAACCGTATGGATGCGCGATTTGTCCAAGAGCTTTTAATCAAAGAGTGAGACATTTGAATTTAAATGATACTTCTATCATTCGGACACAATAAATTTTAATGTAACCGTGATTGTTTCAGGTTGTTCTCAGAGAACACGTACGAGCTCATCATTCAGGTCCTGATCCAAAATGCGTGGGTAGCATTACACCGTACTTATGTAAAGTGTGCGGTGATGCATACGGGACATCAGAAGAAATAGTTGCTCACATTGTGCAGCATTGTGATGATAATACTGCGCTAAGACGCCAACCGCAAACTGGACCACGTAAATATAAGAGAAGACGTAAACTGAAACCTCATGAAACTAATACAGTGTTGCGTATGAGCGAACAATATGACATGATGGAAGCAGGCTCTGATTCAGATGATAATACGAAAAGAAAACTTGGAAGGAAAAATAAACAACATCGATCGAACATTGAAGAGGGTTATCAAAATGTCCTGAAAAGTTTTGAAAGCTCTTTACAGAACATCAATTCGATTGTTAGCAATTCTAAATTAAATCCAGGAAAATCCAAGCTCTCTAAGAAGAAGCTTAAAAAAGAAGAGAAAAAGAATGAAGCGCAAGCTTCGTGTCATCCTGGTAGACCAAAAATGATTCACACCCAAAAAACAAGAGTGCCTGTAGAGATCGGTAGTGATGGGGTTAAAAAGGGACAAAAAACTAAAACTATGGTAACAAGGACGCCTAAAATGATGCCACAGGAACATAAATTAGGAATCTTCCCAGGTGGTGAAAGAAATAGGCCGAGAACAAAGAATGTTAGTTATCATATCGAAGGGAAATTTCAACCATCAGCTGCAACATTCCCAAAACCAAAGGATGAAATTCCAAGAACTCCGACACCAACGCATCAGACGTTACCAATAACACACATAAAGTTGGAACCTAATTTACAGAAAACACCGAATAACAATCATAGAAATAATAATGGTAATATTCTTGCTATGAACAATGAAAAAATGGAATCACCAGTTAGAAAAAGATCAGGTGTATTAAAGAGAATTAAGAAACAAAAGGATGGAATTAAACAAGAACCAATGGATATTGACCAAGATGAAATGCAAAATAATAATAACACTGAAAATACAAGCTCTGAAAGATTAATGGAACATACAGTGGATGGAAGCAATTTACAAGTTGCATTTGAAGCAAGCGTTACAGCCGAGGAAGAAAATATACTTCCTGATGTTGGAGATGTACACGATACCGAGGATGTTGGACATGGAAATGTCAAACTTAGTGTAAAAGTTGAATCAACACCGCAGCGAATGTTGGCTGTTCATAGTGTTATAGCACCCGTGGATGATATTCCAGAAACTATAATACCAGATGCTGTTGAGTATACATGTGAAATGTGTTCTGCGGTATTTTCCAGCAGAGCAGAATTGTTGGTTCATGTTCCAATACACATTTGATTTAATTTGTTCAATGAAGTTAAAGAAGGTATGCGAATTTGTTCTATTCTAAGAATACTTGTTTAATTAAGTAACGTTTTAACATGATCAATGAAAGTTTATCTGTTTATTTGAATTGGCATTATCTTATTATGCCGAAATGCCCTCTACTCGTTGCTCTATGAAGTGCACTAGATTTTTGTGTTTAACATATATTTTAAAAGTTGATGCTGTTTTTAGTTTATTACGGCATTCGGAGGTATTTAAAAATTTTCAAATGTACTCGTTTTCAATTAATCCCATCATTATATCTTTTTTATATTATTCGTGTTTCTTTTAAATTAAACAAAAATACTATTTGGCTCAAAATTCATATTGAATCATGGTGTAATGAAAAATATTACAAATATTTTATACGTTTACAAATTTATGAAACCAATTGTTCTGGTCAAAGAATCGACCATTCTTTTGCCATCCACAATTTTCTAGTAAAAATGAATGAAAGAAAAAAAAGAAATGATGACACGTCGTGTACATAAAATGCTAAGGCATTCTAAATATTTATGTGAATGTGTTTTATAATATTACTCATTCATATAAATTAAATTTACTCTGTACATTTGCTTTTAGCTCCTAAGTGATTAGATATGTGACAACTGATGCATTGGATTACCATAGTAGATAATTTCTATCCAATATTACTATCTAACATCAGATTGTTTTTCATGGATTTTTTACTTACAATAACATTTAAAAGTCCGAATAAGCTAATTTGGAAGTAATATATTGACTATTTGAATTTCCATTTGAAAAGAAGAAGAAATTTTTAGAGGCGCATAAAACGTGTGTCAGTTCACCTCAAAATAAATAACTGATATCATAATAAAGTACATAAGTACTTTGCATACGTTGCAAAAAAACATTTGTACAAATTGATTTTTGTACCATGAAATATTTTGTGACTGGAGAAACACGAACTCATTGTTACTGTTTCAATAGTATTCATTATGTAATAAAAATATGCTTATTATTATGGTATACTTTGTTTATATTAACATATCTAAGTAGTTCTAATGAAATTATTCAATCATTTTATTACATTTCGCATTAAATACAATGAATTGTATGAAACGTTATCTGTAGAATTTTATGAAAAAGCAAATATTAAAACTTAAATGTTATGGACTTTGAAATTCTTTTACTTTATATACTAATTTATATTGGGTATGATCAGATCTGATTTTTAATTTTGTACAGAGTTCAAATTTCATTATTTCTCTTATTCATTTCTATATTTATCTTACATTCTTTTTAACATGTTCATTAGTGTTATCTTGTTACTTATTGCTAATGGGTGCTATCATTACATCACAGTATTACATCAAGTAGTACCATTGCAAACAAAGAAGATAAAAAATGTAGTTTCATATTCTAAGATTTTATATTTGAGCATTCAAAAATTTCTTAGACAAATAGCATTTGCATCCTTGTTTTGTACAAATAAAAATTGAAGTTTCAAATTGCTTCAAAGTAATTGGATATTTAACAAATAATTCATATAATTTAAAAAACAAAATTTAGGATTCTTGTAGTATTTTTCTTAACTTCCAAATTATATATGTATATATGTATGTATGTATGTACCTATGTATTTCAAAAGAAAATTAATTATATTTCAATGGCATTATGTGTGGCAATCAATCAAAAACAGTGTGTACTCTATTTTTATAGTCAAGAGATATTTTGAATATAACGAAGATTCTGATACTATTTGTAACATTTTGCAAAACAATGTATATACATATATATATATTTTATTATTTAATGTTCTTATCTGTATTTTAGGAATGGTGTCATAGTACCCATTACTCAATTGTTTCTATATTTTTATAGATAAACAAACTGATTTAAAACAAATTCAATAAGTAAGTTAACAATCAGTTTAATTTTTTGGAAGAAGTACTTTAAAAATATATTCGAGTTAGCAGTTAATAATTGCATTCATAGAACAGCATCATATTTTGTATGTTATGTACATACTTAAGGAATAACTACTTCCTTTAGTGATATGCGTAATTATATTGGGATTAAAGTAGCAAAAAGGTAACTTAAAACGTTCTAAAACTATTTAGAGGAACACATTATGAATCAGACTTGTATAGTATCAAAACTGTGGTATAGAATACATAAGAACAGGAAAACTATTATAAGACCAATGTAAAGTAACAGTTTTTTCGGATAAAAAAAGAATACGTAAATATATATTTACATAAGAAATATTGAAAAGTCGATTCATCAAATATCTGTATGTTCTTGATTTCAATTTTACACAAAGTTACATTCCCGTTTAATGGTAGCATTAACATTATTTAAGAATAATTCAAAAGTTTCAAAAACTTATTCAAATAACGTGTGCATAGAGCAGCCAGTGCAGGTAGCAATAATTGTAAAAAGTGCAAAGTCCAAAAATTTCAAAAGCAAAATGTTTAAGAAAAATTAAAAGTAGGAACATGTACACAATTATTTCATTTCTTTTATTTTCCTTTTTATTAAGAAAATTAATTGCATGTAAGTATCCGTGGCTTTCATTTTTTATATCTAAGTAAATTAAAATAATTAATATAGGATATAATACTATGTTGCATGAGAATGTTTCAAACAGTTTGAAAAGAATTCTTATATGTATTACTTCAGTTGTAAGCTAAAATTTAAGAACATGTATAGATTTATGAGCACTAAATTAGTACCTCCTTAATAGAATTGTTTGTATCTTTCAGGGATAAAGTAGATAAAAAAGGAAGCTGTACATATTATTATCTCGGATATGGTACGGTGGTTTATTGTTAACTGTAGACATATTTTTTTTAACAAATTGCCAATAATGATAAAAATACAATTATGTCCGCACAAAGTCACGGATAATACAAAGTACATATAATAATAACATATGTACAATTTGTAAATATGTATTTCACTTATATATTTTAAAATTTTGTGTCATTTTTATCGTATAATAAATTTGACAAAATTATAGATTATAATTATAGATACATACGATATTATATATTCGTTTTGTGAAAGTACACTATCAAGTACACGATTCGTTTGTTTTTGTTTAAAAATGGGAATTTATGCGAGGTACAAACTGCGGTAGAAAACTGTAAATGAATGATAGTTACGTATAATTTTGACTTTATATTGTATAAAGTCTTGAAACTTTATATTATAAAAATTATAAAATAGTGATATAATAACAATGTTTTCACCATTCATAAAAATATGTATCATAGTGTCTATGTTTATGCTAAAATCAGGTAAATTTAAGATATTGTATCTTTGACTAGGGAATAAAATCACAAATACCATAAATTTCTTTCTCAAATCCCATACAGATAACGGATGCTATGACTAGAAGTGCTCCAGCAATGCTGGTTGATGAAGGACGGTCTCCAAAAAAGTATACTTGTACTACATACGCCAAAATAATGTCTAAGGATCTAGTTACTGAGACTTTACCAGCACCTTCTATTTTTAACGCATTAGTTACTAAAATTTGACCTGATAATCCAGTGAATGCTACTAATAATATTTTGCTCCAAGTAATCCAATCAACTGGTAACTTTGGATTTTGTTCATGATGTTCTGACACAAGGAAGAAAAAGGTCACTGCTGTAACAAGTGACCACCAAGATAAATTGAAGATTATTGCTGAATAATGAATTTCTGAACACTTTCTCATAACAACTATGTTAAGTGCTGTGAAGAAAGTTGCTAGTATAGCACATACATATCCCATTACATTGTATGGCTCAGCTCTATGGACCTGGAAAAAAAGAAACTTATTTTATATAAAATCGTCAGTTCACGAAGATCACACGAAAAAGATTTTTTTACCTGGAATAAAAATGGTGGTCTAGATACAAAAATAACACCCGCAAAAAGCGAACACATAACTAACACACGTAATACTCCACAAGGTTCTTTTAAAAAAATAAAAGATAGTGCAATAACAATTACTGGAGAGCTGAATATGATTGTTGTGGCATCTCCTATTGGTAATTTGCGAAAACTATAATATAATAATGATAGAGTTGCACCACCCACTAGACCCTAAAAAACAATTAAATACTTTATTAAGATTAACATTTGATCTAAGCTAACAAGTGTTATTCACTTTTCTTAATTATCATACCTGTAAATGTAACAGCATTCTTTGCCCTTTGGGTCCGAAAAGACTTGTGGAAACTTTACATGCTACACACGCCATAACTAACATTTGCAGAACAGATCTGATAGCCAGCAATATCATAGGATGTACATTTTGAACTGCTTTGACTAATGCAGAACTAATTGTGAAAAATGTACCTGACAGAAACGCCAAAAATACTCCAAACCATTTGGTACCATCCTGATATGTTTGAGCATTATTAGCAAATTGTTCTGTATACTGGTATGATGGATGAATACTGTTGTAAGAAGTAGTAGATCCAATGCTGAACTTCATCGTTTGCCTACTTTAACGGTTACAATACACGATTATACTGAACGAGACGTTTGTGGTATAGTAACATGTACCGCTAGTACATCTGCCGTCTGATAGAATTAACATACAGCTTTGCACGTCAAACAGCTTATTAGGGATTAATGCTGGTAGGAAGATTTGGAAAATGTAACAGTGATCGGATTGAGATCCATCTGTATTGAGAATCTAATGAATGATAGAATTTCTTGAAAACCCATCAGAAATCAATTTATTTATTTATTTATATATAATTGTATATAAAAGAAATCAGTCCTTTCCAAAGTGCAACTTAGATGTTGGTTGATCTACACGGTAAAGTGTATTACCCAAATTAAAGTATCCTAAATATTCTATAGTTTCTGGAGTTGTATCAATATGATAATGACCTCCTTCTCCATGATGAGAAAAGCTATGGAAATGTTGAACACGAAGATCCAGATCCTAAAGTTGTAATGTACATATAATACACTATACAGTACAATGTAGGAATATTTAAGCTGAAAAAGACTCAGAATTTAACATAATTACACTTACACTTTCAGAACTAACAAATGTACCAACAGCTATCAGGGGTGTTGACATGTTGAAGAAGTTCAACCAATTATTAAGCTGTGCTTCAGTATTCAGTGGAGTTGCTGAAAAATCCGGCATAACGTGTTGTTTGATTTTTCCATCATTCATTAAGAATGTTCCTCCTAGCCCTATAATTATAAAAATTTAATTATCTTCTAATTAAATTTAGTAATTATAAGATGATACTCACCAACAAGATTATTTTGATAATGCTGTGCAATTGCTTTCTGCATACATGCAATAAAATCGTCATTGCCGGTGCGTTTTTTAGCATGTACTTTTAAGACTTTACCAGGCTTTCCTTCGGTAACAAACAAATTAGCTAATAAAGCACACCTTGTTTCTTCATTAGGTAAAGTTTGAAGCACACAGCTTCCATTTGTTTTATCGACAGATGCAATACGTGTTCCACTTGTCACATTGGATGATGAAATGACTGTATTCATCATGAGCTAAGAAAAATCATTTATATGGTAAGTATGTTTAAGTTAGATATATTATGTGTATAAAATTGATGAATATACCTCGCAATTGCAGTTTAAGTAAGGCCATGGACCTGCACCAGCACCAACAACAAAGGGATCTTTATTGTATTGCAAATGATTTAAAAGCTGTTTGATGTCATACACTTTATTTCTTTGTACTGTAGGAAGAAGAAATGATGGACCACCAATTTCTAATAGCGTAGGATTACCTCCCAATCCTGATTTTAATATACCATAATATATTAGTTTCACATGGTATAAAAAAATATTCTGTATTTGGAACTGTCTTTACCTGGTGCAGCAAGTGTAAAAGGTTCTTGGGTCAAATTTGGACAATCAACAATTTCAATTTGAAATTCAGCAAAATTTTTAGCCAAGCCTTGATTTAGAACTGTTACAAAATACAAAGGGTATTATATTATTCAATTTCTCTATAATCGTTTATTATATATTAATTAAAAATTACCATTTTTTATTTCATCAAGCGAAGGCACATGCAGCTGCCTTTTTGTTATGTTGAGTCCACTTGCATTCAAAGTAGCCATAATTGTTGCATATGTTAATATGGAGTTAACTAAAAATTTAATTTTAAAATATTAACATTGCTTTAGAACAAACAGAACAATATTTTAAAATTACAAGAATATAAAATGATAAAAAGCTTTATACTTGTGATGATATAAATCTTCCTTTAGATAGAAACTGCTGAGTGTATCACTAGAAAGCTGTAAATGGACTGATAGAAAGTTAATGTGTCATAATAATATTGCATAGTTTGCTTTATCTAATCATATACTTCAATATGACCTTGAATTATAAGAATGAAACAAATCAGTTCTATGTAGTTTTTACTATCATCATTTCAATATAAAATATCTTATAAACCATTTCATTTTTTAAATTTATGTACTTCAATTTAAATAATTAATAACAAATTCAACAGAGGTAAATTAAACCCTAGAATATTCTTTGAAATTTATTTAAAAATTCTGTAAATTGCAAAATATAAAAACGGCAAAAAATGAAAATACGCTTACAAATAGATCATTAAAAACTAACTAAATTAATGTATAGAAATAAAAAAAAAGATAGTAAAAATCTTATAGAACATGAATAAGATAATACGTTTGACAAAAAAAAGTCAAGTGTTAAATAAATAAGATAACAAGTCTTGATTGACGTCAAAAAGTTTGACGCTGGAAATTACTTATCGTTCTCTTCAGAGATGGCAACACGATACAATCGTAATTGAACATTCAAATTTTCGCGCGTTCGACACGCGGCGTCAAATCCTAAAACGGAAGTAGATTTATTTTAGTCAATCTCATATCAATAATTACAGTGTTATATTTAAAATCAATGCTACATTTTACATACCAGTTTAATTTACATAAGATAAGGTTATGCATTTCAAATATTTTTCAAAATTTCTCTTCAGATGATTGCAATGCAACGCTTAATAAAGTATTTATAATAAATCGAGTACAAAGTTCGAGAAAAAGAAAATGTACCATTGAATCGCTGCATTGATAACGTTAAGTATTAACAAAATTATTCCTAGATTACTTGTACCAGTGTCCTGATGCCTCTACGTGAAAAGTTGACAAGAGAGGGTTGGAGTACGCTAGGGTTGTGGATGCGCATTGGACGTCGAAGAAGTCTATCCCGTATCACTGGCATCGTTCCTGGATCGCATCGTCAGTATGCGGTCGCGCATTCCATGCGGGAACACCTGTTTGCTCTTTCGGCTTCTTCATCACTTTTTTCATCTCAAATCACGTAGATATTTCCGTGTTTATTGACTCTTCGAATATGCAGCATATCGAAGAAAGACAATCGAAATCGTTGAACCTTTAAAAAAAAAAAGATTAAAGAACATTGTGTTTAAAATACTTTAACGTTTATCATAGAGAAACGAGGGAAAGGGGAAAGCGCAATACACTACTTGAATCAAAACGTTCGAATTAACAAATACCGTTAAATGATAAATTAAACCGGAAGTAAGTCTTTGGGATTATCGACCGAGATCGACAAAGGGATAGAATCGTTAAATATATATGCATATGTATATCGGTGTATCTGTGTAACCGCGTGGCAGACAAAAAGCAAGAGTATTGTTAAGGAGGGGAAAATCGAAAGAAAGAGCGAACAAGACGAAGAGTTTAAGCTACCGAGAGAGGAACGTCCTCGTGACTTCAACCACGTGCCTCTCGTGGTCCTCATTTAAATACGCGTAAGAGCAATTTTCTCTATTGACGTACGCCGGTTGTTCGCGGTTGCTCGTATTGACGGATACTCTTTTTTATTTGGTACATATTTTTTTAAAAATTTATTTACAATAGAAATTGGCATGCAATTTCTTTTTTTTTTAAAATTGATAATGTTTATCAGTCTCCCTTCGCACGCATCTTTTCTCAGCGTCAATGTAATCGATCATCGAGTTTACCTAACCTTTCCCCCTACTACCAACAGCATGCAACTAATATAAGTGTTACAGCACTTCAGATGGATCCTAGAATCGTTTTATATTGCATGCTATACCTGTATGATCCAGAAGTGTTTTCTTTTAAATATTCAACGTTTTTTCATCGTATGAATTTATGGTAGTTTCCCGCGTAAATCGAATGATCGTTTCGATTATTCATTTAGATCTCGATTTTTTCGTTTCGATTAATATAACGGACTATCGAATTTTTTCGTTTCGATTTATATGGCGGATTCTCGATCCTCATCTCCGGCAATTTCACTTTCAAGTGGAAGACAATAGTTTGCTTTTCCAAGACATTAAACTTAAGCGTCGATTAGGTACACTCGAGTCGAATTACGGTGGAGTTAATGCCCGGCATTTTAACGTAGAAACATGTTTCCCAGCTTCTTTTAAACTAACCTAGAGCCAACTGAACCGTTTACGTTTTCGTCAGAGGGGCTGTAATTGTAAGAAGAATACACAAAATTAACTTTTCAAAAGCTCGAGTCTAATGTTTTAAAGCATTGCAGGATAAAAGAAACAGAAAACCGATTGTTAGGCGTATTTGGAATCTGGGTTCAGGAATCAGAAAGACGACCCTGGTAGAGTTTAATCGTGTCTTCGAGACAACGGAGCGCATCATATATACAAGGTGTTACAAAAGTAATGGTTATGGCTTACAAGAGCTAATTTTCCATAGTATGTTCGATAGGTATAACTAAGGTAGTATTTTTTATTTTATTTAATATTATTTTTCTAGTATATAGACAATTAAAACACCATTCTATACTATATTTCAGAAGTAGCCATTAAACTATGCTAGTCGTTAAAACCTTAACTTGGTTAATTTAAATTAGTTTCACGACCGAGGTAGAGCGAGAAACGTCGACGAAACGTGTAGAATCATTTGTGTAAGGCAGGACCGTTACTTGCTCGACGCCCTGTACGTACATAACGTAAGATTGCAGCTCGTAGATTATTTGTAGTCGTTGCCATTGAGATGGGTTTTATACGAGCCCCTTCCCCGCGTACCTTTATATCGAGACTGAATGGACAGAGAGAGCAGTCTCCTCTATGAGATAATACGCCTGGTTGTACCTAAGCCATTCAGGCCCGAAGTCTTATCCATCGAATCGCGAGAGATCGTGGCGAGGTGAGGGTGGACACCGTGTTGGCCCCTGCAGTGTCATGCTCACCATACAAAACGAGTGAGTATATCGGTGGTTTGCATGCGATTACCTACCACTCAATTCATCGTATCAGCTAAGATCGATGCTTAAGCGTTTTTACACCTGACCGCTGCTGTTGTGCTTTTGTTCAAGCTTTTATTTCAACAAACTGGCCGCCATCTTGATGCCTTCCTCCTTACGCCAGCTACTATCTCCATCATGGTCACACAGGCTCTCTCCCCCGCTCGATTCATGACTTTTCAGCGGTTACCAAGCTTATACAGGCTGGAATTAAGTAAATATTCCTCTCGGTTAGGGGCTCGCTTCCCCCGTCTAAGAAAAGGTTTCATTTTCTACGCTACTCGTTCATCGTTGTTCGTTAAACACGTCACTTTCCATCAACTTTCAACTGGAACTTCCGGGTTGCTCGCAAGAGAACCCTTATGAATTTGAATGAAAGTTTCTGGGTTTGCAGAGTGATTCGTGATAAGAATAATAGTATACTTCGGTCGTGCCATTCGAGGGTGTGAAATTTAACACGTTGAACGCCACAGAGAAATCGGTATTAAAGCTCTAATTACTAAAAATAGTAATAATTAATTTTCAAATTTTAAACTTCTTATTTGCCATTTCACATTATTTGTACCATAGCAATATTACTTAAACTAATGTTTTTCTATTGTTTTCTTTTAATTATTCAGGTATATGTAAGATTAATCTCCATAAATAGACAGAGTTTCATTCAAATAATAATCGAATAAGTGATCTCTTGTGAGACAGACTTTCTCTTTACTAGGAATATAAGGAAACTCGTGCTTAGCTTCATTCATCTACGTCTTTAAACTTTCTTTCAGCTCTTTAGAAGAATTGTAACCCTCCTGCCTCCCTTTTCTCGATGGACTCATGGTTTAACGATAAGATGATACACTTTATGAGCGAGTACGTGGGATGACTCGAAAATAAGCGATTCCATAGTCTTATGTGATTACAAGATCCTTGATAAGAAGATAGTCTCTTCCGGTACAGTCTATCGATCGTTGGTACATTTTAAAACAGCCATTCTGTGATTTTAACGCGTCCGTTATAAATCTTTTCAATTTATTTTTATGAAACACTTTTTATTTCTTTTGTTTTTCTTTTTAGTTTACATTGATCATATTCAGATCTTGATCGTACGCACGAAGGATGAGTTGATGCAAACACGTTTTACGTTTCCAATAGAGGAAATTATCAGGAGTATTTCGCTTCAGCGAAGTTCCGGGTAGAAGCTCGTGACGAGATTCCTTCGTACAATGTGGATTCCCTTTGCATCGCGTGTAGTAACATGGCAATAAACCACTACAGTGGCGGTGCATAATCTAATGGCGCGTTGCCTCCCGCGACAAGTATGGGACAGTAGAGGGACGGCTTCTCTGTGGTTCATTAATTGCAGCTTGCTCTCTCTCCCTCTCTCGTTCTCTCACGTTGTTCCGATCGTTGAAGCGACAATAACTAAGGGGTTGGATAGGAAAAACCTTGGATAGTATGTCTATCGTGTGTACATCCTCGAAAAAGATGCTTTTCTTTTGTTTTTCATTATGAACAACCCTTTTCTTTTTTGTATCGAGTACATATCTATATGCAAAAGTTTATTTAGTCTTTTTTTTCCTTACTTTATCAACTGCAAGTCTTCAATTTTTTTCTTCAATATTCAGAATACTGTCTGCTAGATATTACTTTGGTCCTTCTCCCTGGGATCGATCGAGTCTGTTGTTTTCCATCGAACACGTACTACGTGTTGGTGAATTCCACTTTTCCTGAATCCCACGAGATCCTTCATCAGGTATGTCAACAAATTAATCGCGTGATCTCTTCCCATTCATTCTTGTTCATACGTAACGTTCATTTTACATTTCTCCGTAATAGCTTCGCCCATCTACTCTCCATTTTCATACCAATGGCAACTACTGTGTCTTGTATATTCGAATGTCCTTACAAGTTCATGGAAATGAAAGAAGACAATACACATGAGGTTTCACGTGAAATTTCATTGTCTTGTATCTTTAGAACAATGAACATTACCGATGACAATGGATCACTTTGTTCTCGTGCGGTTCACGGAAGCTCGTCTTTTGATACCTTCTCCGGAAATTGATCGGTGAATTTGATCTTCTAATTGTATACTAATTAAGACGTTGAAAGTTGCAGATATAATCTAGCGTGCATTCACGAAAGAGAGATAACTTTTCACATAAATTTTGTAGAATCAGTGGAACTGTGTTCCTTGAATGTAACAAAAAAATTGTAACGATCGCGAGCATTTGGTTGGCAATGTAAAGGATAAGAAACATCAACGGACTTGGTAATTTTTCTCGGAACGTATACTTTCTGACAATCAAGCACTCTATTCAACAGAGCTGGATTCCATTCGATCCTCCCTCTTAGACGTTTGATTTTCTTTAGGCGACGTGCAGAAAAAAGATGAACGGATCAAAGGAAAATTTAACGTATACTGCAATGCCAAAGGCGCTCTTTTCTTCACGAAGTAGCCTTGCTAGTTCGTTACTCGTTCGCTCGATTGTTTAATTTCCTCGGCGAATTGAAGGGAAAGAAAGAATAACGTGGCATCGAACAGCCGCAAATAGATATCGCTATAATTATAAATTGAAAAGATCGAACGCTTACATGTTACAGGGTCTTTCAAAAAAGGTGTAAAGTTGAGCTTTCAGAGTGGAAGTGTATTAGATCATTCTATTATTATATTCAAAATATTTATGCTATACGTATGTAATCATTTTTATTGAACTTTAAACTTTAATTTGATATTTAATAGTTTTATGTCATCAAAATCTATCAGACTTTGTATGTTTCAGGAATGGTTATTTGATATGCAACAGTGTGCACAGCCTCTGTGATAAAATTCTTCCAATAAGAATCAGAATATCATTAGCTGGTTAAAATGTCAATGGTTGTTGATTAAACAACCAGAAGGTGCACACAAAGGCTGGCATTTCCCCTGCACATTGAATTTGCGGTCTCTCCTCTTTGCACGCATACAGGCTCGCAACAGAACCAGCTCGTAATCTATTCTCGCGGGTCAAATGTGTATCTAACTTTCAATCGGTACAAGAATGGCCCTTGTGTACCGTGTAGTTGAGCTTAAATAGTCTCCTCTTAATGTAGTTAAGTGTAAAATAGCTCGCATAGTTTAATTACAATGCTTGGCCTGCTTGTTGCACGTACAGCATCGCCCAAAACTATCAGACCACAGGGTAGCGTTTCATAAACGATGCGATTCATTTATCAAAATATTTCAATGGCATTTAAGATAAAATAAGGGAGTATTATTTCCAGTGAAAGGAAATAATTTTGGTAACTTTCTGAGCGCGCCCCATGCGTACGTCCATTATTCATGAATTTATTATCATGAGGATGATCGACATAAACGTCGCTACGTATCATCGTTACGTTCCAGTTTTAGGGTGGAAATTCGGCGTAACGTTGAAATTATTTCAGCATGTCACCGCGTAATGGGTCGTGCGCGGCGGAAGTTAGTTCGGTGAGGAGTCTGTCGTCGGACGATGTCTCGGCTACCAAGGCGAACAGAAAGAAGTCCTGCTGGGCACGTGCCACGGATCCGGCACACCGACGTGGACGACGCATTCAACTGCTACAGATGCTTGTGTTGCCGTTCATACCGATCCTGGCGTTGATCGTCCAAACGGCCAACACCCTACACGACATCCTGATCTATCGGCAGGAGGTCTCTGACATTGAGACCCAGGTAACGGATGTGCTTAAACGTTTTCGATGCTTTATCTAAAGCTTCGTTCATATTGTTCTACCTCACAGTTTATAATTTAAGCCTGTTGATCTATGCTATGCAAGAGGAACCATAGAAAAATTGTATTATTATTCTTTTAAAATATCAGTATGAAACTTTAAAAATAATTGTTAAATGAAACAGACGTTTCCTAACTAATATGTAATTATGCGAACGGCGTAATTAGGTCGGATACGTATAATTCAGTGGCAATCGATCGACGATTCGTCTAAAAGTAACGAACGAATGAGTAAACATCTAACCACACCTACGCATTCGTCCCTTCGAGCATAGCGAATATGAAATCATCCACTCCTTCGATTGTTTCTGTACATAGGGCATAGATCACTCGTTTGTCTCTACGATAACGATTCTTCTTTTATTAGAACAGCGTTGGGAACTTAAAACAATGCATAACAACGAATAGAATGCCCGGAGATGTGACGCTGTTCGATGGGAGAACATATTCCAAATCAAAATTCTCTTCTCATGGGAAATTAAAATGTATTAATGAGTATTTTTATGACTTTCTCTACTTTCGTGAAACAGACACTTCAAAGGGCACGTTAAGAGAAATATTATAAAAATGGAGACAATATTATATTGCAAGAGACGAAGGCTTTGACGATCTTCAGAGTATTGAAAAATTTCTAATTACCATCCCGTCATTTGCTAGGAGAAAATATCCAATCGTCGAGCCTTATTTTAGTATGAAAATTTTTTCAACCACGAACAAGGGTGAAATTAAAGGATGTTTAATCCACCAATCCCCTATCACTTACGTAACCATCGGTCCTTTGTTGACGAAACGTTAAGTTACAACGACCTCGGAGGGTTCAATTAACTGAAATATCAATTTTCTTTGAATAAAATTTCCAATGAAATTTTTCAAAAATTGTGAAACTCTGTTATAGATACGGTTTCGTTCTATCGCCCTTAAAATTCCATCAATTCCGGAGTGCCACTGCATTGTTAAGAACTCTACATGAAACAATACTGAAGTGCTTTCATCGATGACCAACGCATTGTTCTATGATAGAATTGGTGGTGAAGCTTGCGTTTGCAAAACGATACCGGACTTTTCAAGAAGCGAATGCGTAGGTGTTGAATTTTATTCGAGAGTACACCCTGTAGAGCGATGGATCTGATCGAAATTCATCGAAACAGGGTGTATCCTCGAGTGCACCGTTCGATCTCGAATTACCTGTTTGACGAACAGAATGGCGCGGTATATTACTACGAAAGAATGGACGCATTCTCTTCCTTGCTTGTCCTCGTCCCCATCTTCGTCCTCGGTGTTTGCCATTGTGGTAAGGGTTGCGGTACTTTTTATACCTGTTCGAGTTACTGCTCTCTGCCACGCCCTGCACAATTAAGATATCTAGAGGAAACGCTGCTTAATTTGCCTGTTTAATGACATAGAAGTACCATAAAATGGCACTTGTGGTACGTATATCTGTTTAAAGATAAAAATTTAAAGAAAATTTTCTATTAATATTCTTAATTATTTTTATTGAAACACAGAAGCATTGCCAGGTAGAAGACCATTTAGATAACAGTTGAGTGAACTCTCTTGACCACCCTCTACGTTCCTCCTTTACTATCACTTCCACTTCTTCCCGGAAGCTTTGTAGACTCGGAACAACACTGGCCATTAGCTGGTAAAGTCTCATGGTCCATTTAATTTGTAATACCCTTAATAGCAGGACAAACTGGTCACAGTTTGAAAGAGATTCTTCTGAAACTTTCGCGGTTCGTTTAAGCAACTCTCGATTAATTAATGTTTACATTGTTTTCAGGTAACAATTGCAACAGATTTGGGAAAGGTGGTGACACGGATGCAGCTTGAAAGATCCGAGGTCGCATTCTTCATCTACACCAACGGCAACACTCTAAGGTATCCGCATTGATTAGGAGAAAAAAATTGTAGCGGAAAATTGATAGCATTGAATGCCTTTCGATCCCCGGATATACGTGACTCAGAGACAAAAGCTGCTCCTCCCAAGAGTAGGAACCCTTTAACGTTTAACGTGCAAGCCCAATGAAAACAGATGGGCAACAGGGTGTTCTCTAATCAAGACGCCGTCGACGCGATACGCTTCTTTCTAGTATCTCAAGAAAAACAATAGAAGCGAGAGTTTCACGGAATGCGAGAACAGTTCGACGATCGAGAAAATCCAATTTCTACCGCTTGCGACTAGAGATAGGATATTAATTTTGATGCATCGATCGAATCTGCGATGCGCGCGTTAAAGACGATCGCTCGTTGTTTTCTGTAAATAGCCGGGGCAGAATTTGACCCAGCTTCGAAGCTGCAATCAGTGACACTCGTAAATTCAAGGTTCGAAGACGGTGATCAGAGGCGTATGATCAACGAAACGTGACACGTTGACCTGACCCTTCCGCTTCGATTCTTTCGTTAAAGCCGAGGGAAACTCTATGAGATATTAACAAAAATTTTTAAAATAGCTTCACTAAAATTTCTGCCTCTTTGCGAGTGCAACGCGAGCAATGAAAAAGAGTAATAAATAAAGCAGCTTCACTCTCTTCGCTGATTTATCGACGCAACGTTAATACGATATGGTGTTCTGCATCTTTTCAAGGTCGAACTTGACGCAGAGGTTCGCCATAACCGATCAAGCTCTTCATAATATGACTACGTGGCCCTTGGTCTCGGTACCGAGGGACGAGAGCAAGACGCAAACCTATGACGTGGTCAGCAAAGAGGCCTTCCAAGCACGCCTCGAGGATTTCAGGTAACGAATCGATCAGCAAATACTCGAGGTCTTTCTCTCTTTACTCTGAACACCAGTCCACGTGTTTATAATGACGTCAGAGGATCCCTTTATGTGTCTGACGTTTTTTTCTTCTTTTTTTTAAACTTTAATTAACCCGCTGTGGATAACTTTCATCGCGTAATCGATCATAACACTTTGACTGGCGCGTCACTGGTGTTCTGAATGACGCGATATTAATCTGAATAATTTTTTAATAAATAGATTCAGATCAGTAGATTAAAGCGTTTACATGTACTGTATTAGGTTCTGGATTTGGAAACATGGAAAGTCTAACTGGATTTCATGACATAAAAGTATCTCAGAGTAGCACTTACGATGCATCGATTTAAAGCTTAAAGTTTAATGAAAATTACTATGTAAACGTTTTGCCAATATTCTTTATACAAAATGACTAATGGTCAATTAGAATAATGTAAAGAGATAATGACTGATTCGATTAATTAATGATAATTTTAAATGTCTATAAAATCTGACAATCAGAAGAAATAAGAAATTCTAATATGAAATTCACTGAAATACTATTCTAGGTGGCTGCAATACTTGGTTGTATGGAAAGTTACGAGAAAGGAGGCCTCTATTCCTCCGAGCTTTCGTTCCGACACTTGTTGAATTTCCATTCACCCTCCGAGCGAACAATTACTCTTCCACTATTCTTTAATACAACAAGAACTAAAACGTTTGTATTATGTATTCTTTAATTATCCGATTAATCCATAACGAAGTGCTTTTATAATAGCACCACGTCGTATTCTTCTTTTTTATATCGATCGGTTATAAAAATACGTATGAGGAATCCAGTTCTTTTATAACAGCAAGTGTCGAGGAACAGGCTGGTATAGTTATACGACAAAACGAATGAAGATATGTGACACCGTTTTCGTTCTTTTTAAATTTATTTTCTTTAATCCTGTCGGAAACGAAAGCGTCAGATTCGTCGACGCGTGAAGAGGTAAAGCCGAGGGTTAACCGAATGCAGTCGGGGTAGACGGAACAATATTAATGTCGTTTCGATCGGGAATATTTGCGGAAGTCACGTTTTTCATTTGATCCATTGATACCGACTTCCTCGCAGCGCACGTACCACCGATAAATCGATAAAAGGCACACAAAGTATCGGACGTGAACTATTCACGAAAACCCTACCCTTACATTACACAGGATGTTTGAAAAGTTCCATTTTCAAAAATCCTCCAATACTTCTTCAATACGTTCTGTGAAAATCCAGCTGATAATTAATTAATGTATGAAACGAAAGTATCGATAGGAGAAAACCTTCGCGATGGCACGTGACTAATCTGACCCGCAAACGACACCAATTAAAGGTGTTATATTTCCCACATAAATTATGTGGGGGTGACACGTTAATACGGTGGAAATTTCCCGTCCACATACGTAACCGCAGACATACGTTAGTGACACTCAAATAATCATTTTCAAGTTCGACCGAGTGGAAAACCAATTGTTTTTCAAGTTGTTACGATAATTACCAAACGGGTGCACCTTTGTTTCTCCCTCTTTTTTATGAATCATCTCTTTAACTCATTAGGTACGTATCACCCTCTTCTCTTAAGAGAGAGAACGAAAAGGGAAAGAATTCTTGTAATATTTCAAATCTTTAATCATGCGTTGCATTGACTCTCTGTATTTTATTTTAGATAGCTTAGCGTAAAGCTCTTTCTTAAAGAAAGAAGAATAGATACCAAGGGAAAAAAGGAAAATCCTCCATTGATCGAAGGTGGAGTTTCGCGTTGGATATTATACGGAACGTATGTCAGATAATGGGACGCATTTCTGTCAGCAGGAGCACCGGTAACAAGCCGCTAACAATCCTCTTCGTCTTCCAGCCAACATATTACCGTCGTTGACAAAGATGACGGATAGGGTGGATACGTGTTAACTTAGGTTTCATCGAGGAGAAAATAACACCGTTTGATTCCCGTTGTTCTATTAATCTTTTATCATCGGTTTACCATCTATCTATCTTGACGAACGTAGCTATTTATCAATTATTCTATAAACTATCTATGCTTGTTCCATCGTTGATAGAATTAGAATCGTTTAAATCGTCGCGTCGATGAAATCATTGATCCATTCTACTGATTTCACTTCGCTCCGATAGCGGAGGCTTCAATTACGTTTGTGCAATTTGAGAGAGGAAGCTAAACCTCATCGCTTCGCGGGGCTGTTATTCGAGTGAACGATCCAGATGAATTTACACCGGCCGAGAATAACGTAGGGTTGTGACAAATCTGTTGAAAAGGAATCGTATCTCGTTTTTCCTCTATCGCTGTTCGGCCTTCTCTGTCGAACTTACCTTTATGAGCAATGGATGAGGTTGTCACACATGAGCGCGTGACCGGCCATTTGGAGCGGTGAACAATATTTTTAGACCCCTCTGATCATCTCTCTCTTTTCACCCCTTCTCTACTTTCTCTTTGTCACTCTCTACGACTAAAAGCTGATTCGATGTAATAGACAGACAGACTATAGTAGCGTTTCATAACGAGTTGAGTTATGGTATGCTTTATTTTTTTTTTCAGGGAATTATGTTAATCAGATGCGTATATGGAATTGGAATTGCAGGGTCCTCGTAAAAGAACTTTTGAAAAGAAGAATTGCAGTTAGGCGATGATGGCTAAATAAGTGAAGCGTTTGATTACCAATGCGAGGGACACACCCCTATATTTTTCACAAATTTTTAAGGAAATACTAGGAATGGTACTTTAATTAAAGATATTCTGTATTAAATAGGGACGTAGAATTCAAGAGATTTCCAATATCCAATAGGAAGGATCATGAAAGATATGCGACATTAATAATACTGGCGACTAAAAATGGTAAAGGGTTTCAAGTTACTCCACTAAAATAGATAAATCAAAAATACTGAAGTTCTATTTAACTAAGATTGGGGGTTGCAAACCCTCAACAGACCAATTATACACACCAATCCGATGAGTTAAAAACAAGTGAAGAGATTGAACGAAAGTTACACAATCCTTAGATTTCTTTGACAAAAGTACCCGTACGTGTTCAGTCAAGGGTTTCTTCCTGGTAATCAAACGCGGAAGGGATGAAGGGTAAAAGCAATTTCGCGAAGCTTCCTCTGGAAAAGTCAATTCCTAACGTATTGACAGGGGGATTGGTCCGAAGACTTTGAGTAAAAAGTTTGTTCGTTTCTCAGGCAGAAGATAAGTTCGGAGGAGAGCAGCATTATCGAAGTGCTGGCATGGTACACGAGCGTGAACGCGGCTATGCTGGACCACTTGACTAATCAGATCAAGGAAACGGATAACAGCGGAGTATGGAGGTAAACGTATGAAAATGTTAAGAAAACTTAATTTTATTTGACAGTTACTAAAGACGAGGATACGTTTGCGCGTCGTTTCAGGTATTTGATAGCTTTTAAAAATTTGCTGAGAAGCATCGAGAGCTTGGGTATTGCTTCCGTGTACGGAATCAATTACTTTGGACGTGGGATTCTTGTGGGTGACAATTATGTCAGCTACGTACGACACGAAGCACTTGGACGTGATCTCCTCAGCGGATCTCTCACATACGTGCCTTCTCTAAAACATTTTTATGCGGAACTCACCCGTAGTATGCCAGACTACGGTAGAATTAAATCTAGGTATGCAATAAAGCTACGTGAAATATAAAAAAAGGAATATGTAAGTCGAAGGGGTTGAGAACTTCCCCCGAAAAGAAGGAGGATTCTTCTTTATGTAAAACTGCATTGCAGGCGAGACGAGATCCTTCGTAATCAGAAAAGGGAACCGAGGTTGGACGACGCGATTGCTTATTTCGATTCGATGGCAACTTACGTGGACGAGCTACGTAAACTTCAGAAAGAGTTACGTCATATGATTAGGTAAATCTTCGTAATGGAATTTCGTTGCACTGTAATTCGCGTTTGCAGCGAAACAAACGGAGCCTGATACAACTTGATGACACAAAAGTACCGCGATTAATCAACGTAAATTGACTGGTATAATCGGAATTTAATCGCCTCTGTTTCTGAACAGGGATTACGTGAATTCAACGCTTCAAGACGCAAGTAACAAAGAGGTTGCTGGAATAGCTATAGTCGTCTTAGTATTGGTCGTCTCTCCTATTATTATAATATTAGTCCGCAACGCGGTTGCCACGATACAAGTAAATAATGCTTCTTTCCTCGATGAATCAACTTAAGAAACGAATAATGAAACGTATCGTGACAAATTTTAGATGTATGCAGCTAATTTGGCACAAAAAGCGAGGGAACTTAAACAAGAAAAAGGAAAGAGCGATACGCTGCTTTTCCAAATGTTACCACCAAGCGTTGCTCAACAATTGAAGCAAACGCAACAGGTATCTTAATCCTCTATAGTCCAGATGTGTCTTATAAACCTCCTTCGCTTTCATTTTCTTCTTGTTTAAAAGGTTCCAGCAGAATATTACGAGGCTGTAACTGTGTACTTCAGTGATATTGTTGGTTTCACTGAAATAGCTGCTGAGAACACTCCTCTAGAAGTAAGTTTCATAGATAGATACTCCAAAATTTAGTTGAATATAAAATTACTGTGTACCTTCAGGTCGTCACGTTTCTAAATTCAATTTACAAATTGTTCGACGCCCGCATCGAATGCTACGACGTGTACAAAGTTGAAACTATCGGTGATTCTTACATGGTCGCATCTGGTTTACCAGTCAGAAATGGTGAACATTCCGTCTCCTTCCTTTTTCTCCATGCAATTTAAATTCTTGTTGTTTCATCTCGTCTTCCTTTTTTAAAGGTGACAAACACGTGTCCGAAATAGCAACGATGGCACTTGATCTCCTGGCAGCCTCCTCGGTATTTCAAGTACCAAAGCGACCAGGTGAACGTCTTCAGATACGAAGCGGTGCCCACACGGGACCCGTGGTCGCTGGAATCGTTGGAAGCAAAATGCCTCGCTATTGCCTTTTCGGTGATACCGTGAACACAGCTAGTAGGATGGAATCAACTGGCGAAGGTACCTCTTCATCTATGTTTCTTAGATTTCTTAACAGAAGTTAATCTTCCTTTTCTTCGCACAAAGCTCTACGAATACACATCAGCCTGGAGATGAAAAAGGCTCTTGACGCTGTCGGAGGTTTCAAAATTGCCCACCGAGGTTTGGTGGATGTCAAGGTAAACGAAGGAAACTGTATGATGTTTAAATAGAAAAGGAAAAGGAAATAATAATATTAATTAATCAGGGTAAGGGATTAATGGATACCTACTGGTTGGAGTGTAAAGACGGCGGAATCGCTCGAGCAGCTGAACTAGACTTACCATCGTTCTTCGAGGATGTACGACCAGTTTTCATACGCCGTCTACGAGAAGAGGGTACCATCTGATGCGAACCATACTCCCGAAGGGACCTCTGGTACCTGAACCGCCCGCCCACTCCTTATATACGTCTCTCGCAACCCAATCTCATCGACCACTTAAAGAAACCTACCCAAGGTCGTAAGAACAGGCTATCCCAACCGAATCTCCATATCACACCGGTGAAACCACCTCCTCAGTCGCAGTCCAGTATCGAGTCTCAGGACTCGGTAACGTTCGAGGGAACACAGTCAACGACACCGTGTCCACCTAGCTATTCCCCCGCGAGTCAACGCAGTCTTTACTCCCAACCGAATCTACCAACTCTTCTGGTATCCTACGACAGGAGATCCGGTGGTTCTACCGATCGTCGTATAAGAATGTCCCAACCCACCCTGAACTCCAGTTTCAGTGGCATTAACTTTGCTGGAATGAATCGTGGCTCTCGACTGTCGTACACCAGTCTCAGGGCAGCTTCCGGGGATAACAGTATAAATGAAGAGGAAAGATTGTCGGCACCCAGCGTGCAGGGATTCGGTGGGAGTTCGAGAGGAAGCTTAACGATGGATCAAGCCTCCCCAAGATTGTCCCAACCGGACGTGCGACGATTCGCTCTACGGCACGACGTGCCGGCGAAACGGGAACGTCTGTCCCAACCGACTCTAGTCACCGGGGACTATCATCCTGGTCGTGGTCAACAGAGATTGTCTCAACCTTGCCTGAGTACAGGAAAAGAGCTTAATTTGCCGATGATGGTCTTTCACTCGCCCTCTCCGCCCACAATCAAGCACAAAAGATTCTCACCTCCTGTACACGTTAGCAAGAGGGAACGTCTGTCCCAGTTGGACATCGGTTCGAAGTACAGGAATCTGAAAGAGTCCACCGCGACGAAATTCAATAGGGATAGATTCTCGATACCTGAATTAGAAACGCAGAATGATCTGAAATTAATGGCTGGAACACCGAAACAAAGATTCAGCTTGGATAGCCAGTTGAAGAATCAGGATATAACTCGGTCCAGACTACTACCAATCGCTAGTTCACCCATCAGTGAACACCAGCAATCAAAGATCGAAGAACAGCCAGCTGTTCCCATAGGGAAAATGAAAAGTCCCACTCGGGACGGACTTGGAAGCGTACTGGTAGCAAGTGCAACTCCTATATTACCGTCGACCGAGAGACAATTGTTGTCCATCGAGGTGAATAAAAAGACCGCTGTAGTTTATTCAACAACGTCGACGACGACGACCGTGACACAACAGAAGAACCAAACAACGACAGTGGCGGGTAAGCTTCAAAGATCTATCTCCCCGGTTCCTACCAGGGAAAGGATGTCGGTGCCTGAGATAAGGAACTCGAGTCTACGTAGATTACTTGATCCACCGACGAGACAGAGGCACAGTATCACAGGGAATCTAAGACACAGCATCAGCATCATATCTCCCATCAGACCTCTGGATTTCGGTAAGAAGTCGCCAAAGCATTTATTCGAGGAAGCCTTGGAACGGTTCAGGAGGGACGAGAAAGAGGAGAATCGTAAAAACGAAATGTCTAATTCACAGACCATAGTGGATATCGTCGACGAACCTAAACACATTCAGAAACACTACTCGTACACGTACGAGAGTACAGATGATAATTCTTCTATTCTTGGTAAGTTAAGCGTGTCCGTGACACCCAAGAAAAAGTATCTGGAAAGTAATTTCGATGAGAACGAACAGGTGATCACGACGGTAATTGAAACGGATGTGCCTATGATAATGGCCAGTCCAAGATACATGAAAAAATCTTCTTACTCCAGCGAAGCACCGAAATGGATAAGGAAGTATTTAGAAAGCGAAAGTCCCAAAGGTGGCAGACGAGCGACTGGAAATAAAGAAAAGGCTAATCGTAAGAACAGTCGAAGGAAAAGCTCACTGGAATCGGTGGATGGCGATAACAAGGTAACAAGAAAGGTTCGCTCCAAGTCAGTTAGCAGCGGTGAAAGAAGTCCTAAGCCCAGAAACACCATCGTACAGTCTGATTTAAAGAACATGAAAAATACATATGTTAGGATTGTTCCTTCGAATAAGATACAAGAGAACAGGTACGAGGTGAAGATTGAAAACAGTTGGGCCGATGGAGAAATTAATAGACTGTACGGAGACGAATGCGACGATACGGACTCGGATGATTCCACGTCCATTTAAATTAACATAACGACACTAACAAGGAGTGTTAATCAAGTGTGATGTAATACTAGAAAAATATTCGACACATATTTTTTTAGCGACAAAGGATTGAAAATAGACTTTAAAGTTGAGGATGGAAAACTTATAGTAAAACAAAACTATACTGAATAAATAGTTTCTACCACCGTTGATTTTTTAAACAATGTCTAAGGAAATATGTGTTGAATATCATCTCTAGGAACACTTGGTTAATATTAAAGAATTAGAAAAAAAAAGAATTGTCAATCTAAACTAAGATAATATTTATAAATTGGTACAGCGAATAATGAAAAGATTTCACATTCTGTACTTAAGCCATTCAAATGTTATGACTTCTACGAAAAATTGATATTTTCATTATAGTTCACAGTGAACAAGTACCGATAGGAAAGAAATTTAATTAGCCTAAAAGCACGGTTCAACAATGAACACCTCCGATTTGAAATATTTTCTGACATTGTTTGTATATAGTATCGTGGATTGTACCTACTCGATACATGAACAGGAAAGAAAGAATGTCTATATTTATAATGATGACTTCTGGATCTCAAAATACATTATTTTCATTGAAATCGAGTCGAGGAGATACCGTGTAAATAATGAAAATTGTATTTGATTATGTTTATCTAACTGAATGTATAGTTAATGAATTTTAGAAAGGCCCAATTAGATACAAATTTTTTATTTCATTAGAATACGATTTTTTTCTCGTACACCACCGACTATAAACGTTACCATAATTTTATGGCATGAGTATTGAAAAATTGATATTCCTTTATATACTAGTCATCGATGAGATTCACGTGTGAATGCACTGTTTTAAATTTTATTTATGAAAAACGGATGGTATTCGAACAACTTTACATAAAAAGAGATTTATCAATTTATTATACTTCCAAAGACTCGGTTTTTCGCATAAACATTACAATGATTACGATGTTATAATATCGTAAATCTGGTATGAATGTAATAAATGCGGTCATGAGTGTGAAACTTAGTTACTGTTTATTGTTAGTATAAAAGATGTTAGTTCTTTATATATGTCATTTAATATATAATTAACGATGTTATGCATTAAAATAGTAATCAACATAAAAAGTATATAAAGTGTATTTAATTTAAAAAAAAAAAAAAAAAAAAAAGACACATGTGCTCTCTATATACTACTTACTCCTTATAATTGAATTTTTGACTAAAAAATAAAGGAATAAAATTTATAAATTTTAATTTACTTTATTATACAAGTTTATTTCTTTTGTCACGATGCATATGTTATAAAAATTCTTGAATGTAACATCAAGTTTGATTCTTTGACACTTGAAAAATACAGGCAAGAAATTTTATCTAAATTAGATAATAAATATGTATTATTTATATTAAAAAACATAAGGAATTTACTTTACTGTATAAGTTTTATTATTGCCGAAAATTATAAGTGTATTTCATTTTAACTTTATTCACATGCGTGCGTGCATAGATGATTTCCTTTAATCGCCTCTGCACACAGGTGCACAAATCATACTATTATTGTAATTTGTACATTTTGACAACATACGGTACGTTTATAAAAGTATAACTTAACTGCGATTTCATACATAGAATGCCATCAAGTAACAACCTTGTTGCGAAGACGATGCTCTTTCAAACATGGCATAGAACAAAAACGGTTGCAATTGTACTCGAATGGTACCTGACCAGCCATATTGACAGCACATTGAAAGCATCGTGAAACCACAGAGCATCCTTGTTTTAAAATACGTTGTTCAGCTGCTACTGCTCTCTATAGTACAAATTTACAGTTTTAATGACATTATTTCATAATTCAAACAACTATTGATTAAAACATTTACCTTTTCTCTATCGTTAAGATTAAGGAATCTCTGCTTAGCGTCTTCCTCCTGCTTCTTCAAATCAAATTCTTTCTTTTTCAACTTTTCTTTTTCTCGTTTCAGTTTTCTATATTGTCTCTTTTTTTCCGATTCCTCTTGTTCTATTTCATCAGTAAGTGGTCCAGGTATTTGAGACTTTATAATAAACAAATGTATTATTTTATAGATATTGATGATATTTCATTAAAGGAACATAAAGAAACAGTATAGTAAGTACCTTACTATAATTGAACTTATCGGGATTGGCGCCCATAAATCTCCTAAACACGTTTCTAGTTTCCTTATCGTTCGCTGCTGCATATGGAGTTTGTAATTTTCTATTTTTGTTACAGGGGTCTGAACCAGCTTCCAATAATCGCCTAAAATTAAATCCCTTAACACTTCTTCATCTCAAAAGAAGCATTTTACGAATAATAATGCGAACATACCACACCGATTTTAGATGCCCATTCAGAGCTGCTACGTGTAACATTGTATTACCATCCTCGTTGGGATCATTCACCAACTTTGTTACATCATTTTTATGTATGATCGAGTTACTCTCAACAGTTGTATCTCCTTTGTTCTGATCCTCCAACTCTGTATTTTTTTCTGCTTCCATTAGTAAGTCATCAATAACAGACGACAGTAGATCGTTGTCACCTACTTTGCACGCCGACCATAACTTCATCTTTGCGCTAATTAGCGATTCGTTCATAATGCAGTCTAGAAGAAATTATATATTTTATTAGCCAACCCGCATCTAAGATTGAAAATCTTAGACTCATTGTGTATAGTTGGTCAAAATCTCAACGAATGGCCTTTTTTTTTTTTGCCACTCCCGATCTGACCGAAAATGGCCGAAAAAGGGTTGGCTCTAGAGCGAATCTCGCTCTAATTCATTTTAGCTTGTTATATGTTAAGTTCCTTAAATTTCTTCGACTACCGTCTATTTAACTCACCATCCTTTTTCTGTTTCTTTCTTTGACGTCGAGTTTTCTTGTTTTTCATATATCTCGGTACAGTATCTTGGAAAGCTAGTAAATGTTCATTAAATTCGATTTCTAATTCTTGCTCGACCAGAGTAATATCCATTGGTACACCAACAGTTCCTATCTGACTGTCTAGCTCTGATTCCGAAGATGACCGTGCTAACTTTGCAACAATATCTAAAACAATAAGATCCAAATTTGATAAATGTATAGTATTATTAAATTACGTATAGTACTTCAAAATTCGTACCTGGTAAAGGACGGCACGGACTTTTTCTTGGTTTCGCTCTATCTATATGAGACCGAGAATTTCTCTGTTGTCTTTCAGGAGATGGTTGAGCAGGTATTTTATTCTTATCGTTATCTTGGGGATTACGTATGTTATTGGCAGTAATGGAATCGTATTCTTCATTCTCAACTTTTTCCGAAGTTTCATCGATTACCTCAACTTTTGAAACTTTCTTCCTCAGAGGCTGTCGCGGTGAAATAGGAAAGCAATCCGTAAAGTCAGCTGCAGATCCTAAAATATACAGTCGCAAAATAAGTATAAAGACAACTAAGGTATTACGATACAACAGTAATCGCGTACCATAAATTTCCATAGTACTTAATATATCATACACCCTTTTAACTTCATTAAACGTTGCTCTACGAGTAGGGAACGGCAGTGGTCTTAGTCTTGCATCATTTTTATCTAAAGGCGGATTTTTTCCTCCAAATAATACAGTACGATTATACGGTCCAACCGCTCTGTATAGAATCAGAGAAGAATTGTTAATATGGGATGACCATGATTCGAGTATATCTTGTACATGCTGAAAAATATGAAAATTTTAATATCCGTTTATGATTGTAACATTTGTTGCTTGCATCGATAAATAAACTACCTGAAGAAGCGAAGCTTCGTTATAACGACGCAAACTAGCACCTGCGCTTTTCGGATGATTAGTCGTACGTGAACTTTGGGCAAATCCTTGCTTGGCTCTTACAGTATAAAAATGAAAGGTCTTATGCACAATTGGTTCTCCATCTAAAAGAAGCAATATTGGTTTATATAACGTATCGATATTTGCGAAAATAATATTTCGTTATAAATAACAATTTATACCTTGAAATACAGCAGCAGCAAAATGCCCCCCACCAATCATGATAACGGTCCACGTTGTTTTCCTCCCGCTGTTTAATGCTTGAGCAATCATCTCATTGTCTACCTCAGGAATTTCCTAAAATGTAATTGCATCTCTCCTGATCTGGCACGTATAGACAACGCCAAGTGATTCTAACAAAGTAGATCAAATTACAAGATAAGATCATAGACAAGGATGTCTAAGCTTATAACAAAATTCTTTTTCAAAACTACTATGTTTATAAACAAATGAACAGACCTTCTTATGATGGAGTAAACACCTGTATATACTGAATATATTTCCATCATCATTTTCAAAGAAAACTTTTGAATGACGATTAGCAGTGACCATTAAACTTTCAAGTTTTTTCCCTTTCACTGTTTCATCTGAACATTCTGTGTCTGAACTATCAGAAATTGACTCTGCATTCCTTGCTTTCCTCTCTGTTTTCTTGATCTTCACTGCAGTGCTCTTATTTTCCCCAAGTCCACTTGGAGAATTACCTGTTTCTGAGATGTAGGTCTCATCCTCATTTTCAGACTCAGCATCGCTTCCAGATAAGCTTGAAACATCCCCTGCAATGCGAATACTGCTATATTTTTTATGTCAAAATCATTAATCCATTAAAAATTTGATAATTCCTTTGATACCTTCATCAGCTAAGAGACTGAACTTATCCTCACTAATAGGCTTCAATCCATTTAAACGTTGCTTTAAATTATACCGGTGCCAATCTAATTTGTAATGAAGTCTCTGTTGTGCTTTATCTTCAAATATTGCATTGCAAAATGAACAACTTAAGGAGTCTGATACAACTAAGTCATCTAATTGACTTAATACCTTTTCAGTTTCTGAAACTGAAATAATATACACACTGTTATTTAAGTTTTCTATAAACATATGGACAATCCAAACATTAATGTCAATGTCAAATAAAACAATTAAAGTCTCAACAAATTTCTGACTTTAAAGAATACAAATGCATAATCACTGTGATCATAATCCTATGAGGCAATACATGAACGTCATCGCTAATAAGTATTTGATTAAGATAGAACGTTTTAAGTAACATTACCAGATGACGATCGAGATTGCATGCATTGTGCAACTTTAATTCCTTTTGTGATTCTGTTAAAATCTTCCAGATTGTATATTTTAAACATTTGATGATCCATGACGTATTGCAATGTTTCAGCAGATGAAGGTGTTTTTGAAAGCAGGGTGAAAAAGAAATTCAATGAACGGTTGACAAAAATACAGAAACAGTTGAAAAGCTCCCAGAACGAAAAGTTAGCAAGGCCACTCTACAGGCCGTATTTCGTGTTGTAACCAGTGATTACAGATACAAAAGGACTGGATATTTCTCTGTTCTCAAAGAATTATAATTTTAGGGATATCAGACACCCCCAGGTAAAGTTAGGTCTGCCTGTTCTGCACTGTTTTACCGACGCGGAATTCGAAGTTCGACCTCCACGCCTCCACCGAGTGTTTATTGTTCAAAAGAATAAACATTATAATCTGATTCTGTAAAATAATAATTGAGAACAACATTGAAAAGTATTAATTAGTTAATCAGTGATTTGTTGAAAAGGATAGTTTAGTAAAACAAACAAAAAATGGGGAAACGACAGCATCAGAAAGATAAAATGTAAGATATTCCACTAATGCTACTTAGGTTATAAAGAAATAACATATTTTCTTTTCTTTTCTTAATTAATCATTCAATTATATTTATTGTTTTTGTAGGTATTTAACATACACTGAATGGACAACATTGTATGGTGGAAAAAAGTCAGGAACCTCTGAATCAAGTGAAGATACAACATTTAGGCGTTTACCATATGATCATTGTTGTTTAACTTTGCAACCATTTGAACACCCTTACTGTGATCCACATGGAAATGTTTTTGAATTAGAAGCAATATTAGAATACATAAAAAGATATAAACACAATCCTATCACAGGAAAATCATTAGATCCAAAAACTTTGATAAAACTTAACTTCTATAAAAATGTAGAAGGACAGTATCACTGTCCAGTTCTTTTTAAACTGTTTACCAAGCACTCTCACATTGTTGCTATTAAAACAACTGGAAATGTGTTTTCATATGAGGTATAAAAGAAGAATTATATTTTGTTTTTAAATGTTTCTTCATAAATATTTAATATATTACTGATGTTTTTAGGCAGTAGAACAATTGAATATAAAAACTCGTAATTGGAAGGATTTACTGAATGATGAACCTTTTACAAGGAAAGATATCATTACAATACAAGATCCGAATAATGCAACAAAATTCAATTTATCCACCTTTCATCATATTAAAAACAATATAAAAGTTGAAGATGAAGGTAATGTTTTAATTTCTTTAAATACAACTGTTGTGTATTTTAAAACAACTGAATGTGCTTACTACTGTTTCAGAAATGGTGAAGGACAGAAATAATCCCAATGCAAAACTAAAAACTGTATCAATGGAAACTAAAGAAATATTATTTGAATTGGATAGGGATTTTAAACAAGCTGCACCTAAGGAAGAAGTTTCTAAACCAAAAGCTGATAAATTTAATGCTGTTTGTATATTATTATTGATATATTTTATTCTAACATGATATTTATGTGATATTTATATTTAGGCACATTATTCTACGGGCGCAGTAGCAGCTGGTTTTACATCAACAGTTATGCCAACTGAAACCACTCACCAGGCAGCAGTTATAGCGGAAGATTTAGTACGATACGAGCGAGTTAAAAAAAAAGGTAACTACTTAAGTACCTATTCATCTTTCAATTAGATTAATTACATAAAATTGTTTTCCAGGATATGTAAGATTCCTTACGAATTTCGGTGCTTTGAATCTAGAACTGCACTGTGATCTTGTTTCAAAAACTTGTGAAAATTTTATAAAACTTTGCCAACGTGGCTATTATAATGGAACAAAGTTTCATCGATCCATACGAAATTTTATGGTAAATATAATTAACGTTTTATGTAGAAACTATAAGTAATAGAAACATAAGTGTTGATTTATTTAGATACAAGGTGGTGATCCCACTAATACTGGTAATGGAGGAACATCCATTTGGGGTAAAACGTTTGAAGACGAATTTAAACCAAACTTGGTGCATCAAGGAAGAGGAATTCTCTCTATGGCAAATTCTGGGCCAAATACAAATGGATCGCAATTGTATATAATTTATTATATAGTTTCGTATGTTCACCGGTATATGATATTTAATTTATTTTAATTACAGTTTCATCACGTTTCGGTCATGTAGACATTTAGATCGTAAGCATACTGTTTTTGGAAAGATAGTGGGTGGATTAGAAACATTGAATGCCATTGAAAAAGTTGAGGTAGACAACAAAGATAGACCTATAGAAGATATTGTCGTACAGAAAGCTCAAGTTTTCGTTGATCCGTTTCAAGAAGCAGACGAACAATTAATTGCTGAGCGTGAAGCCGAAGCAGAACGATTGGCTCAAGAAAGTGCGAGAAATAAATCAGATGACAAAAGAGGGAAAAAGGAGGACCTGAAAGTATATCGATCAGGCGTAGGAAAATACATAAAAATGGATAAGGATGAAAAGTAACATCAAATTAAATAGAAAATCACTTATATTAGATGTTTTTAATACAGTGGTAATCATTTAATTTTGTCTGTAGGACGGAAAAAGATGAATCCAATACTGCACCTGCAATTAAGAAGAAAAAAGTTGCAGCAAACTCATTTGGTGATTTTTCTTCTTGGTAGGAAAATTATTAAAGTATTAAAGATTAGTGTACATATATAAATTGTTTAGAATTTTAATTTTAAGTGTAAAATATTTTTATAAATATAGATCTACAACTTGATTATCACATGTATTTAAATTTAAAAAAGTATAAAATATGATAAATTTATTATTATAAATTAAACAGTTATATATAAACTTTATCCTGATAAATTGTGCGTTTGAATATTTTGTACAAGCTGGGAAAAAAAATTTATACGAGTATATGAAGGTTAGACAACTGTACTGGAAATTAAAAGCTGAAGACCGGGTTCTCCATATTTGATGTTTGCTTTGCTCAACTCGAACGGGTAAATTTAGTATTCATTTTTCACGTGTTTCGTTGCAATTTTAGGTTCAAATTATTGAAATTCGAGTGTAATTTGTGAAACAGTGCATATCAGATTAATATAGATTGAATATGGATGATTTAGGTGAGTAAATTTAAATTAAATCGTGTCATTTTTAAATAACCTCAAACCTAAATTAAACTGTCAGAATTATCATAGCGTTTTGATATGTATTTTTCGTTACATCATTTTTTAGATCCCTGTTTTTATTAATCCCCAATTCCATAATCATGTTTTTAAGAATTATAAATGGTTACAATATGTTATCTTAATTTAATAATTTCATAATTATAATATTATTGAAAATATGATTATGTATTTATGTTCAGTAAAGCAATCTGTACAGATATTCATAAAAATGATATGAAAAATTGAGCACGTACAAATTTATTATGAATATTTGTAAAATGAGTTAATAATTTTCATTTTGTCTGTGTATATGATTTCATATATACTTATATAGCTATTGCTTTACGTTTGATTCGTATAAAATTTAGTAATAAACTCCAGATGTTACATAGTAAATTTAGAAAAAAAGCAAGAAAAATGTAAATACGTAACTATTATCTTAACGACCACGGGTCTATGGTAATTAGTAACGATTTATTGCGTCACCGTTAAACATACTACATACTGATTTACCCCTTGACTTCATTTACTTGATATACATTTCATTCAATCTGAAATTTTTTTAATTCAAGTATATCGGTTGAATTTATTATTAGTTGAACATTGACGATAAATTCCTTGCAATGATACGGCGCTTACAGTAGATTTAAAATGTCACTTTTTTTATCTCTGCACCTGATACAACAATTTCTTTGATAAAGTGGAATCTGAAGATAATACTTTGATTCTTCGAGTGTAATTATCATTTCCGAGATAGAAACTAATTTGTATATCAGTTAGCATTAAAAGTATTTGATAAAAAATCACGCACGATACGCGTAGATCACTTTACAGGAAGAGACCTTTAAATCAGCGTGATATTACAAGCGTGTCCTAAGTGTTCGGTGCCAACGATTCTACGTATTTTTAGTGTATTTCACGGCGCCGTTGTCCTCTCATTATTGCCGTTGCGGGGAGAGGATAGACGTAGCGAATGCGGGCGAGCGCCTGAAATACACTGGTGCATTTGAACTTCTCGTTTTCCCTTGGTCAAATTTGGTCTATCCGGTCTAGAAAGAGTTAATAATACATACACTGTTTAATTCTGATCCATAGAGCGTTAAATTCTTCCCTTGTTATCACACTGACAAAAAACTTATCCGTTTCACTTTTTGAGAGATGTTGGGAAGTTCGTTAAACGAGTGGTGCGCGCATGTGATCAATTTATGCGTCGCAAGATGGTACTGAAACAAATTTGTAAATAGTGAGAAATCTATCGATCGATCAACGTATCAATGCACTGTTTTATAAACAAACAGTGCAGCGATTTATTCGCACACACTTATACGTGTATAAAATTCGCCGACAACATTCAACAAGTGGCCGCTTGGTGTGTGCATCAGCCCCACCACCGCTCGATCCTCTACACAGCTCGGTCATTCGCGATAGACAGCGAAGAGAAGCATTACCACGGGAAAAGTGCTACATAATAATACCACGTTGGTGTATTCAATGAATTCGTAATTTCACTGTGAACACTGTGGCAAAGCTAATGAATGTCAGTGCGATTACAAGTGACACATTGAAAAGAAAGAAAAAGAAATTATGGCTATGGATCGAACGATGTACGGGAAGATAGAACGAAGCGCTATCTATCAACCCTATAAAATCACCATTAAGAAGGGTTCGCCACCTGGATGTGAGTTGACGTTTCTTTTAACGTTTAACCCATTAATAAACAAATTTGTGTATTCACAATATTTTGCGGGCCTTTTATGGTCATCAATTTTCCTCCCATTGTCTGTTTAGTTTCATAAGTAAATACTTATTTATCTTTTCTGCTGGGCGCGAAACTCGGGTGATTTCAAATAATAAATTGAATCCATAGTGCAGTTTAGAAAATTGTTTCTAACGCTTGCGACTGCACGCGCGCATATATGCGACCTCTTTGCATACGTAATCTGATTCCTGATCTGAAATATAAATTATAAATTGTTGTCAATAATTTTTGTTTTAACAGAAATATTTTAGATGAAAGTATTGGTTGCTGTGTGGATACATTATCTATATTGTTTTGCATCTCTGTAACTGTACGCGATATCATTAATGTGGACTTTTAAATTAAGCTCAATTGCTCGTGACGTAATGCATTTCTTTTTTTGTCGGTTTAAAATAGGCGTTTAAAACGCTCTGAAACAAATATGCTATATACGCGAATATTTTAGAAAAATGTATTACTGTTGACTTTAATTTATGATACCAGTTACTCAATTACTTGATTAATATTGCTTACGTATATTCTTTTTTCTTGAACTTTCTATCTGACGTATGTACCAGGAAATTATAATGCTCTTGAACTGCTGACGGATTTACATATATTTTTGGCATATTTTCAAAGGTTAATACGCAAAGTTACTAATTCAAACAGCTGCCAGTATTTCAAAATTGTTGAAAATTATAGTAAACTACTCGAAAAAAATATTTGTTTTTATATTGTGTGTCACCGCAGAGGGTGAATACAAATTATTTTTGAAATGCGCTTTTGATCTTGACCGAAAAGATGACTCAGTGCAACAGTTTGCAGAATTTTTTTTTTGGAATACCTTTCACCTACAACGTGGGTTGCCTTGACACTAAACTTTCTGAAATAATTGTTGAAGTCATTATTTACTGACGATCCTTTTTATGGAAATGTATAAAAAGAATGTGGTAGCTTGATCTCTACGCGTTTCAAGCGAAGTTTGAATTAAAAATACTACTTACCGATAGTTCGACTTGTGCCATCTATTTGGTAGCATTAGAAATAGTTTCAATATAATCTACTTTATCGGCATTGCAGTTAGATGTTACCGACAGCCGATGTATTAGCAAATGAATGCATATTAATTATCCTTTATCTTTCTAAAAAAAAATTAATAAACGGGTACTAAAATTTCTGATTGTTATGCATATGACGCGCATTCCAGTTGCGACATACCCGTTATTGGAAGTTCTTTTTTTAGAAAAAGTGCACGGAAACTGCGCTTGTTTGTCGTGCATAACATTACATTAAAGATCGTGTAACGATCGATCCAGTGAACGCGTAGGTATCTCTTCCTTGATCGAACCTTGGCTGATCCATATCAGGCACGACAGTGCCTACGCTTTTGCATTCGACGTAACTTCTCAAATAGATTCAACTTGACCTATTCTGTTCACGTTACAAGTTCCGACTATTAGGATGCATCGGTTTAGGTCGTTTCTCGTTACCTTAGGATTACATGGAAAGAAAAGTGAAAACAGAAGTAGAAGATTAGGTGATCGTGGTTATTTTTGGAGAGTTTGTCGTCATAAATCTAGGTGAAAACATTTACCTATAAGCATCATGCGTGTAAACGAAGGTGCGCAATAGAGATGGACAGCAGCAAGGTTGAAACGAGGAAGGGGAATAGGGACAAAGGAAGGAGGAGATGAATTCACGTAACACAGATTCTGTAGATGCAGCCTGAGAATCAACACGTGCTGCCAGTTTCATTTGATCCTGCAACACATTCGCGACATTATCGATAATTCATTTGAAAGGTTATTACTTTCTGTACTTACTTTCTTCATCTGGCAAGGTGATACAACCTTAGGGTGTCTTCCAAAACGTAATCTCTCAAAAATTTTGTTAGTGAATTTCCTTGATTACTGAGAACACTTAAATTGTGAAGTGGAATTTCTTTTTGGTCAGCATTAATTTCACGGAAACATCTGAAAAAATACAATACGCAATCATATTTTGAAACATGAATGATTAATTAGCTCTGGAGATCACTCATGTTTCAAAAAAACATGATAAGCCTTATGGTACCATCCGATGTTTAAATTTAAACATTTATTTTTATACTTATTACCGTTACAATGACAGTAGACGCTTGTTTTTATGCGAACTTTATAGTAAATATAATTGGCAAGGGAAGAGAGGATTTATTTTGAACGTTTCCTTTCTTCAAACTGCAATTTAGTCGTCGCTCTACCTTCGTCTTTGCATCTCAGTGTCCAGTGATTTTGATAGATTATTCTTCAATTCATTCTATCTTTCGCAGATATCTAGATATAAATTAATCGTTAAATCTCGCGTTGCTCGATATATGTAAAGCATAATAACATGACCGAGATTATGAGACCTGTGTCACCAATCTCACCGGTTCGTTTGGCAACGATCCAAAAACACTCACGCTGGGAACAATACATAAGTAAGTAACTATACCATGAATTAACGTGTACGATCATTAACATGATTAATTCGTGCGTGAAACTTAACTTTACTTTTTAGGATGATTTTTTTGCCCCATCATCACAAGCTATCAACAGTTATCTACAATAACTCTGTATTACGTCATAGATCTTCTATTTCCAATTTCCAAGTAGCATTAAAATCTCCTTTAAACCCATCAGCGAAAGTTCTTACGACTGGTGTTCCGCTTTTTTAGAAACCCATGACGAAAGTGCGTTACGCATATCGCGCAATATTGCCGTTCGAATTCACTGTATGATTCAGAAGTATAAAATAGATTCGGGGAAGCTCGGCAGGCTCGTTGCCAGCGTCGAATCTCATTCAAGCGTGCGATCCCTGTTCCATTTGTTGATCCTGTGCATTCAAATTCAAATTTATGCTTTTGTTCTAAAATCAGTGTTGATACAATGATTTACATGAAAAATTCATATCTATAATTTACCAATGGGAACGCATCTATGAATGAAACGTATCATGCGCTCAGATTCTTTTCCTCGTAATCGGTTCTGCGAGCCGACTAGGCTGCTTTTCCTTTACTTCGAAGTAGCAACGAGTTCCTACTTCCCTTATTATGAGAACACTCCCTCCATCTCCTGTTCTTTCTCCTTCTCCAGTCCAGTTTGCCTCCTCCAGGTTTCAATACTCCAACTCCAAAGCCGGTCGTTTTACCGAGAACTTTATTGACAATCAGTACCGTTTTGTCGATCTCCACGCGTCCGCAGATTCCGTCCATATTTGCGATCGCCACGTGACGCTGTATCCGATCCTATCGCAGTTTATCGATCGGGTTAATATCTCGATGCAAGAAAGTACCGCGCACGGTGGATCGATTTATCGATGTAAACATCGAAGTGCAATCAAACCTCGATACATGTTTTCGTTGGGAGCCATTAAAATTTTCGCGTAGTCTGCAAATAATTTTTGCGTGTCATTGCGTGTCCGCATTTTATTCCCTTGCGAATAAATTTCGAACGCGTAGTAACATCGATAGACACCGTTTCCTGGAAGTCATCTCGCTCGTAGTTCCGATTCGACCGGAAGTGCGTGTCAAAGTTCGACGATCTGAAAAGCGTGGGTGTGTCGTGATTTGTCTCGCGATGGAAACAGAATGCAAATCGCAGGATCAGGATAATCTCTACGAAGCTTACAACGCGGAGCAAACGGAAACCAATCTTCCGAGTCTTGGTAAATGAGCAATTTTCTCGGGATTCGTTTACGACGCTACCTTATGCGCTTATCTTGAGGTTATACTTGTTAAACAACGCTCGCGTCATCGTTTTTTTCGTTGTTCTGTCGCAAGATATCAGAACAGTTTGGCTGTACATACCTTACTGTACAGGCATCAAACAAAAATTAAGTCCTCTCTGTAAAATTGAATAAAGACAGGTCCTACACATGCTGTGAAGTAGTTCACTTCACCTCGATGCAATGAGGAGGTAAAAGCAATTAATTAAGGGGTGTTAAATTTCTGATTTCAGATGCGTTGTTAGCGGATTTACAAAACACGGTGTCATCGGAGGGCAATCATGTCGGTAGTAATGCAACTCCTGGTTACGGATCATTGAACGGGGCACGAACCACTGCATACAGATCCTACGATAATCGAACTTCCCCTCTTCCCTCACAATCGGTATGTACGCTTTGTTTATACTATCAATCAACAATCGAATGCATCCGCCGTATCATACCATTTAGCGCGGATTATTTTTTTATTAGATTACATAAGGTGTCGGTAAAAAAGTATTCGCATTGATAAAATTATTTTTTCTTGAATTGAAATTCAAGACTATCTCGCAAGAAATTGAATGATTTTGCATGAATAAAATGCTTTCTAAATGTAAACGTATTTTAAAAAAATGAATTTGGGTCGATAAATTATCTTTCGTCGCGTTGTAATATCGACGGACGGTCAGTCAGGTGTTAAAAGTTAGAAGCTTCTGCGATAGATGGCGGAAGTGACATCTATTTGGGAATAATAATTAATAATTAATTTCTTTTTTAAAAGTATTTACTTTATATTTTATATTTTCAAATATTTAAAATGATAATTAAAAAGCATTATAGAAAATATACAGAATCGATAAGGAAGAAATTCATAAAGCTGGCGCGGCGCGCCAGTTGCGGCTCTTTTTAAAATTCCGCGCCTAGTGACCTTCTCTCGATTTTCCATAATGTCTCGAAATAAAGCGATTAGTCGCGAATCCGTAAATAAAAATCTTTACGATCGTGTCCATTTAACATAGCCAGTTCAGAGAAGAATCAAACGATTCGTAATCAACTTTTTGCAACATATTTTTAGCGTCACTCAATTTATAAGGCGCGCTCTCACCTTACACGTCGAAAATAAATCAGAACCGATCGTTTTTCTTCCAATTCAAGAAGGAATCGCGTAACGAATCATGAAAAAAACAGACACATTCCAGATATACGTGTGACGCAGAGGTTAGCTAAAATTAGAATCGATATTGCCTCGAAAATCGACTACTCGAATCGCTCAGCTACAAGCGCTTTAAATTCATACAGGAAAAAAGAAGAAAAGGAAAACAGGTTCAGGTTACGCTTTCGTATTCAACGTGATATATAAACGCTTACATACAAACAAAAATAAAATGTCAAAAATAAAAAAATAAAAAAAAAATAAAAAAGACGCTATAAAATAAAATTTATTACAGGAAATATATAGAATGAACGTAGGAAGCTTAGCTGGTTTTCTAGCAGGGCTTGAACTTTTTATCGATCGCTTTTCTTGCGAAACACCTGTTACGTTTCCCGTTGTACTATCGATTCTCTTTTATTATTTAGACTTTGGTCGCTAAATTTTCCCACTTTGTGTGAAACGAGCGTTTCGCTTGCAGGTGCCAACTGCACAGTAGATTGAAACCGATGCCAAAACCGATATTCTTTATAAAATACAACTTTATCCGAATGTTAATTGCCTCGTCTGGTTCCGTTTGCCGATCGTTTTAAACGCGTTCCCTCTTCTTGCGTAAGTGACACTTGGAATGCCTCAATTTGAATACCGTTTAACGCGTTAACAGGTGTAAATTTATTCAAGAAAGACGAGAATCACCGTCACAATGTTTGCATTCTTTTAATAATTTTTCGCTTCTTATTTTTTTTTTTTTTTCATTTTTCTAATATAAATCTGTTACAATTCCGCGGGTTATTTACAACTTTTCCGAGCATCTAAAGTTTCGACCTCGCGAGAGCAGCTTCCTCGACATTGCAGTAAATATAGCGAATGTCTTTTCGTACATCCCTGGAGCTTCGCGGTATAAATACATTTTATTGCACCTATGAACAGTCGTCGTACGTTGCCGAAGAAAAAATGTAGCCGAGGAGAAAAATTTTTCCGCGATTTTGCGGAAGGGAAAAAGCTAGAGCTGCCTCTATCTTTAATTTATATCCACCACCTGTCGCGTGCAGCGAGATAAATGTTTCCACGGTTTGACGAATGTTCTTCGCGTAAATCATCAAACGCCTCACCGTTTCGTCGCTGTTACTCGAAATTCGATCATTTTGAAAAATCAGTGATAGAGCCTACGATTCGTCTTACGGAGCGTAGATCTACGGCCTTCGGTCGTAGCGTGTTATTTTCCCTCTTTCTGTGTTATTTCTGCGGATTCCTAGCGCTATTGCGAATTTCAAGGAACTTGCCTAAACTCTCCATCAATGCGTCGATTCATTCGATTCATTCGTTCCAATTGATTTTTCCAGAAGCGAAGGCTGAATTACTAAGTTTCATAGAATTTCGCTGAATTCCTTACCGATTCGATAATTCGTCACGATAGGCTGCCGTTTATTTTTTCGTACGTCAGCCTTGAAGAAGAAAACGCGCAAGCTGCGATCCGGATGCTCGGAGTTCCAGTTGGGAAAGATTTTAAACAGGGTTCTGCAGGATTCGATGTGCCGCGACACGTTTCGCCGCCGGTGGTTCGCTATTGGATATTTTTGGAACGGCAACTCACCAAGAACAACCTAGTTTCCATCATCAGGATCTTTCATTTTCATATACTTCTTTGCGGAGAAAATGAAAGAATCGTTAATTGATTTCTGACGATCTCGGAGATCCTCCTGAATCACTTCGTTTCAAAGATACAGCATTAAATTTCATGTTAATACGACTAAACGATTCTTGATTCTTCAGTTCCTATTTTCAATATTTGAAACATTATCGCTGGACTTCCAAGAGTATTTCGAGATGGAGCAAGGCGACATTGGACACGTAAATTTAGCATTTCGAACACGGTTCTTTCGGCGATTCTCGCGAGGAGACGAGAAGGAATGGGTCAGATTGGACCCGAGTTGGTCGCTTTTAAATGATACAGGAAAAGAAAAAAATGTTCTAGCCCGAGTGGCAAGTTGCCGCGAAAACGTATTATTTCAAAACATGATGTCATTAGATGGTGCGCGGAATTTGTAAATACATTATCAATTAGGTGGACGCGCGGAGGACAAGGCGTCATACACTTTTAATAGAAACTCGCCCGCCAAACCGACCAACGTTTCTCGTAGTCGTTCCAAAATCATTTCTCGAATCGTTGCAAATCTCTTCTGACAGATTGGCATTGATATTCGTATTGTTATTCGTACAGGAATCTCCTATAATTAAATCAAACCTATTAACTCGTCGTTAGTTTCCTGGTTAATGAACTTTTCCAGCCGACTTATCAAAACCGAGAAGCAATAGAGGAGAGCATCGCTAGAAGCAGCAGCGGAGGGAAGATGCCGTCTCTGAACAACAATCTTTCAGAGTTGGACACTCTTCTCCAAGATTTAAGTAACGCTCGCTACAACGCCCACTATCAGGAAAGAGGTCAGGATTCACACTTCTAGTAACACTAGATTGCCGGACAAATAGATCCGTGAAAATAGGTATAGCACATATGGATTTTTGGAACTAAGTAAATGAGCCAAATTGACTCGCTCCGGCAATCTAGCGTTAATCGTTAATTCCTTCTCTGAAATATGATCGATATACATATATTCTGATATATCGATAGAGACCCGCGTATCCTCCGCAGGAATAAACGGAGACTCTAGTCCGATGCTTCGTTCTCCGAGCAGTATGTCAGCCTCCAGACCCACCGTCGATTCCTTACTCGAGGAATTAAGCACCGCGGTACCGAACGGGTAAGCATCTAAGTACTTGGATAGGAAATAAAAAAATGTTAAAAATTAAAAATTCGTCGTGATACGATCGATGTTACCAAAATGACCAAAGATATATGTTCGTCGTTGATAAAAGGGATTATCCGACGGATGGAAAGGTGAAAGTGACCATACAGGAGACGTCGACGGAGATTCAACCTGTGTACGATGGTTATCCTTCCAGAGTACATGGTTCGTTGAATCGTAGCGAGGTGCAAAGGGGATACACGAATGGTCACACGGCTAGCAACGCTACCAAGGAACTGGACGACTTAATGGCTTCTCTGTCCGAATTCAAGGTACACACCAACGTATCGGTAATGACACGGATGACTTTTGTTATTTGATTATTAGATTATGTAATATCATCGAGTCGGCTCGATAAGCACCGGGTGCAATAAGCTTTCCTAATGTTTGCTTACTATTAAAGCCACTACTATAGAATGAGAAAACAGTGCCGTTAAAACTATTCCTGCCCATTCTTGGCTCCCTAGGTTACCAAAATAACCTCCATTCCACCATCCACCGATCTACCCACCACCTCCTCTTCTCTTCGTTCCCCGTCGCCTCCTTTCCTTCATCTACGCCGATTTTTCGTCGTGGTACCGGGAGGGAGGGAAAATATAGAGGGTGGGGATTACACTGATCCACGAAATCTCTCAAAGCTTTCAGCCAGTCTGCAAGCTCGCCTGGTACCAATCGACATCTCTCCTACGGGTCTTTATTCAACATTATTCTTCCTCTTTCTCTTTTTCTTTTTCCTCACTTTTACTACCTTGACGCACCTTGACATTCTGTCTTGAAATAACTTCAAACACCTCTCCTCGATTCTTCACTCGCTGCTTTCCCGTTACTTTGATCGAGTCGTTTTCCTGTTACCTTTATATTTGCCACGATCGTTACAATTTTCTGTGTCTACATGGGATTATAATAAATATTGCAGATCAACAGCGGATCCCATCAGCACCAGACGGTGACAGACTCTCCGTACGCGAAGCCGAACAAAGCGACGAAGAGTTCGCAGAGCCCGCAGCCACCCGAAGGCGCGCAAACTCGAATTCATATCACAGAGACCCACGCGACGCATCATTATCAGCAGCAACACGGGGAGCCGTATCCAAGCCAGCCAGCGGCTCAGACGAAACAGAATCAGTTGGATTCTATGCTAGGAAACCTACAAGCAGACATGAGCCGTCAAGGTGTGAACACTACTCAGAAGGGCTGCTGCAGCGCCTGCGAGAAGCCTATCGTCGGACAAGTACGAGAATCTGCTGCCTACCTTGATGGTTTTTCTAATTAATCAGTTTACACTACGGACGGATACGTGTAATCGGTTGATTTCAGGTGATCACCGCGCTAGGAAAGACCTGGCACCCGGAACACTTCACTTGCACCCACTGCAATCAGGAATTAGGAACACGGAACTTCTTCGAGAGGGAGGGACACCCGTACTGCGAGCCGGATTATCATAATCTATTCTCGCCTCGTTGTGCCTACTGTAACGGTCCCATTCTGGACGTAAGGAGGATGGATTGATAGTAGTTTAGTCTTTCCTTTGCCCGACGGCGTATCAGAGCGGTGGTCTTGTTATTTTCAGAAATGCGTAACCGCTCTGGAAAAAACTTGGCACACCGAGCACTTCTTCTGCGCTCAGTGTGGCAAACAATTCGGCGAGGAGGGATTCCACGAGCGGGACGGCAAGCCTTACTGCAGAGAGGATTACTTTGACATGTTCGCACCGAAATGCGGCGGCTGCAATCGTGCCATCATGGAGAATTACATATCCGCCCTGAACAGTCAGTGGCACCCGGATTGTTTCGTTTGCAGGGTAGGTTGTTCGCGCGAGCGTTATTCACCGTGTAATTCGTTGCGGCGACGCTCGAGAATTAACCCTTTGGCTATCGGGCGAAGAAAAGAGTAAGGAACTAGGGTAGCGAAAGGGTTAAAGGGTTATCAATTAATACGAATTTTTGGTTTCTTTAAATCGTACCACTTGCAGGATTGTAAGAAGCCAGTTTCTGGAAAGTCGTTTTATGCTATGGAGGGCAAACCCGTTTGCCCGAAATGCGTTGGCGTCGATGACGACGAAGAAGAAGAAGAAGAAGAAGCATAAACGATGCGGAAGATCGCATTGTGATGCTCTTCGATTTCTTATGTATAAAGCCCTTTTTGCTCCCCATTGATATATGCTGTCAGACTCCATCGATGCGGAGTTTGCCTCTCTTCCCCCCCTCCCCCCACATACTTTTCATTTTTCAGCTGATGATTTCGAATTGGTTTTACAAAAGAAGAAAATGCACCAAATGCGTCCTCGTCGTTCTATATTCCGCTTCGAAATTATTTATTCGTCGGGCACACGGATGTACACCCCCGCCACACATACACGAACACATAGATGTACAGAACACGGAAACACAGCTAGGGCGATGTTGTTAATTTATAATATGCTATTCTAACGGTTCATTGATGCAGTCGGAATTGATTTACTGTCAGATTACACTTTTTAGCTAGGAGATTATTATTGTTATTAACAATCGATCGTACAAAACGCTAATAGCAGTTGTTAGTATTGTATGAAAAAATAAAAATAAATTAGGAAAAAAAGAAAACAAAAAACACACACAACACAAGAGTTAGCGTTCACTGACTCTGATGCTGTCTCTTGCCATGCGTCTTCCTTGAAGACAGGTATGGTTCGATGCCGGTGTCCTATGTTTTAACGATCCCATCAATACGTACAACTGCTACGATTAGTATTCGTTTCGCGAAGGGTGTACGATCGATGACGGCATAGATTATTTCATAGGTTCCACCATACCCATGGTTGTTTACTACTTGGATTAGGAACTGAATCAATAATGACTTATCAATTACCATTTACTGTTATTTTGTATGCTTCGTGTCAGAACACGAAGATGTATGTCTTTTCTCGAACAGTCATTTCCAAATGACATACATGTTTTTTCTTTTTTTTTAATTACAGGATTGTAGACAAAAGTTTCAAGGAGGGTCATTCTTTGATCACGAAGGTTTACCTTACTGCGAGACCCATTATCATGCTAAGAGGGGATCCTTGTGTGCAGGATGTCATAAACCGATTACAGGTGTCCATACGTTTATTTCTGTACATCTAGTCATTTTTCCAAGGTGATTCGTTAACAGTTGATTATTGTTTCAGGTCGTTGCATAACTGCAATGTTCCGGAAATTCCATCCAGAACATTTTGTATGCGCGTTTTGCTTGAAACAATTGAACAAAGGTACATTCAAAGAACAGAATGATAAACCTTATTGCCATGGATGTTTCGACAAACTGTTCGGCTAAGGTTTTACCGGAAAGTATTTGTATTTCTAATACATATAACAACGAACGAGCTGTTTCGCTTGGTATTACTTACCGTTTTATAGACAGCAGTACGTCTATATCTATAGGGCATGTAATCGTTTTAGTCGTTATGCAAAAGTACGTGTAATTTCACGATCCAAGCTTATTGATTACGAATCGAAACAGCCTTTAGAAATTTTTACAGATCTTAACATTGAATATGGTGCAACAATTCAATTATCATGTATCGACATCTTATCCCAACGATAAGGTAATAGATTATTTACAGTCATCGTTATCTTCCATTGTCCTTAATAAGGACTCGTTGCTAATATTTTCATGCATATTTTGTATTATGTACTTTAATCATTGACCATACAGTTTAAGGAATAATAAAAGGTGCTAACTCGTAGCTTACTTTTACTAATAATGTATTTGTTAAGAGATTACATATACAAGGTATTTGGCTATAGGTTGGCATCGTTTGAGCAACTTTTTCCTTTACCAAAATGCTGATTGAGGCATAGTTTTTGAATTATTAATGAAAAATACCCCGCAATCAGAGCGCGCATAGTGCGCAGGCGCGATCTCGTTAGTGCGCAGGCGCGACCTCGGTAGTGTCAGCTATGAACTAACGCACCGAATAGTTTGTCCGTGACCAAAATGGCGGGAGCGGTTGTCGTATCGTCGTATCTTACACTCCTGCAACTGAGCCTACGCATTTTAATTAATAATTCAAAAACTAAGTCTTAACGAGGGTCAAAAGATGCTCACCTGTAACCAAACACCTTGTAAGTACATTCGAGTATGACAGCTGCCACTTGAAAAACATTTATGTGTGAAATTTGGTATGTTGTCAAATATGAAACAATTCTTATATTAAATTTGATACAAAATGAAATATTTATAGGTTGTAATTGCAACAGTGCTTTTTTCAAACTGGTTGTTTTTATATGGTATTGAAATTACTATTTAAGAACCTCTGTTAAATACACATAAAAGATGCATAATAAATCTAATAAATTAAATCAATGAAAACTGAAACATGAAATCAAAACATGTATTTTTCTTTAGATAATGCATCTTTTTCGAATTTTTTTTATCTAATCAAATTTTTAACAGAGAGGAACATAAAAATAAATAGAAAAGTTATCATCTTAGACATATCATTTATTTGGCATACTGTTGCTTCGCACAGCAGTCCTCCGTTTGTTTCTGATAAACATTTAATACATATTATATACATTAACATTCCACTATTCGAAACATGTGTTTAAAAAAAATTGTTTATAAATAGTGAGAATTATTTTTTAAAAGAAATTTAAGTATACAAATGCGTATATAAAAATACGTATACAATTGTACACATAACACGTGCTACCAGCTCGTAAAAAAATTCGTGAGTAGTACTTCATCACGATTAGTGCTATACTGCTCATTTTAAAATAAGCTAAGAATGAATAAAACCGGAAATCAAACGACGCTCGAAGTACGTCTCGTATCATGGTTACGCATTATCACAGACACAATATTTCTTCCTTATTTCTACTGTCAGGCTAGCGTAGGAAATAATTCTGTAAAACTTTCGTGCCAGAGATCTGTTAAGTTTAAGTTTGATTTTTCATTACGCGTGTCGGGATTTGGAGAGCCATGCGATTCGTAGCCGCAGTCGGATGCGTTAGAATCTAATACGACACTAGTATCCACCGCAACACTAGTGTCCATATCTTCGGAATGTATACTTGATGGAGACATTGAATCCATGCTTGTGTAAGACGGCGACAACTGATTGGAATAACGATTTGGTGGCAGATGCGACGAAACTTCCACCGAATTAACACCGTCCGTGACTACTTCTTGAACGCACTCTTGAATGCTCACGTTGCTTTCGTCTCCGGGATAAATAATTGTTACAGAATTTGTGGCTTCGTCGTAGGTGCCATAAATTGTGTCCAAATCATGCGTATCAAGTTCCTGTTTAACTTCGACTTCTGATTTCACCGGTACTGGTGCCGTTATGTTTGTAGTAAAATGTGCGCTGTCTGTGCTAGAAACAGGATGCCATGATTGATGCGTACTTAGGCTTCTACAGGTTCTACTGGCTTCCACATCTTTTGATGCCTGCCCCACCATTCCTTTTGAATTGTCACGTTTCTCACCGGTATCTTCCTTGACTGACACCTACGCAAGACACAATCATCATGCCATTAACAAGAGGAAGTCTGAGTTGTAAATGAAGAATTATTAATTCAGAAATGAATGAAATATTCAATGGTAAGCAAAGATTCTATATCAGCGTGCGAAACAATGATTTTGAAGGATCATAGTATCTTGTTCTTTCAAACAATTCATTCATTCCTATAATGCAGACAAATTAGATTAATACGTTTTCCTAAAGAAACCTGTTTCATTGAAATACTCACTTGTTCATTTGTTCTATTAGAATTTGCTTCCACTTCGGCGGTAACTTCTCGCAGAAGACTTTCTGCAAGTTCTTCAAGTCGTTCGATGTAATCGTCTCCTTGGAGGTCGCCAAACAGTTCTTCAAGAGGAGGTAGATGGTCAGTATCTTCAGAAGAATTGCTGCTCCTGGGGTTAGCGTCAGTGACGGTGCCAGCTGTATTGTTCCACCCTGCTGCAGAGGGTGAGAGGGGGATACTGCAGATCCCAGCGAGGATACAGCACAGCCGACACGACTCTGGCACATGGAGCAAACGAATTCTTCCGATTTTTTTCCTTCTTTCTCCTTCCTTATCCTTTTTGTTTCAGTGACCAACAACTCGTTCTGCGACCTCAGCATAGCACATTCCTGCGATAACAATTCATTTTGTTCCCTTAAGGTCCTAACAGTGTCTTCCAACTCGTCGAGTTTAGCTTTCTTCCGGTCCCGAGACGTTTGAGCCGCTACCCTGTTTTTTAATTTCCTACAAAAGAAACGTGACGTTAATTCAACCCTATGACAAGGTACCATTTGATTACATCAGTCCTCTACTGTAAACATACTTTCTTTGCAATTTTTCTTCCCAGGTTAGATGGTCCAGTCGTCGTTTCTTTCCACGGACACAAACATCCTGAATTTCATCGTGCTTAATCATCTTCTTCGGTTCCATCTTCAATTTATCATTCAAAGCAGATGTAAAATTGAATTTCGGCACAGTTTTTGGTAAGTCGTTAATCGAGATAACGCCAGGTGCCTTCGACATGCCCTTAGGCAGAGTGATGATAACGCTTTTCAGTACGCTCATAATCTGCCATGCAATAGATTTCCTATTATCACTTGTTCTATAAAGTCACTGTCCGATATTTAGCCGCTGTTCTCATTCCTTGAGACGCCGAATAACGACTGATCCGAAACATAACACTACCCAGAAGGAAATCTCTTTAGGCGCTCACTGGCTGATGAAATCCAACTGACGGGCTGCAGCATTTGACCGGCGAAAGAACAACCTAGAATTGCAGCGTACTCCGACTTACGATGTGACTGGCTGAAACGTAGAACGTTACATGTGGTGTACCGTTATTGGCTGCCACGTCGACGCTTCTTCACACTCCTTTACCACCACTATCACCGGATGATTGTATACAGATTGACGTCATTCTTCACAATCTACGGTACTATCTAATCATTTTTTTTTTTCCATCGTTTCCACCTCCGGTGTATGATTCATAGAACTTTAGGAATTTCCTCATTGGAAATTTAAATAACCAATTATATAAAACTTTAGTTATTCGCAAACATTTCTTCTATTTAAATGAGACTTAGGGATGGTTTGAAAATATGAAATTTTGAACTATTTACCTTTATTCAAAAGATGAAACATAGCACAAAGAATATATTTCAAGTGCAAGGTTTTAGAAATAAAAAGTTTTAGGCTATTGCGTTGTTTAATGCACTAGTGACCTCTTCGAGAAATTTACTACGTAGGTACAGTAGGTAATTTACCTTATCTACATAAGATAAATAAGAACACTGTACGAAATCTACCGTCACAGACTATAAAAAATCAGGAATAGGTAAAAAGTACCCATATGCCCAAAACGCGAAATAACTGCTGAGCAGCGGCCCCCTGTGGCTCGGGGGGCTTAGAATACGGCCACGGTATCCCCTACCTGTCGTAAGAGGCGACTAAAAGGGGGATGTAAAGAAACCAATAAGAAATTACGGACAAGTATGAGTGGAATTCAAAGTACAGAAGCATATAGCATAAATAATATAATTGAAAATGGCGCGATAATACGCTTGGCCGATAACTTTTCGTTGGGTAAAAAGGGACAGATCCAAGTCCCTAGATTACGCCACCCTCAATAGAGGGAAACGTGAAGTGAAGTGTAGTGAAGTGAAGTGAAGTGAAGTGAAGTGAAGTGAAGTGAAGTGAACTGCTGGGCATTATGTTTATATAATATTCAATTGAAAATTAAAATTTTCTACGTTCCTAAGAACGTAGAAACAAATTTCCTGAATTACCACCGAAAATTGTCGCTCGATGAAAGCTGGATCTCTGATTTAAGTTGGCTAACCTGACGACGATTGCATTTCATAGATACCAGCCATTAATTTACAGAATCGACCACGCTGTGGCGGAAGCAGCGGGGAGTGGAAGAAAGAAATAGGGTGAGGAAGAGGGCGTTGCAAAATGTCGAGAGCAGACACGAGGGTTCGACAGGAACTTGGCTTTCAGTCGCAGCTCGGCAGTCTATACGGGACGATCGAGTTACGTATAGTACGGTGCATTTAACGTGCATATATACGCGTACGGCGCATGTATTAGTGCTCATAGGCGCAGTCTCGCGTGAGTACGCGTAACCGATACGCCGGACGAGTTGACACACGCGCAGCAATGGCGTACCCCCTTGAAGAAGCCTGAGCATGTTCTCGTCGAATATTCCTTTGTGTCGCTGTGTGTGGTGTGTGTAAAAGGGACAAATAATTGGAATAAAATAGGGCAAATGTAACCCGATGATATAAACGCGAAACGACATCGGGCGTATACGATATTACAGGCTTGCAGATACAGAGAGGAACGAACGTTACGCCCAGCTAGAGAACATCGGAGCCCATTGCTTGTTCTCTGATACAAAGTTGAATATCCGTTCTCACGGTATCGTCAGGTCATTCACGAAAAAGCTTCGTCAAGCGGAAATTGACAAGGAACATCCTGGCGTATGAAGGTTGAACGCGAATGCGATGCACGGATATAGCCGTCGGGGTAACAACGTTCGATGGGGTTTGTGACTGAGTGAAGTGGATTACTACGTGCGCTCGAGATTCGAGGGAAGAGGGAGGAAAAAATACGTGTCAGTAGAGAAGCTGAGAGATCGTGGTAGAAACGACAAAGGAAAGGGAAGTCAGAACGAAGAATCATACGGAACAGATCGATGTTGCAAGAAAGCCGGTTTCGAATCAACCAGGATTGATCGTCGTATTCGTACTCGTTGTAAGCGTTTAACTACGACCTTTTTTCCTTCCCTCTCTCGAAATATGCGATAACGCTTCTTTACTCGTGTACATTGGGGGCTTCCGCCTCGAGGGCTTTCCTCGGTGTTGGATATACCTGCTTGGTCCAACCCTTGGATAAGGCGACCCTCTCGCAGCGATGAATCGTATCGTTCTTTTCTGTCTAGTTCGAAGATGCGTTCGTGACAGCGAGAAGCGCAAGTGCTACTGATACATCCGCATCCCTGACACGATTAGAAAACGAAACATAACGAAAGAGAAACGATCGAGAGGGAGAGAGAGAGAGAGAGAGAGAAGAAAAGGAAGCAACGACAGAGAGGGTAGTCGAGTTTAGGTGAAAAAAGGAAATTGCCGGAGGATCGCGAACTCGCGTCTCCGGCCAGCTGAGAAAGTTTCGCAGTCTTTACGCTGGGTGAGACGGAGTGCGGATCGTTATTAGGGAGAATAATCGCGAGGATCCCACGAAATGAAAGCCTAGCGTTCGAGGTGGGTTGTTCGTCAGCGGGCGCACAAGAAGGGACGGTTCGGCGGCGGAAGCCTGGATAGTAGGAGGTTTCCAACATGGCCGCCGCCTGTTACGAAAAGGAAGTGGTGGTAGGTGCCGCTATACATGGACACGGTCATCACCATCACCACCATCATCATCATCACCATCATCATCACCATCATGGAATAGCCGGCGGGTCCACCGGAACGCCTAACCCGGCTGGTGTGACGGGACCGGGAACCGGGCCAACCGGGATCGGTCCGCAGACAGTCTTGCCGGCCGCATCGACCGGCATCCTAGACACCACCTCCGTCGGTTCTAGCTCGACCGCGAACACGAACACGAACGCATCCACCACCGCGACCGCTGCAGCTGTCGCGGCCGCGACAGCAGCCGCAGCGGCCGCTGCTGTTGCTGTCACCACCTACAAGGACTACAAAGATTACTCGCAACCGCTCCACGTGGACTGCAGCGTCGAGTACGAGCTACCTAGCCAGGCAAAACCACCGCCCGGTGGCGGAGAACCCCTTCTGATGATCCATCCGTGCTACTATCGACGCGCCGAACGCGAAAGGAGAAGTCCTTTCGTCAACAATTTACCACCCCCGACAAACACGCCTATATCTTCCTCTCGACGGACCAGCAGGAGGAGCGCGTCGGCCGCCGTAGTCGTTGCCACTGCCGCTTCCGCTGTCGCGGCCGTTTCCTCCACGTCGTCGGTGGCACCGTCCTCCTCGGTCGCCTCCGTTTCTACCTCGACCGTGTCTTCGACTTCCGCCGCGGCCGTGTTATCAGCGACCGCGGCAGTGGTGGCAACGGCCGATTCCGGCTCGAATCTCGTGCCTACTGCCGGTCAAATGTCCGCAGCTATGGCGGCCTCCTATCGTGCCGCTCTTAACGCCGCTGCCACTCTCTCCCAGCAACAACAACAGCAACAACAAAGACGCCAACACCACCAACAACAACAACAACAACAACAACAGCCACAACAAACACATCCTCATCATCATCATCATCGACCTCACGTTCACGCTCCGCATCACGGTCAACAACAACAGCAGCAGGGTACGGTAACGCCAACTACTTCCGGCACCGAATTGATCTCTGCCGACGAGAAAGCAGTCATATCAGGTATTTATCAACATTACTTCCGCGCGATGCGCGCACACAATCATCAGCATCGGCAGCAGCAGCAGCAGCAGCAGCCGCCGCCGCCGCAACAGCAACAACAACCGCAACCGCAGCAGCAGCAGCAGCATCGAACTACTCATCAACTACATCATCAACCTCACCAAAGTGACAGAAGTTCCTCCTCGTCGGCTACGCCGGCGGTCACGTCGATCTCCGGCATTTTGCGGCAGAGTTATCAACAGACGTATAACGCGACGAGCTCGAGCTCGACGGGTCATCTACGGGCAGCGACGGCCTCGGCGGTTGCTCATCATCCGTACAGACGGCCGTCGGCAACGTTGCTATCGCGAGCGGCCTCGCACGTCGGGCAACAGGCTTCCTCATCTTCCTCCTCCTCTTCCACGTCCATCGGTGCTTCCAGTGGTGTTTCTTCCGGCAGCGTATCCAGCGTATACGCGAGTACGATACACAGGCATCATGCAACCTCGTTGCACGCCCTTCAGACGGCTAGTTTTTACGAAACGCCCGGTTATCATGCGCTTTTACCGCAGAGTTAGGTGACCACTAACCCGCTCGAGACCGACCCCGTTGCCAGCATTCATTTATTCACGTAATCCGGCTGCAAAGCTGTGCCTCCTTCCCTATTGTACGACTTATCTTTCCCAGTCGTTAAAAAGCATACGGGTTTGGTCCGTTGGTACACACGGGATACATCTCTCTCTGCGGTATATACCTACATACGTGTATGCGCTATATACGTAGAGATATGTATGTACATATATACATACGTATACCGTATATATGTACGTATCGTCGACGGAACGATCGTACGTGCCGTGTTCGCTTGTTGGCAGTGTGCGGGTGGCCGAACGGACCGGCAGAAAGCCGCAGAATAAACACACGAACGAGAGTACACGCTACATACATACACACAGAGCGTTGAAATCCAGGGACAGATGGAGGGATCGAGACAACTGAAAATGGTCGCGTCCGTACGCATCGAGCTATTCCATCCACCTGCGATACGTGCTACTCAGGTATAAAAATCCATTTACTTAGGTCCGTATTAACGACTTATTTTTAACCGGACAATATTTTCTCTGCTTGAATTCCTGAAACTTGAGGGATGCCTTTCTTCGACGGAAAAGCAATCCCTAATTCTTTTTTCTCGTCTCTCGAAACGCGCGTGTGTCAGCCTTTTCCCATCTTTTTCTCCATCCGTTCGACTACCGACGGATCGCAAACACTACTCGACAATAGTATTTTTAGGACCTTCGATCTGTACCACAGACGAAGACTTAACGAGACACATCACCGGTGTATAGTATTAGACAGAAGTTTTTTAAAGATTTACGCGATTAGTTGGTAGAATTCCTATGAGGAATAGTTTCGACGCTTTTTTACCTGTTAGGGATTACGTAGTCGAATACACGCCGGGAGGGAATCGGAGTAAGAAAGGATACGATTTTTTGCCAAATGATTTATTCAGAAGTTGACGTAGACTGTAATTTCGTATTAATAAACAGTGAGTGCTCTTTTATAGATCAGGGTGCAATTCTTGACCCGAGATCTCCGGACACCCGGTGTCATCGCTTAGCTAGTGCCTATTTACATAACCAACCACCTTTCAGTTACGATCCCATTGAAACTTAATTGACAATCATAGTAATCGCAAGTGCCAAAGTCCGACGATATCTAACGAAAACTTTATTCAACGTAACAACTTTGCCAAACAAATAGGAAGCGTACGTTCCCTTTTATTTCGATTCTTAGTTTTAGCGTGCACATACAGGAAATGAGGGTAACTGCGTCGCAACGATCGCGCAGAGTTGTCCTGTTCCAACGAAATTGCTCCTTCTCGCCCTATTCGTAAACCCTCCATCTCCCTCGGCCACGTTCCTCTTCGTCGTCGTTCTTTCTCTTTCGGTCTCGCGGAACATCTCTAGAAAGCCGTGGTCCGCAGAGCTGGGCAGGATTTCTTCTTTTTTGTCCTGCGCCCTTTTCAAAGAGCGCGCTCAAGGAGAAACGGACGGGGACCGTATTTCGTTACACGGTAACGATCGATCAACGTGACCGCACGACCGCACCGGCGGTACGGGCGAGCCGTGGCGAAGCGAGACGAAGCGAGGCGAGGCGAGGCGAAACGAGACGGGTCGGGACGACCGGGACGGGACGGGACGGGACGGATCTGGGCGGTTACGGGACGAAGGGAACGGGAGAGATACGACCAGACCAGACGAGAAGGGGGCGCGGTCAAGATGGGGATCGGTAGAGACGAAACTGAGAGACGGTTCGTAAGTCAGGGGAGGAGGGATGCATCGACTTGTACTCCAAAAACACTGACGACCATGTGGACGGGACGTTAGACAAACAGCCGCTAATGCGAACCTACCACTCCTACAATTTCACCTGTAGCCCTTAGGAAAGTTGAAAACCCAAGCCGGAGGGAGAATTTTTTCAGGAAATTTGTTAAATATCTTCGCGAGTAACTCGTTTAACGACGGCTCGATTTCCTAGAAAAGGGGGCTGAAGAGACCATCCGCCAGCATTACGCGTTTATATCTTCGCAGGAAAATCTCGCCGCGTAGTTTGATGACGTCTGAATAGATTCGTGTAACGTCATAGGGAAAAAGAAATAGCGCGACAGCGGCAAAGAAAACCGGGTGGGGTATATTTCTAACGCGTAATGCGTTTCACACGACACGCATCGATGCCTGATGCCCTCATACGCACACCCAAGGCGCAATCGTACCTTCCAACCGGTCGATAACAAATACGTTTTCAAGTAGTTACGGATTGTCCGTACGGTAGAGGGTTAAACTTCATCCACTGATAGATATTTATTTGACGTGGAAGGAAGGATGGCATTATTGCGGCTCGTTGAAACCCCCGTCGAACTCGTTATATAATGTGACGTCGACATTAGGTAATTAGGAAGCGTCGCAAGCAGAAACGTTATCGCTGTCTTTGAAAAGGTTTCACTGGTTCGTTTGTCGGTTTTCTTTCTTCTTTCTTCTTTCTTCTTTCTCCCTCTCTACGTTTCTGCGAACAAAGAGGACAATTCGAACGGTCGTAGAACGTTATTTTTCCATTCCTCGTCATTCCACTTTCGAATTACATATCTTTCTTCGAACGGTTAAATCACACGTGTGGAATTCTGATTTTCGTCATTCGTCTCGTGTAAATCAGCCGTAATGAATAATAATTGTTGGAGAAACGAAAGTGGTGGGATTCGCTCCCCTCCGCGGCCTTTCTGCCGAGAGAAGGCTACCATGCTCGTAAGTGTACCCGAGGCCCTGCGTTCCTCGTTTCATCGGGTGCACGGGAGACCCCGGTCGAAAAGCAGCAGCCTCGTTCCTGCCACTCTCACCCTCTTTGCCGCGACCATCTCTCAGCTGAGGAGCATTTCCGCCCTGCTGTTTTTGCTCGTTCAAAGAGAACGGACCTCTTAGCGCTAAAGCGGAGGGAAGCAAAACGGATAGCCGGGCTTAAACACAGTATCCTCGACGAGTGTTCCACGTCTCTGTATGTGCACGCAAAAATATACCGGCGCGTTTTCAATTTACCACTATTTAACTCGTCGTGCCTGATTTTCGCAAACGAATCGTATTTACGTCTTCTCCTTCGCTAGGAATCAGTAGTTGGGTGAAGTTAAAACGAATGAATTAAACGGTACAGTTCTTTATTTCAATTTTCTACAAAGCTTTCAATGCAACACAACGTGCCAAAGTCTACGTTGCAGAAATTTTGCCTTGAGAAAATGAATCGTTCGATTTTTGGAAGACGACCTTTGTACATAGCAGTCTTTTTCTTCGGCTTCCTCGTAATCTGCCATCAGATACGTACGTACACAACCTCTTCCCGTCTTCTCCGATTCGTCGTCGTATATTCCCCGGTAGATGTTGAACCGCTTACTATGCAAAGGGTACGCTCATAGAATTCGATTGTCGGTGTGTGTCGAAAGAAAAGGGACTCGCTAGCGAACGAAACTCAGCGGGCATTGTAGACGTCGAGTCGGCGACGAGGCGGTCGAATGTCAAGCAGCCTTCCGATACCATCGGAGTTACGCTTGAAATTTTTCGTCTCGCGTATATATCGAAAAACTGACGCCAAAATTCCTCTTCTCTTCCACCGATTGCGTCATGGAAAATGTCTCGGCAACATTTGCTTTAGCGTTTCCTATTGAAAAACGTTCCTGTGCCAAAGCAGCCGGACCTCGCGTTATACTTTTTTAGCCCGTTCGCGAATGACGCACTTTAAACTGTGTTCCTTTGGAAATTTTACCGTCTAATTTTAGTCTATGCACCGTTTCGCAGGTCTGGGTCAAGATTAACCCGGTTACCATTGTAAATCGTCGAACAACGGACTCCAGGTCAATTATGACCCTGACCTGGGAGAAAACGCTTCGACTGAAATTAGGCAATAAAATTTGGAAAATTTTATTTATTTCAATCCACAGTGTTAAGGTCAGTCTTTTTATGGTCTGCCGTTATTTTTTTATTCTCTATACATATACCGATGAACGTTATAGATAGAGCTTTTTTTTTCTTCCATGCCGGCATTACATCTTGCATTTACATTAGATATACCCGCGTTCATCTTTTCATCGAACACGCACGAGTTTATCGTTGTTACTATCTTAAAAAACCTTAGGGTGTTATGTAAGGGAACAGGGACGACTTTCCATGCGGCGCGCATCTTCTATAAGGGGAGATAACGCGATAGTAGCGCTTTACGGTCGGTAATGTAAGCGTATACTTAAACTGACCAGATTTTTCAAAGGCGAATTTAGTATATTTTTATCAAAGAAAGTATATGAAAAAAATAGATATATATTTATATCTAGTAGAAAATTTCTGTTTTCATTTTTACAACTAAAACCTGTTTGAAATTCTAGTAAACATATCCATTAAGAATGCAAACTAAAGAAGTTATAAATTTCTGACATAGAACAATAAACATTGCGAAAGACGTAATATTACGTCAATGAATGTGTTAATATCCGGCTGTTTGTGCGTTTAGAGTTGTTTTTCTTCAAATCTGTACTGTACTGAATAAATCAGTATTTGCGTCTGGTCACTTTGCGTATGCCTTGGTTACTAGAAACACGTGCGCTGTTTTTTCCTCGTCTGTCTCGATCCTTCTCACAGAAGTTCACTTATATTCGACAAATATTTTGTCTTTATCCCGCCATCCTGTCGTTATAGTTTAGGATGCAGCTTTCGGTGCAGGATATATTTCCAAAAAAAAAAAAAGAAGAAAAACTTGCAACGACACGTATGTAACGTCCTGACGGTCGTTACATGTAAACGCATCAAGGCGACACGCGTGCACTGCGAAGGAAAATAACACGGTACGTACGATCGTTCCGGTCGCCTCTTTTTTTCCCTTTTTTCTTTTTTCTATTATTTAACATTGCATTCAATGAATGCATTCGTATACCGAAGCGATCATTTTCTCTTTCCTCGTTTCTTATCCTTCTTCTTTTCTACCCATCCGCCGTTCGTCCGCAAAAGTCTATTGTTTATCGTTGTAGTCGGCGAGAGCAAGGCATATATTTACTCTGTAATAAGAAAAAAAAAAAAAAAAACGTGCTTCCTCCATAAGCGGGTACGAAGAAGAAAAAAATAAGTCTGGCATCAAATATTTTGTCCTACGTCGCGTGTAACGAACTATACGTATACAAATATACATATACGGTAACAAGCTTATTCTCGAGATACCTACGTGTGCATCGCGTTTAACCCTCAAGTACCATGGCGTGGTCAGATCTGACCCCGACGAAGTTCTCTACTGAAAAGTAGGCATACGTATAATACATGAAAACGCGGGAAAATATTCAAATTTAAAATAGCGATTAAGGAAGCGTAATTCTAGAAGCACCAAATTAATTTGTACACCTGTTATTTCTACGCCACGGTACTTACAAAAGGGTTAAATGAAAGAAGAGAAAAAATGGAGAGAGATGGAGAATCTGTGCTCGAACGTGCCTCGCCCTCCACTATACGAACGTATGTACTTTTGTGCGTACACAGTAGACGCGCACCGAATGAAAGAGCGATTCACGTTCGACGGGCAGCTAGGAGAAAAGATAGAGAACCAGAGAATAAAATGCATGTACATAGAAAGAGCACAAAGTATGCCACTTTGAACATGAGAGACAGAGAAAATCTGTCCCTCCGGACGACAGATCTAGAGCTTCCCTGTGAAACTATAAATTCCCAAGATTTTCGCGAAACGTTGCTCAGTTGCCCGTTCAGCGTGAATCAGCCTGGAAGTATGACGCGTACACGCGCGTCGCGTGCACGCGACACCTTCATAGTTCACTACTAATTAACTCGGCCTTAAACAAATGACGTAAACTGCCTCAAATTATTAATATATTTAAACGAGCTAGCGCCCTCACTACTTCGACTGAAATACAAAGCCTAATCCTGTATAATTAATATTATTATTATTATTATTATTATTATTATTATCATCATCATTAATATTATTATTATTATTATTAACGAACGCGGTGCGATCGCGTTGTCGCAAGTTGGTGCGAATCGCGCGGGGGAAAAAGAGCAACAGAGATATAGATAACGATCGATCGGAAAGAGTGTAACGTGTGTGCATTGCGAGCAAAAAGAAAAAAAAAAAGAAAAAAGAAAGGGACGCGAGAGAGAATGAGAGAAAGAAAGAAAGAAACGCGCAGTGTAGCGCATTCCTAAATGAAAACTATTCGCGTTTCACGAGCGAGCGGTGCAAGATGCGCAGGCGAGTGAGTTAGAGAAGGACAACGTGTGGAGCGTATCGATCCAGCCCGGTAACGTTAACTCGTCGTTTATCGCGATAGGATTTATCGGAGGAAAGGAAGGAAAAAAAAAAAGAAGAACGTTTCTTTCCGTCGGCGAACAACGAGAGAAGTACGGTAGTGTGGGTCGGTGAAGAAAAAGAGAGATGAGAAGGGGTTGTCGAGGCCGCGACGTGTACCGAACGACAAGGGGAGATCTTTCTCTCGTTGCCCTCGCGGACGGAGATGCCTTCGGATAAGCGAGGAGATCGGTCGAAGGTAGACACGGCGAAAGGACACGAAGAAGACAAGTTCGAAAGGGGGATATACTTAATTTTTGGTGGTCGAAAGTTGATCGAGCCGGGACGAGGGAGAATTTTCGAATTTCTCGAATTTTCGGTAACATCCCGGGATACGAACCACTGTCGAAAGCTTTTCACGCTCCTTTTCGGCTCGAACTTTAAAGACGCGACGGCTGGGTGTTTCGAAGGACGGTAGTTTCTTCGTTCATGTATTATACGGGCTCGAAGAATATACACGACAATAAGGATCGTAGCCGGTCGAACCACGATCCATACCCCACGAGAGAGTTAATCGAGAAACGGACGAGAACTCCTACGGCTTTTATGGCTCAGCTCGTAAAGATATACCCAAGGCTTTTTCTCTGGAACTCGGGACCCCTCCGAACACCCGGTCCAGGAACACTGGGCCAGAAACGACGATGAGGACGGCGGCGACGACGACGGAGTTTAGATAGACGGACGGACGGGCGGGCGGGCGAGCGAGCGAGCCGGGCAGGTACGTGGTTGTTGCTAATGCTTGCGAAGGGAGGAACGAGCGAGAGAGTGACAGCCCTGGCAGCAGGTAGTTGCGCCGGAAAGTACCGGCTGCTATATAAAGCGACCCGTGAAGCCCATTTTTGATCCATGATCCCTCTGCTTCCAGCTAAGAACCCGAATTACAATGTGCACCGTGGGTGGACCACCTCCCCTAAGGCCGTACGCGAATTTTTTCTTAAATCGTCTACCCTCTCGATCGACGATCTCTTTCTCTCTTTCTCCGCGGGCCGAGCGGTTGGGAAAGAGGGACGAATGAAAAGCGCCTAAGAAAGCAGCGCGACGTGTACATACCTAACAATGACCGTCTACCTCTGATGCACGAATTGTACGCACCGGCTGATTCGGTAAATATAACGTACTCTATTTTACGCTATTCTTTGTACGCGCTTCGTCGCACAGCCGGTTTATGCCCGGGTTTGCTCGATGCCCAGTGAGAAGCAGTTCTTTACCCCTGGTATTTTGCTTCGAGTTACCCCGAGTCTTTTTGAACGCCGCATCGGCCAGACTATTCTTTCATTCTTCTCTTCTTCTTCTTCTTCTTCTTCTTCTTCTTTCTTAGTTTCTTCGTTCTTTTTTCCTCAGATTTACAATCTGTTCAATCGCTTGCACCACGTTAGGCAGAATCTTAATTCGGTTTTGTATAACCGGTAAAGTGCGTCGGATGAAAAATCGCGTGGAGCGCGGGGAGTTAAAACTCGAGGGTGCGAGATAGAAAGTGGGGGCGCGCACGAGAGAAAGAGAGAGCGGAAGGGGCTCGATTGCGGAAATCAGCACGCGGTTGTAAAAGAGGAGAGACATCCATGTGTCACGAACGTTCGGGATATTATAGGTTTATACCGTTCTATGGATAGTCCGAACGATTTGAAACGATGGACCACGCCCTCGGCCTGCCATCTTCGCTTCGACGAACTCTCTCTCGACGATCGATCCTTTCCTCGCGACAAGCTGGCAAAAATTACCACCGCAAAAGTCGAGCACGAAACGGGACAACTGAATACGCCCCTGGAACGAGCCGAGGCCTGCCTGGCTCTCCGGCCAATCGATACACACCACGCCGTATGCCTCTACCGTTTGACAACCTCCACCGACATTTCTCTCTTCGTTCCCTATTTTTCACCCGGTCCTATCTCTTTTCTGCTAAAATGTTTTTCCTCTCACGATCCTCTCGCAAAAGTGTCGCGGGCACAAGATCGGGCCGCGACAGTTTTGCAGGCAAGGCAGATGTTCCGGGAATTGACCGGCATTATCTGATCGGAACCCGCTCGGCTCTCGGCCGCGATGGGGATGAGAAAGGACACCGAGAGCGAGTAAGATAACAGCCTTTACGGAATTACGCATTGTTTTGTCATTTAACTTGGAATCGTTCAAATACACCAGAGATATCCAAGCCCGCTCCGGGCTACTCCTACTACGTGTCCATTACCCTCGTGTAGGTTGCGGCTTAGGCGAGGCAGACGAGGTATAGGGATACACAGCCTGTCCTCGTCTGTAACTCGACATCGTGCCCGGACCACAATCTACACGAGGGGAATAGACACGGAGAAGGGGAATCCCCGAGCAGCCTTGGACATATCTGAAATGCACTCACGGTTTAGTATCATTTTCATCGCAAGAATCTCGATGATCTGATTAGAGCGATCTTACGAGGATCAAAAGGAAAAATCTAAGAAACTTTAAGTTTTCTCGCGTCGGTGAGTCATCGGTTCGCTCGAGTACGCCGGGTTCCGGGAAGTGACGGGGATGACGGCGCGACACTTTGCCAGAGACTGCCTTGTATATCTCCCTTCTTTACTCGCCGCTCTTAGATTAAGTAGAGCAACTCGAATCGTGACTCGATTGTTGAACGAAAAATAAAAGGGGGGAGGAGGAAAAATACTGGTTTCTTTCTCGTCGAGATATACAAAACGCTGGCAAACGATCGATTCGTCGGAAGGCAAAGTCCTGTGCGTGGTCGTCGTGGGTTGCCACGTGTCGCTCGATTCCTCCTTCGATTGCGTTTCGCGAATGCGGTTCCGCGTTCCGGTCGTATCCGATGTTTTTCTTCGTTTTCTTTTACCGCAAACAGAAAAAACAAATCGAGTGGTCGATATTCACCGTGACGCGATGGTGTGCCGTCCTGTCACGTCGCAGCTTTCCGGTTTCATCGACTAGCAGTGTGTTGCCAATCCCGGTGAACGAAAAGTAATAACGAGCAATTCTTTTCTCTTATAGTTTGCGTTTATATAAGAACTTTTACAATCGTTGGAAATCCACGTCTGTACAACGTTTGTTAACGATCCGTTTGCTAATCCTTTCAGCGCCAACGTAACGCGCCCATGCGTCATTTTTAAAATGACGCCGGGTCACTGCTGAGTCACGTCAGGTTACGAATCATTTTGAAAAGCGTCAGTCTCGGTAAGATACAAATAATTTACAAAATTCTTCGATTATCGCGCAGCAGGGCGCGGCCGCGAAAGGGTTAGGATACCGGTCGTTGCGTGCGTTATTTTTTCTCGTTATGCCGCGTCCACGTTGGTGATTCACGAATAGATCCTTTTGATACATACACTCGGATGCTGCGTAAGCTTCTCTTAGTTAAGGGTAGAGGTTGAAAGAGGAGCCTCTCATCGTTTACCTTCGAAGAACCCCCAGGAGAACCTAACCTAAAACCTTCTACCCTTACATACAAAGAACAGGGACAAATAAGGCGAACGGTGGGACACTTCTTTTATACTTCTTCTTAACTAAGGGAAGTCTAAATTGCAAGGCGACAAGACCATCCTCCCGAGCGAACAGTGTTCCTTGATTACCGACGAGTTCGCTGGCGAACAGCAATGTGGACGCGGCATTATGGTAGGGGTTTGGCGAGCCTGCGGGAGCGTGTTCCATAACGCATGCACGCGAAGGGAGAATAGGCCGTTTCATGGCCCTGTCTCTCTCTTTCTCTTCCCTTCGTTTTTTTTTTTTTTGCCTTTTCTTTTTTCGTGATTTAACGAAAACAACGCCGTGCATCGGCTCCGCTCCCTCCTCCGTCGGCGGGCCAGAAGCAACAAGATCTTTCTTCGGTTTCATAAAAGCATAAAGCAACCATGGGACTTCGTTGGGGGGGGATGAAGCTAGCTTAACCAACTACTACTCGTATTATCGAAAAAAAAACAAAAATGAAAAAATGGAAAAAAATAACAAGAACATACCTACGCATTTAAGATAATGTACAAGTCTCTAGTGTGATACATTTCTACGCTTATTCTCTAAACTGTAGTCATGAAGTCTAAAGTAACGATACCTCGTTGTGGTTTGTAAACGCGGATTAATGCAAAACGTAAGAAAAACACACATACACTCAATACAACGTAGTTCTATAATAGTAATAAAGAAAGCAAAGAGAGAACAAAATGCAAAAAAAAAAAAAGAAATTAATTAAAGGGGAAACGAACAAAAGGAAGACACGTAACATGATCAAAATCCGCTTAGGCTGACTTTAAAAATGAAAAGGAACAAAAAAAAAAAAATTAAATAAATAAACTCGCGACAAGCGCCAAAATGTACTCGTAGAATGGAATTGTCCGGTGGCAAACGTCCTAATTAATCGCAACACTGAAATTGTAAACGACCGCCAAATACCGTTCGAACTTAAATACTGGATAATAAAAAAATAAAAAAAATAAGAAAACCAGAAAGAGAGAGAAAGAATGATAGGATGTGTGAGTCGCGGATCCAAGAATCGAATGAATGGATGATCATTTCAAAACACGTGTGGGTCGACCGATTCGTGTCAAACGTATGCATGTGTGAGTTTACGCGCAGAGTAATCGAGGATATATAGTGTTCGGCGTGTACATAATTCTGTATATACGAACGAATCACTGACTGTACAATACCACCCAAATATATTTATATTTCATGTTAAAACAACCACGGGTTACTATTCATTCGTTGCTAGTTACGTACATTAGCGTGTTGGTTGCACTAATGAATTCGCCGCTGTGTTCACAGGTGGATCGACTTTGGATCCAGCGAGAAAAAGATTCGAAAGAAAGAGATGATTGTGAGCGCGTGTTTTATCTGGAAAGAGGAAACGGTACGATTTTTAGAAAACTGAATCGACAGATTTTACTAACGGCAATATGACGCGTGCGTATCGTCAAGGAGAACCAGTCCACCAGCCTCGTGTACGGAGTTTAATCATTACAAGGGGTCTTCTTATTTTCGTTGCATCGCTGTCTTCCGTTTTCCTTGTTCCGTCGATTGCATAATACACGCCGTGTGAAATAATTTATGCGAGGGGTTCGTGGACGTCGTTTACTATTCTCGAAGAATTTTGTTTATAACTTTACCGATCCGAGCTTTTATGAGTTTAGAAGTCTGGGTCACTGTTGACCCTGGCTATCGAAGGGTTTAAAAATCGTGTTATTTCAGCGTACACTTCCTTCGTGCGTGTTTTTTTTTTTTTTAAACCGCACACGGCAGCGTAGGATCTTTTAACCTTTGAACCTAACCTCCCGTTCGAACCGAATAAACTTGCATGCGGAAGGCGTGCACGAGGCCGGATACAATGAAACACAGGAATCACGCTTCCTGATGCAATTTCAACCTTTGTCGCCATTATTTTTTTTTTTTTTTTTATCGCGACGTTTCATTCTATTTAACGTTCCACCGTTTATTTAAATACGTCGTTGTTGTTCTTTCCCCTCGTCTCGATAATTCGCGCGTGTAACCATTTCGCGAGAACGGCTTCTGGAAATATCGACACGAACGACAGACACGATTAAATACACGGCCGCACAAATACGATGACTTTACGATTCTTTGTTATTCATGACATTCCGACGAATATACCACTTTCCATGGTACGGTTGCCGATGACGTCATTAGTCTTCTATTGTATTCGATGACATGCTTCTACCGAACTCTATATGGAATTATAGTTCCTTCGTGGATTCCGTGTACTTTATTCCGCACGTAACCGAGAGAACATGTAAAAGTAGTGTAAAAGTATATTTTATTAAAAATTTTTCTCTAGCAAAGTATTTAGGTCCTCCGTCGATTCGAATCCGATAGAAATCTGAGTAAGTAATCGTAAAGTTCGTTATGGTTTCGCGCACGATACAATGATTCTTGTGATAAGTACACCTTGACGTCGTATCGAGTATGTACTTCGGCACGATTGATGTCGATGGAATCGAAGCTCGGAGGTTGGGATGCAGGCGCGGTCATATTTCGAGCATCGAATCATTGATCGTCTCCTTAAATGAAAGAAGTCTGGTTTGAATGCATCTTTAAATGCATCTGGCCAGGTGGTCACGCGATAACCATGCGAAAATATCTCGACGCTTTCGAGCTGCAAATTTTCACATGTTCTTGCGATTTCCTTTTAGCATACCGCAAGCTGCTACGCCAGCTTTGTGTATATACCTACACTCGGCTGTTTCTCGTACCGGGAAAAGATCTTCTATTTTTCTTTATTTACAAATTTTCACTCGGTGCCTCTAAAAAGCTTGTAGGAAATATGGTGGATATACTGGAAATATATTTTTGTCAGTCTGTAGGAAGTAGATGCTAGTCTCCGCCCTGGTACGCCATTGGATCGTACCTTTCTCGTGAAATCCGTGCAAAACGATGAAAATACCTCTGTAGGCATGAGATACCACTCTGAGATTGAAAAATGTACCCCAGGTTCGTATTTTAAAATAAGAATTTTTCGGGTCTTTGACTCCCTTGTGCAGGCCAAGCCCGTAGACCCTGGTATTCTCGACACGTTACGCCAATGCGGAGGCCTTGTGTACAGGACCCACATGGAACAGTGAAAAGGATAAGCATAAGGGTCTTGGGTAGTTAAATCGCTGTGTTCGCAGTTGGCTAGCGATTCGAATAACGCTTCAGGTAACCCAAGTGTCAATTCTTTCGCAAATCGTACATTCGAATGCATTCGGGACTTGTCAGAATCAGTCGACAACGAAGAAAAGAGGGCCGAATGGTCAGAGCGTACAAAGGGAAGCATAGATATCAGGGCAGATACAAAATTTAATGCTTTTTCATTCACTTTTCGTGTTTCAATCGAGACGAATATCAGAGGTACCTACATGATCATTTTTTCTCATTGACAATACAAATGTATCTTGATAGACTGATTAAAAATAAAATTAATATAAATCGAATATAACATCTTCGTTTCTTGCTCAAAAAACCTGTTGAAATTGTACTTCTCACGCGTTTCCAGTGAAAGTTTAAACCTTTCTTTGTAACAGCTTTTAACCTTGGCTATTGACATTAGCATTGACCTTGCGCGAAGAGGATGCGCTTTCGCGTCTAGTAAAAACTGTCTATCAATTTTGAGACTATTAATTTTCTCAATTCATTTTTGCCTATTTTTCTATGTTACTGTCTAATTGTGTCGAAGAAATATTGGAAAGTACAAAATAGATAATTATTTCACGGAAAGAAATTGAATGGACATGGTTTTAGGGAGGATTAAAGGGATCATAAATTTAAGGTTTAAAGGACCAACTGCTAGAATTATGGAAGAATAATAGGGGTTAATTTCATATCGACATGGAAGAACTTTCAGGTTTACGTCGGTAAGTTCTCATTCACCCTAGTCTCGTATTATTTGACAGGGTAAAGACTAGTTTGTCGACTGTTTCGAATTTTCGGATCCATTTTGTAACTTGTACCAACAGTGAAATATTCCCTAGAAATCTAGCAATCGTATTGGATCGCGTCTGCAGCGCGGTATGAAATTCTTTGAAAACTGACTTTAAATATTTGATTATTTTATAGAAACAATGAATCCTTTTATTGTAATTGTAACAAAAGAGTCCTAATAATAATATTGTAAAAAGTAGAAAATAGTAACTATGATGTGTTTCAGGTAAAAAATTTTGATATAATCGATTGGGGCGACATCTGTCTACTGCGTAACGTGTTGTCTGCTCTGTAATGCCGCAGTGCCTGAACAAAAGTTAACGAAAAGTGCTATATTAAATTTATAAACATTAAATGTGAGTCGCGAGTTAGTGTTGTGTATACTATGTATTACTTAGATATTACTCTGTTAGTAAATTTAAACAATTCTTATATTTTCATTCGGGCACATGTAATCTAACCTATATTCAAAGTCCGATCTCCACGATCGAATTTGCAAGTAAAACTTTGCTAAAGATGTGCATGTACATTAAAAATGTTATTGTCTACCTATAATTCGCAACATAATCTTTATGCATTTATAATATAATTTTAATATAAACCTGGTTGTATTAATCGTTGTTTAAGTTACAATTTTTCGTTTATTATACGTTGTGAATTTTCGTCACAGTTCCCTCATTTGTTTCTAGATATCTTTGTATGCAGATGTAGTTGTTATATTGTATTTAAAAAAAAAAAAAATAAAACATTTTATATATTTGTTTTTTATGTTATAGATAAACATTTATACTGATAATGTGTTTTTCTGTTTTTAGAGAACTGCCACAGAATCGTAATCGTGAAATATCAGCTGTATTTTTGAAGAAGAATATTATTCAGTCTATCAGACAATTGTTTGGCGAAGAAGGAACCAAGTATACTATTGATATTTTAAAATATAATCCAAAGGAACATAGATTTGTTCTGAGGTGCACCGATGATTGCTATGTACGCTTAAGAGCATCTTTAACTGTAGCTGAAAAATACGAGGAAGAACCTTGCATATATGTAATTCATCGTGCATCACATAATTTATTATCATTTACTGCTGACAGTAGAAAGTACCAGCATTAAAATATAGAAGCTAGAACAACTTCTATCGAAAGGAAATCTAGTGTATTTTATTTTTATCTTCTAAGGAGAATTTTATACATTTTTTGTATGCTTCAAATATGCCACTAATTCGTAAGGAAGGAAAAGACACTATAATATTTGCATCAAAAGAAGATCATGCAACACCTAGTAAAATAGAGCTTCCAGAAGCAGAACCAAGTCCTGGTCTCTTGCTACCCAATGGAGAAATCAATTGGAACTGCCCATGCCTTGGAGGGATGGCAACTGGACCATGTGGTTTAGAATTTCGCGAAGCATTTTCCTGTTTCCATTATTCAGCAGCAGAACCAAAAGGTTCGGACTGTTACGAAGCATTTAAAACAATGCAATCTTGTATGGTACAATATCCTGCATTGTATCGAAGTAAGGGCGCAGTCCTAGACGAATTCGACGAAGAGGGAGATCCGATGGAAGAACACCATAAAAATGTGGAGGGTGGAGATAAAGTTCCTGGTGTAAAAAATCAAACGGAAAAGGAAGATATACCAGAAACTTCTAGTATTGAAAAAGGAGTGGAACGAACTAACACTAAATAAATGTTATCTCGCTAGTACAAATATCAATGCAATGAGATTGCATTGCAAACTAACTAAAGTAAATTTTTACCGAGACTTAAGGCAATAGGATCTCTGTAGTACTCGCAAGGAATAGATACGTGTGGGACGAAGTATTTTTGAAAGGAAATAAAGTACCCGCAAATACTGTTTTTCGTTTTCAGGTATTTGTTCTTAATTTTTCTGTAAAGATTATCTTATAGATGACAAAACGAAAATGATTTATTGCATTTGCTCGTAATTTTGATTTACTTAATTCATTAATTATGTATTTCATTTTTTTTGTCTGGAAATCAAAAGTGAATTGATATACATATTATTTCTCGCATTTTCCGTTGAATTCCAACTTATTGTACATACTTTGTACATTGTGATCAATAAATACTTCTTCGAATTAACAAATAACCTCTTTCTGTAGATGTAATGACGCACGGTTTGAGAAAGAAGATAATTTTTTGTGGCTGGTGATATGGAGTTTTTGAACTGCCCTACTTGTTTACCACGTGACAGCATGCTGTTGGTTGACGTCACGGCCGCAAGATGGCGGCACGGAAGCCGCGTGACGTCAGCCGTACCGTTGCGCCCCTCCTTCGCTCCAACCCTTTGGACAGTCGGTTTTTCGTGTATACAACTTCTACCAGCACGCCACGCTCGTTTACCGCCACTACCACCATTAGCAGCACCGTTCTACGAGCACCACTAGCTTCACCATCGTCATCGTCATCGCCATCACACCATGAGTTTGGCGTTCGTCGGGCATTTCGTGCGGATGAAAGAAGGATGTGTTTTCGTTTCGCGACGTTGATGCAACTCTAATCGAGCAAAGGTGACGTCGCGTATTTAGTGTCGAACGTATGTCGGTGCATCGATTTCAGCGAGGAAGCGAAGACGCGGAATCGGTGCGAGCAAAGTACGAGGAGAGACAATTGGGAACAAGAATTTCGTGACGAGTCGAGGCGGGAGTGCACGCTGGATACGTTCCTTGGCAGTGACCGAGAGTGTCCCAGGGTGTCGTATCATTCGAAAAACTTCCTCATATTTTTCGACTAACGATGGAATCGCATAAGAAAGAGAAGAAACACAAGGAGAAAAGAAGGTGAGTGGTATCATACTAAAATACAAAGTCAACGACACCCGTATGGATGTTACATCGTTTGCACCTCGGGTTTTTCATATTTTCTCATTCGTTATTTTAAACGTGTCATTAAATATGGTATTCTATATCGTACGATCCATTCGTAAACACTGTTTTGTACGTCGGAATCGACGGAACACCAAAGAATTGTATTCTGTTTGTCGCGCGCGCGCGTCTCGTGTTCTGTATGCGTGAGTGAATGCGTGCATGTTTGACGCAATCGCGTTTCCTCCGAGCTGATGGCTCTCCGTCTCTTTCTCTGTCTATCTCTTCCTCACCGTCTATCTATCTTTTTTCTTCCTCCGTTATTTTCTTCTCCCCTCCACCGGTTACAAGATTACTTATGGTCTCTTCTCTCTAATAATCCGATCTCTTTCCATTCGTTCTACATAACAACTGTACGTGTATGAGTGGACAAACAAAGGCGGAAAAAAGGTCTTCCGCACCGATAGAAAATGCAGCGATAATTTATCGGATGGATTTACAGTAGGGTCCGTCAGGTTTCTATCAGTAAAAACCTGCGGCGGTTTAAAAACGGTAGGGATTTCTAGGCGGAGATTCGACGATTTCTCTTTTTTTCTTTTTCTTTGCCTTTTAAACCGAGCGCCATTCGAATGGAAAATATACATGCATACGAATTCGTTCCATCATTGCATTTGACACAGATGTCCTTGCGATACCAAACTCCTTTGGGATAATTCCATTCTAAGGCCAAAGAGCGAGCCCCGTTGCCTTGTGTATTGTATATATCGTGTCGCGATAAAGAAAAACAAGGAATTTTATTGCAAATTGTGTTCGGTACTTGTTTTCGTTTCACTTCTAATTTTCTTTCGCGCGCATTTCGCGCCTTCGTTCTAGCGACGAGGTTACGAATTTGTTCGTTAGAATGGCGCTAGAGTAGCACTGGACTCGATAAACTGGCGAAATAAGATAATCGATCGCGGCCATAACCTAGAAACGCCAAACTTTTCATGGAAATTCAGATGTCCCTATGTGTTGCCCTCGCGAACGTCATTCTTAACAAAAAAGATAAAAAAAAAAAATTGTTAATGCGTAAAAGCGTTGTACACGTGTACGATAGATAAAACGTTTTTTCCCCGATTGGTAAAAATAGTCGAATCGTTTTTCTTCGAATCTAGTAAAATTCAGATAAATCAAGAGTACCAGCGTCACGCGTGCCGCGTATGTTAATTTAAAAGCGGTCGCATAATCAGAGAAACCACGGAGATAAAGCATTGCCTTCCCTTATTTACATGTATCGGCGCTTGCTCTGTATGCTTTTTTTCTTACTCTTCGATACATTTTCTCGAATTCAAACGATTATAACCGGACAAATTAATTTCGATCGAGCTAACAAAGAAGAATGCAGCGTGGAAGACCGTTTAATAGCGTTTAAAGTATGGTATCCGTAATTAAACGTCGTCGTGTCGAGTTATTACGTGAATATGTATGTATAATGACCGTTCGTCGTGCGGTCAGCTCGGGGGTAGGGAGAAAAGAACTCTCTCTGCTTCAGGCTAAACGTAGGATGTTTCCCTTGCACGATACGAGAAACACATACGCCGAAAATTCAACATTTTATTGTACGTGTATTCTGGAGCAGCGATTCGACCTTCTGGAAACTTTCTTTTCGAATTCTTATATACCGTACAGGCCATTAACAAACTGTTTATACGTCCGAATAACTATTGAAGCTGAACTATTTTTAGCTCGCGCGTTCGTTCGTCCATTTTGTCACGTGACCTATCGAAGCAGTAATTTCAGGGAATTTTCTTGTTTGCCGTTTTCGCTTAATCATTACGTCTCTTGGAATTCCGTGTATCGAGGCAATTAAGAGAAACGAAAAACATCTGTGTATCTGAATATTATGCTCGTTATGAAGCGTCCTTATTTTTCGGTCAGTTCGTTAACACGCTGAGCGCCATACAAAAGTGGCCGCATCGTAACAGTAATTAAATGTTAACAATGTAAGCGATTAATTTGCCAATTTAACTTGTTGATTTGCTTACAAATATTATTAGCATAATACTGATGTCATTCAAAGTTTGTTCACTATTTTTTTATATTAATTAGTCAACTGCTGATGCAGTGGTCAGTGGTGACCCTGATGACGTTCAACGTGGATAACTAATCAAAATTGTATTTTCAAAATTGGACTCGCATGGAAACAATCGGTTCACCTTCAATTTCAATGAAAATTTATTTTCGGGATTAACGGTAATCCAAATTCCAAGCTAGGGCCAATCGAAATTCTATATTCTATACGCGTAGGGGGTTGAAATGGTCCCAGGGATACGTGGGTCACCATTTCTGAAACATTTACGACCGGTTAGTGCCTCGAGCATTTTCCTAAACGATCAGCCTAACGCTTACTTTACTACGCAGATACTTGGAGGCAAGTTTCGTTTCCGCATTTACTCGCGATAATTTACTTGATCAAGGCCGATCGTTGTAACAAAGTATTTATAGGCGCGTGCCTCCTTCTATCTCTATCTTACTTGTTGACACAGGTAATTCGACGCAATTTTCTTTTTGTTTTCATACAGTAGATTAAAAAATGAGATGCATCGCTATAGCGCCAAATTGACAAAATAGGGACTTTGAAAATCCTTTTTTTTTTTTTGTTCAGCAGATCTCAAAGCCCTAATATTTGCCAATGTACTTTCCGATTTAGTTTTCAACTAAAAATCCGTCCGGGAGGTCGGCGACGCACGGTACTCGGGCTTTAAGACTCCCAATTCTTGTTTCGTCAAATTTTACCGAAACCGTATTTTATAACTACCATGTTCTGGACGGTTTTCTAACCGTATCCCAAGAAAACCTGTTGTACAACTATTCCAATTGAATCACCACTTGTTCGCAACAAGTAAGGTACCTCTCGAGTCCTTGGACAACCTGCGAAACAACGTTAGAAACCCGGAACAGATATAATCGTTCACGAGACGAATCCTTCTTCGTGTCGTCCAACTGCTTGGTTCGCAGATCTCATCTTGTTGATAGCGAGACGTCGACGTCAATGCTCCTAGATATAGAAATTTAATCGGTAGTGTAAAAGCTGAGACAATCGTACGAATTCGTTCGACAATTGAAAAACGAAATAAACGTCGGTGAGCTCGATATCTGAAGGTATCGTTATCAGTCTCGAGAAGATATTCATCGTTTCCAGGTGTCCGAGCCAAGACTATTTGTCTTTCAGTATCGTGTCCAACAGTCGTACGGTTCGATCTCGAGTCGCGAATCACTCGGTAACAGGATTTGGTTACGAGACCACGAGGATGGTCTCTGTCTTTCCATCAGGGAATCGAATCTGTTCGAACGATCTGCGTAATCGCGAATTGAACAACAAATCAAGAAAGATAAGGCGTTTGAAACTCGTTCGAAGCAACGGAGAGGAAAGAGAGAAACGAAGCACGGAAGACAGGCGTGGTTCACGAACGAAGAAAGGACCGGGGTCAAGAGAAGGAGGAGGCAGAGCCGTAAGCGAAAGGAAGAAAAAGAAGAAGGGTCGTGGGTAGTACGCTAACTAAGAAGGGGGACGATAAAATAGGACAAGAGTTTTATTCGTCATAACTTCGAGTAACGGGAAGAGGAGTTCCAACCTCGTAAAAGGAAAAAAAAAAAAAAGCAGAAGAAAGATCTTGGGAAATCGGGAGGATCCCATACCGATAAAAAGTCTCCGACGCACGGAGAAGGATTTGGAGAAAGATGAACGGTCCACGTGTGCTGCAGCAGATCGATGATGGGTTGCCAGATAACCAGGAGACCCCAGGTCGTTGCTCCGAATGGCTTAATGGACAGACAGACTACGCGAATTTCTACGACCAGGATGAACCCACTCTACCACCCTGTCGATTTACTAGGGGACCACCGATCCGACCCGTTAACCAGGATCCAGATCTTCAGAGATCTTTTACCGATCAACCATTCCCTACAGACTTTGCTACCCTGCCTTATGATTCGTCCCTACCTTGCATGCTACCACCCTTCAACGAGCAGTGTGGTCAATTTCAAAATTGTTCAAGAAATAGAAAATCAGACCCTGTAGACATGGAAGATTTGGCAATGTACTTCGAGACAGACAAGTCCCAGACGAATTGTCAGGTTCGAGGTTATAAGCTGCCTGTCGGTACACAGTTTCGTCGGACCAGACCCACTTATCATGAATATTCAACGAAGTTGACCAACAGGCAATTCGATGACGCCTCGACGAACGATTTCGCTCGTACGGGTTGGATCGATGCGAGATTCTGTCAGAATTGTCCCGATTTGTTTGCTTTTTGCACGGAAGAACGATGGCTACAGTGTCCCGCGAGCGATCGTTGCCCCCTCTACAACGACACCGGTTACTACTCGTTCGGCAGGAACAATGTCCTGCCACCGTGTTTTTACGAGGACCTGCAACAAGAATACGGGTACAACGAGGACGAACAACTTCTCGAGGATTATTTGTAAGTGCACGGTCGTGAGAAAAGGTTTTGTTTGCGCGAGTAGCATTACGGAAACTTCTCCGCTGTGTACCGAGATTGTATCGCGGTATAATCTGCAATAACTTGACGCTGTTGAGTCTTATTAGGCAACAACGGATTCTGTGTCTTATAGGCTTTCTGTTTCTGATTAGGGAAATTCTGCGGGGATGAATGTGCATAAAGTGTGAACGATTACACAATTGTTGTTTAACTTAAAACCTTTTCTTTAAAATGTGGATTATTATATCTTGGGTTTTTCCCTGGGATCTGGTGGGGGGAGCCCTAACCAAACAGCCCATATTGCACCTGAGCGCATTCTAAAGGTTCCAAGAATCTAGAATCGAAGCTCTCTTGGAATGAGAGAAATGCACACTCGATTATTCGTGCAACGTGGATGAATATGACCGATCGGTAACAGGAAAAATTTCGCAAGACTTCTTTCGATCGGTCCGCCATCTTTATCTTCTCGAATCGGTGGAAGCAATTTACGATTCGTATCTGATATCTTCGATCATCGTTGAACCCGTGCAACGTTACATCACTGTAATTGCCATTGACACGGACAGAACACGATGGAATGGCGTAAATATCACCTCTCAGCCTGAGATTTTTATCAATCGCGTTTCGTCACGTCTCGACTATCTCGAATGGTTGTTATCACCTCTACAAAATGACCTTCGAACAAGTCTGGTCTTTTTTTTTTTTTTTTTATTTTCGATTCCTTAGAAACATTCCTGCGATTTCAGTTTCGTCCAGTTTTCTTTTCTTTTTTTTTCTTCATCGAATTAAACGAGTCCTCGTTTATTAATTTTTATTCGTATTGGGTTTGTAGTTACGAGGGTTGCGAAAGGTTAAAAAGAGCAACCAAGATGGCGGGGTTCGATTTTGTCGATTGCGATTCGAGCGTGTATTTCGTTCCAGGAGCAACGAGAAGAGGAAGGAAAAGTCTCGTGATGCTGCACGATGTCGTCGAAGCAAGGAAACGGACATTTTCACGGAACTGGCTGCTGCCCTTCCGGTCGCATCGGACCAAGCAGCCCACCTAGATAAGGCCAGTGTTATGAGACTCGCTATCGCCTATTTGAAAGTGCGTTCGGTAGTAGATGCCAGTGAGTACCATCAAGCCTTAACAACCTACTATCTTCTTATACGTATCCCGTTCCTTTCGGTCGTTTAATTCTTTTTTTTTTTTTTTTTTTTTTTTTTCTTGAAATTCTTTTTCAGTTCCAGCACCAGTGGCTAAGTCAGAGTCGTCGAACGAAATGGACGAGCTATTTTCTAAAGCCCTAAACGGGTTCATGCTGGTGCTGTCCAGCGATGGGAACATGATATACCTTTCAGAGAACGTTAGCGATTATCTTGGCGTTTCTCAGGTACCTCTCATCTGATTAACGCTTTATTTACTGGCGTATGTTGTACACGGGGAAGTCGCATATACATGGTCAATTGAAGAAAGTTATTATCAAAGATAGTTCAGCAAAAACAATTTCAACGTAACGATCAAAGCAAAGATCGTAATCTCCTACATCTAATCTCATAGATATTATGCAAACTTTTTCTTTCCTTTATTTTTCTGTACGATGTAGTTTACTCTAACGATGTAAATCTAACCCGTGAACACGTTTATTTATTTTCCTCAGTATACATGTGAACATTTTCAATTATAACTTAAGGCTGTTAATAGTGGATTTTTCCTAAAATTTAAGGAACTCTTAATCACTCGCGGTGTTTATTTTGTTTATTGACTTCATCCGTAAACGGTAGACAATATGCGAACAAAGGAAACATTTAAATGCTTATGATAATTCTTTGTTCAGATGGACATGATGGGTCAGAGTGTATACGAGTACAGTCATCCCTGCGATCATGACGAATTACGGGAGTGTCTGTCCTCGAGCCCAACGAAAAACAATGAAAAGCGTGTTTGCAGTTTCTTCCTGCGTCTGAAATGCACGCTGACCAGTAAAGGAAGGAAGGTGAACCTGAAGAGTGCTTCCTATAAGGTTGGTGATTTTTAAGAAATCTTTGAACCATGAAATTTACGAAGGGTAAGAGAAAGAACGATTTGATTCGATCATGCGAACAATCATTTTGCGTCAGGTGATTCACTGTACCGGTAGATTGACGTACAGTCGTGACCCTGTATTGAATTCGTTGGAGACCGAGGACGAGGAGGAGAAAAGCGAGGACGAGTTGAACGAACGCGACATGGGAGCTTCCTTGGTGCTTGTAGGATGTCCCATACCGCATCCCAGTAATATTGAGATCCCTCTGGGTCGTCATACTTTCCTCTCTAAGCACAGTCTCAGCATGAAGTTCACCTATGCTGATGAGAAGTGAGTGGATTGATTATCAATACATTTATTCACAGTATTGCGCACAGAGTGTCTTAAAAAAGAATTTACAGTCTTCACAGTGTGAAGACACAGACTTTTTATGATCATGCTTCACCTACCTTCAATGATTTATTTTTATTCAAACATTTAGTTCTCACTCCTTTCTATGCAAAAGACTTAATCATTATATTTGTGATATTTTAATTAGTTTCCTTTTGTTTAATCGATCAGATTGGCCGAGTATTTAGGCTGGAACAGCGAGGAATTAATGGGACAGTCTGTTTTCGAGTTCTATCACGCCCTCGACAATTTGGCTCTGGATAAATCTTTTAAATCACGTGAGTATAAGCCAATTGACGGTCATTTGAATAAATCTGCTCGTTCACGACCCACTACGCTATATTTGCCAATCGTATCGCTTTGATTTGTCTGTATCAAGACAGTGACGTTCTTAACGCGTCGACTGCCCTATGGGTGTCACTGGTGACCGATGCTAATTTAATATAATTTATTCAGATAATTATAGCGGCGTTGAATTTGTATAAAAATGACCAATCGTTTCAATTCCATTTACTTTCCTCTTTTTTTTTTTTTTGCCCTCTGGCTATTTCATTCAAAGCTATTTTTGTATTCATTCACCTTGCATACGTAGCTGGAGGAAGATCCATATCTTGCATATCTTAAAACTGCCTTTGGCTCTTACATAATTGAAAAATGTATTGTATAAAGAAGCTTGTGAACGGGGCTAAAGTTACATGGTATTTTGAAACAGAAACTCGAGGCATTAGATTAAGAAATCATAAGAGCCTTAATCCTGCCTTGGCAAACTGGGTCATTTGTATTATTTTACTGAACACTAATTATTAATATAAAAAGAATATAAAAAGAGATCGAGTATCTCAACGCTTCTATTTCCATACTTTTATTTTTTCCTATCTTCCCGCTTAAAGTCCAAAGTAAACTTGTTCAAATTATCCTCGATATGAAAAAGATCCTTAAATCCCCGGGTGTTAAGCCTAGGGTTTATTTTCGACGGTTCACCGCGTGTAACATTTAATACGGAAGAAAATCCTGTCACGGGATTATCGATCGGGGTAGTTGTTGAACCAAAAAGAGGCCAAAAAAAAGTTAAGTCGTTGGCATTTGGTAGGGAGAATGCCGGTTTGGCGTGGTTTTGTCGGAGGAGCCGGGTGAATGACACCATAAAGGGAAAGATTTCAAGGACGGTGATCTCTTTATCAAGATTTTAGGGGCAAAGATTTCTTTTTTTACGAGTTCGTCATTCGATTGGTTGTCCACGATAGAGACGAGTTAAAATCTTTATTCCTGATTAATCCCTCTAATACCACTTATTTTCTGGCAGATATGCTAAACTCCTAGTTATGGAGGGTTAAATTTGTTAGCTGTCTATTTAATGATCCCTCCCATAGTCAATGTGTTAGTAGCCAAAGGTGGAAGGGGCTTTGCAATTTTAGCGCAGATCTTTCATCATCCAGAATGCGTTGCGTGCGCAATACCAATAGCGTTTTACCGGGTATATATAGAGGCAGGAAGAGCAACGTGCATTTAGAGTCCTTGCAGGACCTTGCACTGATATTTTCTTTTCTGAAATTGTTCCAGTGTTCAGCAAGGGTCAATGCGAAACAGTGGCGTACAGATTCCTTGGGAAACGCGGTGGATATGCATGGGTCGTAACACAAGCCACCCTCATACACTGCTCTAAACAACAGAAGCCACTATCAGTCGTCTGTGTGAACTACATTCTAAGGTAGGATTACATTTGATGCATTTTTATGTATGTGCTACCTGCATGAATCTTTTAAATAGTATCTTCCATCCTCGCTTCTGTTTTTCATTACTTTTCTATTGCATGATGTTACTTCTTGTTTGTTATATAAATATTTAAGAAATTTTACACCCATTTCTAATTGAAATATCTGTTGTTTCTTTTTTTAATTTGAGAAAATGATAGATTTTAATTGAAACTATAGTTCGCTTTAGAGTTTAATTAAAATTAATTAATTATTGACTTTTCTCTAAATATTATATTAAATTTCCAGTAACTTTGGCTTCAAATTGATATAAGTTATTTTGAGAAAGTATTAGCGTCAAACGTCTAACGAACTGCCATATAAATAATCATTAATTTATTTATTTTTTCGACTAATTAAAAAGCATCGCGTGGCTGTATAGAAAACACCGATATTACAGCTACGATAACGTTTTCAATTAGCCTTCGTTCAGCGAACGATGCCCACTAATCACGCAAGGTAAGTGCACCCTTTTCTTTTTCCCCCCGTTTGCATGCAGACCAACCCATTTATCGACCAATTTCGCTTCTGTGTTTTCTTGCTTTCCTCCCTTCTTTTTTTTTTTTTTTATCGTTCCGCGTGGACGGAAGATACTATCCCAAGTTCTCCGTGCTTCGCGGTTTACGAGGCAGATTTATCGTGGAAATTGGTAGAGGGTCCTATCTGGCCAGGATCCCCTTCCCGCGTTTCATTCTCAGCACTCGGTTGCACAACACGGGTGAACGTTTCCTTGGAAGCTTGCGTCAGATTTATAGAAAGCGTTTGCAACCATGAACGTGACTCCGAATCATATGAGATGATTTGCAATTAACGGATGGCCATCGGCTCAATTTTTAATCAGACGATTGCGAGACCGGTAGAAAGGCAATTCTTTTTTCAGATTTCTTTTTAACAATAACTACCACGTTTTATTGTGTGTTCTCTATTTTCATTAATACATTTTACGTTCGATGTTAATTATAACGCGCGCTGAGTGCATTAACCTTTTGCACTCCGGAGGCAATGATAAATTTTATCAATAGGTGTATTTCCACTCTCTATGTTTCAGTCTATCTATCTACACATTTGCGCTTCACAGCACAGCATAGAATTGCGCTAAATTAAATGAAAAGAATGCAGTCGTTTTATTGGCAAACATAAAAACGAATCCCGTTTATTTGCCTTTCGTTTTCATCCCCCAACGGTATTTCCGAGACGGTAGCATCCCCTTCTACGTACATATATCTCTCCCTTCGTTCAAGCGTAACACACCCTCAGGAAGTAAGACGACTAAGGCGAATCTTGTGGCCCATATAAAGAGGTCCCTGACACCCTTTGCCACCCCTTATCCACGAGAGCTCCTCCTTAGTTCAGTCGATCTCAGCCTACGCTCGTTGGAGAAATTTCATCGTTAGTTCTACTATTTGCTCCTCTACTTCCTGCCTTCCTTCTGGCATTCCTTTTTTTTTTTTTTTTTCATTTCTGTTTTTGCTGAGTCTATCGTTCCCTTTCACGCTATCGCTGTTCCGGGAAGCGTTTTATGTTTCTTTTATCGCTGTTGGAAAATTAGAAGTTTCCTTAATGGCTGATGGATCACTTTCAAATCTCTCAAGTTCTTTTTGTATTTTTATTAACCCTCGGGCGGCGGACCACGGAGAGAGCGACAATTTTAAGAACTTACTCTCGCAATACATTAAACTCTTATATATTTTGCAAGTTGACGGTCACGATCGACCCAGGCTCCGCTGTTCAAGGGTTAATTGGAGAATAAATGTGGAATACATTGCGTCGATGTTGCCGACAGCAGTGATTCGTATTGAAAAGGCAGAATGTTGTGTGCACGGTTAGTTACGTGCCAAAATTTTTTTTTTTTAACGTGCCAGTTTGTTGCATAACACGCAATATCGTAATTATGAAACGTCTGATATAGGTACGTGACAATGTTGAGGCTACTTTTTTTGTTTTGTTCATACACGTACGATACATCTTATTTTCAAGCCACAGCATTTTCATCGATTTTTCCAGTCTCCGTTTGCCAGAGAAGGTGAACCCTTTAAACTGGTACAAAAGCGATGCAAGGTTACCAATTTCAGGATTTTAATTACTTCTGAAAGACCTCTGTCAAGACTCGGTGTAAATTTTCTTGTTCTTTGTACGGTATGCTCGTTCATTAACAACTCGTAAACGAGATTCGTGATTATATAAAAGCCTTTTCATGTTCTACATTTCTATAGAATAATACGTCTTTATCTTTTATCGTTTCGTAACACATTGTTCAACTATTTATATCAAGATCCAATCATTCACATTCATCGCGGTTTACTATTGTACGTTCCTTGAATTGTTTCCCTGTCAAACACTGTCCCCGGGTAATTAAAATTATATTTACCGACTGGCTAATCAATATCGTCTCTGCAACAGGATTATATTCCAAGTTTCTCCGAGCCTTTCGAAGGCACAAACTCCCTGTTATACAACGTGCTCTGTTTTGAAATTTATATTTTCTTCCTTATCTATTTCATCGTGCATCACTAACGACTATTGTCACGCGTAGCTAACAGAACAGAAATTAATAGAAACTAACGAGGGTTGCTTTGTCATTTGTTTTCATAAAACATATAAATTTGGGATTAGGTAAAAAAGAATTCCGTTTCAACATCTCAAATACTTTAAGATCTACTTTAAGGGTTGTTCTCACCGGCGGAGAAATATAAAAAAAATCGTCCAATTACCGAACCGATCCGATCATCTGAAACACAACGAAGAAATTCATTGGTGCGGACTAACGAGGGTGGTACATCCCCGAAAAAAAAAGAGAAAAGGGTGGGTGGCGTTCGACAGCAGTGGGTGAAAGCGGAAAAAAGCGGAAAAAAGCGGGGGCCGAGTGAAAGCTGTTCCACGAAGGGCAGGATCGTGGGCGCTTGCGCGAATCGAGTACATCTCTCTGGGATGGATTCTCTTCCGTGAACAACCGTGTTCCTCTCGCGGGTCGTCGATACTCCTCTTCTTCGCGGGCAGCGTCGGTACGCGTGACCCCGAACGAAAGTGAAAGCCGCGGCCGAAGGGGAGAAAGTCGGGCGGCGCGCAAACTCACTCGTCAGATCCTCCCCAATTTCTCCGTCGACCGCGAACCAGCAGTCGTCGTGGGATATCGCAATTCGCGTCGAACTGTCGCTTCCTACCACACGTTTTTGTTTCTTTTTTTTCCTACATCGCGTTTCTCTCGACCGGGTCAAAATGGCCCATTAAATAAGACGCAACCGCGTTGTTTAAACGATCGAGAGCGTGGCATCGCGTGCATACCGCGCACCGTTGATAAACGATCGATGATACTTCTTTGTTGAAACTCGACGAGCCACGGCGCAAGTCAATGGGTTCATTCAGAATTGGTAGGCTGTCTTTTTTTTTTCTCTGTTGTTGCTGCTAGTTGGTTTTCTAGTGAGAACAGTGGGGAAGGTGTTGCGTTGTGTTTAGTGGAAAAAAAACGTTCCTTTTTCTTTTACATTTAATTTTCTGTGATTTTTTCATCATTTTCATTCAGTATTATGGTATATATTGTGGTTTGGGGCTGCGTTTACCCCTGGGCAAAATAGACACGTGCCTAGGGCGCGCACGGGCATAAATAAGTAAATCTAACTCTGGCTTTCATTTTTAAATTTCTTTTAAAGATGTACATGTAAAAGGGTTCTATTTTGCATTTGTACGCCTAGGACTCGCACTCTATTCAGCTGGATTTATTTTCTATTTTTAAATTATGTATTTAATCGATACAGTTTTTATCTTCGTTACTTAAGAAATAACGGGACTTCAATAACTTAGCACTTTGGACACCCTGTACATATTAACACGCGGATATACGGTGCTTCCGCTGGAATACGATAGTAGGCTAGATTCTTTTTTGCACGTAGACGGACTGGTACCCGAGTAATTTCGTAGGATTTTAATGGATATTCAACTTTCTTCTGCTCGTTTTTTATGCAACATCCTGCTATTCTAGTATGGTGCAAATTTGTGATTAGTTACAAGTGTTATTTCTTACAAAATGCCAATTGTAATTCTGATTTCAGAAGTCCGCGATGACAATAATTTACATTTTTATCTTATCGCCTAAATAATTCATGGCCGCGTTTTGTTTGCCATTAAAATTTTTGCAAAAATCTTGTTTAGAGTGAAAATCAAATTTAAGCCCGATGCCTCGAGTTTTTCTCCCATTTCCTTACCGATAATTCGTCCTCTTATCAGCGGCAGATAAGCGAGCGAGAAAAGTGTTGGATTGCGTGTGCGTACTTTGTTATGATTTACGAGCGTTCGTCGAACGTCAGAAAACGCGATGACCGCGTGGCGTTCGCCTCTGAAAATAATCGAGATCTCGAACGTCAGCGATGAGTCGTCGCGTTATATCGATCCTGACCCGATTACCACTTCGATGCTCGATCGAACTTCGATCATCGTATTAATTAAACTTTCCATTTTCTCGCTTTCTTGTAACTTCATTTTCATGCAAATGATAATTAGGTTCTTCTTTATCTTTTTTTTTTTTTCTTCTTCTTTTGCCGATCAATTTGCGACGAGATTTCGCGAGTCTGTTTCCATGGAGAGACAGGAATCGCGAGCAAAGCGACCTTGACTGCTATTCCATCGATTGCATAAGAATCTTTTTTCAACGGCCGTAGAAACGGTACACGCTGTAGTACAATACTAATCGCGGCTCCGATAAGTCCTATAGATCATCGGTGCTTCGTTAGATAATTGTTATTAATTAGTCGATAGTTGGTGATAATACAAAGTCTTTAGAAGGCGGGTTATAAAAGTGCATTCGAGGATGATGCATCGTACGCGTCATACGGTATCTGTATAGGGTAAGCACCGACGCACCGGGTGCGTCATATACTTATCCACGTAGGGAAATCTCGAGCGTGAAATTTTTTTGCAGATCCATAAAACATCGAGTAATTCCACGATCTATCGTGCATGCGCG